ATTCAAAGGCTGGCCCGCGAACAGTGCTTCATTAAATTACACATGACAACTGCAACTCGGAGAGTTATGTGCTCCCCACTGTTATGTTCTCCCCCACTTCCCCAAGTGGCAAAATGTTCCAGGGACTGTACCAGTGATGTCTGGCCCCCATTGTGGGCTGGTGAGCTGGAAGGCAAGGAGCCAAACAGTAGGGGGAGCCAGAGCCAGGCAGAGCCAGCTAATTCGACCTTTGTCCCCGTCTTCCACCCTGAGTCTATAACTCTATGATCAGGTTGCCTCCTAGCTTTTCTCTCAACAAAAAGCCTTAAATGCTGTGACCTTTCCTTATAAGGGTTTTGCTCCATCCCTTTGATCAGTGAGCCTTGTAAAGAGTTTGCCACATTAAAAGTCCTACTTTGCCCCCATCTCTCTCGGCCACCAACACTTTATTTTTCTTGGAATCTCTGAACAATCTGAATGGAGAGGTTCCTACATGGAGTGTCCAGCTCAAAAGTTACCTGGAGGAAAAGATGGCCACATGCTTCTCCACCGCAAAGGACTGACATTTGAGCAACGCGGTCCAAGTTTCAGATGTAAACATTCCTTCCGATGCCAAGCATAACATTCCACAACTTTCCATGTTATGCATTTTTAAATACACAGACTAGGGAAGCATTTCTCCCTCTATCAAGTCAGGACAATTTCCCAGGACGAAGTGTGACCCAATAGTGTGGTTTGGGTGCCCCTTTTACATCCTGCCTCTTGAGAAATAACGGGTGGGAATGGACTTTTATGGCAACCAAGAATCAAGGCCCTGCTCAGAAGTAAGCGGTTATAAAACACAGCTCTCTTTCCTCTGCTAATAATAATAATAATAATAAATTTTATTTATATCCTGCCCTCCCCAGCCAAAGCCGGGCTCAGAGCGGCTAACATCAAATGTATAACACATTAACATAAAATCAGACAATCAATTAAAATACATCCTCAAATCAGATCAGGATCAGAATAAAATCCTATCAGATGGCAACCCTCAGATTAGGGCTGGGGACCTTAAATGCTCACCAGGCCCAACTGTTTGTGCTGAACTTATATGGGCCTGTGAGAAAAATTGGGAGGCCACTTTCATGCAAGTTCTTATGAAAGGGGAGAGGGAGTCAGACTGAACCCCGACCAAAGGCCTGGCAGAACAGCTCCGTCTTGCAGGCCCTGCGGAAAGACGTCAAGTCCCGCAGGGCCCTAGTCTCTTGTGACAGAGCGTTCCACCAGATGGGAGCCACAGCCGAAAAAGCCCTGGCTCTAGTTGAGGCCAGCCTAACCTCTCTGTGGCCTGGGACCTTCAGGATGTTTTTATTTGAAGACCGTAAGTTCCTCTGTGGGACATACTAATAATAATAAATTTCATTTATTATATTTAGGATTGAGACTAATAACTAAGCTTTGCTTCATGCCTGCTGGATTAGGGCCATCAAGTGACTTGGACCTGGGCTCCTTTTCTTGCTCAACTACATAATCACTAGGCATAAACCCAATCCTTGGGTAAACTGTGAGCAGGTTCAGTTCCTCATCTGCAAAATGGGAATAATGGTATTCTACCCTACCAGCAGCTGTATGGTGCAACATGCTTGCTTGTAAAGCTCTTTATGAACTGGTTGCAGAGTATTCAATGCATCCGCGAAGACTGACAGGGCCTAATCTTCTTCCTCCACTGTGGCAGGGAGATGACCCATCCTAAATGTGAGTGTGCCAGGGGAAGGGGGCCACAACTGAGTAGACACAGTCAAGGCCTTTTTCAGCCGGAACTCACCAGAACGGAGTTCCGGCACCTCTCAGATGGGTGCCACTGCCATTATAAGAGAACGAAGGCGGATTTCATGGTGAGTTCTGGCACCTCTCTTTCTAGAAAAATAGCACTGGGCACAGCAAATGTTAGTCTAGGGGGTAAAGGTCCCAAATTCAATCCCTGGCATTTCCAGGTAGGGCTACAAAAGACTCCTCTCTTGGACCCTGCTTCCAATCAGTATAAACAGTGAAGTTAAAGGTTCAATGGTCTGATTCGGTATGAAATGGGACTCATCCATGTTGTGGATAGCAAGCTTCTTTTGCTTCCATTCATTCTGTTGTCCACATGGCAGTCTCCTCCAAATCACTGCCTTCCCACACTCTCCACAATTCAGATTTCCTCATACCTTCTCCTTTCCAGAGTATCCACAGCATAAGAAAATCCCTGTGGATTTTGCAAAAGAAAACAAAGGTTCAGTGTACTTAATATTCAAGGGCCATCAACTTTTGAATAGAAGCACTACAGTACAGCCATACCGCACAGTGCTCATTTTGACTCCATGCAGTCAGGGGTGTGAGCGTTTTTGTGCTTCTAATAAGGGAGTGACACTTTCCCGCTTATTTTAGACTGAAACTTGCCAGACTGAGAACACAGCTACGCAAAGCAACTCTGCAAACAATATGTGTGTCAGCTGAGGTGGCTTACACCTACTGAGTGTAATCTAGGGCAGCCTCCTGCAAGCTAGCAGGAGTGTAATCTAGGGCAGCCTCCAAATGTTGGGTTTGGTGGGAGCTGTAATCCAAAACATCTGGAGGGCACCAGGTTGGGGAAGGATGCTGCGGAGTGTTCCCAGTTCCCAGAGAAGTAGCCATGTTAGTCAGTCCCAAAAACAATGCATCTTGCAGCTCTGTTAAAGAGGAACACAATTATTGTAGCAGAAACTATGTGGTGTATGAAGTGTTAAGGTAAAAAGGTAAAGGACCCCTGGACAGTTAAGTCCAGTCAAAGGCGACTATGGGGTTGTGGCGCTCATCTCACTTTCAGGCTAAGGGAGCCAGTGTTTGTCCACAGACAGCTTTCTGGGTCATGTGGCCAGCATGACTAAACCACTTCGGGTGCAACAGATCACCATGATGGAAGCCAGAGCTCATAGAAACACCATTTACCTTCCCGTCACAGCGGTACCTATTTATATACTTGCACTGGCATGCTTTCGAACTGCTAGGTTGGCAGGAGCTGGGACAGAGCAACCGGAGCTCACCCCGTTGCAGGAATTCAAACCACCGACCTTCCGATAGGCAAGTCTAAGAGGCTCAGAGGTTTAGACCACAGCCTCTCAGTTGGTAGCAGGTATATAAGACACATACACCCTTGAGTGTATTGTAGGGATAGCCAACATGCTCCCCTGCAGATGTTATCGGACTACAACTACCATAATCTCTGATCATTAGCTATGATGGCTGGGGCTGGTGGAAACTGGGAGTCCAGCAACATCTGGAGGGCTACAGGTTCCCCATCCTGGTGAAGAAAGAGAAAACGAAAAGCTTGAGGGCAGATGGTAGTTAAATGCAAGATCTACATACCATGGCCCTGTTTGTACCAAGAACATGCTAATTTCCTAAAGTCAGCATAAAAAGCTGCCTCTATAGAATTGGAAGGGACCCTGAGGGTTCTCTGTTCCAACCCCCTACAATGGAGGACGCTCAGCTTGATCAAACATGACAGATGGCCACCCAACGCCTGCTTTTAGAAGTCCAAGGAAGGAGAGCCCACCACCTTCTGAGGGCGTTCGTTCCACCGTCAAACAGTTCTTACCACCGGAAAGTTCTCCCTGATTATTTAATTGGAATCTCCTTTCTTGTAACTTGAAGCCATTGATTTGACTCCTAATCTCCAGAGCAGGAGAAAACCAGCTTGCTCCACCGCCCACGTGAAAGCCCTTTAGATATTTGAAGATGGCTATCATATCATAGGGATGCAGGTGGCGCTGTGGGTTAAACCACAGAGCCTAGGGCTTGACGATCAGAAGGTCGGTGGTTCAAATCCCCACAATGGGGTGAGCTCCCGCTGCTTGATCCCTGCTCCTGCCAACCTAGCAGTTCGAAAGCACATCAAAAGGGCAAGTAGATAAATAGGTACCACTCCGGTGGGAAGGTAAACGGCATTTCCGTGCGCTGCTCTGGGTTGCCGGAAGCGGCTTAGTCATGCTGGCCACATGACCCGGAAGCTGTACGCCAGCTCCCTTGGCCAATAAAGCGAGATGAGCGCTGCAACCCCAGAGTCGTCCATGACTGGACCTAATGGTCAGGGGTCCCTTTACCTATCATATATCTCAGACTCTTCTGCAGGCTAAACACACCCAACCCCCTCAACTGTTCTTCCTAAGGCTTGGTTTCCAGGTGATGCAGTGGTTAGAGGGTCAGGCCAGGACTAGGGAGACCCAGGTTCAAATCCCCCCTTGCCTGTGAAACTCAGGTGACTTAGGCCTAGGTGGCCTTACCTAGGTCTTTACCTTTAAGCCAAACCTACCTCACAGGGTTGTTGTGGAGGTAAAACAAGCCAGGCAGCAGTTTTATGCCGAGTTAGAATTTTAATCCTTCTAGCTCGGTAACGCCTGCCCTGGCTCACAGGGTTTCAGACAGGAGCCTCTCCCAGTCATACGTGGAGATGCCATGGAGCATTGAACCTGTGGCCTTCTGCATGCCAAGCAGAGTCACCACCCTTCTCCTGAGGAGGGAGCGGGGGAGAGAACTAAGTATATCAGCTTGAGCTCCTTGGAAGAAAAGCAATAGATGAATAAGTAAATAAATAAACTAAACTGACAAATTCCGGCATTTTCAAGGTCTGTGCTTAATCCAGGACTTCCCAAACTTGGCTCGACAGCTGCTTTTGGACTACAACTCCTATCATCTCCAGCATAGGAGCCAACTCCTAGAGGTCGAGGTCCCTTCGCCCCCCCCCCATTAATTTTTTTGAGCCCCTCTCCCCCGTTTATGGGCATTGCCATTCAAATGGTGTGTGTGCACTGCATCTTGTGATTGGTTATGCACACAGGAGCCAAGGGGCTGAGGGGGTCTTCTGCCTCCCCATAAAATATTTGAGGGGGGCGCCCCCCCAAGTTGATTGCCATTCAAATAGCGTGCGTGTGCTGCATCATGTGAATGATTATGCGGGACGGAGTTTACCTGCCCCCGCCCCCAATGTTTTATTCAAGTTGCACCCCTGATCCCTAGGTAGCAGGACCAGTGGTCAGGGATTCTGGCGAAGATATCTACGCAGCTCGCTGACTTCTTCGTGGGTCCGAATGAAAGGATCGCGTTAGGCTTTTTTCTTTCGCCTCCCCCGCCCCGCCCCCATTCTTCCTGGCTCCACCGGCAGCGACGGCGTCAAGCGGGCAAGCTGCCATCCACCAGTATCACCAGTTGCAGCGATATCCCAAATCGGCCCCAGCTCTCTACCTGCTTGGCGGGTGCCTTGCAACTTAAACGCCACTGCTTAGCCCCCGCCTCTGCGATCTGGAAGGGTTCAAAACAAGACGAAGCAAGAAGCCGTCGCTGGTGATCACAGTCGTCTTCCTCCAAACAAGAGCTGCAACCCCGGATCCCTTCCTCGCCTCTGGCGTCTCTAACCGCCACCTGTGCGCTCCGCCCGCTTGGCACCTGACGGGGCTCCTCCCTTTTCCCGGGGCGCCGCCCCCTGCCCTCCCCCACCTGCCGGACACGCCCCCACTCCAGTGGCTCCTCCCCCCTCCGGTTTCCCCGCCTCCCCCTCGCCCCAGCTCCCGGGCTCCGGCTCCTGCACCTGCTGCTGCTGCTTTCGCTTTTCTCCTCGCCGCGCGTCGGGCGCCTCCTCGGGGAACGGGCGCGATGGAGCCTCTGCCGCTGGCGCTGGGATTGGCTGCGTTGCTGGGTGAGTGAGATGGTCCGGCGGGAGGGATCGGACGGAGGGCGAGGAGAGCGCGGCTCTCCACCCGGGGCGACGGGGCCCGAGCCTTCGCCCAGCCCGTCGGCCGGGGTCTCCCCTGGGCGCCTCAGGTGCGCCTCCGGAGGCGCTTTCATTCCTCCGCCTGGACGCGCCCCGGCTTGCCCCGCGTCCCCATCTCCCTGGAGTTTCCGAAGTGGCCGCGATCCTTCCCGGCGAGTAAGCTCCGTCTAGCGCAGCTGGGGACGCACTTTTTTGAGGGTGTTGATGCGTTGGATCGTGAATAGGATTGTGCTGCGCGACCCCCTGCGCCAAGGAGGTGAAGAGTGCGGGCGGCGCAGCTTTCGCTCCGCTGCATTGAAAGGCGAATTTTTGCTCTCTGTCTAACCCCGGAGATGGCAGGGGGCTGCTCCGCTCGCTTACTGCGAATTAGTTGCCCTCCCTAAGAACCTGGCTAATCAGCGTGCAACTGGAGTAGGGTCTTTGGTCGGTTTAGTTTTTTCCTCTGCGATTGATGGAGGAAACTGGAGATCGTCTAATAATCCTCGTTAAGGATTGTCAGCAGCTGGGCAAGAACCCGGCGGTGTGAGTTCACTCCGGATTAACGCAGTAAAAACAGCTAGGCTGTAATCTTGGGCTTGGGTAGAGTTTGGATCGGAGAGAGGGCTCGCTTTAGGTGAGAATCTAGCAAGCTGACTCCTATGCGTGTTTACTTGGAGATAAATCCCACCCGTGCTGGACTTGTGCCCAGGCGCATGATTGTGACCTGAGGTCTGTATCTGCATAGATGCTTATGCTGGCATGTGGGTAGGTGGTACCAGAGTATGGTCTGATGGTACATGAGGCCACCACCTTGCTGAAGCTAAATGGGTCTGGCTCTGGTCAGTGCCTGGATGGGAGACAACATGTATGCTGCCCTATGGGCTGTGTGGTCGTAGTCAATTGCTGGGTGGTTCTGGCTAATTGCCATGTATGGGCAGTGAACGAATAGCTCTGTATGGTTCTAAAAACACCTGGAAGCCCCACTTCTTCCATAGATCCACTGCCAATGGCGAGAGCCAGCGTGGTGTAGCAGTTGTGCTTAGACGCTGGAGAGCAGGGCTTCCATTCCATGAAGCTCTCTGGGTGATTGTGGATCATGGCCACTCTCTCTGCCTAAGCTGCCCCTGCAGGGTTGTTGTGAGGACTCGGGGGGGGGGGGAATTTTGAGTTCTTGGAGAGAGGGTGGGTGAGCAACAAAATAAAATAAATAGGACACTTGTGTGTTTTGGTTCTGATTCCCACCCCCACCCCCAAAGGAAAATCTTAGAAATGATCTTCACAGGATAGTGGTGAGAGGAGTCAGGAAAGATGGTTAAATGCTCTACATGGGTCAGAGAAGACTGTTGCTGGACTCCAGCTGTTGTTAGACTACAACTCCCATCACCAGTTGGCATGTCGATTGATGAAAATTGGGAGTCCGACAACATCTGGAGAGAGCATCATATTAATCATCTAGGGTGCCACAGATGCCCTGTCTCTGCGCAGTGGGTGAGAGGTGCTTGATATCATTTGGATGTGAGCTGAGGTGCAAGTTAAACTCTCATCTAGAATGGAAGGTTTCTTTCCTCCCTCACCTCCCTCCCTTTCCTTTGCTGCCTGGTTACAATAAGCCTCTGCAGCTAATCTCTCCAGTCAAGTTCTGCTCCCCTACCGTTTTTCTTAATCCATCCCGAAGGAGAGGAACATTTGTTTACTTTAATCTCCCTACTGTATTTGCCAACCACCTTTTCCATAGTTCAAAGCGGCTCAGGCATTCTGAAATGCATCCATCGCATTGCCGAAACAATGTTAAGATTATACTCTTTAATCAAACACATGGAGATGTGGAATTACGCTCAACAGGCCAACGGAAACCTTAGTTAACAGAACCCGCTCTCTGGGAAAGGAGAGCCATGAGAAAACAGCCAATGCGAGTCACATTCCAGGTTACTGAGGAGTTAACAAATGTGTTGTAAACCATGATGCGCACTTGAATCTGGAGACAGCTTGTGGTTGTGCACTCTAAGCAGTTTGGTAGGACCTGTGTAGAATCTGTGATTATAAGTGACTTATTGACCTACTCTTAGGGAGAGGGGAGAAATTTGATTCGGTTTGCATTTAAAGGTGAATCTACCTAATTCACACTTTCTCTGGAGCAATCTGTCAGCTGCGACACAGCTACCCTTCAACATTTGCACTGCTCTGAATTTTGCAGTGCAGTTTTTCAGCCAAGTAATGGATACGAAAATGCATATACTAAAAGCGTGCATGGTAATGTCCATATTAGGGGAAAATAACATACAGAATGCATCATATTAGGGGAAATGGCTTGCAAAAAAATTTGTATTTCAGGCAAAATAGCATATGAAACGTGTATGTTAGGAGAAATTTGCACCAAAATGCTGATGAATTTTCATGAAAATCAATAGGTCAGTGTTTGTTGCAGTCAAAAACAAAATGATGATGTAGAAATGTGGAGAGTTAAATATAAGGTTGGGGAGAAAACATGAGGAACTGAAACTGGCAGATCCACACATCCTGCCCCCCCCCCCCCAGTTCCTTAGCAGTTTATTACCCATGCATCAGACTGTCTATTAATCATTTATGGATCCATCCTGAATGATACATTGGGGACAATTTAGGACAAATGGTCTTCAGGTTGTGAGATGTGCCTTCAGCTTGGGAATCCTCCCAGCATCATTGACATCTTTCATTTGCTTGAGAGGAGGAGAAGAGGAAGGCCAAACAGAGGAACAAGATGGGTGTATATGGATAAACGCTCCTCAACGTATAAAACCAGGATCAAAAGACCATCCAGCTTGGGATTTAAGCTGAAAAAGCACTCAATCACTTTTTCACCACTTGTTGCTTCCACACAGTCTGCACGTTTCCCTCATAATCCTGTTCTAGTAGCAGGCTGAGTGCGATATTCTACTTCTAAGAGCACTGATAGTGTGCAGTTGTAGTTATTTTGACTTGCTGTGCAGATTTTTGTTATTTCATGGAGCATCTTGGGGGTAGCTATTGGATGGTGTTGAGGTGGTAACTAGTGATAACATCTGTCTAATGATGGGAGGAAAGAGAAATTGAACACAGGAAACCAACTTGAATGCCCAATTGGTTTAAGTGAGAGCATTTGACTCATGGTGGTCACCAGAACTAGAAACGAAAACTATTGTTAGCGTGTCAGATTTTTCCTGGATAGTGATTTGGGGTGTGTGTGTGTGTGTGTGTGTGTGTGTGTAAATGACTAATTTAGATTCGTTAATGTCAATGGGCCTACTCAAGTAGAATCATGTTCTCTTATATGAAGACTGCAGCCACAGAGTTGAATCCAGTTGAAATTAGTGAACTTAAGTTAGTCAAGTCCATTAACTTCAATGGGTTGGCTCTGAGTACAACTAGCATTAGATACAATCCACAGATTTTTATTTGTTAGTACTGAAAATACAAGTATATAAAGCTGTCCTTTTTTCCTGTCTGTCTCTAGTGATAGCATATTTCAGTTTAGAACCCTATGCCAGTTTTTCTAGCTAACACATGCAGAGAGGTGGGATCACGTATACACATTGTATACACTGTATACACATTGACACTCAGTGTTCCCACAGTGATCTGTTCACATAGACTCTCAATGCTTCAGATGACCTTCCCCTCCACGATTTTGCCCAGTGCTCTCACCAAACTGCAGGAGGCAGTGGAAGACAGGAGTGCCTGGCATGCTCTGGTCCATGGGGTCACGAAGAGTCGGACACGACTAAACGACTAAACAACAACAACTTTTAAAGCCACCCAAATTGGAGCCCACTGCAGCCTCCTGGGGGAGCAAGTCCCATACAGTGGAACCTTGGGTTAAGAACTTAATTTGTTCCGGAGGTCCGTTCTTAATCTGAAACTGTTCTTAACCTGAAGCACCACTTTAGCTAATGAGGCCTCCTGCTGCTGCCACACCCCACCGCTGCGCAGTTTCTGTTCTCATCCTGAAGCAAAGTTCTTAACCCGAGACTATTTCTGGGTTAGTGGAGTGTGTAACCTGAAGCGTCTGTAACCCGAGGTACCACTGTAGTTTAACTGTGCACTGCATGAAGAAGATCTAAGCCTTGCTTTGTCTTGATACAGCTAGCTAGTTTCTATACATGCTCCGCTCTCTATCCTTCATCAAGACAAGCAGAAGACATTAATCAAACTGCAAGGGCACATTCCAGCCAAGGGAAAACAGTCATGGAGGGTACAAATGGGCCAGTGTGGGATGTGGGCTGAAGGGAGCTCCAAAGGTCCAAAAGAGAGGCTTGGAGGGTTGCTTTTTGCATCCCATGTGATTTGAGCCTATGCATCTAGATCACTGTGTAAACGTGGGTGTCAAACATACGCCAGGAGTTGAAGGTGCACACAACACGATCGCTCACTTTGCCTTCTATGCAGATAACAGATTAAGATGTCAGCACAGAGCTTTGAACGTTTGGGTCCTGGAGTCAGAAGAGGGCACACACTGTTATCACTGTTGGCTTTCTGTTGTTCTTATCCTCTGCCCTTTTCTGAACTACTCTCTTGTTTGTTTGTCTTGGTAGAACTTGGACCGGCAACTTCTCCTTCTTAGGGCAGCTGATAATCTGTCTGTATAACGTTGTATAAATGTCGGGGGCCTCTAGCAAACACTTCCGCAAATAATTTCTGGAAAAGGCCGTGAGAGTACTAATCCGTGGCGATATATTCCAGGGTCTAGTTCATGACTGCAATTGCACCAGACCTGAGTAGCCAGGAAAGAGGGGCACGAAATCACAGAGGCTTAAAAGAGAGCCGAGCGGACTGTATTCTGGGCACGTACATACACACATGATCTGTACCAGGGGAACTAAAAACTTTGCCATCAAAATAAATTGGGGGGAGATGAAAATTTATCAGTGTGTGATTGATCCATTGTTGTTCTTTTACGTTTTCTGTAAATTTTTATTTGGAGCAGTTTAGTGGCTTTGCAGAGTTGGGCTACTGTAAGGATAGCAGTGAAAATAGTGTGGGGAGATATGGCCCCAGCCCCCCTAAATCATCCTGAAACTGCACATTCCTCTCCCCAGAAAACGCCCCGTCACCACCCATACTTTGCTCCCCCCTTGAGAGTTTTTGCCTAGCTGGAATGTGTGTTTGAGTTCTGGCAATACTCTTTGCTTGCCTGGATGAGGGATAGAGTGGGGAATATGGGTAAAAAAGGTAAAGGACCCCGGACAGTGAAGTCCAGTCAAAGGCGACTATGAGGTTGTGGCGCTCATCTTGCTTTCAGGCAGAGGGAGCCGACGTTTGTCCACAGACAGCTTTCTAGGCCATGTGGCCAGCTTGACTTAACCGCTTCAGGTGTAACAAAACACCATGACAGAAACCAGAGCACACAGAAACGCCTTTAACCTTCCCGCCGCAGTGGTACCTATTTAACTACTTGCACTGGTGTGCTTTTGAACTGCTAGGTTGGCAGGACCTGGGACAGAGCAACAGGAGCTCACTCCATTGCATGGATTCGAAACACCAACCTTCCAATCAGCAAGCCCAAGAGGCTCAGTGGTTTAGACCACAGCTAGCCTAACGTAAAACTAATATTCATTGCTCTGGTCACTTTCACCTCTGGCCCTGGCTGCCACTGGAAAGTGGCCCCTGGAAAGTTCTTCAGGAGGGAATGTGGCCCACTGGCTGGAAAAAGGTTTCCCATCCCTACTATATGGGAATATGCTGTTGCTGTTAAGAATAGTATTTATTGGTGGCTTTAAAAAAGGGAAAGAAATGGAACTCAAAATGACCATTAAAAACAAGGATAAAACAACCTAAAATACAAAAGCGGCCAGATCCTAAGAATGCCTTACCATCTTAAGATCTGCTCTGGGATGATTTTGTGGGTAGATGGGAATAGATTGAAGTACCAGGCAGTTCACTGTAGAAATTAAGCCCAGCCTCTAATGTGTGGTGTGTATGTGTGTGTGTCCCTATTTGGAGAGGTTGACTTCCCAAGTCATCTCCCCTGGGACCCTTGCCCTTGCATGTTTCCTTTAAGTCTTATTATGCTTTCCTAACCCTCCCCCCACCCAGCCCTACGTGACATAGGACATTAGAAGCATGAGTTCTGTGAGTTTGTGGAACTGCCTCTACGTAAAGGAAGTGGCATTTGCCTGATAGCTTTAAAAGGAGATGGAAACGATGACTCTAAAACACAACATTGGGAACATTTTATTATTATTATTTTTAAAAAATGCATTCTCCCCAGGGAATGAGTTGGGTGGACCATGGCTTTTATTTCTGGCTCTGTTTTCCAGGATCTTGTTGTAACATTCTGAGCTGCACAGTGATGCAGAGAAAAATTACGTACTGACAAGGCAGGGATACAGGGATCCTGTTAATTAGATTCCCCTCTACCCTTCTTGAATGTAACAGGAAGGGAGCATTTTGCATTGAGCCATGTGATTCCAAACCTCTTCTTGTGATAAATAAATAAATAAATAAATAAATAAATAAATAAATTTTATTTGTATCCCGCTCTCCCCAGCCAAAGCCAGGCTCAGAGCGGCTAACATCATATAAATAAGACAATATGCATAATACAATATACAATATGCAAATAAAATAACATTCAACATTCATTAAAATATAGAATAATATTAAATATCAGCATTTCAAAATTAAACAGAAATCCACTCAACAGTTACAATAAGTAATTTCTAAACTCCAATCAACAGCAAACCACAGTGCACAACATAATGTCGTAAATCCAGGGTCCCCTCCAGACTTGTGTGAGGTTTTTTTTTGGTGGGTATTGGACTGTGCATACCTCATTCTGCTTTATTTCTGTGGTGCTTCCTCAATTTTTTTTGCATTATTGCTGTCTGGAGGGTCTGTCTTGTGCTGTAGCACAGCAACGGAAGTAGAAAAACCCCTGGTACATATGTGGATATAAAACATGACAGGTTTTCAAGAGGAAGCCCCAATAAATGCACTCATAGGAAACAAAGCAGTGTTTCTCCCCCCCCCCAAAAAAATTTCCAGGTTCTAACAGTACTGAAAGCAGGATTGTGTATAATTTTCCTAATATCATCCTGAACGCACATTATCAGGAATGCACAATAAAAAGGACAACAGGAGAGACTTAGGCTCTATACTTGATAGTGCAACTAACTTCAATATGAGTTCTGTTGCTTTAGGGAGACTTGTGTACACACCTAGCGTTGCAAAGTTAAAGGGTCCATAGCGGGCAGTTTGCAAGATGTGATACGATAATCTTTATTGTCATTATCCCATACAGAACAACGAAACTGAAAAATCTACATAAGACATTCAAAAACCAACAAGCCTGCTATCCCAGCTATCCCAACCTGGTTAGCCCCCTAAAAACTCTGATACCCCATTTTTAAATACAATATACTCCCATAGAGACTCCTTACACTGCGTTTAAAACCAAAATCGCATTTGGATAGAAACTGTTTCTCAGGTGGCTAGTCCTAGTCTTTATAACCCTGTACCTTCTTCCAGAAGGCAGAAGCTGAAAGAGATCATTTCTGGGGTGCGCACTATCCTGCACTATCTCTGCAGCTTTCTTATGGCACCTGGAAGCATAGATTTGATCCAAGGTGGGAAGAGTGCACCCAGTTATTCTCTCCGCAGTCTTTACAACCCTGGACAGCATTGTTGGCATCACCTTGGCCAAGATTGCAGAGGAAGCAGTAATTCCAATGCTCCCTTCCATGTCTTGCAGACAGCTCCCATAGCTACAGACATCACTTGTGTGAATTGGTCCCACTGAACTTGGTAGGCCTTACCTGTCTGTTCCCTCTGGGCTGTGTAAGCCCAGTGGCTTCTGGGCAATGAACCAACATTCACCTGCAGGCAACTGCTTCCACTTGGTGTGCAATTGGTAGCTGGAAGTGAGGTCTTTTAGCCCTACCTGATGCTAAGCTACCAAATGATATGCTACTAGGACCTGGGAAATAGCAAGACTGCTGCCAGGGGTGGACTACCTGTGGCCCTCCAGATTTTGTTTGTCTCCCACCAGCCAGCATGGCCAATGGTCAGGGATGATGGAAGTTGTAGTTAGCAACCTCGGGCGGGCCACAGGTTCCTCTAGTTATTTGCAGGATTCTTTGGAAATTTTCACCCCAAACTACTTCACTGCCACAAGTAAAAAAAGTTTCTCATCCCATAGAAGCAGCCTCCTGCCTACAGGATTCTGGTCTTTCAGCTGTTTCTCCCAAATTGTCTGTCTTGAATCTTGCAGTGGGTCCTTAAGAAACATCACTAATCACTCTCCCTTTCACCTAGGGTGCAAACAGCTGTCTTAAGATGCCCTGCAGTTCTTGCTGACATTGCCCTTGATGGATTTCATTTAAATGTCTGAATTCTGTAGCACCTCACAGATCTTTCCTCTTGGTTTGCTTTGGAATCTGTTGTCATCGATGGCTGCTGGCCACAATGGCTATGTCCCACCTCCATGAGAGGTATTGTGCATTTGAATACCAGTTTCTGGGAATCGTAGGTGGGCAGAGTGCTGTTGTGTTCATGTCCAGCTGAACCAGGTGGTCATTGGCCTGATCCAGCAGGCTGGTTTGCCTTACGCTTTTCAGTGTTCATAACATGCCCATAGTTGGTTGATTTGATAAGCTTTTAGTTTCCCCTTTGTTTAATCAACTTTGGCCAGCCTGATGTCTGGGAAAATTTCCAGTGTTGCTCACACATAAATTTTCACCGGAAGGAAGCGAGGTCATAATCATCTTAGCCATCTGTAAAAAGGGAGCAAAAAAAGAGGTTTGCTATTGGGCTACTAGCAACTGCTTTGAAGGGAGGTGCCAGACATCTGTGGCAGAGCATTTCATTTGCATGCAGAAGGGCTTGGGTTCAATCTCTGGCATTTTCCAGTTACAGTGGTACCTCTGGTTAAGAACTTAATTCGTTCTGGAGGTCCGTTCTTAACCTGAAACTGTTCTTAACCTAAAGCACCACTTTAGCTAATGGGGCCTCCCACTGCCGCTGTGCCGCCACCACATGATTTCTGATCTCCTCCTGAAGCAAAGTTCTTAACCCAAGGTACTATTTCTGGGTTAGCGGAGTCTGTAACCTGAAGCGTATGTAACCTGAAGCGAATGTAACCCGAGGTACCACTGTACAGAGATGAGGAAACTTTGGCCCTCCAAATGTATGGTGGTATCTCTGGTTGCGAATGGGATCTGTTCTGGAGGCCCGTTCACAACCTGAAAGGAACGCAACCCGCGTCTGCGCGTCTGTGCATGTTGCGATTCACCACTTCTGCGCATGCACGTGACGTCATTTTGCGCGCCTGCGCATGCATGAGCAGCAAAATCCGGAAGTAACCCTTTCTGGTACTTCTGGGTCACCGCGAGACGCAACCTGAAAACGCTCAACCTAAAGCAAACGTAACACGAGGTATGACTGTAGTCCCTTCAGCCCCTGTCTGCGCTGCCAGTCATAAGGCATGATGGGAGTTGTAGGCCAAGAATATCTGGAGGGATGTAGGTTCTCCATCTCTGAGGTAGCAGGTGAGAGGCAAAGCTGCTCTTCCTGCATAGGGAATACTGAGCCAGATGGACAAATAGTCTGATTTGCTATAATGCTGCTTTCTAGACACATGTGCCTGTCCAGTTAGTTTATGTATGTGAAATGGGGGATGGGGGAGCATCTTCTTTTCTTCAAAATGTCTTGCACTCACCTTGACCTTGGGGATTTGTCTTGGAGCCCACCTAAGACCTTGGCTATCAGTCCAGGCACCTGCTGCTCTTCAAGGGATATCAGCTGAGTTAAAAAAAAACCCAACCCTTTCAAACCTCTAAGTGTTTTGTGATCTAAATTACCTCTGAAAGACAACTCACTATTGCTGATTAAATTGGTCCCCCCATGAAACAAAATCAGAACGGTAAGAGTTAAAAAGCAGTCAGCTAGCTGCTAAGCATTACAGAGTAGCCAATTCTCCCCCCTCCCGAATTTTTATTCTCTTGAGTCTTAAAGTTCCTCCTGCCCTGGGGTCGTGAGAAATGCAACAAGGGACTTTCTCAACAAGCGTTGTGCTTAAGGCCAACTCATATCTGTTAATTTTATAAATAGTTCCTGCTCGCAAACAAACTTTTTTCTCCCCCTTGCAACTTTGAATTGGGAATGAGATACTCCCATTCCTACTAGGAAAAGGTCCAATTACGAGCACATTTGCACCATACAATTAGAGCACATGGTTTCTGCCAAAGCATTCTGGGAACTGTAGTTTAGGAGTGCGGGGAACTGTAGCTCTGGGAGGAGTAAACTGCGGTACCCAGGATTCTTTGAGGGAAGTCATATGCTTTAAATATGTGGTATGTGGCCACAGAGAAACAAAGAACGGTAACCTTCAGTCTTCTGTTTTGGGGGGTTTCCCCCCTTCCCTCTGTCTACTCTTCCATAGTGAAACTTGCCATCTGGGCACCTTCACAAACCAGCAAGGGTCCATCAAACTAATACTGAGACAGAGGGAAGAGTGCTGGTCTCTTGGTTTAATTTCTGTCTCGATTTCACATCGCGTAATCATCTTAATCTTATAGACCCAGGTCATCAAATGAAATCCGCCTTCATCCTTTAATTCCCAAATGTTTAATAGCTTATAGGGGAGGAATCTCTGATTGGAGGACTGTGGTCGGGAATTATGGATGGGTCTCTGAAATGCCCAAAGTCTCCCTTCTCTCTGATTTGTGGTTCAGGTTTTCACTTGGCTCTTTTGAAAGCAAATTTTGGATTTATTTATTTTTTAAGAGACCCAGCAATCAGGAACAGTGATTTTTAAAGTCTGGAATAGTGTGGCTCCCTGCTAATTGGGCGTTTCTCATCTTTCCCACCAGTTACCTTTTGTTCTCTTTTTTCATCATTCAGGATTTGTTTTGAAAAACTAGAGGGGTGGTGATGAACAGGTTTCTTCCCATTCACGTATACAGCAGAGTATGGGCTCCTCCACACAACCCTGTTTATTGAGTGTTCATCTTGATTTGCTTGCAGAAAGCTTACATGGAGGCTAGATTGTGTCTTTATTGAGTGTTTGTTCTGATTTGTTTGTGGGGAGGCTATACAATGAGCATTCACCCCAGCTTACTTACGCAGTGGTTTTTCACCCCACGATTTTCTATGCATTTCCCTGTCACTTTCCAAACAGCAAAAAGTCCATTTTTGAAATGTGGATTTCTTTTGCTTTATCTTTAATCCACTTTAATTGCGCAAACTTAAATTTCCCAGTGATGCGCTTGAATCATTCCCACAAAGTAGTGTCATCCTGGTGACACCTTGAGAAAATTAGATCTTTTGAAGTCTGTCTTATATTGCACTCCACTTCCCCTGTTTTCCTGTTCCCTTACTTTTGTTGTTGTTTAGTCGTTCAGTCGTGTCCGACTCTTCGTGACCCCATGGGCCAGAGCACACCAGGCGCTTCTGTCTTCCCCTAAACAAGGGAGCATCCTACTGTAGATCAAAATGATGCAAGGAAATCGGATCCTGCCAAATGTTGCAATGGATCGTACTGGAAGACACAAGAACTGCCCACCCGAGAAGAATGGCAGATGAAAGTGATGGACTATATGGAACTGGCTGAGATGACCGGCAGAATTCGAGACCAGGGAGAAGGGTCGATGGAAGAAGATTGGAAAAAATTCAAAATATACCTTCAAAAATATTGTAATATAAAAGACTGTTAGAAAGAGGTTGGAAAATGAAAATTAGGTCGTTTTGGTAGATATGATATAAAGGATTAAGTAAAATGAGTTGATGAAATTGACGAAACAGAGGAGGTTTAATTACATTATTTTAAATTAAAATACGTAAATGAAAATAAGGTTAGAAGGACTTGCTGGAAATACGATCTGAACTAGAATACAAAACTGGGAGGTGAGAGGAGGTCATGGACATAAGTAAAGGGAAAAGGCTATGTAAAGGTTTAATTTGTTTTTGTTTCATTTTAACTTAATGCATTTTTATACTTTTGTTAAGTCTTCTTTTTTTATTCTATTTTATTGTTCACTTTTATCTTTTTACTTTTCGCTTTGTTAAGGTTAAATTTTTCTTTGTATTTTGTATGGTTTTTCTTTCTCTTTTTTGTAACTTTAAATTTGGAATAAATATCATTTAAAAAAAAAACAAATGTTGCAATGGATCAATGTTAAGTTTTTTGTTTTTAAATTTTATTTTAGTATTGTTTTTTTATTTTGAATTACATGGCGGGGAGCACACAATAATCTTTTCAGTGCTTAGGCCCTCCAAAGGTCTTCATCTGACCCTGGCTGCAGCATCTGCCTTGTGTGCAGAAGGTCTCAGCTTCAATCCCCAGCACCTCTAGATAGAGCTGGAAATGGGTGGGAATGTAGAGAAGTTAAAATTTTTTGGAAATGATATATAATGAACTGAAGAAAATGTTTAAAATGACATTTGTTAAAAAAAAACACCCAGAATCATTTCTGTTAGGGATTGTAGGACAAGACCTGCCAAGGAAAAGAAAGTATTTATTTATGTATGCAACAACAGCGGCAAGAGTCTTGATAGCACAAGGATGGAAGAATGAGGAAACCCTGACAAAAGAACAGTGGCAAGAGAAATTGGTGAACTATGCTGAACTGGCTAAATTGACATACAAACTGTGAGATAAGGACAACTGTGACTTTAAACAAGAATGGGAACTTTTCACAAATTACTTAAAAAGACAACAAAATGAATTGGACTCCTTGGCAGGTTTTGAATAAACATACACAAATTTATTGATTGATAACATGGCAGACAGATAATGTAAGGATTTGTATAATTTTATAACATGCAGAGAATAATATGTGTTGAGAAATCAGAGAGAGGAGCTGAGGGAAGTCTCTGGGGTGGGGAGGGAGGGTTTGAGGGGGGTGGGGGAAAATAATGAATATGATATGTTTTGATATGTTGTTATATTGAAACTGCTAATAAAAATATTTTAAAAATAAATAAATAGATAGAGCTGGAAATGTGGCCAGTCTGAAACTCAGGAGAACGCCAGTCGCTGGGTACAAAGGATGATGATCTAGATAATGGACCAGTGTCCTCACTCAATATAAGACTGTTTCGTATGTTTTTGGATCACCCTTCTGGGAAGTGCATTCCACACCCTGTGTGCTCCTTTTACTGTCCTGCACCCCCAATTTCATCATCATCTTTATCATTTATTATTTCTACCCTGTCTGTCTGTCTGGGTTTCCCCAGCCACTCTGGGTGGCTCCCAACAGAATATTAAAAACACAATAACACATCAAACATTGAAAATGTCCCTAAACAGGGCTGCCTTCAGATGTCTTTTAAAAGTCAGATAGTTGTTCATTTCCTTAACATCTGATGGGAGGGTGTTCCACAGGGCGGGCACCACTACCGAGAAGGCCCTCTGCCTGGTTCCTTGTAACCTCACTTCTCACAGGGAGGGAACCACCAGAAGGCCCTCGGAGCTGGACCTCAGTGTCCAGGCAGAATGATGGGGGTGGAGACGCTCCTTCAGGTACACTGGGCCTGATTCATAAGTGATTTGATTTGTGATTGACGGCACCCTTGCAACTGGTTCTGTATCAGATTAATCCTCAGCTGGGATTGACGTGCATGAGACAATACTTGGAAGAAGCTGAAGGAAATGAAAGCATAAGCGAGGTGACTTTATGGCAAGGAGTTTCCTTGCCTGTGGGAAGGCCACCTGCCGTAGCCTTAGGGCTCTTGCTGCTGAGTCGGCATTTAAAGATTTCCCTTTGTCTTCTTTTTTTCCTTCTTTTTGCTGATGATGTACTTTGCCAAAACTGTTGTTTCCCCTTTAGAAGTGCCCTTGTATCCTCCTTGGTTCTGAAAGGAGAACAGGAGATCCCAAAAGTTTTTAGGTGAGTGGGTGCTCTCAGTAGATGCCTCTTTCTGGGCCTCTCTAACTTGGCACCAGCAATCTGATTGGCAGATGAGCACAAAAATCTGTATTCGTTTTATGAGGGTTTTTCTTTAAATGGTGCTTTCCTAATTACAATATTCCCAATGGCAGCCAAAACCCAAGACGGCCAAACTGCAATCCCAAAACAGTTTAAGAACAAGGCAGTATCAAATAAAATCAGATTCAATAAATAGGGAAAGGAAAGAAATCAGATCCAATAAAAAGAAAGAAGAAAGAAAGAAAGAAAGAAAGAAAGAAAGAAAGAAAGAAAGAAAGAAGAGTTGTAACAGACTCCAGAAGCAGTGTTAGTTAGGCAATATTAGACTTCTGGACTTAATGTTCTTATGGTCACCCACACCCACTTAAGAACGTAATAAGTAAGTAAGTAAGTAAGTAAGTAAGTGGTTTCCCCAGCCACTTTGGACGTCTTCCAGAAAAATATAAAAGTATAACAAAACACCAAACATTAAAAACCTTTAATACATTAAATACAGGGCTGCCTTCAGATGTCTTCTAAAAGTTCTGTAGTTCTTTATCTCCTTGACATCTGATGGGAGGGCATTCCACAGGGCAGGCACCACTACTGAGAAGGCCTTCTGCCTGGTTCCCTGTAACTTCACTTTGTGATCTGCATTTTTAAAATCTATTAAAAATAGCATTGTGCACTTTCTTCAAAATATGCATTCTGATGCATTTTTTTTCATCTGAGAACACCATCACAAAATTGGGAGAAGAACAAATTCTGAGGGCTAACTGTCTTCTGATCTACATACCCAGTCCAGGAGATTTGGATCTTGTTGGGGCATATCAGAATTCATTAGGATCTAAGTCTTGAGCATCCCTACATGGGTGTTCCATGACTGGAACTCTTTGCGGCTCCCCCCACCCACCTACCCCCCTCCCACCCTGCATTGTGGAACTTCCACAATGACATCTTTTATTTTATTTATTAGATTTGGCAGTTGCTGTATCTTGCCCAGGGCAACGCAAAGCGACTTGCTACCGAACAGATATATAGATAAAAAGCACCATATGGATACATCAAAACCAAGAGGAAAGAAAACTACATTGAAAAACATCCCACCCACTTCTAAAAAGGCCACGGGTAGTTAATTTTCTTTCTTTCTTTTTTGCACTTAATTTATTTATTATTAATGTTGCAACACATATATGAAATCTTTACATATTGATACATATACATTATATTCGTAAATTCACATTTTCACATTTCATTATGTACCAACATTTATCCATTTCTTATTTCTTGCCCTGTGCCTTCCCTCCACCCGTGCGTGACTTCCTTTTTATTATTTTGTACCTTTCTTATTGAGATTGTAATTTTGTATCTTAATAATTAAACATTCAATCTTATATATCTGCTTTGCTTAGCTTAGCTTAACTTAACTTTGTGAAATCAGTTTATACATATCAATAAATTCTTGTTGGAGCATCTTTTGGTCATGTATTCTTCTACACATTTCCATTCCTGTTTTAAATGCCAAAGGATGGCTACAGAGGAATTTTATTTTTTTTTGTCTGGAGCCTAAAGATATCTAATGACGGTGCCAGGCGAGCTCCCCTCAGGAGAGCATTCCACAAACAGGGAGCCACTGCAGAAAAAACCACTGTATAGTTTGGCCTTTAATTTTAAAAAGAAACCGGACTTGTGAACCCCTGCCTTACGTGACAGCAGAAGAAAAAGGGGGGAAGTCTTTTAAAGAAATCAGCCTAGGTTTTAGAATTAGCAGGGCAGCAGGGAGCCAGCATGGTCTATCTTGAGCAGCTTAGGGGTCGCCCTGATAAAGCAATGTCAGTTGGCTGTTCCAAAAGGCTCTTTCCCCGTCTGCTTCCTTCTCATGGAGGATCAAGCATCCATCTGGGCTTGACCTAAGTCACTCGAAACGACACAGTGTGGAGATCAGGGTGGTCAACCGGGGCTAATGCAAGGCTAATGTGTTCTTACCGTGTCGGGCAAGAAGCGGTGTCGGGACAGCAACCTGTTTCCGGAGAGCAGCTGGTCTGTATCACAGGAACCTACAGAAAGAAAGGAAAGAAAGATTGAAATAGGAGCCAATTGCTATGGGGCTTTGATCCCGCCATGCATTCCTTGTTATTGTGCTGAGCCTTGTGCAAATACTCTGAGTGTGGAAGTGGGTGTTTTTTTCCGGGGTGTGTGTGTTGTTGTTTAAACACATGTTTTTTTAAAAAAACTTCTTAATACTTTAAAAACTCTGAAATAAGAATGCACATGTTATATTTGGCTTTGGAGATGCACTTCAACTGTTCAGCAGATCCTGTCCTCAATGCTTATCTCTGCATCCTTGTATGCAGTTTATCTCATGTACCATTTTCCCATCAAATAGGTGAGCCATATTGAGTGTCAAATAATAAATTTTTATTTATACCCCGCCCATCTGGCTGGGCCTCCCCAGCCACTCTAGGCGGCTCCCAACAGAATATTAAAAACGCAATAAAACATCAAACATTAAAAACTTCCCTAAACTGGATTGCCTTATGTCTTCTAAAAGTCAGATAATTGTTTATTTCCTTGACACCTGAGGGAAGGGTGTTCCACAGGGCGGGCGCCACTACCAATAAGGCCCTCTGCCTGGTTCCCTGTAACTTCGCTACTTGCAGTGAGGGAACCGCCAGAAGGCCCTTGGCGCTGGACCTCAGTGTCTGGGTTGAATGTTGTGGGTGGAGACGCTCCTTCAAGTATACTGGGCCAAGACCATTTAGGGATTTAAAGGTCAGCACCATGTTGTGTGTCAAAGGCAGGCAGCTAACAATTGTGATCCTGAACTCAAAGAGAGGCTCGTCTTGTTTTAAATGAAATAACCCTCTGCACAAAGAGACACAGAGGAAAAGGGAAAACAGGTGCAGATGTAGCCCAGCTGATAAGATCCTTCTGTCTGAGCCAGGTGCTTAAAGCCCACACATCTGGAAAAGGCTGCACTGTTCTCCAGGACGACAAATACTCTGGCTTCCGGCCAGCAGTTTTCTCAGAACCAGTAGGAAAGGAGGAATTTCTCTTTAAGCCTATGCATCAGGTTTTTATGTATTATAGTTTAATTGGTGGACACCCTTGAAACTCCCTTATTCTCATACCATTCATTTCTGCTTGTCTTTCCCTGCCCTTACAATTTGCTGAAACCACTCATCCATCTGCAGCATTTGCTCTGCAACAGCCTGTCTTGCGTTGTCTTTAAAAGCCAATGTGAGTGTTCTTTGGGTTTAAAGATATGCTAGAAAAACACAACTATCCTACTATCTGTTATCAGATAATGTTCTTTGAACCCCTGAAGAGTTATCATACAGGAGAAGTCCAAGACTCGTTCTCTGCCACCCAGAGTGCAGGACTACAATTCAGCGGTGGCCGGTGCCCCCTGAGCCTGGCAAGACAGAAGGGGCAGGGAAACCCAATAGTAAGCAGAGCTAGAGCCAATGAACAGGCAGAGCCAATGGATTCTAGTTTTCTCACCATCCTCTTCCCAGCTGAGTTCTATAAGGGCAAACGTGAGACTAAGGAGAAGGAAGCTGATAAACAGAGGCATTCCCTGGGCGAGTTGTAAGTTGGCAGAGGGGCTTTCTTGTAGGTAGACTGAGATGGATGGGGCAATGCCCCATTGGCCCTAATGGACCAGCCACCACTCACCTAAATAAGTTAAGGGGTGGTAGCTTTCAGCTGACATTCAGGTAGCAGTAGTTGGGACTTAGAGAGGTGGTGGAGTCTTCTGAAGTGGAGGTCTTCAAAGAGGCTGGGCGACCCTCTGTTGGGGAGGCTGTAGCTCCAGACTGTCTCCATGCAAGGTCCTCTCTGACTCTGTGCTTTGTTGTTGGAGCCAGTGTGGTGTAGTGGTTAAGAGCGGTAGACTCGTAATCTGGTGAATCGGGTTCGCTTCCCCGCTCCTCCACATGCAGCTGCTGGGTGACCTTGGGCTAGTCACACTTCTCTGAAGTCTCTCAGCCTCACTCACCTCACGGAGTGTTTGTTGTGGGGGAGGAAGGGAAAGGAGAATGTTAGCTGCTTTGAGACTCCTTAGGGTAGTGATAAAGTGGTATATCAAATCCAAACTCTTCTTCTCTTCTTCAGCAGTTCAAAATGGAGGCACACCAGCACATGAAAAGGCAGTCTGCTTAATACAGGGCACCTTTAATATCCTTGCATGTGTTCATTTCTCTCCTTTTCTCCAGGGAACTCAGGGTGGCATTCCTCTTTTTCTCACCCTACTCACTTTATCCTCCAAACGACCCTGCGAAGTAGATCTGGCTGAACTGTAATGACTTTCTGTGAGGATCCTGGCTGAGCAGCAATGTAATGGCAAATTCAGAAATGCAGGGCTCCTTCATGATAGTTAGGCATGTCTCTTCTAAGATTAGACGATCCTCTGAGATTATACAACTGTAAAACAGTAATAATAATTAGGGGTCCATGGCAGCATTCTAGGCAAATCTCCATGTGTTGCCTTTCCGCTAGATCTATTATTATCTGGGCACATACATGGGAAATATATCTTCTTTGTGAGTGACTTAAGTTGTGTTTTCTGTGGAGTTCTCTTGTGCATAACAGAACTTAAACACCATTCTCCTGAAACAGAAGCACCTTGTGCTTTCAGTGTTCCTAAATGCTCAGCTTTGGAGCATACAGCGGCTTAAAAAGCTCCCTTTTCATGTTGATTGTGGAGCTCCATGATGCTGGAAAGAGGGACTCGGCAGAGGCCCTGCTGCAGAAATTTCTAAAAGGTAAAGGACCCCTGGACAATTAAGTCCACTCAAAGACGACTATGGGGTTGTGGCGCTCATCTTGCTTTCAGGTCGAGGGTTTTGCAGAGTTGGGAAAGGTTCAGAATGGTTGTTCATCATGGTTGTTCATCATCCCTATGGTCATATATGATTTACTTGGCACAGCCGGGCTGCATGTGGTGGTTCTTTCTTTCTTTCTTTCCATTTAATCTTTATTGATTTTTTTTGTTATACATCACAATTATAATTCTCCATCAAAATATACATAAGAAGCAAAGAATACTTAAATGTTGAAAATGAAATACAATTACGTAATAAAGTATTAAGACTTCCCTCCACCCGAACGTGGGTCCTCTACAATTCTGTATGAACTGCCTATTTTAATAACATCTAGTTCATATTTATCCAATATGTCCATAAGCTAAGTCACCTTGCAGGAGTCATTCAAGTCCTGCCAAAGATTTCAGATGTTTACTATGATCTTTGAGGTATTGTCTGTATTTATCCCATTCTGTGTTAAATTTTTGGTCATTGTGATTCCCTACTTTCCCCATTAGTCTAGCCAGTTCCGCGTACTCAAATAATCTTATCTGCCATTCTATTTTTGTCTGTATATTGTCTCCTTTCCAGCATTGGGCTAATAACATGGTTGCATAAATAAATAATGTCCTCAGGTCTTTTGATATATCTGCTCCACATGTGGTACTTCTAAATTGATTCATAAACCGTGGTCAGAAAGAAAGCTGTTTGTAATCATTATCCCGCCCCCAGTCACTGTGGGAATGTTCAGGGAGGCAGGAGAGGGTATATTGTTTAATAATATCCTTCCTAAATTCCATTAGCAAGTTCTATATCTTAGCAGAGTTTAAACATATCCCTTTAAACGCACAGCGGATCTGATTGTTGCAGGCTCGTCTGAGCCTCTCTAAATAAGATCCCTTCTTGTCCCTCTTAAAAAGAATAGACACAACAATCTTATTAAAGTCTATATAAAAGTAATTTACTCACATTCATTCAGTTCACAGTTGGATCCCTGAAGGCAGACTTAGGTTACAAAAGTATATATACATGTGGAACTCTCCCATAAGGGAGTTAGTCCGCTAACAGGTAGAAAAACAAAATGGAGAAGATGGAGCAAAAGAAGAACGTGTGCTCCCCTACCCAGATCAGGCCACACCCACATCTAGTCACATGCAGAGGAAGTTTGTCCCAGCTCAGGAGGAAACAGGAAGTTTTCTCCTGGCTGGTACAAAGCATCCCCTAGCATGTCCATTCTAGGAATGTTGTACAGGTACTTGACTGCAGTGTGTTTCACATCCCACATTTACAACACACCAGTGCCAAAATGACTTCAAAGATAAATTTGACTTTTAATCTAAGCCCTGACAATGAATCAGCCAAGCTACGCTTACACGGGAGTCTGCACCAGTGAAATGATTTGGCGTTTCTTCCGAGTAAGCACCAGAAGGAGAGCTGGCAGTTAGGCTTCCAGCGGACTGAATTGCATGTGTTAATTAAACGTGCTCTCTAAACCCTGGAATTGTCAGAGCCAGGGCTAGTTCCTAATGCTTGAAACCTAAGCTTCTTAGGGTGGAATTCAAAGGAGCGTTAAGGAAATATCTCCGTCCGTACAAGCGTTTCTGCTTGCCTGATGGAACGATCCCTCCTCTCTTCACCCCAAACACTATCCTGGGGGTCCTCCCACAAACACCTAGCTTACTGATGGAGCATGTGGGGGAGGAGAGGGGGGAAGCCCCATTACACTAGAGGGCATATTGCACTGGCTTTTGCTAGCACAACCATTTAGTTTAATTCTGGCTCTTAAAAGTTCACTGAGCCTTGGATGCTGAAGCAGAACGGTGCTTTCTGCCTTGCAGATCTTAGCGTTCGAGGGTTTAGAGGAGCCTTTCGCAACCTGTGGGTCCCCAGATGTTGTTGAACTACAACTCCCATCACCCCTAGCTGGCAAGGCCAAAGCTCAGGGATGATGGGAGCTGTAGTCCAACAACATCTGGGGACCCACAGGTTGAGAACTGCTGGTTTAGAGCATGGGTTAGCAAATTAAGGCCCGGGGGCCGGCCCCAGCCCAATCGCCTTCTAAATCTGGCCGACGGATGGTCCAAGAATCAGCATGTTTTCACATGAGTAGAATGTGTCCTTTTATTTAAAATGCATCTCTGGGTTATTTGTGGGGCCTGCCTGTGTTTTTACATGAGTAGAATGTGTGTGTGTGTGTTGTTTTTTTAAATGCATCTCTGGGTTATTTGTGAGGCATAGCAATTCGCTCACCCCCCCCCCCAATATAGTCCAGCTCCCTACAAGGTCTGAGGGACAGTGGACCGCCCCCCTGCTGAAAACATTTGCTGACCCTTGGTTTAGAGATGCTATGAATGAGAATTGTGTCTGGCAGAGGCAGCTTCTGGTCAAAGAGTGCCTGGGGCCAGCTAGAGGGATGCCCTGTGTGTGTCAGACGATCAGATCAAACCCTTGTGCCAGCTTGACCTTCACTGGTGAAGAAGGCCCTGTTCGGAATCAGCCTGATGACTTGGCAGGTGATGTCTCTTGTATGGAGGAGTGGAATCTCCCTGCTTCACTCAGTTGCTGGGGTACCTCTTTGCTAGGGTGGCCATTAGTTCATTGAAAAAAGAGGGGAGGTAGAGATGGGTCACCATCTTTGCAAAGATTTGCACATGCCAATCTATGCGTAGAGATGCAAAAAGTTGGAACAATGAGTATAATTTAAATAGAAATACAATAAATCTTGCCATAGTAGGGAAGACTGTGACCAGACGGCCAGTGCGCCTTCGCAGTCTTCTGTCTGGATGTTAATTGTTAATGGGCAACTTCAAGGTCCTTGGTCTCCATCTTATGGTCAGGAACCTAGAAAGCTGCCTTATGCTTTCTAGGTTCCTAACCCACTGATCCATCTAGCTTCTTGTTGCCTACACTAACTGGCAGTGGCTCTCCAGGGAGTCTCTCCCAGCCTTACCTGGAGATACCAGGGATCTTCTGCATGCACCTCACATCCTCTACCACTGAGCTATGGTGCCTCTGTCCCACAGTGGTCCTAAACTGCTCGGCCAATCAGCTTTCTGGAGAACTGGTGAATGCGTTGAGACACCTGTATCTGCCGAGCCAAGTTACGAGCATGTTTACGGACTGTTTGCTGCCACATATTTCTATCAACAAGCATAAGAAATTACATGTAAGAAGTGGTGTGGAGCTGTACGCCCCACATTCCTCTTTTCCCTTCCGCTTTGTATGATTTCCCATCTGATAATTCAGGATTAAATCTAACCAGCTCCACATTCCCTTTGCTCCAGCCCCCTAACTTTCAAAAGCAGTGATGCAAACTGTGCCTTTGCCCTGAAGTCTCTCTTGCGTCTCTCTCTCTCCCCCCCACCTCTTCCTTTCACTGAACAGCTCTGTCTCTGGTTATCGCCCCCCCCCCCCCGGAATATCTTAATTTGGATTAATCTCTGCGGAGAGCCTCTATTCATTGATGCTTTATTTTGTGTCCTTGTTTTCAATTCCCTTTGTCTGTGGATTACAGGCTGGCCTGTGCTAGCACCTTAACTGATGAATAGTGGGGCTTTCAAGGGGGCTTAGTGTAGCCTTCTGGAGTCTTATGCACTGTAACTAGCTCCTTTTTTTTAAAGCGACCTTGAGCTGAGTCACAACACTCATTCAGATGAGCAGAATTGCCTTAAGGCAACCTTAGATGACCCACAGAGCTTTCATATGGAATAACTATAGTCTCCCCCTGGCTTGATCACTGAGTCTGGCTGTACAGGATGCAGATAATCCCATCTGCGTTCTGTGTAGACGGGATTATCCTGGCTCCCACTTCACATTTACTGAAGCCGGCATCCTTAGTGGACAAAATGGAAAAGTATAGATGTCAGTGAACTCCAGCTTCCATCAGCCCCAGCTAGCATGGGAGAAAGAGAGGATGCTGTTAAACTCAGGTCCTGCCGAGGGGCTTCCCATAGGCATCTGACTGAGGACTGTAAGATCATGATGCTGGACCAGATGTGATTTTCGTCTGATCCAGCAGGGCTATTCCTATGTTCTTATGACAGAAGTTCAGTGGCAAGACAAAGAGAGTCTTTGTTATAGCTCAGGCATAGGCAAATTCCAGCCCTCCAGATGTTTGGGACTACAATTCCCATCATCCCTAGTTAACAGGACCAGTGGTCAGGGATGATGGGAATTGAAGTCCCAAACATCTGGAGGGCCAGAGTTTGCCTAATGCCTATGCCTGTTATAGCTCATGGTTTGGAGCAAGTGGAATTGCAAAGCCAGGTTCAGCCATAAAGCTAAGCCAAACCGTGGCTTGGCTCTAGGTAGCGCTCTGAGAGGGGCAACATGGCTACAATGTTTACTGGGACATGCTCACAAATTCACATTTAGCCATGGTTATGTTCAGTGTTATGTACAAACTTTTGTTTATTTTTAATTTTATTTATGATTTTCAGGTTTATATATTTCACTAATTTTACAACCATTTTAACATTTCAAAACTTGACTTGCTTCCCCCTCTTTCTATGGTTCCTTAAAATTATTTTTAATATTTTCTGCATATCCAAATTAACTTAATTTGCTCATTTATTCATCTACTTTTAATATAGACTCTTATAAAACTGCAGGTTATTACAATAATCCTGCCAGTGTTGTTATCTGTTTACAATTTATCTGTAAATATCCAATAAACCATTTCCATTCTTTTATAAAAAGTTTGTTATCTTGATTTCTTATTCTTCCGGTACATTTTGCCATTTCTGCATATTCCATAAGTTTTTGTATCCATTCTTCCTTTGCTGGGGCTTCTGCTTCTTTCCATATGGGGGCAAGTAAAATTCTTGCTGCTGTAGCAGCGTATAGTGGTACCTCGGGTTACAGACGCTTCAGTTTACAGACACTTCAGGTTACAGACTCCGCTAACCCAGAAATAGTACCTCGGGTTAAGAACTTTGCTTCAGGATGAGAACAGAAATTGTGTGGTGGCAGTGCAGCGGCAGCGGGAGGCCCCATTAACTAAAGTGGTACCTCAGGTTAAGAACAGTTTCAGGTTAAGAACGGACCTCCAGGACGAATTAAGCTCTTAACCCGAGGTACCACTTTATATGAATAAGTTTCTATGCAGTTTTGGTAGTTCTGTACCTATAATTCCCCAAAGAAAAGCTTGTGGATTTTGTGTGTGTGTGTGTGTGTGTGTGTTTTTTTTTACAAATGTTACTTTAAACATCCTTTTCGATTCATGATATATCATTTCCCAGTAAGCTTTAACCTTACTACAAGACCACCATATATGATAAAAATAACCTTCTTTCTCTTTACATTTCCAACACCTACTTGATTTAGATTTATACACTTTTGCCAATTTACTTGGTGTTAGATACCATTGATATATGTGTGTGTGTGTGTGTTATGTACAAACTAGGCTTTAGACTAGGTAGGGCCAGGGAGACCCACATTCAAATCTTCACTCAACCATGGAGTGCCCTTGAAGCCAGTCATCATCTCTCAGCCTAAACTACCTCACAGAGTTGTTGGGAGGCTACAATAAGTGGGGTAAAGAAATAATAATAATAATAATAATAATAAAATTTATTATTTATACTCCGCCCATTTATTATTTATACTCCGCCCATCTGGTTTCCCCGGCCACTCTGGGCGGCTTCCAACAAAAGATTAAAAATACATTAAAACATCAGTCATTAAAAGCTTCCCTAAACAGGGCTGCCTTCAGATGTCTTCTAAACATCAGATAGTTGTTTAATAAAAAGAAACATTGTACACTGTGCTGAGCTGCTCAGAGAAAGAATGAGATAACAACATAAGGAAACACCAAGTCAAAGCCAGCATTTTAAATTGTGCCTGGAGGCCAACTGATAGTTGGTGCTGATCTCGTAGAACTTGTGAAATATGTCCATCATCTCAATCTTTTGTCTGGAAAATCAGAAATAATAGCAACCGATTTATGGGTCAGTTGTGAAGACCACCAAAGTGGAGATTGTGAAGTTGTTTCATGCCTTTAAAATGCCACATACGTTTTATGTGGCAATGATTGGATGATGATGCTTTCAGCTCAGTGTTCTTAAGTGCTACATTGGAGGTGTTGCAAATCGTTTGGAAATGCAAGTATTCTCGCCCCCCAATGTTGAATTTCTGCGCCGACACCACATGTCAGCTGTGCTGACTGCCTAGCAGGCAATGCTCTTGCGATTGTCCTTGTTGTGCTATGTAAGGATTGTGGATGACTTTGTGCGGGTTAATCAGTCCAGTACAAGCACCTCGGGGTGCTCGCTGCATCTTCAAATGTGCATTCAATGACTCCTTTCAAGGCAGGCCTTAAACATGAGTCAACATGAAGAAGTTGCTTCAGGCCATAGAGTGAGAGTTGGGGAGGGCACCGCACTCTGCATTGGTTTCTGCGCCATGCTTTTAAAAAACAGCAAGCTCTAGTTCACAGCAGCGGGGCATTGCTTCATGTGCAAAAATACAGCTAAAACTAACACCAACCCCCTTGAGAACTTCAAATGGAGGCAGAAAACGGCATTGCCAATTCTAAGCAAAATAGTGACTTTGGAGCTCATTCAGCCAGGAAGGGCATTAAATTGGCATTTAAGCCAATTTCAGAATGATTTAGGATTCTCACTATCTCGTAAAAGATTTGGCTCCCCAAGCGCTTTCTTTTCCTAAGAAAATAGGGATTGCCTCTACACTTTCACCTGTCCCGCATTTATGTACCGATTAATTCCCCTGCGTCCAAGAGGTTTCCTGTGAAACCTCCAAACCTACTCACTGAACCAGATCTTATCAGATGTGCCGAAAATCCAAAGAGAGATTTTTCTTAACCGAGCTTCAATTCAGTGGGTAAGATCAGATTTCCGCAAGGCACGGCCTCAGAACAAAAAGAGACGGTCTCAGACTGGGGGCGGGAAAGAATTAATTGGTGCATCAAAATATGGGTCAAGTGAAAGTGTGGAGGAGCCTTTATTGGATCAAACAAAGACCTGTCTGTTGATGGATTTTTTCTCCTCTCCCGCTCTCTCTCTCTCAAAAGTCACACCTGTTTTTCAGTCTGAGACTCTTGTCACCGATAGGTAAAAAAAATGCAGGTGCCAGAATTTAGAATACAGCAAGGTGATCAAAAAAACTGAAAACCTTCCTCTTGGATCACACCAGCAACTTGTTTCCTACAGATAGCATCCAGCTGTTTCACAAGCAGAGTATGAAGTTCATAGCTAGGGGGCTAACAGAATACACAGATCTCTAGCTTTAGTGGCGGCCAGCTTCTTACCAGACTCCATTCAAAGTTCTGTGTTTGACATTTTAAAGCCTTTAATGACCAGGTACCAGAATAATTCAAGAACTGCCTACCTCCACATGAACCTGCTCAACAACTTCATTCATCTTCAGAGGTCTTGCTCTGAGTCCCCCTCCTGTCAGAAATAGGTGGGTAGGTACCTGCAACGGGGCCTCTTGGGTTGTGGAACTCAAAATCTGGAAGTGTCAGCATGGTTGTCTTTTTTGCTGCTACTGCCCCCTATGTTTGTGGGGTGGGGGTGTGTCTTGTGGCTTTATGGACATTTTTGTTTTCAACTTCCTGTACTTCTTTCATATTGGTTCTAAGGCGCGGTGTGTTTATTAGAAAAGGTGGGTTATACAGCAGTACCTCAGGTTAAGTACTTAATTCGTTCCAGAGGTCTGTTCTTAACCTGAAACTGTTCTTAACCTGAAGCACCACTTTAGTAATGGGGTCTCCCGCTGCCGCCGTGCCGCCGGAGCATGATTTCTCTTCTCTCTTTTTTTTTTTTAAATGATATTTATTAAAATTTCAAGAAAAAGATTACATTGATAAGAAAAATAACAATAGAAAAAAGAAAAATACAATTTTTCTTTGATTTCTCTTCTCATCCTGAAGCAAAGTTCTTAACCCGAGGTACTATTTCTGGGTTAGCAGAGTCTGTAACCTGAAGCGTATGTAACCCAAGGTACCACTGTAAGTTCAGAAAACAGATCAGGAAAACTTCACTTGTGGGGTAGATTGTACAATCCAGGGGTCAGCAACCTTTTTCAGCCATGGGCCGGTCCACCGTCCCACAGACCATGTGGTGGGCTAGACTATATTTTTTTGGGGGGGGGAATGAACGAATTCCTATGCCCCACAAATAACCCAGAGATGCATTTTAAATAAAAGCACACATTCTACTCGTGGAAAAACACGCTGATTCCCGGACCGTCCGCAGGCCGGATTGAAAAAGTGATAGGGCCGTATCCAGCCCCAGAGCCTTAGGTTGCCTACCCCTGGTACAATCTGTTGCACAACAAGTTTCTGCTAGCATAACTGTTGCATTGCATCCCTCCAGCATGCAACATTAAAACCTGCTGGCTTAAGAACCATTGCACTAGCAGACAAAGAATCTTGGATGCCCTTTGTAAGTCTAAAGCAGAAGACCTAAATAGGCAATGGGCAATGATATAGGTGTTTGCACGGCATCCAAAAGAGCTTTCCACTGAGAGGGCTCTATGGTGGTGGTAACACCCCCACCTCCAGTTGGGAACATGGAAACCTGCCTTATTCCAAGTTGAGTGCTTGGCCCACCCAGCAAAGACCTTAACATCTGGAGAGGGTCATCTAATAGAAGTAGCAACGAGAGTCACGCTATATTTACCCCTCTTTTACATACACTGTGCTCAAAGCATGACCAAAAAGAATACATTGCTACCTATCATATCCATAGAATTCAAAACGGTTACACAATAGCCCATATGAAAAATGAAATAAATACAAAGAAAAATGACATTTATTGGTCCAGCTTCCAATAAGAAAAAATCTGCCTCTGGCCTCAGTGACAGCTGCAACAGTGGAATGAGTCCTTTTTACATAGGAAGCCATATACTGAGGCAGACCACACAATGTGAGGAACCTCAGGGCCTTGGGACCAAAAGTGGGGCCCCAGACTTCTCCATGGGACCCTTGGGAATCTCCCTAGGTGGCCCCATGGCTAATACGATGTGCTGGCTTCAAATGCCAGCAGCTGGAGAACACCCTTTAGCAAAGGTGTCACGGGCTTTGAAGAAGCATGGACTCAGGACGAAAGGAAGAAATATGCTAAGAGGAAGGGGTGCTTGGCAAATCCTCACCATGATCAACTCATGTCCGGAAACCTATGTCCCCACTGTGGAAGGACGTGTGGATCCAGAATTGGCCTCCACAGTCACTTACGGACACATTAAGCCCATATTCATGGAAGACAATCTTACTTGGCTACGAGTGATTGCCAAAGAAGAGAAGAGAAAAGCAGAAAGATATAGGCCTTCTTTTCCTTTTTTTTTCTCATCCCTAGAAAATGGCATTCAAAGGTAAACTGAAACTATACATGGATTCCCCAATGAGCTATTATGGCTAACAGTCTTCGATAGACTTGCTCTTCATGAGCTTGTATCCTGTTTCTTTTTAAGCCTCTATGTTAAAAAAAGCAAAAAACAACAACCCACAATGTCACCTTGTGGAGAATTTTTTGAGTTCATTGTACGTTGTGTGAAAAGTGCTTCTTTTTCTCAGTGCTAAACCTTCTGCCAAATGGACTTCTTTTGGGTGAACCTGAATTTCTACTGTTTACCCCTTTGCACATGGTTTTGCTGGGTATCAAGTTCTGAGCTGATGAGGATGGGGGATCTCTAAGATTGGCACAACAACAGAGGGAGCACCTGTAGCAGGTGCTGAGCAAAAAGCAAGGCAGGCGAAGTAGGATGCTTCTATTAAATCTCTGAGTGGCAAAGGTTTAAGTGCCTTCTTGCATTGGTTCTTTAATGCTTATATATAATAAACAGGTTGGGATTGCACCATCTTGTGTTTATTACGCTGTTGGCTTGAATGCTTGCCATATTTTTGCATAAGCATCTCTGCAGCAGATTAATTTTTAGAGCCGATTAAAGCATTAGCCACCTAACTGTTTAAAATCTGCTAAACCTTTAGCAAATGCCAGGAGGGCTGTTTGAGAGGCAAGTCTGAAGATGAGTGATGGGAAGGGTGTTTGTGTATATGTGTGTGTGTGTGTGTATGAAAACAGTGTGTTCTAACTTCTCCCCAAGGATTCTGTAATTACTGTGCATGGATGCAAAGGCCACCAGAACTAAAGAAGTATCCAGACATGACAGAATATTCCTTAGTGTTGAGCAATAGCCATTTTACGTACCTGATACTGCCTGTCTCTGAACGCTGCAGCACCCCTGTCTCCTATTCTCTGCAGCACAGGTGCTCCTGGAGACTGACCCATTAGAGCAAATGGAGCGCTGCCCCACCAAACTCAATCTACCTTCAGCCAGCCTGCCCCCACCTCCCTGACTTCTTACTTGCACCCACAGGGACTTGGGTGGCACTGTGGTATAAACCACAGAGCCTTGGGCTTGCCGATTGGAAGGTCGGCTGTTCGAATCCGTGTGACGGGATGAGCTCCTGTTGCTCTGTCCCAGCTTCTGCCAACCTAGCAGTTCAAAAGCACACCAGTGCAAGTAGATAAATAGGTACCACTGTGGTGGGAAGGTAAACGGTGTTTCCGTGTGCTCTGGTTTCCGTCACAGTGTCCCGTTGCACCAGAAGCAGTTTAGTCATGCTGGCCACATGACCTGGAAAGCTGTCTGTGGACAAACGCCGGCTCCCTTGGCCTGAAAGCGAGATGAGCACCACAATCCCATAGTCGCCTTTGACTGGGCTTAACCATTCAGGGGTCCCTTTTTTACCTTACTTGCACCCATTCTAGTGATGATGGCTTTGCTGTGCCTCCTTGGTCAGTGATGCTTCTGAATGCAAGTTACTAGAAACAAGAGGAGGGAAGGATGCTCTAGTGCTTAGATCCTGCTTGCAGGTTTCTCACAGGCATCTGGTTGGCCCCTGTGAAAACATGATGCTGGACTAGATGGGCCATTGGCCTGATCCACCAGGCTCTCTTTATATGATTTTAGGGTGTGGCTCTCTGGCAATCAGATTGCTCCTTCTTAGTCTCTCAATGTCACCCTTGTAAAACTTGGCAGGAAAAAGGTTTGGGGCAAAACTGGTCGGCTCTGCTTGTCATTGGCTCCTCCTAGTGTTTATTGCAGATGAATATTGGACATATGGAAGCAATAAGATGAATAAAAACTGACTCTTTTTGGAATATAAATTGTCCAGACCAAAATTATGGTTTCAAAGCTTTCCTAACAGAATTTGTTCCAAAACAGGCTTACAACAAAAATCCAAATGGTTGCATAAAATCATGTGGTTGTACAAGCACAGGTTCAGCATCTTAAAAATATGTAAGTACTTCAAACAGAACTGGAATCAAAGCTCTCTCTCCACACAAATTTGATTGTGGTCTGAAGGTGTGTTCTGTCCAGGAGAGTCACATCATTGTCTTTGGTGGCTTGAGAACAAAGACTAGCTCACACAAAATAGCGATTTGCAGCTGAATTCCCCTCCCATGTGATCTAAGTTAAACACCACATCAGAGAGCAGCAGAGATGCGTTCTCTGTGAATCATTGACCTATTGGGCACTCGGAGAACTCTTACTTAGCTTCAGTGGAATTTTCCAGTTACCCCTTTAGCAATACACATACAAGCATATGCAGAGTTATTTTCCATTTCAACGTACAATTTACAATTATACATAACACCGTTGACCTCTCTGTCTTCTGCCTCAATGAGCACCAGCCACCATGGTGATGTGGTGCAGTCAGCAGGCATTTTGGCACCTGAGATGGACCCCAAAGTGGCTCTAGAGTAGAAGGGGTGAGCGAAGAGCTACATCAGGAGCAAGGACGGAAGGAAGATTGGCATCTGCTACCCCTGTGGATCCCACCGCCTCACCTGGTTGCTTCACCTGGCCAGCCTGTATGGGTTAACTTCCAGGCTTGGGTTGCAGCTCTCCATTTTTGGAATTTTTGGAATGGGTGTGCTTGCAAACAGAGTTCAGTTCTGGGGGAACGTTCACCACAAAGTGTAAAGGTCTGTGTGCATATTTCAGTATTTGAAAACAGAAAAGGGTTTTAAGAACATTTGCTGTTACTTTTTCATATTTCCCTGACAATTTTAAGAGTGTTATCAACACTGGGTGAACAAGCAGGTCTCTCTTTGTGTGATTTTTATACTGCCATTTTATGTTGTGAACTGCCCTGAGATGTACGGATGAACATACAGATTTAACAAATAATAATAAACATTTATGTCAATTAATGAATTATGGGCAGCAAGTGTGGACCACTAATGGAATCCATAAAGCTCACCCCTGAATTCTCCCCCATTTGACCTTACTTGTGCCCCACAGGGAACCTTATTAAACCAGTAGCTTGAGTGACCAGCAGAAAATGTAAAGGATTCTGACCCCTTCAGTTCCCCACCCCATGATTTATGCACAAATGCATTTTACTTTTTAATTTTATTTTATTTTTTGTAAATTGCCTTTTCAACCACAATATTGCACAATGCTGCCCGGATGGCTAATCCTAGAATGAATAATTAAAAGGTGGTAAAACAAGATAAAGCATAACAACGTTTGACGCAACAACCCCAAAGCATCATGCAGCATGGAGAGCTGTTCCTTAGACACCTCAAATGCCCTTCGAGAAGGAAGTGGCCTTCACTTGTCTTGTAAGCCTGGCTACATAGGGGCCAAATATCCCTTGAGGGGGTAAGTATGTAAAGAAGAAGCAGTAGATATTAAAGGTAGCAGTGGTGGCTGCCAGCCCAGGATCCCATATTCTCCAGCTCACCGCTCACCTAGGTCCAAAAGCATCACACACACATGCAAAATCATGTCCTTAACCTCCTGCTTTTACACAGTTCTTACACCCCAGATTCCATATAAGGTGGTCTATCTCCAGTGTAGTGCCCCACTGACTCTCTGACTGCCCCCCGTTCTCTACATGTGACTGTGAGCTTCATCCCAGAAGTCAGGTGCATGGGCCTTCTCTGAGACAGATGTCCCAGCAAGATTCTAGACGTCCTGTCTCCGTTCTGTGTCACTTGAGAACACAGGCAGAAGCAGAACCCTTGCTGGTTCTGCTAGTTTCGCAGTCTGTGAAGTGCTCCCCCTGCCGCCACCTTCTGAGCAGTAAGCATCTGTTCTGACACCGCAATAAGGATAAATTTCACAAGAAACTTTCAGATGGTTCTCTGCCAGCCTTGCGCTTCCCTTTTTCCTAAGCAAGCAAGCCAGCCTTTGACCCACATGGTGGCTACCCTTGGACTTCCTCCTTAGCAAACTTCTAGGAAGTACCTCTCATTTTTCTCCTTGATAAATGCTACATTACAAATTAATTGAAGCCACAGCTTTTAAGCTGGTCACCAAGTTAGTAGCCCCCCATCAGCAAGTTAGTAGCCCCCAAAGGTACATCAAGTGATCATGGATCAGCTCTCACTCAAAAGTGTAGTAGGCTTTGCTGATGAAGGAATATCGTTGAAACAGTTCATTATCCCAGAAGAACAGTTCTGTTTGCTGTTTGTTGCTGCTGTGCTTACAGCACCACCCGGCTTCAGTTCATTCTCAACCAAATTCTGATATAGATATTAACTGTAGAAAGGCTTTCTGCCTCAACTTCAGTGTTTCTTTGTGGTTACACACCATTCTAAGCATTCCTGTCGATGGTATATTTATTTGACTTCTATTAGTTTGTGACTTCTTGAACGTATTATATGGCTTTTGTTTATGAATTAAGAAACAATTGATAGTGTTTCATAAATATTGCCAATACAGTGGTACCTCTGGGTACGCGCACTCTGGATGCGTATCCTTCAGGATGTGAATGCTCCAAACCCGGAAGTGTTTTTCCGGGTTTCGCCCTACGCGCTGTGCGCATGTGCAGAAGCAACACCTCTGGTGCGAATTCCTTGGGATCTGAGTGGAGCTCCAGAACGGATCCTGTTCACAACCGAAGGTACCACTGTACATTATTAGCCCACATGTTGCCTTTTGTTGATCACATTTTAATGTTAGGACAATAGTTAATGTGTTCAACAGGTAGCCCACTGACCTGAAATATTAGTGTTCCTGATTGGTCCACAGGGAAGGTGGGAGGAGATATCATAGGACACACCCACCCACCCGATGGAGTTATTACCTGCCTACATGAGACTATCTTTGCAATGCCAATTTAGCCATGCAAATTGGCCCTAAACAGTTGGATCTTAATAATTTTTAAACCCAGAGGTACCGGGTGCTCTCACACTACCTGCCAGCAGCATTGATGTTTATCTCTTAGGGCACTGTTCTTAAGAAGCCTCCTTGCTATGAGAGAGGTGAGTAGTGATTTGCGAGACACTGTAGAAGAAGTGGCGATGATTGAATCCTAGAACACAGTGAATTTAATCCTGCTGAACAGATCAAACCCATCATTTCGGGGGTGGGGAGATGAAAATCCTTGAATTTAGGTCATTGAATCCAGCCTGGACAAAATTACATTTTTTTAAAAGTTCTTGTCCTGCACACTTCTCATCCTTTGCCTTGCATAACCGGAGCCATGCCTGCAATCATGGCTTGCAACCGACTCCTTCATGCCTTGGCAGAAGTTTATTAAAAGCTGTGCAGAGGTTCGACTCAAGCACTAGGCCTGCGTCTGTTAAGCAAACTGGCCAAGATTTGTGTCTTTTACTGAAGCTCTTGCGGGAGGAGGAGCTAGCGTGTATTTTTATGGCACTGCCCAGTACCACCCCATGTCGTGGGACTGGAGCTGTGGGACCACCTTCATGACACCAGCATTGCAGTAGTTCACCTGGATAAGGTAAAGGGGAAAGGTGAGGCTGTGCAGGTGCAGCAGCGGGAACTCTGGACCGGCTCCTCCAGTGTCCCCAGACAGCCCTGAGCTTGCCCTGCCTCAGGTAGAATAAAGTGCTACCAGTGTTTTTTAGGTGAAGGATCTGCCCCACCACACTCAGCATTCCTGGCACCCCTTCCTTCTCTGGATGGTAGGAAAGTCCAGGACCATTGTTACTGGGTTTAGTTTCCTAAGGGATATGTGATGGCCTGGGCAGTGGCGTAGCGTGGGGGGTGCAGGGGGGCCGGGCGCAACATCTGGGGGGGGCGCTCGCACTCGCAGCTCTCTGCCCCTACCTGGCTCACTCCCTCTCTCTCACTGCAGTACTGGCTGTGCGAATCCGATCCGAGCCGCTGGGTCGCCGCCCACTGTGGAGGGGGTGGGTGCCAGGCGTGCGGTGCGGAGAGAGAGCGAGGGACTATCTGGGGGAGGGACAGTGCAGCGGCCGCCCAGAGCAGCGCTGAGCGCGGGAGAGAACCACACCAGACCAGCCCAGGCAGCAGCAAGAAGAAGCTGGCAGCGGCGGCAGGTTAGGGGTTAGGGGGCGCAAATTACTTGCCTTGCCCCGGGTTAGGGGGTGCAAATTACTTGCCTTGCCCCGGGTTAGGGGGCGCAAATTACTTGCCTTGCCCCGGGTGCTGACAACCCACGCTGGGCCTGGGACTCGGGTTCGGACTCGGAACCAGAGGAGACTCAGTCTGCACCGGATCCTTTGCCTCAGGCTTCATCTGAACCAAGTCTGGGGCCTGACCCTGAAGAGTCCCAGCCTGCACAGGTTCCCCTGCAACAAACACCAGCTGGGTCGAGTCAGGGGCCTGAGCCTGCCCTGGCTCCAGATGCGGGGATTACCTTGTTGCCTTCAGCTGGGCCATCCACTACCGGTTGGGTCAGGGGAGGCTGAAGCAGCCCCTGGGTCTAGTAACCCACTGACGTCTCCCGATCTGCAGAGACTAAGGTCTGAGAGAAGGAGAGACCTGAGTACTCGCAGGAGGAGTGCTCTCCTTTGGGCAAAACAGGGAGGTGAGTCGCCGGGGGGTCAGGACCGGCCGCTGCCCCGACAAAGATAAAAGGATGCCAGACCCTGCCCCAGGTTGCAGGAGCAACATTGCTGTATGCCAGATCCTGCCTGAGATCCTGTACCTGTCCTTCCCTGGTTTCCTGCCTCGTGTCCTGCCTTGGCCCTGTTGGACTGACTCCCAGCAGAACCTTTGGATTCTGGACTGGTCCTGGACCGCGTTTCACAGGTTACCCAGCACAGGATAGAAGAAAGCACTGGAGATTCAAACCATCTCTGTGATGTTTGCTTTCTTTCAAGATCAGAGCATCAGTAGAGGCAAGCAGGAACCCATAAAGGCAGAAGAACCCCAGGAGTGGTACTTGGTTAGCCTCCCCAGCTGTACTCCTTGGGTGCTTTCAGGCTGTTTCTGTTTCGTGCAAATCAGTGACTTACCAGCAAATTCAGGTTACACAACTGAAGTTGATTGGCAGCGCTTGTGCAACAAACACACTTCTCCCAAAATATTTTTTTTTTTTTTTTTGCAGTGACTAAATTAAAACTGGGAAGTGTGGGGTAACACTTCTGGCAACTACTGTAGCCAAGCTGGTGCCTAACGTATTGCTCTGTTTTCCTTTGGACCACATCAGTGAGGCCAAGAGGGGGTGGGTCTAATCATCTCGGCAGCCCAGGACTGCCCTGGCTTGCGACCCAAGGAGATCCCCTTGGTGCTGCTAACACAATGGTTTGACTTCATCCCTGGAGGTGCGCTCCATTGTCTCTTGAGGCAGACGGATGCCAACAGTATTAGAAGAAGTACACACTGAATGCTGATTCATTTTCACAAGGATTTAAACACTATTTGTAAATTGCTGCAGAAATGTGGAGAACTGAATTTAAGATTGGAGCAATGGGAAAATGAAATTGACAGGTTTATCCATCCTGAATGCTGGCCTGTGGCTTGCGACTACCAGCACATCCCTGGTGCTCCTTCTGCAAACACTGTTCAACTTGGGGCTGCATCAAGTAAGGTTGTATGTGCAATGACCTTGCCCCAGTCTCCGAACATCACAGCAATAACTTTTCTGTCTCCTCTCACATAAGACACTTCAGGAGAGCCAGCGCAGACCCTTAGCTGCAAATTACTGAGTGATGCACACTGCCACGTACCCTGTTGGACTCCTTTGGATGGAGACCCAACCATTTGTTTATGTGCAGCTGTCAAGTGTCATGCTTGAAAAATGCCTGTATTTTCCACTGTGACACCTCATCAAGGAGGCCGCCAGGGAGGAGGCTGCAATGGCTGTTCCCACTGCTTCCTGTGACATATGTCATGGGACAACCAGCTGGTGCAGCCCTGTAAGCACAGGAACATCCTGTTACGCCTGTCTAGGGCATTCGTGTGGGAATAGGGAGGCTATATGCTGTGTTGTGCAGGCCTCTGGGCAACTTTGCACCATGTGGATTTGTGGCAACTAGGCTGCCTCGCTATGAACCAAACAGAACCTCCAAAAAGGGATGGATGGATCCAGAGGCAGGTTTAGGACTCAAAGCCCAGTAAGTGAGGTGCTGGGCTTTAAGAAGGAGGCATGAGGCTCTGAGGGGGTCATGGAGTCCTCCCGTCTCCTTCCTAAAGCCTAGTTTGCACCCTAAATGGCCTCAGCCCAGTATACCTGAAGAAGTGTCTCCATCCCCATCATTCAGCCCGGACACTGAAGTCCAGCTCTGAGGGTTTTCTGGTGGTTCCCTCCCTGCGAGTAGTGGCTCCCACCTTGTGGAATGCCCTCCCATCAGATGTCAAGGAAATAAACAACTATCAGACTTTTAGAAGACATCTGAAGGCATCCCTCTTTAGGGAAGTTTTTAATGTTTGATGTTTTCTTGTGTTTTTAATATTCTGTTGGAAACCACACAGAGTGGCTGTGGAGGCCTGGACAGATGGGTGGGGTATAAGTAATAAATTATTTTTATTATTATATTATTTCCCAGCTTTGGGAAAGTATTGGGGGGTTAGGACCCTGCCAGAGCCCTTGTGCCTCCTGCAGGGCGCTATAGTACTCGTTTCCGTCACTGACAAATTGTCCATTTAGTTTATTTGCAGGGAGGTAATGCAGCAGTTAACAGCTATCCTGATCTGCTTGCACAGTTGTTATATGCATTCTCATTTCTCATTGATTCCTTCCTTTTCAGTTCATTCCTGTCACTTTCCTAACAGCAAAGAGTCCATTTTTAAAAAAGGTGGACTTCTTGTGCTAGGACAACAGAGTGCTTTAATCCACTTTGATTTGGCAAACCTAAAATTTTCCTGTATATGCTTTCATCCCTCCTGCATAATACCAACAATCTCAAAGCTGTCAAGGAGAAGGGGGCATAGGTAAGCAGTAAAGCATCTGGGTTGCATGCAGAAGGTCGGAGGTTCAATCGCTGGCATTTCCAGGTAGGCCTGGGATTGTCCTGTGTCTAAAATTCTGAAGAACAGCTGGCAGGCACTGTAGATAATGCTGAGATAGATGAGCCAACTTCTGATGGGTTGTATCAAACTAGCTTCTACTCCGAATAGACCCAGAATCGACCTTAATTAGCAATGCCTATTACCGTATTTTTTGCACCATAACACTCACTTTTTTCCTCCTAAAAAGTAAGGGAAAATGTCTGTGCGTGTTATGGAGGGAATGCCTACAGGTGGCATGCCTACGGATTTTCCTCCTCTAAAAACTACGTGCGTGTTATGGTTGGGTGCGTGTTATAGAGCGAAAAATACGGTAATTTCTGTGGGTCTACTCCATGGGTAGGCAAACTAAGGCCTAGGGGCCGGATCCGGCCCAATCGCCTTCTAAATCTGGCTCCGGGAATCAGCATGTTTTTACATGAGTAGAATGTGTCCTTTTATTTAAAATGCATCTCTGGGTTATTTGTGGGGCATAGGAATTTGTTCATATTTTTCCCCCCAAATATAGTCCAGCCCCCCACAAGGTCTGAGGGACAGTGGACCGGCCCCCTGCTGAAAAAGTTTGCTGACTCCTGGTCTACTCTGTTCCTGGATGGGAAAACTAGGCCTGTAACCAGGGGTGCAATAAAATATGGGGGTGGGCAGGTAAACCCCGCCCCACATAATCAGTCACAAGACACGGCACATACACACTGTTTGAATGGCAATGCCCATCAACTTTGGAGGGTGGCCCCCCTGAAATATTTTAGGGGGGGTGAAGGGACCTCACCTGCTAGGAGTTGGCTTCTATGCCTGTAACCATGCCTAAGTATGCTTGCCGATCAGAAGGTTGGCAGTTTGAATCCCTGTGATGGAGTGAGCTCCCATTGCTCTGTCCCAGCTCCTGCCAACCTAGCAGTTCGAAAGCACACCAGTGCAAGTAGATAAATAGATACCGCTGTGGTGGGAAGGTAAATGGTGTTTCTGTGCACTCTGGTTTCCGTCACGGTGTTCCGTTGTGCCAGAAGCGGTTTAGTCATGCTGGCCACATGGCCTGGAAAGCTGTCTGTGGACAAACGCCAGCTCCCTTGGCTTTTAAGCGAGATGAGCGCCACACCCCATAGTCACCTTTGACTGGACTTAATCGTCATGTGGTCCTTTACCCTTTTACCTTTTATGTATAACTGAAAGTACGGCATATTCTTCTTCTGTTTACCCCTTTTTGTTTCTCTCATGTTCAACTTGAGATTGTAAGCTCCTAAGGGCAGAGACGGACCCATCTTCCTTCCCTCTGTAAAACTCCATGCATGCTGATGGCACAATAAGCAAAGCAATAGATAGTGGGCAATTCTGGGGTAGATAGTCGATTTGGCTCTGTGTGCAGCAACTTCACATACGGTGCTGTTGTGCTCAGGGCTTCCTATAGGAACTTAGAGGTAAAGGTAAAGGGACCCCTGACCATTAGGTCCAGTCGTGGCCGACTCTGGGGTTGTAGCGGTCATCTCGCTTTATTGGCCAAGGGAGCCAGCGTCCAGCTTCCAGGTCATGTGGCCAGCATGACTAAGCCGCTTCTGGCGAACCAGAGCAGCGCACGGAAACGGCGTTTACCTTCCCGCCGGAGCGGTACCTATTTATCTACTTGCACTTTGATGTACTTTTGAACTGCTATTTTGGCAGGAGCAGGGACCGAGCAATGGGAGCTCACCCCGGTGCGGGGATTCGAACTACCGACCTTCTGATTGGCAAGTCCTAGGCTCTGTGGTTTAACCCACAGCGCCACCCATGTCCCTCCATAGGAACTTAGTTGGCCCTTAAGTGGAACAGATGCTGGACTAGACGAGATCCAGCAGGGTTTCCTTATGCTTCTGCATGTGTTTGTGCAAAGTATACTTTTTCCTCTTGTGGAAACTGCACAATGTACGGAGGAGATCCCAATGTACGACTTAGTGCACTCTCTCCCTTTCCATTCTTCGTTCTGTAGTCCGGGAGATGCATGACAACGGTCTCTGTGATTTTAGCGATGTGGATTGCTTCAGGCACATTTGTTGCAAGATGTCATATGTGCCGTCTGAGAAACAGAGAGGGTGCAAAGCCAGGAAACAATGTGCTCAGAGAAAAACCAGCATGCAGCTGCATTTAGGCCATATGCCTGGGATCTACAGGTGAAACTCGAAAAATTAGAATATTGTGGGAAAGTTCATTGATTTCAGTAATTCAACTTAAAAGGTGAAACTAATATATGAGATCGACTCATGACATGCAAAGCGAGAAATGCTTCCACTTCTCAGAGGTCCAATCTTGCTCGATTTGCAATCCTTGTTTTGCTGATTTCATTTACTATTCTAATTTTCAGAGATGGTTAATTTGGGGTTTTCATCAGCTGTACACAATTATACAGCTGTACACAATTATAATCACAATTATAACAAATAAAGGCTTGACATATCTCACTTTGCATGTCATGAGTCGATCTCATATATTAGTTTCACCTTTTAAGTTGAATTACTGAAATCAACGGACTTTTCCACAATATTCTAATTTTTCGAGTTTCACCTGTACATGGAGCACACTAGACTGGCTTCCCCAAGGCAATTCTATTCTTTTTTTGAAGAAGAGAAAAGCAGGTCATTAAAATGTAAGCGGAGTCCTGAGGATTTCCCTCCAAGCACAGATAGAGCCCCCCTCCCCCGAATCCCCTTAATGGGATTGGGAAATGAATGGACAAACACCAATCACACCTCAGGGTGTAAATGGGATTAGCTGATTAACCCTCAGTCAGTGGGCAAGCTTTGTCTTAGCACCGCTGAGCTCCAAAACTGGGCTGAGGGGTGTTTCTCTTCCTTGCCAAGAAATTGGACATGGAAGCCCTGGTCTGAATCTTGCCTAACTGTATTTATTTATTTTTAATTGCTTTTATTTGATTTTACAAATATACATTTATAAGAATACCAAATACATATCCGTATAGAGAGATTTCTCTGAATCTCGAGACTTCCCCCAATCCTCTCCATGGGTCCTATTGTCAACATTTTCAACTGCATATTATTTCATAATCTATGTTTTATATCTATCCATATTATCCATAGTGTTTGTTACATTACAAGTGAGATTAAAATCCTGCTAATGTTTTCATCTTCTTACGGTGGTCTCCTAAATAAATTATAATTCCCCGCCCCCCCATTCTTTCTTGAAGTTTTTGTCTTCTTGGTTTCTGAGCTTTCCGGTCAGTTTTGCCATTTTGGCGTAGTCCAACAGCTTGGTTTGCCATTCCTCTCTGGTAGGGACTCTTTCTTCTTCCCACCTCTGGGCTAGAAGCATCCGTACTGCTGTTGTCGCATACATAAAAAGTCTTTTCTGCTCCTTTGGGATGTCAGTACCTACAATTCCTGATAAGAAAGCTTCTGGGTTTTTTTAAACAAAAGTTTTTTAAACAAAAGTTATTTTAAACATTTTTCCAGTTCTTTATATATCATTTCCCAGAAAACTTTTATTACCTTAGAATCTTGCCTAACTCTAAAGGCAGGATTGGTCTATTTGTCTGCAAAATAAGGAAGTCAGACTATCCTCCACCAGGGCCAGGGCCGTTTCAGTGATGGCTCCGACCTGGTGGAATGCTCTGTCCCATGAGACTAGGGCTCTTCAGGATTTAACCTCCTTCCGTCGGGCCTGTAAGACAGAGCTATTCTGCCTGGCCTTTAATTTGAATTTAGCCTGATCTTTTATTTCCCTTCTCTTCCCTCCCCCTCTCTTTTTATGAAGATCACCCGCTCTGAGACCCCCACAGCTAATTCTCCCCTGGTCTCCTCACTGGGCCAAACAGGACCAATTCAGCCAGCCAGCCCTGGGGATTATCTAATTGATTTTTGATTTTTATTGTTATTTGTGTTTTTATACGGTATTTTATGCTGCTTTTATAATTAAGTGATTTAAATTTGTTGTAAGCCGCCCTGAACCCGCTTCTTGAACCGGGAAGGGCGGGGTATAAATAAAATTTTTATTAATATTAATAGATTCTGCCCCTGCCCTTTCTTCTAATAATATCATTTACAATATAAAACTCTCAGTCACAAAGAAAAAAGGAGAAGCTGTCAGGAGTCCTGAGGCAAGACTGAGCTCAGCTGTGGAGTGGCAGGCTGTGATGGACAAGGAGGGGGAACAGGAGGATGAGATGGGGGCGGCTGAGACTGGGGAATACACCTGGGGAGGCCAGTAATCCTAACATCTCAGGATACAGCTGCGCAGCTAGAGAAACGGGGCTCCCATCTCCCCTCCCAGGAAAAAGAGGACAGCATTGGAATGGGGGGTGGGGTTTAACCCACAACTGGGGGTGGAGGAACCAGAGACAGAAGTGGGGGCACTGCCTCTTCACCCAGAGCCGGTGGTGCTCCCATAGCTGGGAACAGATGCATCCTCCTTGATGCAGTGAGTGTGTATACACTCAGCAGTCTTGCAAAGCACAGAAGCCTTGCAAGTAAGCACACCTTGCCCTGTCTTTCAAAGCTTGTCAGGTGTTTGTGTTAACTCATTGGGACAACTCCATTGCCTTGGTGCAGTTCTGATCTCCTTGCCCTGGTTTTGGGCTCCTCAGACTTGGACCTCTGCTCCCAATCTGGCATTCCTTGGCTTGACTCTCCGGTCACCATAAAGCAAAGCAGAAAGCAACTTACATAAATGAATAAAAGAACGGTTTTAAAGGGCAGCACCATGTGTGAGTGTAAAATTATGCACAGCATCTTAATTAAAAACAGAATAAATGGATTTCAAGCCCATTTAAAAGCCAGCTGTGATGGAGCCAAATGAATATTTCTGAAAGATGGGGCCACCACCAAATAAGGCCCTGTCACTAGTGCCTGCCAAATGGATTGATCTTAAAGGTGGGCCAGAAAACAGGACCCCTGAAACCAGCCTTAATGAAACTAATTAGGATAGGAATAGAGAGCCTCTTGCCTTCCATTCATTACACTTCCCAGCATCCCATATCATTTCTTACGCTGGACGGGGCTGGCTGAAGGAAAAGCAGGCCAGCAACATATGGAGGGTCACAGGTTCCTGCTCCCTGCTTTAGGGCTTTAAAGGTCAGCACCAGCACTTTAATATGCTACCCTTTAATAGTGATTATCCGGGGAGCTCACAAGCAACAATAGAACATAATGGAAAAAAGCAGCAATGAAAGAACAGGCTCAATAAACCATTAGAAACAAAGAGTTGCATTCAGTGTTAGTCATATGCAGAACAGACCCATTGCAATGAATAGACCATCAATTGCAATGGTCTACAAGACACACTATGGATCACTGAACAAAGTTCACGAACCATAGTTTAGGAACCCTGGGTATACAGCATGTATTGTATGCTATAGTATGGTGTATAGAATAGAATAGAGACAGTATATAGTATGTTGTATGCAGGTAAGGTAAAGGTAAAGGACCTCTGGACGGTTAAGTCCAGTCTAAGGCGACTATAGGGTGTGGCGCTCATCTCGCTTCTGGCCGAAGGAGCCGGCGTTTGTCCACAGACAGCTTTCCTTTTTCCTTTCTCCTTCTGTGATGGAACTCCTATTTGGGGACTTCCCTGGCTTTTTTCTGGCCCACATAGGACCAGTCTGGATAGTTGGCCTTGGTGAATATTTGACGTTTTCATCCCCCAAAAGTTTTTGATTTGAGTTTTTACTGAAATGAGGCTGCATTTTGATGTTGTACTTTAATCTTGTTTTTAAGTTGTATTTTAATCAATTGTTTTTATACCTGGTGTTAGCTGCCCTGAGCCCGGTCTTGGCTGGGGAGGGAGGGGTATAAATAAAAATTATTATTATTATTATTATTATTATTATTATTATTATGTGGCCAACATGACTAAACTGCTTCTGGCACAATGCAACACTGTGACGGAAACCAGGGCGCACAGAAACACCGTTTACTTTCCCGCCACAGCTATACCTATTTATCTACTTGCACTGGTGTGCTTTCAAACTGCTAGGTTGGCAGGAGCAATGGGAGCTCACTCCGTCGCAGGGATTCGAACCACCGACCTTCTGATTGGCAAACCCCAGAGGCTCAGTGGTTTAGACCACAACGCCACCTGCATCCCTTGTTAGCACAGTGTATATGCTATGCTATGTATAGTATGGTGTACATATCGAATAGAGACAGTATATAGTATGTTGTATGCAGGATAGCACACTGTAGCTCCATGGTAGGACATTTGCTTTCTATGCAGAAGGCTGCAGCTTCAATCCCTGACCAAGACCCTTGCCTGAAACCCTAGAGAACTGCTGGCAAGTCTGGGTAGACCAAACTGAATGAGATGGTCCAATAGTCTGGCTCAGTAGAAGGCACCTTCCTGTACAGTGGTACCTCAGGTTACATACGCTTCAGGTTACATACGTTTCAGGTTACAGACTCCGCTAACCTAGAAATAGTGCTTCAGGTTAAGAACTTTGCTTCAGGATGAGAACAGAAATCGTGCTCTGGTGGCGCGGCAGCAGCAGGAGGCCCCATTAGCTAAAGTGGTGCTTCAGGTTAAGAACAGTTTCAGGTTAAGAACAGACCTCTGGAACGAATTAAATACTTAACCTGAGGTACCATTGTATTCCTAATCGTGACTAGGAATTCCCCCATGTGACATCACATGTAGTTTGGCCCAAAATCCTCTGTGTACGATGGGAGGTATGGTTTGGAAAGGGCCATAATCTCCTACCTGGGATCTTTTTCTGCGCTAAAATGAAAGTCTGTATTACGGCAGGTCGCAAGCAAGATGCTTCAGCTCGAATCAGTTTAACCTGCTCATTTAAAACTGGATCTATAAACCTCCACTGACAACTGGAATGAGAAAGTCATGTAACACAAAGCCTTGCACTTTCAAACAGCGTGCGTCAGAAGAAAATAAATTCCTCGGCAGTGCTAGCTTGGCTGCTCTCCGACCTGGTTCAGGATAGAAATGTATTTTCCCTCTTGTGTGGAATAACTTTTCACAGGGCACAATGAATCTGCTGTGCTTTGTGCCTGTGAGCGCGGTCTCTGGGCCACTCCATGCACTCTTTATATTGTGACAATGATGGTACCGAGATATGCAATCTCTCTTTCAGTCATCTGCAAAACTGAGTGGTCATCCTGCTTCATTTCTAATCAGCTCATGGCCCATAGCTTCCTGCATAAACCCTGTAACTTTTGTACCACAAATGATCTAGGGCACGATTTCCCAAAGTTGGGTCTCCAGCTGTTTTTGGACTACAACTCCCATCATCCCTAGCTAGCAGGACCAGTGGTCAGGGATGATGGGAACTGTAGTCCAAAAACAGCCAGAGACTCAAAGTTTGGGAAGCCCTGTTCTAGGGTTTTTCCAGCTGTTATTGTGCTCCAGTGCATCAGTGCCCCCCCTCCAGATGCCGATAATGCCGTAACATTAGGAAAACATCACAACAGTGTCTGGATGGCCTAGTTCCTGCAGCAACCCCATTTTTGAACCTGTGCATGAAGTTTGCGACAGCAGCCAGGTTTTCGAGCCTCTTGTGGCAAAAAAGAAAAGAAATATCGTACCTCGGATCTCAAATGGCTTAGTAGCCGAACAAATCGGCTCCCAAATGCCGCAAACCTGGAAGTAGATCTTCCAGTTTGCGAATGTTTTTCGGAAGCCAAACTTCTGATGCGGCTTCCATGACTTCCAATTGAGTGCAGGAAGTTCCTGCAGCCAATTGGAAGCCACACCTTGGTTTTCAAACAGTTCCGGGAGTCGAACGGACTTGTGGAATGGATTAAGTTCAAGAACCAAGGTACCACTGTATGAGAAAACTATAAGGCACCTTGCAACGATCTACGTTATACCTTTAAATTGTGGACACAGGTGAATAGAATGGAGTACAGTGGTACCTCGGGTTAAGTACTTAATTCGTTCTGGAGGTCTGTTCTTAACCTGAAACTGTTCTTAACCTGAAGCACCACTTTAGCTAATGGGCCCTCCTGCTGCCACTGCGCCGCTGCTGCATGATTTCTGTTCATATACTGAAGCAAAGTTCTTAACCCGAGGTAATATTTCTGGGTTAGTGGAGTCTGTAACCTGAAGCGTCTGTAACCTGAAGTGTATGTAACCCGAGGTACCACTGTATTCTGGAGGAAGGCATGGCTGACTGGAACATCCAAACTGCAATGCTCAGTGGAAGGTCCAACTTCTTGTTTGTTTAAAATTTACTTTTGAACCAAATAGTGGCATCATGAACTGGTGGTGGCAGGAGGGAATTTGTTTTTTTGCTGCTTCTTAAAAAAAAAAAAAAGCTCTGCCATTGCAAGAGGAAAACAAGACACTGTGGCAGTTGGACCATGAAGACCGCCCCCCCTCCCCCTTTTAGCAAAAGAAAGAGTGTGTGTCTTTGGGAGCGAGAGAGACTGTTACTGCTGCTAAGTGGATAGTCCGTCTGAATTAGTCTGGCAAATGCCTTCACTTAAATGAGCCTCGTTCCAGATGCATTTTTACTCACAGTGTGCATCAGCAGGGGCTGCAGTTAATCACATTGAATCAAATTGCACATTTAAACTATTAGATTATGTTAAACTTAATCTTCTCCCTGGAGAGGAACATTAACTCTTGGCGGTGTGTTTTCACCTACATTACAAGACAAGGACAATCCGGGAGGATAGATGGATTCTGCCTATCTCAGCTATTTCGGCTTCCTTGCCCTTGCAGTACCTGGTGACATCCAGATGTTTTGGACTACAACTCCCATCATCCCTAGTCTTTTATTTCCAACATTGCGGGGGGGGGGTAGTTCTTGTTTATTCTGTTTATTTTCTCAGGAGACATATACTAACTACTCATTATTTTATAACTGTTCTGTCTTATCCCTGAGAATTTATATGTGATTCTCCACAACTTCTCCCAAACCCAGTTTGGCATATTTTCCCTGATGTTCTGGGCCCATTGAATAATATATTCCTTAACCAGTTCTAGCTCTGTAGTGTTATTTCAATAACAAATGATATATTTTCACCAATCTGTGCATAGCTGTCAACTTTTCCCTTTTCTTGCGAGGAATCCTATTCGGAATAAGGGAATTTCCCTTAAAAAAAGGGAAACGTTGACAGCTATGAATCTGTGTCTGCCTGCTCTGATTACTGCTTTCTTAAAATCAGTTAGTTCTCTAATTTGATTAAAGTTGGCAATATAATTATTGCCACTGAGGTTTGAAAGTCTTTAAACCACAAAGCGTTTCTGCCTCGCATCCATGGCTTAGCCTCTAATTATGCAATTATATTTCCCCTGAGTAATTAATTTCTTGATTGTAAATAATTCATTATCCCCTGGATTGTAAATAATTTTTTATCCCCTCCCCCAGCTTAAATTTGAAAAAAAAATCTGCAATTGATTCCAAAGGAGAGTGTTCAGAGCTCAACAACTTTTTATAACAAACCCATGTGTTAAAAAAAATGTAAACAGTATTCTTAAGTGGTGCAATTTGTGTCACAGCTATGGAAAGGTAATAACATTGGTCAGACCTGGAACTCTCTGCACCCGTTTTGTGTCCCATTTGATTCAGATGCAGACATGCCTAGGGGAGATGCTGGCCTGTTTGGCACCCAACCTGAAGAAAGCTCTTGGGTCTTGAGCTCCTTTGCCACTGAAGCACCACAAGTTTATTTTCTCCCATGCTAGTCCTGTGCGATGCCACTCATAGAATCACAGAATTCTAGAGTTGGAAGGGACCCTGAGGGTTATCTAGTCGAACCCCGTCCATTGCAGGAATATGCAGCTGTCCCATATGGTAGGGTTGCCATATGTCTGGGAAATCACTGGAATGACCGGGAAAATGTGGACGTATGGCAGCCTATGCCGGAAGTGTAGATTTTGGCAATCTTCATTAAAAATAGTTCAAAAACTAAAAGCTCTCAGAATCTCTATACCTAAAATACCTAACAAAAAAGTCTCTGAGTTTTCCCCACAAATGTCCTCCTGAATTTGTTTCTCCTCCCACAGGACCATTTCTGGTCCATGGTTTTGAAAGGTCCCAAGGTGCAAATGAAGCATTATTTGTTTTCCTCCCACTTCCTGTACACTTTTTAAAACTTTCATCTCCCCACCCCAGCCGCATTATTCAGAAAGGTGTGGTATCAGGAAATGTTGTCTGATTAAATACTTAGAAATCTGGACAGACTCCTCTGAATTAAGTGGCAGTTTTGCCCTTCAATGTCCAGTGACATTCCCCCCCCCCCCCCAAGGAAAAGTATTTATAGCTCTAATACCATGTTGTATGTTGCCAAGAATATGGGAGTTTCCCGAAACGAGTATTTCCTGTTTTTGTTAGGATTTAGAACTGGTGATTGTAAACCAGTTATAAAAACCAGATCTCTCATAAGGACAACCACTTGTGCATCACTCAAAAAGAGGAAATGCATCACTGATTTGCACAACATGCCGAGTTATATGCATAGATTCAAATGTATAAGCTATGGATATAATTTAAGTAGAAATACAACACAGTGGTACCTCTGGTTACGAACTTAATTTGTTCTGGAGGTCCGTTCTTAACCTGAAACTGTTCTTAACCTGAGGTACTTTAGCTAATGGGGCCTCCCACTGCTGCCGCCGGCACACGATTTCTGTTCTCATCCTGAGGTAAAGTTCTTAACCCGAGGTACTACTTCTGGGTTAGCTGAGTCTGTAACCCGAAGTGTAACCTGAGGTGTTTGTAACCCGAGGTACCACTATATGCCACCTTGAGCTCCTTGGAAGAAAGGTGCAGTATAAATACCATTATTGAATAAATAACACTGCTAACCAGATACTAACTGTCATGGGGGGGTGCTTTCTTGAGTCCTCCCTCCAAGCTGCTAATAACTCGCTCGGGCACTGAACGGGTTATCAGGCTTTATTGGCGTTTTCTCTGGCACCAGCTACAGACATCTAACGGCAGTCTAATCCACAGTGTGTTCTCTCCCTCCCCTTGGCAGGTTAACTCGAAGATTTGTAGGGGCTGAGGAATCCTGGCAGCCCCATCACCTCTTCCCACTTTAACACCTGCCTGAGGCCCCACCCAGCAATACTTGCTCACAGAATTGCTCCTTCATGACATCTCTTCTTTTCTTCTGATGAAATTCTAAATCAGGCTTCTTCAAATTCAGCCCTCCAGATGTTTTGAGACTACAGTTCTCATCATCCCTGACCACTGGTCCTGCTATCTAGGGATCATGGGAGTTGTAGGCCAAAAACATCTGGAGGGCCAAGTTTGAGGAAGTCTGTTCTAAATGTTAGATTTTTCATCTTCAAGTAGACCTGGACCGTAAACAATATTATTTACTATAACCATTCTGCAACCAACGATATCTGAGCAAATAAATGATGAAACAGGAAATGTACATGAACAATATCCACAAGACTTACTGCAAGATTGAAGTACACCATTTAAAATTAACTTTAATCCTCATAATCCACATAGATTCTAGATAAACAGTCAGCATTTAACATCTATATTCTGCACAAAATCTTATAAACCCCCCCCATCCATCTTTCTTAGGCACCAGAACTACAGGACTTGCTCATGGTGAAGTACTGGGCCTAATAACTCCCAATTCTAACATAGCTTGAATCTCATCTGCAATTTCCTTACAATGTTGCTCTGAAACATGATAAGAGTGATTTACAATGGGAGGCTAGAACTCTCCTTTCTTAGGGTTCACTGTCTTCATGTAGCTGTTTTGGTGCCACCACCCCCACTCCCCCAAAAGCAGGTGTTGGTTCTTGCCGGTTCTGTGATCCATCCAAAAGACAGTGTGGTGACATAACAAAGCCAAATTAGAGTGAAGGAAAGGGACTTTAGCCATTCAATAAAACTGCTTGCACGTTTGCAAAGTTAAGCAGGTTTGGTATGGTTTCAGATTGGATGAATATCAATATTCCTGCATTTCAGGTGGGTTGGAGTAGATGACCTTTGGGTTCCCTTCCAACTCTACAAATCTGCGATTCTATTATTCATTCCCTTTCATGCCCTCTCAACCAAATATTAGACTTTTAGCTGGTGAAGCTTTCCCCAAAATGCATCCATTTTAAACTGAACAGCTCCAATTTAACATGTACAGTCGTACCTTGGTTCCCTAACGGCTTAGTTGTCAAACAAATTGGCTCCCAAACGCCGCAAACCCGGAAGTAAGTGTTCCGGTTTGCGAACGTTTTTTGGAAGCCAAACGTCCGACGCGGCTTCCGATTGAGTGCAGGAAGCTCCTGCAGCCAATCGGAAGCTGCACCTTGGTTTTCGAATGGTTTGGGGAGTCGAACGGACTCCTGGAATGGATTAAGTTCGAGAACCAAAGTACCACTGTATCATGATGACCACTGTTGCCTTCTGGAAGAAGGTACAGGGTTATAAAGACTAGGACTAGCCGCCTGATAAACAGTTTCTATTCAAATGCAATTTTGGTTTTAAACGCAGTGTAAGGTAGTCTGGGAGTATATTGTATTTAATTATGGGGTATCAGAGTTTTTAGGGGGCTAACCAGGCTGGGATAGCTGGGATAGCAGGCTTGTTGGTGTTTGAATGTCTGATGTAGTTTTCAATTTCGTTGTTCTGTATGGGACAATGACAATAAAGATTATCATATCGTATCATCTCGTATCACATTCAATTTTGGCTTGGAATCACTCTTTGAGCTACATGACACACTTCAACACAAGTGTCTTCTGGTCCTCAGACGTGTGTATATTCTGGGGTTTGGCAGATGTGCAGAAAGTACACAGTGTGTTGGATTGGATGGAACAGTACCTGCCTGACACACTAGGCTCTCCTTAAATCTGCATAATCTATGGTGGGTTACAGAATTCACCTTTCCTTAGCACTTTGTGTTACCTCCCCGAAGGATCTGTGTTTCTTTTGAAAGCATGGAGTAAACACAGGCCTGACGTAACCGTACCAGCCAGCATTCTGGTACTGAGCAAGTGTTCTGACCTTTTCCAAGTGGTTGTACATTCTTTAGGTGGGGTAAAGCGGGAGCAAGCAACATTCTCTTTGCTCCCCGTCACCTGGGAGTTGCTCATCCCTTTGCATTAACTTCTCTCGAGAGGCAAACAAGTAGGGCATTTTTAATAACTCTGGCTGATGGCCTATCATCCCGTGATGAGTTGCAAATCAATAAATCATGTGTGAAGTGCTGTTATCTAGGCCAGCTCCTATCAGCATCTATGCTCAAAGAACGTTTCCAGTCTGTGCTGCCGGAGACTGCCAGTTTTTTTGAGAGTTGTTTTTGGCTGATGTTTGTTGTGAGAAAAATCAGATTCCATCTCCTTGTGCCAGTTGAAGGGAATGGAATGTATAGTCTGGCTAGAATTGCTCCCCCACCACCTCAGATAGCATCCTCTGCCATCTAGGGCTTTGGGGAGAAAATCTGGGTTTGCACTGTTTGCAAAACAAGCTGCCTGCCTTCTAAGAAACATGTTGCAAAGTGGTAACATTCATTATTCTCCCTCCTTCCCCTCCAAAATCTCCTACTTCTTAAGATTTTTTTCAAACGGATTTTGTGTCATGTAACCCACATCAATGTCAAGCTTCTAGTTCTCAGGACTTGTGGATTCCAGGATTTCAGAAGGCCTTTGCACTATAAATGCTGTTCTAATGTTTAGTGGGGACGCGGGTGGCGCTGTGGGTTAAACCACAGAGCCTAGGACCTGCCAATCGAAAGGTCGGCGGTTCGAATCCCCGCAACAGGGTGAGCTCCCGTCGTTTGGTCCCAGCTCCTGCCTATCTAACAGTTCGAAAGCACCCCTAAGTGCAAGTAGATAAATAAGGACCGCTTTCTAGCGGGAAGGTAAACGGCGTTTCCGTGTGCGGCGCTGGTGCTGGCTCGCCAGATGCTGGCCACGTGACCCGGAAGTGTCTTTGGACAGCGCCGGCTCCCGGCCTCTTGAGCGAGATGAGCGCGCAACCCTAGAGTTGGTCACGACTGGCCCTGACGGGCAGGGGTACCTTTACCTAATGTTTAGTGCCTCAGTGTTCTCACCTATGTATTAAATTTTGTGTATTTGGTGTTCTAATTTCTGTAAGCTATGTTGAGACCCAGATGTGGTAAAAAGTGGGGTATATTTTTTTAAAAAAAATTAAATAAATTAGGCAGGAGTTGCAGATTTTGATATTAACATTCTGTGCCAGATTCTGCATCCTGGGTGTCTTAGCCTGAACAAAATCCACTTTACAGCTCTGTTTACTTTTTCTTTTTATTATTGACACCATGCAGTATCTATTTATTGCAGATGCGGTGGCAGGCACTATACATTACAAAATACAGCCCATATTTAAAAAGATGTACGCAAAAGATGTGCACTTATACCTTCACAGTGATCAGTACGAGATGCAACAAATATTGCTACGTTGTCAAGGCTTGGGGGAGCCAATAAATAAATAAATAAATAAATAAATAAATTCCATCATACGCCAAAAACAAAACTGTCAATGCATGACTTGTATTTAAGGGGAGAGTATTCCAGGTTCTGCCACACACAAAACTGCTGCATTTCTTCATCAGTTTTCTTTTCTTTTCAACGCTTCACAAAAATTCTGCATCAATACTTTCCCTAACGTAATGCAATTTTAAATGTTATTTTCACTAATATAAGCATTTAGGCACATTTCCCCTAACGTTTCTGCACCCATGACTCAGTTGGAGAATTGCATTGCAAAATTCAGAGAGGTGAAAATGTTGAAGGCTTGCTGAGCTCCTGGTTCGTGTATAGTTCCAGGAATGGCAGATTTGGTAGTTCTGCAATGTAATGTGAACCAAACTTAAGTTTCTCCCCATCTCTACCAATGGGTGGGAATAAATCCATCAACAATTGTGTAGCGTTTCAAACATAAGAAGGATCATGAATATTTAGAGTATCCAGTTAGATCTAGATTTGGATCCCCTCCATCAAGCCATGACTTGGGCTAGTAACTATCTTCCAACCTGCCTTACCCCATTAACGTTATCATAAGCCTTATATGCCGCTGTTGCTGCCAATCCTGCCAATAAGAGAGAGAGAGAGAGTTTGGATTTGATATCCCGCTTTATCACTACCTGCAGGAGTCTCAAAGCGGCTAACATTCTCCTTTCCCTTCCTCCCCCACAACAAACACCCTGTGAGGTGAGTGAGGCTGAGAGACTTCAGAGAAGTGCGACTAGCCCAAAGTCACCCAGCAGCTGCATGTGGAGGAGTGGGGAAGCGAACCCGGTTCACCAGATTACGAGTCTACCGCTCTTAACCACTACACCACACTGGCTCCCTGGTGGTTTGTGGCAGGTGGCAGCTGTGGAAGCTCAGGCTCATTGACCTCTGGCCTCTTCAGCAGCCTCAGCTTTTGTAGCTGGAGTCAGTCAAGGCCTTGCCCTCCCAGGCCAAGCCAAGGAGCAGGTCTTCCAGGACTCACAGCCAAGATGGTGCTTCTACATGCCAGACATGGCTTCCCAGCTGAGATGGGCCCCTCCCTTCTCAAAGAAGAAGGACCCACCAGATTCTGTTCTCCATACCAGGGGTTTGTCAGTGTTTTGGTGGTTAAGTTAACAAAATGCCACACCTGGTTTGACTGAAGACGTGTCTGCCATCCCGGGGATACTTTTGAATTTATTTCCATGGAAACGCACGGACGTGCTATGAACTGAAACGGCTTGCTTAAATGTGGTTGATGCACCCTCAAGGAACTGAGGGAATTGTAAGTTTTGCAAAAGCAGCTACTAGGTACAGGCAAATCTCCCTATTTCAGTTTCTCATTATTCCAATCTAAAGTTTTGTTTTCTACATTTCCATACCGGGTTGCTATTTATATCTTATTCTGAAAGTCCTCATCAAATTTCATCAGCATTTTAGTACAATTTTTTTCCAGATAAACATATTTGTTTATTCAAGCTTGCATAATAAACACATTTTTGCAAAACAGTTTTCCATAATATAATGCATATGTTATATGTTGTTTTCACTAATATACCCTTCTGTAGAACCATAGAATCAAAGAATTCTAGAGTCAGAAGGGACTGTGCGGGTCATCTATTCCTCTGCAATGAAGGAATTTTTTGCTCAGTGTAGGATTCAAACCCACGACCCTGAGATCAAGAGTCTCATGCTCTTCCAACTGAGCTATTTGCACACTTAATGCCAGGATTTGCACTTTTGTGCCCAATGCTTGGCTGGAAAGATGTGTTGCATAATCCAGAGAAGTGGAAATATCAAAGGATAAAGGAAGAAGACAAGACATTATATTTATATTTATATGCAACAGTGGCCGCGAGGCTATTGATTGCAAAAAATTGGAAAAGTGGTATTATACCAACAAAAACAGAGTGGCTTGACAAATTACTGGAGTATTACAATATATCCAAAACAATGGGAGAAATTGAAAGGATCTCAAAAGAGAAGATAGACAAGGACTGGAAGTCGTTTAAAGGATACTTGCAAAATTATATTGAAAAATCAGAACTGCAAGGCGGGTGTGTGAAAGAAAGTAATGGAAGTGGAAAGAAATTGCAATTGAGTAGATTGGAAGTTCATCACAAGGGTCCGATGAGGGGTGAGGGATGGTGGTGGGAAAATGAAGTACTTGTGGGACTGAGTGTGGGTATTTTTAAGGATTGTATGAAATGTATGTTTGTATGTTTGTATATTCATAACATGTATGTATTAATGCTGAATTATTTTAATAATATTTTTTTTAGAAAAGGAAATATCAAAGGATGGCTGTGTTTCGGAATGTGTGAATTAGGTAAATTTGCTTTTAATTGCAAACTCAGTCAGATTTCTCCCCCAATTCCTCCCCCCCCCCCGTGCAACAAATATCCGTGCCATGCAGGGGCAAAGAGTGGGTGGAGTCCTCCCTTTGGGCATAGTCACGCACGGCCAGCGATGGTTCCCCAAAGGAGCCACTTCCAGAAGCTGATGGCTTTTGCTGTCTCTCTCTGTACTGAGCGATCCGTCACTCCAGTCTCAAGCTGCTGGGGAGTTTCAATATTTAACTTGAAACCCAGCCAGTAAACTGGAAGCTGCTTTCCTTCTGTTCCTGAGGGAACAAATATATAAGAAGGAGCTGGGAACAATGATGGGAAGAGACTCTCTTCCCAGGCAGCTCGCTACAACGCGGCAGAGCCAGGTTGCAGATTTATTTACAGAATCTGTCCCTTCAGATGCTCTTTCTCCTTCCAACAAGTTCTTTCTTTCTCTGACTGCAGCTGTGGACACAACAGATTCACAGGGATGGCTCTGCAAAACTGACATGGGAAGTTATTTCACTAGAACCGGAGTGATTCCTCCCCGCCATACACACCTGTGTTTTATTTTTATTTTTTATATAATTTTTTATTTGGTTTTACAATTTAATCTCACATTCACACACAACGTAGAATCATAAATATAGAATTCACCAAATTCTCAGACTTCCTTCCTCCTCTCCGTGGAGTCCACATTTAATCGCTTTTCGCTGCATCATACATCGTCCGCTATATTTCTATAAACTCTGTTTTTATCCATAGTACTTTGCACTTTGCAAGTGTTATTGCAATCCTGCTAGTGTTTTTAACTATTACAGTGTTCTCTCAGATAAGTTACAGATTTTCCCCAATCCTTATTGAAGTTTTTATCATCCTGGTTTCTGATTTTTCCAGTCATTTTAGCCATCTCTTCATAGTACATCCGTTTTTTAATCCGTTCTTCTCTTGCAGAGAGGACATACACACCTGTGCATAAACACCTGTGTTTTAACCACAAAAACATGGGAGTGTGGTTGATGTTGAAGCCACAACTGAGGGCAGACTTGCCGTGTTTAGGTAGAGCAGGGGAGCGGGGGCTCCTGTACACCACATAGCGTTTTATTTTATTTTTAAAAAATTAAGCTGATTAAGCCTCACTCACCTCACAGATTGTTTATTGTGGGGGAGGAAGGGAAAGGAGAATGTTAGCTGCTTTGATATGCCTTCAGGTAGTGATAAAGCAGGATATCAAATCCAAATTCTTCTCTTATTATTATTAATATAACACCCTATGTCTGGAAGTCTCAGGGCGGTTCACAGAAAAGATCAACATAAAAACCACAATATATATATATAATCAAAATAAAAACAACAAGCCAATAACACACACCTCCCCTGAAGTATAGGTGGGCTCCCATGAGGCAAGACACAGTGATAACGGCAAGAACCTTTATTGAACTACATAACTGGGAAACAGGGGCAAAGCAACTGCTTATATACATTTCTGAAAGCCTGGGCCACTCCCACTCCCAACGTGATTGGCTGTCTAAACTTCCAAGATGTGAATCACAATTCAGAGTTCAAGGGCCAATGGCAGAGGCCCAAATCCTGAAATGTTCTGTGATTGGACAACATGTATCGATTCACAACACAGGAGCTCAGAATCCTTAGTCCAGACTCAAGCTCAGGCAAACACAGACCACTGAATACATAACACCCCCCAAAAAATATTTCACTAGAAATTGTGATGGTGGTCGGCTAATGTCACACTAGCTCCACCCACCCAACCTGCCAAGAAAGTTTAAAGAAATTAAGAGTAGTATCTAGCTTAGGGATGCAGAAGAAATTTGTTTCTGTTCACGTTTCAAGGCAAACTTGCTCGTGTAGCAGAACTTTTCCTCCTCCTCACTCCCCATTGCTCCACTCTGAATCTGCGCGGGTTAATCTCCCCCGCCCAACTCCCTAGAGCAGATTTGGATGGTGCAGGAGGTGCAACGGGAATGGGGGCAGAGAAGAGCAGAAGCTGTCCCTCTCATGCAGTGGCTTCATTGGAGACAACCTCTCCCCGCCCCCCGCCCCGTTTTTACAAGAACAAATTCAACATAATAAAAAGAATAAACTTTTACCATATCCATATATGGGATTCTCTGAATCTTGCGACTTCCCCCCGTCCCCTGCATGGGTCCTTAACATAATTTTTCTAAAACTACATATCATTACGTTCCCCACAGTTTTCATCTCTCTGAATTATATACACACCCACACACACCCACACACCCGTTTCTATACAAGTTGTTTTTAAAGTCCAGGTAATGTTCTTATTTAGGGACGCAGGTGGCGCTGTGGGTTAAACCACAGACTTGCCGCTCAGAAGGTCGGCGGTTCGAATCCCCATGACAAGGTGAGCTCCCGTTGCTTGGTCCCAGCTGCTGCCCACCTAGCAGTTCAAAAGCACGTCCAAGTGCAACTAGATAAATAGGTACTGCTCCGGCGGAAAGGTAAACGGCATTTCCGTGCGCTGCTCTGGTTCGCCAGAAGTGGCTTAGTCATGCTGGCCACATGACCCGGAAGCTGTACGCTGGCTCCCTCCGCCAATAAAGCGAGATGAGCGCCAGAACCCCAGAGTCGGTCGAGACTGGACCTAATGGTCAGGGGCCCCTTTACCTTTACCTAATGTTCTTATTTGTTTACAATGGTCTCCTAAGTAAGTTATGAATTTTCCCCATGCTTTTTTAAAGTCAATATCTTCTTGATTCCTGAGTCTCCCGGTCAGTTTTGCCATTTCAGCATAGACCAGCAATTTGGCTTGCCATTCTTCCTTGGTCGGAACTGTTGGTTCTTTCCACCTTTGGGCTAGAAGCATCCTTGCAGCTGTTGTCCCATACACAAACAGTCTTTTCTGGTCTTTTGGGGTATTGGAGCCTGTAATTCCTAATAGAAATACTTCTGGTTTACCAAAGGGAGTGGAAAGTGCAAGGAGACCTGATGCAAATGACCTGGGGCTGGAACCTACTGGCCAACCCCCTAAGAATGCTCCTCACCACTGGAGCCAACTCCAGGGGGCCCTGGGTGTTTCGGCACCCACAATAACATATTTGTGGGGCTGGGCCCCACAAGGTCAATGGGCAAGGTTGAAGCCCTTCATTGTGGGCACCCACAATCTTTGGCACCTCTGCCCCCTACCCTGCTGACTTCTCACAGACTCTGGACCATTAGCTCACTGGTTTCCCTCTGCTGGGGTTTCTTGAGTTCTTGCGGTCTTATAACGCAGTTAGCTATTATTAGGCAAGTAGTCGTTTCACCCTAGCAAGTGTCCAGTGCAATTAGGCTAATCTAATTTCTTGTGGCCGCAAGCTGAAATAAGGCGAATCCCATCGCCGCTTCCTATCGGGGAGGCATGTAGCTTAATTGGTGTTCCAGGAAACTGGAATTGTGTGTTAACATCTTAATTCCATGTGCTGTTTAGGCGGAGGCGATTCCTCGCCATTGTTCCAGTTGCCTTTGCGGGACACAACGGAATCTTGTGCTTTCCTGAGAACCTTAGTTATCGCCTTGCAGCAGAACTTCCTGCCGGGAAGCTGTCAGACGTCGTCAGGAATCATTGCCAAGCATCTGGTGGCAGAAAGAGGAGATATCTTTATAACCTACAAAGAGTTTAAAAATATCTAAGCCTCCGTGAAAGGCCAATGCCCTCATGAATGCATTTTGCATCAGAATGTAAGCATTGCTGCCGGACGTTGGTTAAACAATGGGTGTCTCATGTTTTGAAGGTGTCGCCTTTTATGTTGGCCATAGCGTTGATGTCTCATTTTGGTGGTTTGTCATTGATACTTCAGGGAACGCAATGGATCCAAGTGTTGCCACTGCTGAACATGCCCAACATGACCTCGGCATGTTCAAAGTCCTGGGTTTGTTTGCATATTTAGTGGATCTTTATCCCACTCTGAAGCGGCAAAAAAGGCTATCTAATTATGAAGATCAGCGTTGCACTCATTTTCACCATCTCAAAAGACATGACACAAAAGGAAAATGGTTTGGGGAGGAGGAGGAAGCAAGCAAACTCAGGTATAAATTCTTAGTTACAAAACCAATAATAATAATAATAATAATAATAATAATAATAATAATAATATTTATACCCTGCCCATCTGGCTGGGTTTCCCCAGCCACTTTGAGCAGCTCCCAAAAGAATATTAAAAACACGAAAAAATGACCAGTTGGGGTGGAAAAGTTCAAGATGAGGCGGCCCCTCCCAAGGTTGTTCGTGTTTCAGATGCACTGATGGAGTAGACCTGCATCCCTTCCCTTCTCATAAAGCCTGATGTAACCACTGCTGCTAGGTGACAGTTGATGGAGGTCCAGTCCTTGGCATTTCTAATTAAAAGGGTATGGTAATAGGTGCCTGTAGTTTGTTTAAGGGTGCTAGGAAATGTAGCTCTGTGAATGGTAAACTACAGCTCCCATTATTCTTTGCAGAAGCCATATGCTTTGAATGTATGGCGTGGTTACCTCTCTCTGTGTGTGCATATGTAAGAGTTGCAAACCCTTGTTGATCTGTTGGAAACCACTCAGAGATTTACCAGCCCATCTTCTGCTCACACCTGTTTTAGACCTCCCGGCCCTCCAAAAAACAAAACAAAAAAAAAACAACAACACCAATCTAGGGCTATATTCAACTAAATCATTGTGCTAGTGGAAGGCAGTGAGAAGATCTCCGCTAGTGCAATGGGGATTCCCCGTGTGTGCCCTGCGCCCTCCCCCAGATCTGCTCTGGAGGGTTGGCGGTAACCCCTGAACAGATTTAAGGTGCATGGAGAGTGGGGAGAAAGGGGGAAACTTCCATCATGCAAAGAAAATTATTGCACTGGTGGAACCTTGGCCTTAGAGCTGCGGCGAATACAACCTCTTGCCTTTGGACCCACATGCATGAATCCCATCGTATTACTTTCCCAACCTCCTATGGCAAATGACCATTATACTAAATTCCTGGGATAGCTCAGCCCATAGAGCATGAGCTTCTTAATCTCAGGATCGTGAGTTTGAGCCCCATGTTGGACAAAATATTCCTGCATTGCAAGGGGTTGAACTAGATGACCCTCATGGTCCCTTCCAACTCTATGCAATTCTGTGTTACTATGATTCGGTGGAGGGGGGAGGAATTCTACAGATTGAGGCCTGGGAGGAATTCAGGTTTGGTTTATGACTTAGAGTTAAATTGTCAGCCTCGTGGGTGGCTAATGCATGCAGCAGAGGGCCAGGCTGCCTGGGTCCTTAGGGCACAGAGTTGGTATGAGCAGATAATGTGTAAGGAGGTGGGAAACATTATGCTAATGCACCCATGTTGCTCACCCAGTGGAAGAGACGGGTGCCCTATCCTTTGATCTGTGCAATAATGGAGCTGTCACTCCATTGTTCTATGAATATTCTGCCAACGGAGTCATTAGAATCTTGGGTCAGTGACAGATAATCAATGCTAGCATTTCAAAACTGCAATGTGGAGAGAATCAGGCTTCAACCCCATCAGGCTCATTGGCCCATCTAGCTCAGAACTGCCAGGGTCTGAGGCTGGGATTTGGCTACCCAAGAAAGTTTTAACCAGTGGTGCTAAGGACTGGGAGCACCTTTTTTTGCAGGGCAAAGCATGTGCCCTTCCACGAAGATGCAACCCCGGAACGATCCTTTGAAATGAAGCTGCATAGATAATGTAGAGCTGGGTTGCTGAGAAACTGCCTGAATAAAGGCTAGGTTTGGAGTTTCTGCTGTGATCAGAAAACAGAATCCAGAACTCAGTGGCTGGGGTCACCCAGGTATTTGGAGAATGCTGCTGTGCTAATGGGGTTCCTGAGTGCATCCTGTTGTTGTTGTTTAGTCGTTTGGTCGTGTCCGACTCTTCGTGACCCCATGGACCAGAGCACGCCAGGCACTCCTGTCTTCCACTGCCTCCCGCAGTTTGGTCAAACTCATGCTGGTAGCTTCAAGAACACTATCCAACCATCTCGTCCTCTGTCATCCCCTTCTCCTTGTGCCCTCCATCTTTCCCAACATGAGGGTCTTTTCCAGGAGTCTTCTCTTCTCATGAGGTGGCCAAAGTATTGGAGCCTCAGCTTCAGGATCTGTCCTTCCAGTGAGCACTCAGGGCTGATTTCCTTCAGAATGGATAGGTTTGATCTTCTTGCAGTCCATGGGACTCTCAAGTGTCTCCTCCAGCACCATAATTCAAAAGCATCAATTCTTCAGTGATCAGCCTTCTTTATGGTCCAGCTCTCACTTCCATACATCACTACTGGGAAAACCATAGCTTTTACTATACGGACCTGTGTTGGCAAGGTGATGTCTCTACTTTTTAAGATGCTGTCTAGGTTTGTCATTGCTTTTCTCCCAAGATGCATCCTGTTAGCCCTTCACAAACTCAGGAAGAAGCAAAGCACTTGGAACTGTTGTGATGAGGGCACAACCTTCCTACTACCCCAATGTGTAGTAGATCTGAGTTGCCAAACTACAGAATGTTTTGGACCATTTCAACATTTCCACAGTTGGAAGCAGTGATGCGTCTGAATATGAATTGCTGGAAGCCACAGGAGGGAAGAATTGCTCTTGGGTCCTCCTTGAGGGTTTCTCATAGGCATCTGGGTAGCCATTGTGAGAACAGGATCTGGTCAAGATGGGTCATTGGCTTGATCCAGCAGGACTCTTTTTATGTTCCTATGTGTTTCTAGTTGCATAGTCCACAGATGCTCTCTGTTCCCTCCACCCACCCCAGACACTTCCCGTTTTTGCTAAATAAAAAGCTTCATATTCCTTCATGCCATTTCATCTGTCATAGTGATGGTTGTTTTCCTAGCCACCAAAGAAAAGACAGATTAGTGAACTACTATTTGTTTTTATTTGAATTTGTTTGATTTGTAGCCTGCTTTTCCACCAAATGATGCTCAGGGCAGTTAACAATAATAATGCAAATATAATAGCAATGATGACAAAACAAAAGAATGGCAAAGCATCAACAAAATCAACAAAAGCACCAGTTTAAACCGATTTCATCTGTCTCCACCAAGAGATGTCAAGTGGGATCTCTTTCCATGGCCTCATCTTGGGTAGTGGAACCAGATACTGTGCTCAATACAAGCTGGTCCTAGACAAGATTTGGGGGCCATCCTTGTGGGGTGGGTCACAGGCAGGAGCAAAAAGCTACTACCATAAATGGCTTCAACAGGATGGAGAAGTCCCACTGTGCGTTCATCCCTACATGTTGCAAAATTCAGATAAGAATGAATTCGAAGAATAGCTGCATTTCATATTTGCCTTTTTGGTTCAGGGAGCGTGAATTTGGTAGGGCCATGTCAGACTGTGAAGAAAACTTCTCCTCATCTCTAGTTTCTACAAAGTGAATTGCTGGAGATGAAAATTGAGAACGTTAGAAGGAGTACCTTGCTGGATTGTAGGGAAGGCCCCTTTAATCCATCATCCTCTTTCCAACGGGCAGATGCTTCTGAGAGAGCCCAGAAGAGAGTAGTGAACAGGTGAACCTGTCAGTTTCGGTTTCTCATTTTTCCAGTCTTTAAGTGAAGTGTGTGTGTGTGTGTGTGTGTGTGAGAGAGAGAGAGAGAGAGAGAGAGAACAAAACAAAACCTCATGAAAATTCATCAGCCTTTCAGTGCAGATTTCTCTTAATAGGTGCACATTTGGATGCAGTTTTGCCTAATATGCAGTTTTTCGCAAAGCCATTTCCCCCCAACATAGTGCATTTTTGTAAATTGCTTTCACTAACATGTGCACCTCTATGCACAGTTTAGCAGATGCATTTTTGTATGCATTACTTGGCTGGAGAACTGCACTGCAAAATTCAAAAAAGTGTGAATTTTGGAGAGCGGCTGTGTTTTGGTCCCTGTATTGTTTTGGAAAATGTGAATTAGCTAAGCTTGCCTCTGAATCTGAACTGGATCAGATTTTATCCTCCCAAGCAGAGCAGGAGGGCAGCAGCTCTTCCCTCCTGCTCACCTCCTCTCTTCCTTCCAGCAACTGATAACCAGAGACATGCCACCTTTGTAATCCAAGTCTTCCCCTAGAGTCTTCTCTCTTTCTTTTTAATGTACATGCAGTCTCAAGCGATTGCATATGCTGGGGAGAAAGTGGCGGCAGCAACTTCCCAAGCAGATGCTCTTTGCCTCTCCCCTTCCAACCGTGCCCCGCTGACCTCTCTGCAGGAGATAATTCCCCCCAGCTGATCCTTCCCTTGCACTGTCACAAAATAATCCCTGTAGCTGTAATTCCAGCAATTAAACCGGCTTGCCCTGTTGGCCTCAGAACTGCATCGCTGCATTGTCCCCGGGACTCTCATCCGAAGTCCACGAGGATGCGGCGACGCTGGCGTTCTGCGTCCTAACCTGTTAATATTTCCTGACACTTTGCTTATGGTTTGTGTCATCAGATTTGCCTGGAGAGGCGGTGGCAGTGCCTGCATTTTGTTGTTGCTGTGAACATCACAGTGACAGGTGGCCTTTTTGCTTTGGGCAATCTCCAAGGAAACGAGTGCAGATCTTTCTGCTTGCCGGCGTTAAAGTACCACTTAAAAATGGGGATACTTTGTGTGAAAAGGAGCCCTCTTGCCGACGGCTTGACGGAGATCAGCAGCAGCAGGCATTTGAGTGAGAACGAGAGGAGAAGGATGAGGTGTTTGTTTTTGTGTTGGCTCTTATCCAATCAAGACTGGAACCCTTTCCAGATCTGCCACAGGCTCCCTGTTCAATCTTGTGTATGCCTCTAATGACCTCTTTCCAGAAGTTTGGAAAGAATGTAGACTGAACTTATGAAGGGGGCAGGTGCAGGTAAGGACCAACCAGGTTCAAAACTAACTGGATGGCAGGTGCATTTAACAATAGGCGGTGGTCCAGTCGTGAGCAATTTCAGAAGCCTGGTCGCAATCTGTGGAGCCTGAGATTAAAATTGCCACTGCTGCCCGAGTGATCTGCCGCTGCTTGCCCTGAAGCGGGGCTCAGCTGGTAGGCACTGTGGGTCCTTGAAGACAGAGAGAGAGCCATGGATGGAGTGCAAGGGGCCAGTTGGCCGCTGACTCTTCGCTGGCTTGTGGAGGAGGAGGAAAGAAGGAGAAGGGGACAAGAAAGCCAGCCTGCATGATCCATTTCTCCTCTCCCTTCATCTCCCCCCTCCCCAGCTCTCCCCATTGGCCTTATAATATGTTAGGGAGTGGGGAGAGACAAAGCAGACTGCCCCTCCCCAGTTTGATTAATTTTCTTCTTCACCTTCTCCCTTCGCCCTTCTTGGCTTGCCCCCTACGCTTCACCTCTCCACTCTTCCTTAACGCTGGGAGTGGGCAAGAGCCCCCTGAACAGCCCCTTTCATTCTGCTTATTTTTGTTATTCTGAAGTATCTTGTGTGGGGCTTATTCCCAAGTAAACACACCCTCTACCAGCCCATGGGGCACGCACCTCTGTTCTAAGTACAGTGGGGTAAAAAGGCATGTGGGGGGGGCGGCTCTTATAGCTGGTAACTGTTTGTTTTTTTATGAACTGGTAGAATTGGGAAGGAATCCAAGAGCAGAGAGAGAGAGGAGGCTTAGATGACAGAGAGTGAGTTGGGAGCCTTGCATGGACGCTTCTAGGAAGGCACCCAGTCGGGGCCTCCTCAGCCTCTCTCAGCACCATTTTCGGCTCGACTCAGTGTCCTGTGTAGCACAGGTTGGATGGGGAGGAAGGAGGGCATGTGGAGTGAAGGAATGACCGCTGGGTATGGAGCACACTTCCACCCGCAGACAGGCCTCAGCTGTCTGATCGCGTGACCTTCGGGTGTGGAGCACACTTCCACCCGCAGACAAACCACAGCTATCTGAACATCATGCCCTCTATCTAACCTTTGCTCTCTCAGTGGTCTGCCATGCCCTGTCTGTGACCTTTGTCTCCTTCGTCATCCATTGTGCAAGGGGAAAGTGACATGGTGGAAACAGTTGCCAAAATAACTTTGCACCACCCCACGATCGCGGGATTGGAAGATGTGTAAAGGTCACAGTCCAAAATGTACTGGTTTTGCCTATTGTGCTAATAAAAAGAGCCTCTGCAGAGCTAGCTGGCAGCTTGCCTGTGCACAGTTCACCTGCATTACCAACTCCTGCCTCATATCCTCCACTTTCCCAGGGAAGAGGATGCGGAGGGAGGAGTTCCAAGGGCAGCCCCTGTTGCCTGTTTACTCAGCATAGGTCCTCCCTGAGCCACCTGCTTGCTCCCAGCTCTCATGCCTTCCAGTGGGAGCTGGCGGGGTGCCTGGCTGAGTGAAACATGTGGAGTCCTTTGGTCTGCTTGGCACTCCTGCTGGTGGTGGGCATGCACATCAGCCTCGCCTACCAAGGTAGGGGGCTGAGATATAGGGACAGAAGTGGGGGAAAGAGAGAGGGGGTGGCGGTGACAGCAGAACAGGTGTGTTGGCCGTCTTGTGCGAAAGGGGTATTAATTCAGAACCATGTGGGGGATGACAGAGTCTCGGGTCTGTGTGAGACACTTTTGAAGAAAGGGACACTGCAGCCACCTGGCCGAAAGTTACACTGACAGTGGAAAAGCAGCAGGTTTTTTTTTGGAGGGGGGGTGGACCCTTCACTCCCTTGTGAGCAACAGACTGAAATGAAGGAGAATATAGTGTGCCTGCCGTGGGTTTGCAGTTATTTGGCATAAGGTGTATCCTTTCAGAAATGGAGCATCTGGTAGTTTCTGGGGCAAGAGGAGGCTTCGTTCTTCAAGACTGTGAGGTGGTGAGGGGAGAGAGACTTTAAACTAAAAGCCTAAGTGTTTTGTCTCCGCAGCCTGTGGTAAGCTTGTGGCCTGAACCAGAGGGCCACAACAATAAAAATTAATTAATAAAAATTGTTGCTGATTTTTTTAAAAAAGTAATAATACGACCAGACCTTCTGTTTTGGCACCCCCAACTGAGGTTCTAGGAGCCATGTGGAGAATAGCTTTTTCATCCCAGTTTTATAGGGACGCAGGTGGCGCTGTGGTCTAAACTACTGAGCCTCTTGGGCTTGCTGATCAGAAGGTCGGCGGTTCGAATCCCCACAACAGGGTGAGCTCCCGTTGCTCTGTCCCAACTCCTGCCAACCTAGCGGTTCAAAAGTAGATAAATAGGTACCGCTCTGGCAGGAAGGTAAACGGCATTTCCGTGTGCTCTGGTTTCTGTAATGGTGTTCTGTTGCTCCAGAAGCGGTTTAGTCCTGCTGGCCACATGACCTGAAAAGCTGTCTGTGGATAAACGCAAGCTCCCGCAGCCTGAAAGCGAGATGAGCACCACAACCCCATAGTCGCCTTTGACTGGACTTAACCATCCAGGGATCCTTTACCTTTTTACTTTTTATCCCAGTTTCTAACACTGGGTCCAACGTGCCATGATTGCTGAATTATACCAAGCCGAGATACGTACTGGGCAAGGATAGCTTTATGCCATCAACAAAACAATACGAGCACTTGCATAACTGGAGCTCTAGTTCTGCGCAGAACACCACTCTGCTGGAAAAGCATCATTGCGCAGTTCAAACTCCCTGTTTCGATGAACACCAAGCAGATGAATGTCACTGACATCTCAGGGAGGAGCGACACACACACACCTTATGTCACTCCCGAACCTCAAGCTTGCTCCTGGTGCTCAGATCCGGCCATCAAGACCTTCCCCTTAATATTCATGCACAGCTGCTAGGATGGTGGGGCCGAAAGATACTCCGAAGTGTGAGGGGTTGTAAAGGAAAAAAAGGATAAATCTTCATAAGATCCACTCATGGAAAAACCTCACAGAATATATAAACAGATGTAAATAAAGAATTTATATCCTGGACCTTCAACATACATTTCTGTTCCCAGGGCAGCTACTAGAGTATTATTATTATTGTTGTTGTCGTTGTTATTATTATTATTATTATTATTATTCTGCACTAAATTTTCTCAAAGTGATTTACAATTGTATAAGCATGCGAAGCTTCAAAACATTCCAAAGAAGATAAAAAGAACATGTTTAACTGAAAGTGCTCATCCTGCAATATTATAAAAGGATGATCTTGTCCCACTCCACTAAAAGATGAATGCTAAAGACTTACTTAAGGGTAGTAAGAAAAGAAATAATAATAATAATAATAATAATAATAATAATAATAATAATAATTGTTGTTGTTGTTGTTGTTGTTGTTGTTGTTGTTGTTGTTGTTTTATTATTCTAATAATAATAATAATGGCATAAAAACTAACACAGCAAATTAAAACACAGAACTAAAATGGCAACAGCCCATTCAGACGAAAATCCAACTGTTCTGCTTTAAAAATAATAATAATAATGCTCACATTAGCAGTTCTTAAATGCCTGGGAGAACAAAGGGTTTTGCCTGGTACCTAAATGATAGTAGTAACAAGGTGTCCAGGCAGGATTCCATAGTGAGCGTCTTTCCAAGGGGAAAAGTCACCACAGAACAGGCTTTCTCCCTAGTTGTCAGCTGCCCTGCTTCAGACAGCAAAGGCCCTCAGGTATGGGGTCAGAGATGGCAATCTCAGAGGATGAGCCCAGGGGCTGAATGTCTGCTTTGCATGTGGACGTTCCCAGGTTCAGTCCTTGGTTTGTCCGTTTAGAACAGTTGGGTTTTAGTGTAAGTCCAAAGGGGAGAAGGTGATGTGAAATACTTTTCTGTGCCCGAAACCTTGGAGATTCCGGCAGTCCATATGGACAATAGACATACTGGCAGAACCCTGAGCATACAGGGAACTTGAGGAAGGCTGGACAGGTAATCCATTTGTACCTTGATTTTAAAACATTGTTTGGACCATCTCTCACCAGGGTCTGCACAAGAGGGTAGTAAGGTTGGTCCAGCAGAGGCCCTCGTGCCTCAGCTATGCTACCATTTCCACTTCGCATATAGGGTTGCCAAGTGCCCTCTTTTTCCAGGACATGTCCTCTTTTACAGGGGTAAAACTTCTGTCCAGCTGGATTTTTTACATTCACCAAAATGTCTCTGGATATACTTTCTGGATGAGACATGGACATAACTGGTTGCTGAAGACTTGCTTTCCTCTTCTCTTCTGCTACCCCCCTCAGTGATATATCACAGCTTCTATAGCCTACATATAGTAGGGGTATTTAAAATGAGAGTCATCATAGCGTCCTCTTTTTTTTTTGATCTTCAAAATATGGCAACCCTAAGAAGATCTGAGGCAGCTTAAGAGTTTGCATGCCTTGCCTTTTCTGTATTAAGGCTGCTTGCTGAGGGCACTATGGGACCGCCTCTCCTGGTATGCCCTGCGGAGGACCTTAAGCTCCACAAATGACAACATTTTGGAGGTCCCAAGTCGCAAGGTGATTAGGGCCAGGGCCTTTTCAGTACTAGCCCCAACTTGGTGGAACACTCTGTCACAAGAGACTAGGGCCCTGCGGGACTTGACATCTTTCCGCAGGGCCTGCAAGATGGAGCTGTTCCGCCTGGCCTTTGGTTTGGACTCAATCTGACCCTTATGTTTCCCTCCCCTTATGGTTTTGATCTATGGGCTACTTTTAAAATGAGGCTGCATTTTAAATGGCATTTTAACCTATATTTTAAATTGGTTTTTACTGTAATTTTTACTGGTGTTAGCCACCCGGAGCCTGGCTCTGGCCAGGGAGGGCAGGGTATAAATAAATTTATTATTATTATTATTATTAGTTCAGGGCTCACACAAAATCCTAGAGCCAGCACTGGTTGCCCCTGTTTTGTTTAGGGGCACAGGGGAGGATCTCATGTCAGAAGATGGAAAAGGCCGGCGCTAATGCTGAGGTCTGCAATTGTGATACCATTTGAATCTGCAAGGAGCTGATAGGAGCGAAGGAGCAGGAATTGTTTGGTAAATCATCTAGACGCCTTATCAAGCAGGATGTTAAGTGCGGCTTCCTGTTGTTGTCTCAGGCGTTTCCAGGGTTTTGTTTCACCAAAGTGTTCTGTGGAAATGGCTGGGCCCGATGTCAGCGTGCCGTTCCTGTGACGCAAGGCGAGGGCATCTTATTGCCATTGTCTTGCATCCTCCAGTGAAACGCTTGGCCTTGGAAGGCAGGAAATCCCTTTGGTCTGAAAGCAGATGGTGTATTCTTTAAGGAGACCAAGCAGGGTGGGAGAAGAATGGCACCTTGGCTGTTCCTCGTGCACAGGAACCGCCTTCATGGCTGATATGTGAGGAACAGCCTTAGATTGAACCAGTCCCATTTGGGGGATTCGCTTTTTCAAACCTCTCTCTGTTCAGACTCAAAGCTCACTGGGTGACATTGGGCCAGGGTCAAGGCTTACCTTGTGAGGTTGTTGTGCGGCTAAAATGAGGGAGGGAAACCCGTCTTCACCGCCTGCTGCTCCATGGAGGAAGGAGTGCACTATAAATGTAATATATAAAAATTATGGTGAACTAGGTGGCGCTGTGGGTTAAGCCATAGAGCCTAGGACTTGCCGATCAGAAGGTCGGCGGTTCGAATCCCCGTAACAGGGTGAGCTCCCGTTGCTCGGTCCCTGCTCCTGCCAACCTAGCAGTTCGAAAGCAAAGTGCAAGTAGATAAATAGGTACCACTCCAGCAGGAAGGTAAACGGCGTTTCCGTGCGCTGCTCTGGTTCTCCAGAAGCGGCTTAGTCATGCTGGCCACATGACCCGGAAGCTGTACGCCGGCTCCCTCAGCCAATAAAGCAAGATGAGCGCTGCAACCCCAGAGTTGGCCACAACTGGACCTAATGGTCAGGGGTCCCTTTATCTTTACCTTTAGGATGGACCAGAAACTATATCTGATGGGGTGTACCTTGGTGTCAGGGAACTGCCACCAGCTCAGAGGCGAGAGGTGGAAGGGCAGTTGTGTTATAGGGAACCTCCGAAAGTCTTGCAAAGCAGTTCCTCCTCTGGCGAGGAGGAAAGCCCCACCTCTAGTGGAGAGGAGGTGGTGGAACCAGGGGATGCTAGGGAGAGCCTCAACATTGACCCTGAACAGGGAGAGAGGAGGGAAGTACCCCTTTGCCAGCGCCCACGCTGCGCAGTAGGTTTTGGCACAGGAAGGGGAGGAGAAGGTTGGGGGCAAAGCGACTGTTATGCTGGGGGAGGTACAAGGACCGAACACTCCCAGATTCTGCTAGCGACTGAGCCAGACATGAACTTACGATGCTCTTCACTGTAAATAGTTTTGCACTAAGAATAAAGCCTGGAAAAGACAGGTTGGAGTCTTGCCTGTTTGCTCTCGAGCAACCACACCACCATCTGACACTTGGTAATATGCTGCCCTGTGTGAGGCCAACAGTTGACGCCCTTCCTGCTGTCATGGAATTCTACTCAATATGATCCAGAGCAGAACTCTGACATATAGTTAGCGGAAGAAGAAGAAGAAGAGTTTGGATTTGATATCCCGCTTTATCACTACCCGAAGGAGTCTCAAAGCGGCTAACAATCTCCTTTCCCTTCCTCCCCCACAACAAACACTCTGTGAGGTGAGTGGGGCTGAGAGACTTCAAAGAAGTGTGACTGGCCCAAGGTCACCCAGCAGCTGCATGTGGAGGAGCGGAGACGCGAACCCGGTTCCCCAGATTAGGAGACTACCGCTCTTAACCACTACACCACACTTAACTTAAAACACGTTGCAGGATTTCCCCCCCAAAAATAAGCCAGAAGCAATTAATATTTCATCCAGCAGAGCTTTACAGCTACTGAAGGCAAATGAGCATAATGTTCACTAATCCAATACATTCAGGATTGGCCCTGTCCATAAGAAGTCCAGTTGCAGCAGACTTAAATTAAACTTACAATAACTTACAATAAGTCTAAACCTTAACACTAAGCATACTATGTACAGAACGCCACACCAGAAGGAAGAGAGATAGAAAGTGAAAGTGAACCTCCCCCAGGCTCCTTCTGGCCTTACTTTTATATTCAGCATGACCTTGACAGAAAGAGATAACGGGACCAGTTTAAGCCAGCGGTGCTCAGCTTCTCTGAAGGAATAACCCAAACACCACGAACCTTCTGCTGGTTTCTTTCACACAGAGAAGCTTCCAGAACCCTCTTAAATTAAGTAGAATAGAAAACACATCAGATCAATACTGCACTAAGAAATGCAAACTGACACCTGCAGCCCTCGCAGAATGGCCTAAGCCCAATAAACAAGATGACAGGCTTTGGGATGGAGGCGAAAGTGAAGGCTCTGGCAGGGTCCTAGTGCCTTTCCACCCAGTGGTGGACCTACATTCTGGTGGTCCTAAAGCTTGAACTGTTTTGGGGGGGCCCTTTGCAACCAGCAACAAGGTCTGGGTAACCATTGTTACCTGTTACCTTCTTCAATGGGGTTGTTCCGTCTACTGGATTACCTTACATGTCAAAAGTCACCGGTGTAAATAAAATAAAATATTCCTATGTGTCAGTTATAGTTTTTGAGTTGTGTGTGTGTGTGTGTGTGTGTGTGTGTGTGTGTGTGTAAATTTGGGAAATCGTATATACATGCAAGACTAAAGTCGTTTCTGGGGGCCCTCCAGGATTAGGGGCCTTGAAGCTTAAGCTTTATTAGTTTCATAGTAGATCCTACCCTGCTCTCAAGTTATTTTCCATGTCAGATTAGAAAGCCCTCCACTCAAAGCTGCAATAAATAAATAAATTCCTGCCCATCCCACTTCATTAGTGACCATGCGTAGAGAAAGCACACATGACTGATATTTTGTAAAGGGAATTGCAAGGTTGCTGGTGCATCGAAATTCATCAGACAACTGGTTTCTGGTCACTAGTTCTTGCACACCAAGCTCCCCTTGTAACAGACTGCATTTCTGATGCTAACCAACATTGCCGTCATATTATTTCTGGGACTTAGGCGAGGAGCAGGCAATGGGCAACGTCTGAAGGATGCATGATAATTCTCCCAACCTCGTGGGCAATTCTCTCTTCTCGCTGACATCTTCTGTGGTATCGCAATGTCAGGAAGATGCAGAGCGTTCCAAGAGCATGCGATTTCAGCTGATGTTTTGCCCCGGAGCTTCCATGCTCCCATCGGAAGAGTCAGAATCGAGCCCGTCGCTTTCAGGAGCCATTAGCTTCTCTCTTGAACATGCTGGTCGGGGCTGCTACAATTAAATCATTAAGAGCTCCCCAAGTGGACCTCTGATGAGGAGGAGGATTTTTTCATGCCTGGAAAGGGCTTCACACGAATGCATCACAACACCGTCAATCTCCCCTTCGTGTTTGCTCCTTGCCCAGTGGTCCTTGGTCATCAGGGCTACAGAGAAAATGCTCAGTGGAAGAAAATTGAAGATGGGGGAAGGGGGATACTGCTCCTTCTCTTTGCCATATTCAGCAGTGATCTGTAAATCTCTAAAAGGACACTATCCATGCCCAACAGAGATGTGTCAGCATAGTTAGAGGACCTGCTAGGTTTGCAAAAAGCAAAAACATAAAAGCAAATAAAAAACGAGAGGGGTGGGGAGAGAGAGAGATCCTTTAAGGTTTGTGGGGATTGGCAAAAACAGCCCATCAAGGATGTCGAGAGGGTGCGGAATGGAGTTTTCTGGAAGAGGGCATGGCTGGCACCTTGAACAGAAGCACGTTCCGCTCTGCAACATTTTGTTGCAGGTTTCACTTGTTTTTATTTATGTATATAACAGGGGTCCCCAAACTAAGGCCCGCGGGTCAGATAAGGCCCAAGGGACTCATTTATCCGGCCCACGGTGACCCCAGCTGCCGCTGCCCACTCTTACCGGCACTGTGTTGCATGGCTGCCCACTTCTGGTACAGAGGAGCACCAGAAATAGCTTGTGTGCATGCGGAGGAGGAGGCCCGTGCCCATGCACACAAGCTATTTCCGGTGCTCCTCTGACCCGGAAGTGCGCCGGAAATAGCGTGTGTGCACGCATATGGGCATGCGCTCCCCTGCCCTCTGGCCCGCCACGTTATCGGCGCTGGAGACACTGGCCCGAGGCACGGTAAGTTTGCTGACCCCTGGTATATAATATAAAGTCTGTGCACATGGATGTCTGTAGATAGGGAGTTTCAGAGGGCAGGTGCCGCCATGGTAAAGGTCTAATTCTGACATCATACAGAAGAGGCATCCGAATGAGATGGTATCTGCTGGCGAATGCAGTGATTGGTGGGGAGGTGATCTTCTGGGTATCCTGGCCCCCAACTGTTCAGGACGCTAGCTCCCATAAGCCCCAGCCATTCTCCCCACAGAACTACAGTTCCCAACGTGGTTTAACAATCAATTCTTCTTCCAGGTAACCCTGGGAATTGTAACTCCGTGAGGGGAATAGGGATTTTCTAACCATTCTCAGCAAACTACCGTTCCCAGAATTCTTTGGGGAGATTTCATGGTGGTCTAAAGTGATATGGCACTGCTTTAAATGCATAGTGCAGACAGGGCCTAAGACAGTCATGGTCGGCAAGTTTCCCATTTCCCCCCTTTGCAGGATTTCCCGCTCTTGAGTGGGCTGGATATTGGAATGCAGTTGTTTTGTCGATAGCTGATGTAAAATGCTTTGGCATCAAGAATGTTCTGTGCTCAGAGTTCAGAGAACAGTTGCCCTCTTCAAGCATGTGTGTTTCTTTAATTAATCAGCTTTCACAGTCCCAAAATAGAAATACTAATGAGAGAGGGTAGTACCGCTATGGCCTCTGTGAGCTTGATGGGTTGTTTTGGAATGTACAACCCTCAGAAAGGCCGGGTGTCTGGAGGCGACAACCGTGCTCCAATTAATTTGCACAGATTGAACTGTCTTTACCTGCCATTCTGAGGATTGCTACATGCAAATTCTGCATGGTAGAACAGAGGTGTGTGAGATATTCCAGTCCAAGCATTTTCCCTCCCTAAACCGGTGGAGTTCCACTGAAAGAATGTGTGGAACATTCCAGAAATGGTGAACATTTTTCTCTTGGAAGAACTGCTACAAATCGGATTATTGCATTGGGCGGGCTGTTGCGTTGGAAGAGCAAAAAATTTCCATTAAAATCTCTTTTAATGGAGCAGTTGATGTTGGAACCCATAGCAACAAGATCGTTAGGCGAAATATGTCATTGACACGCCTCACTTGTGACGGAAGGATCATTTGGGTCACTAGGCACACTGAGAACTTATCCGATTCATCCACCTCCCATTTAGCTGTTTTCCTCTTCAGATCCCACCACCATATTATCTTTAAACCTGGTTCAGACATAATAGGAAATCATGGTTTTCTGCAACATGAATGAGCTTGCATAAGCTTAAGGTCCTGTGCTCTTCCCTCACCATCTCTCTCCTCCCCATTTGTAGTTGCAGGGATGATATGGGAATCCTACAGCCCTGCTTCCAGTTTTAAGCAAACCTCTGTTCCTTGTGGTATCAGAACTCAGGGAACTGTGGTTTGTTTAAGCGCTGCTTAGTGAGAGCTATTGAGAACCTGAAACCCTCCTCTGATCTTGGCTTGTTTCATTAACTAGAGTAAATAAAAAAACCCCCCACATTTCCCAGTTATAGGAGGGAAGCTGTGTTTTGTTGGAAGCACCTGCTTCCACTTTTAATTTTAGCTCATAACCATAATAGAGGAGCACAAACATGAGGTCTGGGCGAGCTCAGGGCTAAATTACGCACCATCCTAAATGCTAAAGCACACCTACCAATCTTGCCTCTTGCTGTGGCAACCCTGCCTTCCACTGAAAGCAACGGTTGAACAAAATGAATGAAATAGTAATGATGAATGAGTAAAAACCAAGTGTCATTTTAGTGAACGAATAACTAAGTAGCTGTGCAATTTAATAATGAACACAAATGGAGTACAGAAAAGATTTACGCCTACTTGCACATCTCCAACCACCAAATATAACGTCAGAAACAGTTACAAAAATGGCACAGGCATGGGAAGTTGGCAGAGTCTGATGAGTTCTGGTCATCGCCCATGGTTTTTAAAATGTATTTATTACAAGAATATTTATACACTGCCAGCAGGGTAGCAGAATTTCCAGATGGTGTACATTTAATTCATTAAAACATCACCGAACTATCTGAAAAAGAACCAATTGCCAACACTGAGTCATGCGATGGATTCTCTCCAATTGTTGTTGTTGTTTAGTTGTTTAGTCGTGTCCGACTCTTTGTGACCTCATGGACCAGAGCACGCCAGGCACTTCTGTCTTCCACTGCCTCCCGCAGTTTGGTCAAACTCATGCTGGTAGCTTCGAGAACACTGTCCAACCATCTCGTCCTCTGTCGTCCCCTTCTCCTTGTGCCTTCCATTTTCCCCAACATCAGGTTCTTTTCCAGGGAGTCTTCTCTTCTCATGAGGTGGCCAAAGTATTGGAGCCTCAGCTTCATGATCTGTCCTTCCAGTGAGCACTCAGGGCTGATTTCCTTCAGAATGGATAGGTTTGATCTTCTTGCAGTCCATGGGACTCTCAAGAGTCTCCTCCAGCACCATAATTCAAAAGCATCAGTTCCAATAGGAGCCCATAAAAACTTCACAACTGGATTGGTAGTTGGCACTCTCACTTCCAATGGCTGAGGAAAGCTTTCATTTTCCTGGTGGTGCTTTATTTGAGGGATGGCCTCTGCATCACCTATAGTAAATAAGCAACATCTGTGTCTGTGCTACCCAGTTGTTATTTTTTTCTGAGCATGTTCTAATCCAAGAGTAGCCAGCATAGACTTCAGCTTCAGATAACCATTCTGAGTGGAGCTGAGTCCAGCCACATCTGGAGGGTATCAGTTGACTGCTCCTCTTCTGATCTACAGTGGTACCTCGGGTTAAGAACGTAATTCATTCTGGAGGTCCGTTCTTAACCTGAAACTGTTCTTAACCTGAAGCACCACTTTAGCTAATGGGGCCTCCTGCTGCCGCCGCACCGCCGCCGCACGATTTCTGTTCTCATCCTGAAGCAAAGTTCTTAACCCGAGGTAATATTTCTGGGTTAGCGGAGTCTGTAACCTGAAGCGCCTGTAACCTGAAGCATCTGTAACCCGAGGTACCACTGTATAGCATACTGAACTAGGTACAGTGGTACCTCGGGTTACAAACCCGCACTTCCAGAAATCACTTCTGTGCATGCCCAGACGCCAGAAATTGCATCTGTGCATGTCTGCGGTGCCAGAAATCGCTTCTGCGCATACCCGGATGCTGAAAATCACTTTGATTTTCGGAAATGCACAGAAGCGATTTCCGGCGCTGCGGACATGCACAGACGCGATTTCCAGCATCGCGCTGCACTGGTCCGGCCCACGGAGGATCTCCGCGGGAGTGATCCAGCCCATGCCGGGTAAGCCTTGCCAACCCCTGCTCTTTGCCTGCTAAATATTCACGGGAACTATGATGGATCCTAGGATCTGAGAAGCAACTGACACCTCTCTCACTCTCTCTCTCGGCAGGCCTTTCTTACGGTGCGCTGCAGGTCCAGGTCGGAGCAAAGTCAGTGGTGGTGATTCAAGGACAGCGGGCCATCCTGCCTGTTTGGTATACACCTGAGAGCACGGAGCAGCCCTTTGTCACCTGGCACCTTGAAAGGCCTCATAAACATTCACAGGTAAAGTCCAATTCTGCCTGGGCAGGAAGCTCACTGGTTGGCCTAGCTTACGCAGTGTCAGGCTTCACTGAGAGCCAGTGTGGTGTAGTGGTTAAGAGCGGTGGACTCGTAATCTGGTGAACCGGGTTCACTTCCCCGCTCCTCCACATGCAGCTGCTGGGTGACCTTGGGCTAGTCACACTTCTCTGAAGTCTCTCAGCCTCACTCACCTCACAGAGTGTTTGTTGTGGGGAGGAAGGGAAAGGAGATTGTTAGCCGCTTTGAGACTCCTTCGGGTAGTGATAAAGCGGGATATCAAATCCAAACTCCTCCTCCTCCTCCTTTTCTTCTTCTTCTTCTTCTTCTTCTTCTTCTTCTTCTTCTTCCCCCGTGGCCATAAATGAGCAGATCAAACGAAAGGGAATCCTTGCCAGTTAGTTTCTTTAATGAATACAGAGAAGGACAAAAGAAAGAAGCATCTAACCAGAATGGCAGTGCTTCCGATTAAGATCACTCCCCGCTCTGTCCCTATTAATCTATGTCACTTTGCTGTTTAAAAAGATTTTCTTGGTTGATGTTTGCAGTGTTGGCTGTTCCCCGCCCCCTGCCCCCCCCCACTTCCATTTTTCACAATTGACTTCCCCTCCCAGAAATGAAACTTGAAATCTATATTTCCTTGTTGTAATTGTTGCTGATTTAAAGCTCTGTAACGTTTGTGTTGCAATTTGGGTTCCTTGTGATGGCAAAGCGTGAAATATACACCATATGAGAAGGAGATATTTGATGACTGTGAGCTTTGATTTACCAGGGCATCTAACACCTGAAGATCTATAACTTGGGTCTCCAGGTGTTTTTGGACTACAACTCCCATCATCCCTAGCTAGCAGGACCAGTGGTCTGGGATGATTGGGACTGTAGTTCAAAAGCAGCTGGAGACCCAAGTTTGGGAAACCCTGGTCTATAGGTTTCCCATCCTAGGCTTAGCTTCATACTCAAAGGTATCATTAGTGTGTCAGTAAGCAAAGTTGCATGTGCGCAGTCAATTTGCAGAATTCCTTCCTGGGGTAGAAGTGGCCTTTACCAGCCCAGAATGACAGTTTCATTTATGCACAGCTTGAATGTTTTTATTTATTTATTTTATAATTGGTCCTGTGACTGGGGAGAGACTGTTGTTTTCATTTCCTATTTCCATCTTTGCTCGGTTCTTTGACCAGCTGACAGGCTGCTAAAAATTGTCCAAAGCCCACTTGAGTTGAGAGAATTTTTAGCTGACGGGCTCCTAAAGCTTTGCTTCAACGCTGAGTGGATTTTAGCAGCCTGTCATCCGGTCAGCGAGAAATAGCGTCGTGCAAAGATAATTGTGATGATTTGAAGGGTCTGTTTCTGCAAGCAGGGATTCATACATTTCCCCTAAACTAATCTGTAGGAGAAAATGGGCCTCTCGTCTCCATGTAACAACACTTAGCATTAAGATGAAGCTTCAGGACATTTGAAGAGCTTTATAGCCTTCCAAGAATTGCTATGAAAATGATGGGGGTTTAACTGTCCCAATTAGGCATCGAATAAAATGTTAGGGAGGTTCTCAGGCTGGGTGGACAGCGGCATCTCCTGACAGTTACACCCCAGTGTTATAAGAAAAACCTGCTCCTTTTCCCTTATGGGGTATTCTAGAGGCCGTACAGAGTGGGTCCCCTATCGGTTGGAGAAAATAACAGAGGCCAACCAGAGTATTCTTTGGCGATCACTCACCATAGCCTAGTAAGATTGTCTTCCATAAACATGGCTTTAACAATGAGTCCGTAAGTGACTGTGGAGGCCAATTCTGGATCCACACATCCTTCCACAGTGGGGACATTGAGCAAAGCAGCTAGTAAGCCTGATCTTTATTCAAGGAACTGTTGCAACAGGGTCCCAACACGCAGGAGAGAGAACTCTGAACAATGGCTTATATAGACTTTTGAAATTGCCCACCCTGTAGACCAAGACCACCTCCCCAAAACATCATGCATACATCAAAGAAGGAGGCGGTCTACAGCAGAAATCCTGTTTGCCCAGGTACCTGATAATGGTCACTGATTGCATTACCTGGGCAGCCTGGCAATTCTTTTGTGATGGTTAATACTTTAGTTCCTGAATCCAGGTCACAGGCTCACCCTATTCATACACAAATACTTCCTTAAGGCAGAATTTGCAAGCAAAAAGACAATGGGAAGGCTTTCCCCATTTGCCTCCCTTATTGCAAAGGAATATTTGAGGCCCTTGGGAGAGTCAAAATGACTTCAGGATTGCTCTCCCATACTATTTCAGACACATGGCTCGTATATTTAGATATGTGTGCATTTATGAATATTTATTCTAAATTTGAGACCTTAAAATTATTATAACACCAGCACCCACACATTAGGCTGTATATGTGTAGAACTGGAACTGGCGTCAACAGTCTGGGTGGTTGGGCATCTGCCGGGAGCTCTCAGCCCTGCAGGGGAACCTTTTTTTAAAAAAAATAAATATATTAACCGACCAATCAAAGCAAATCAAATCACATCACATAAATTCCGAATTACAAAGCCGAATTTTAAATTTTTGTTGAGGGGACCCATATTTCAAGTTCTGAAGGGGGATTCCGATCATCTTCTTGCTACTGTGTTCATATCCAAATCAGTCCAAATAAAGTTCATAATTCTATCCAGTCTTATTCTTGCTGTTTCCACGTCTCATCTTGTTCGTATATTTTTTTCTTTTTTCTTTATGCTCTCTTCTGATAATCTCCTTAAGCAGATAAACGCCAATTATATCCTGTGTGGATTTTTCCGTTCGTCCAATCCTCATATCGAGATGGTTTCCATATATCATCACTTTTATAAATAACATCGCTCTTTCCATCATTAATCTCAGGATCTGTCGTTCTTAAGTCCCACTGAGGAGTCTCACCCACAATATAAAAACAGCTCTTTTCCTCCTCCCAGACTCAAGTCCTCCGACAGAGCTTGCCAATATGGCGACGGTATTTTTAACTGCGTCATTCCAAAGCTCTTAAACTTTCCACGCTCTTCTTAAAACATGCTTTGGTTAGAAAATCTATCTGCACACAGTCGTAAATCCACAGCTTAAGTCATTAAAACGGCATTTCTGACTTGTGGGGGGGGGGGATTCTTGTTTAATCACATAGAGGAAAGAAAGGAAAGTTTTTTCTCCCTCCCCCATCCAGTCCCTTTGCCATACCGAGTCTTGGCATATCTCCTCATGATTGATTCTTGTTCCTCCGACTCGTCTTGTTTAGCAGAGAACTCTTCAGTTAGCAGTCTTTACTCCCCCTCCTTCCTTGAAATATGTGCATTCGCTTCTTCCTAATTGTTCCTTTTGAAGTTCTTGCAGCTAGTGGCGCGGATCAGAGACAGCGTCCAGGAGCACCGAGATCCACAGGAGGGCATTCTGCCTTGTGCCCCCATCCCCACAAATTTGGGGGTGGTATAGGGCACAGCAGGCAAGGGCAGCCCCCCCACAACCTTGGGGGGGGTAGGGAGGCTATTTACTCCCATCACAGCCTCCTAATTACCTCCTGTGGGTCGGAGAGATGTTATTGTCAGCCATCTTCCGATGCGCCCCTAGTGGCCCCCGCCCTGCAGGGGAACCTATGACCCTCCAGATGTTGTTGAACGTCCACTCCCGATAGCCGAACTGGTAGAGCACAAGACTCTTAATCTCTTAACCTCAGGGTCATGGGTTTGAACCCCACATTGGGCAAAAGATTCCTGCATTGGAGGAGGTTGGACTAGATGACCCTCATAAGGTAAAGGTAAAGGGACTCCTGACCATTAAGTCCAGTCGCGGACGACTCTGGGGTTGCAGCGCTCATCTCGCTTTACTGGCCGAGGGAGCCGGTGTACAGCTTCTAGGTCATGTGGCCAGCATGACTAAGACGCTTCTGGCGAACCAGAGCAGCGCACGGAAACGCCGTTTACCTTCCTGCCGGAGCGGTACCTATTTATCTACTTGCACTTGACGTGCTTTCGAACTGGTAGGTGGGCAGGAGCAGGGACCGAGCAACAGGAGCTCATCCCATCGCGGGGATTCGAACCGCCGACCTTCTGATCGGCAAGCCCTAGGCTCTGTGGTTTAGACCATAGCACCACCCTCATACTCTCTTCCAACTAGATAATACTATGAAATCTATGAAACTCCCATCAGCCTCTGCCGACATAGTGAATGGACAGGGATGATGGGATTTGTAGTCCAATGGCATATGGAGGGCCCCACATTGGCTAACACTTATTTATACTCCCCTGCTTATTTTATTTTATTTAGAAACTCATATCCTGCTTTTCAAAGCAAAAAAAAAAAAGACTTTCATAAGATGGGTAACAAAATAAACTAGCCATCAATGCAATAAATTTCAATGACACCAACCGTAATAAAATACAGTCAAACAGGTGCAATTCATTTCCATTACAGTCGTACCTTGGTTTCCGAACAGCTTGGTTCTTGAACGTTTTGGGTCCCAAACGCTGCAAACCCAGAAGTGAGTTTTCCGGTTTGCAAACTATTTTTGGAAGCCGGACGTCCAACAGGGCTTCCGCGGCTTCTGATTGGCTGAAGCAGCTTCCTACAGCCAATCAGAAGCCACACTTTGGTTTTCCAACCTTTTGGAAGTCGAATGGACGTCTGGAATGAATTCCGTTCGACTTCCAAGGTACGACTCTATACAGAAATCCCTACCAACCAATTCGCATGCGGGAATGGACTCATATACATATATATGTATCCATTACATGGCACAAAAAGGACAGGTTGCCACGGTCTGTCTAAATTTGAGACTTTTAAGCAAATTATCATACAAACTGCTAGGGGCTTTTTCTTAGAGGGGTTGTTCATTGGTCAGAAAAATGAATAGGAGCTTGTAAGAAATTGGAGTACTGTAAACTGCAGCCGCTATGGTGCCAAAAGGAAAACTTATTCTGCAACTCAATCTGCTACTTTTTGCCCTCTGCCTCTGTGGGTGTTATAGGGAAGGCTCTGCCACACATACAAAGGGAGTTTTTGCTAAGAGTTCAAGTCAGCAGAAAAGGTGACGAGGAAACTGACGGCAGCACCGGCTGTTACGAGGAGAGGCAGGAATCAGGGTGGGAGAAGAGGGTCTCTGAGGAAGAGAGGGGTTTGGAAAAAAGGATATTTTCAGCTAGAAGTGGGAGGCAGCGGACCTGGCACTATTACATAATACCCGTTTTACATTTGTAAGGAATCAACTGTTTAATGTCATAGTACTTGGACTCTGGAACTGCCTGCCTCTTGAAACCCAGCCAGATTTGGGGGGGGTGGTATAAATAAATAATAATAATAATGATAATGATAATAATAATAATTAGGCTGGCTCCTTCATCACACTTTAGGATGCCTGCTAAGAAACATTTTTGCTTAGAGAAACCTACCCAGAAATGTAGAAAGTTTGTGTTTTAATCTGTTTTTAGTTTAGCACTGATTTTTTTTAAAAATTAGGTAGTTGCTTTAAACTGTTTCTACCACTAATATTGTTTTATTCATTTGTCAACTGCTTCGAGGTCTTTTGCAATCAAGCAGTGTATACATTTTGTGAAATAAATATAAAACAAATTCATTTATTAACTTTCGCAGCCACAGTTCTCATGGGGAGTGAGGTCAAGGTTGTTTTCAGGCTGCAGGTGCGGGCTTATATGATTGGATCTATATAGGAAGCAATTCATAAATGAAATAAGAAATATACCACTGAACCGTAACAGATTAAAAGATTGTCATTGATAAATAAGCACAGCACAAATGCAGGAATACTGCGAAGTAACAAATCCCAAAGTAATTAAATCTGGAAAATGAGAATTTTTTTTAAAGGGTTTATTAACTGAATTAAAGAAAACAAAGTCAGCTAAGAGAATAATGTCTTTTTCTGCAAGTATGACCAGGGGTAGGGTTATGTCCAGCCTAGGGGCCATTCTTGGCAAGCCAGGAGGTCTAGTTTTGCCCTCCAACCCTTTTATTTTTTTGCTAAACCAGCTCCTCCCCCATGTCAATCAAGTGCCACCATCTGCCCATCATCAGCAATCACTTGCAAACGTCATAAAGGGAGTAGCCACAGGCGCTTTAGAAATGAATATTCCTTGCTGAAGAGGGGTGAGGAAACACGGCTGGTAGAGGAAATGTTTCTTTGCTGTTGATGCCCAAGTACATTTCTCACACTATTCCGAAAATCCAAATGGACTTTTTCTAGTTTTGGGTTTTTCCCTTCCCTTCGGCATCCCCGAGTCTCTTCCCAGTTTTTGCATGCACGTGTGCACGCACACCTTAAGTACATCTCAGAGCACTTTACAGTTGGTAATGGATTCAGACCCCAAAGACCCTTAGAAGCTGAGAAGTAGCATTCTTCCCATTTTACAGCTGGGTGAGTTGACGCAGGCTAGAGAGGTTGCGGATCATGAAGCCGCAGACTGATTCAAAAGTAAAATCTGCCCTCTCTGTTCGCCCAGGCTAGCTCAATACAGTGGTACCTCGGGTTACAGATGCTTCAGGTTACAGACGCTTCAGGTCACAGACTCCACTAACCCAGAAATAGTACCTCGGGTTAAGAACTTTGCTTCAGGATGAGAACAGAAATTGTGCACCAGTGGCCTGGCGGCAGCGGGAAGCCCCATTAGCTAAAGTGGTACCTCAGGTTAAGAACAGTTTCAGGTTAAGAACGGACCTCCAGAACGAATTAAGTTCTTAACCCGAGGTAAGGTAAAGGTAAAGGGACCCCTGGCCATTAGGTCCTGTCATGGCCGACTCTGGGGTTGCAGCGCTCATCTCGATTTACTGGCTGAGGGAGCTGGCATACAGCTTCCAGGTCATGTGGCCAGCATGACTCAGCCACTTCTGGCGAATCAGAGCAGCACACGGAAACGCCGTTTACCTTCCTGCCAGAGCGGTACCTATTTATCTACTTGCACTTTGACGTGCTTTTGAACTGCTAGGTTGGCAGGAGCAGGGACCGAGCAACGGGAGCTCACCCCGTCACAGGGATTCGAACCGCCAACAGTTGTAACCCGAGGTACCACTGTATATTTTCCTGCCTGAGGCTACAGAAGACTTCCTCCCCTCCCTAAATTCCGCATACTGATGCCCACCAGACAGGCAGTTTAATCGTACTTCAACACTGATGATGGTACAGCATCCTTGATTGCACCTGTGGACAAGAGGCTAGCTTAGGAGCTAATTGGAAAGGCATCAGTGGCAAGAACTGTCAGGCTTCATGGTTTGGGGCAAATATCCAGAGAAGACTCAGCAGTAATCGCTTGGGGGACTGCCACCCTCCTGTGTAGGCATGGCTGAAGTTCAATTTCTGTCATTTCCCCAATATTAAAGTTCTGTTCTCCACATCAGTTTTTTTTAAAAAAAGTCATCGTGAAAATTAATCGGTATTTTAGTGCGAGCATTGTTTGCAATTTTGCAATTTTGTTTGCAAGTTTCCCTAATATAAATAATTCCAATATGTTTCCCCCCGCCCAGTAATACTGTCTGTGCATTTTTATGGACAATTCTCCCTCATAGACACATTTTTGTATTCATAATTTGGTTGCATCGCAATATTCAGAGACGCGTGAATTGTTTGCATAAGTGTGAATTAGGTGGTTTCACATCAAAATCCAAACAGAACTCTGTTCCTGAGACAGCTGCCTCGATGGTAGAAGCAGTTTTGCTATCCACACACTTACCTATCCCACTCAGTGCTTCACCTGTAGTTGCACAGCCTTTTAATAAATTGTAAATAACTAATGTTGGGGGTTATCAGGAGCACAGCATGCAGTGGAGGATGGAGAATTTGCCTCTATTATCCTGTACTGAGTTCCAGATTAAAATTGCTACCCTGTTCACAAGCCGCTATTAGTTCCCAGGTAGGAGCGTCCATCATAAATTTAAAAAGGCTGAACTTTTCTCAGCATGTAGATACGTTCCCTCCACTTTAGCAAATTCACCTGCTTTTTTAAGGAAATAAAAATAAGTTCTTATGATGATGATGATTTATATTCTGCTTTCAATTGGCACTCCAAGGGGCCTCCTTTCCGAGGCTCACTGAGGTCAGATTTTTATTAGGTTTAATATTTGCAATCCCTTTTCCAACATATGCCATTCATGCAATCAACAATCATGCAAATATGTCGGGGGGAGGGTTTAAATTGCAGGTGTATTGGGGGTAGCTGACCTGGATTGGGACCCTAGTGAAGAGAGTAGGGATTGCATTCAGCTAACCTTTACACAATGAAATTAATCCAGATCTGAGGCCACATGCCTGCTATTTGCACTAGGTGGGGTTTTTTTGGGGGGGGGACTCCTGCTTGCTGAAGTTTGCTTAAAACCTGCTTAGCATCAGGCACCCTCAGATCATTTCTTAGCTCCGTAGCCTCACCTGTGTTCATTTCTGGTGTTTTGATTTGATGCACAGAAATAACTAGAGCAAGGCAGAAAGACAGGGACCTCAGATTTACCTTAACCCTTCCTCAGCCTCGGCCCTCCAGATGTTTTTGGCCTACAACTCCCATGATCCCTAGCTAGCAGGACCAGTGGTCAGGGATGATGGGAATTGTAGTCTCAAAACATCTGGAGGGGCAAGGTTGAGGAAGGCTGCCTTAACCCATCCCACTCCTTGCCCTGGAGAACCAAAATCTCAACAAGCTCTGAGCCATCATACCCGCCCGCCCCCCCCCCAGAAAAAATATGTCTGGGAAGTGTGGTTTGTCAAGGTTGCTGAGAGTTGTCAGGAGACCCCTATTCTCTTTGCAGAATCACAGTTCCCAGCGTGGTGTAACAATCAATTATTCAAACCACAAACTGGGCAAAAGATTTCTACATCGCAGGGGGTTGGACTAGATGACACTCGTGGACTATTCCAACTCTACAATTCTTCTCGGGAAACTCTGGGAATTGAAGCTTTGAGCACTCTCAGGGTGCTTTTAGTCTGGCATTAGCAGGTGACTTCAGCCGAGGTCTGCCCTGATTTCTCCAGCCACACCTTTCTGCCTCCAAAGAGCAATGCCGGTCTCCCTGTGTGCCTGAACCCAAGCTGCTGGATGCTGTTGCCACGGCAACCAAGCAACATCCGCTTGATGTGCTAGACTTGTCTCTGTGTCAAATGGGGAATGGGTTGTCAAAGCAGAGGAGCTCTGGAGCATCACTGACTCATTTCTGCTTCTTCTATAAAATGGTGATTTTCTTGAGTCAAAATGAGAGTACAGTCATACCTCGGGATGAATATGCTTCAGGTTGAGCGCTTTTGGGTTGCGCTCCGTGGTGACCTGAAAGTAATGGAGCGTGTTACTTCTGGGGTTCGCCATGCGCAGACGGTCAAAATGATGTCACACGCATGCATGAAAGCAGTGAAACGCAACCCACGCACGCGCAGACGTGCTGTTGCGTCTTATGCTCTGTTTGGGATGCGAATGGGGCTCCAGAAAGGATCCCGTTTGCATCCCGAGGTACCCGAGGTACCACTTGTAGAAAGAAAGCACTGATCTTAACTATGGCGCGTTTGAAATGAGACAGCTTCAAGCCAGATGTGTGGTGTTTTTTTCAACAAACCCTGGTTAAGACGAACTACAGTTTAGAGTTCAGACGTAACACTAAACTGTGGCTAACTGAAATTGGAAGTAAAAACTTCCAGTCTTTTCCTTGTCGCTGTGGTGGAGGGAAAGTGGGGAGGCAGATTGATGCAAACCTGAAGAGGGGGATAGGCCTTGTTCCCATCACGATAAACTATAGACCGTGATGTCCAAACTCAGCTGCTAAGTGTGTGCATGTGCATCAATCAGTGTTGCAATGACACTTTCTTCCTGAAGTGCATCTTCACTTGCAAAGACACTGCTAGCTGTTTTGCAAGGCAACAAGGATTTCTTAGTACATATGACCCTAACTAGAGATCAGATTGGAGATACCTTCTGGAAACATTTCTGGGTTCCTCAAAGTGTTCTCTATATACGGTGATTGTTGAATGTGCTGTGAAGTATTTGTTGGAAGGGAGAGGGAACGTACACTGTTACCTTAGCAACCAGACTGCAGCCATGCTGCAGTAGTGAAACCCTGGTGCTGCTCTATTTGCACCAGAACATGCATTAGAAATCACATTCTAAAGCACATCCATTTACACATTCTGGAGAGGCCGCAGTTGGCTCAGGGAAGCAGTCTGCGAACGGCAGACCTGTACAAAGAGGAATCGCATAGTGACTGTGGTGGTGTCACAGAGCTATTCAGATGTATGAGGACATCCCAGTGGCATAGCCTGGTTTGCTGCCACCCAGGGCATGCAAACAAACCAAGGACGCAGAAGGTAAACAGAGCCTGCTGTGCCAGTCCAGCCAGTGCTGCTGGAGCAATGCCCACTCCAAGCCACTTTTCGAGGCTGAGTCCAGCCTCGCCAAGTAGTTCAGGGCTGGCAGGGCCGTCGCGGCATGAGAAAGACGCAACAGCCATGCGCCCTTCCATCCCAGCCTCGGCACATGGCTGTTGTGTTCTTCTCATGCTGCCCTGCCAGTCCAGAGTCACTTTGCAATGCTGAGATCTGATCTGAGTGGTTTGTCTGCTTAGGAGCCAAATGTGCCACCTAGAAAAATCTGCCCGAGGCCATTGCCCTGGCAGCCCCCCCCCCCACTACATCCTTGGCTCATCCTTCTATGACATTCGCTGTGTGGTCCTCAATTGTATAAGATAGCCTTCCCTGACTGCACTAGATGCTTTGGGTTATTGTTCATTTTGTTTATTTCAACAATTTATATGCTGGTTAAAGCACCATAGCCCTCTAAGCCAGAGCTTTCTAAACTGTGTGTCACGACACATGTGTCGGCTGCAGTGCATAGGTGTGTCACACAAACGTTCCCTACACTCCTCCAGGAGCTGTAAAGGCTTTCGTTTAACCTCCGGTTTGCTAGTAAAGCTGAATTACTGTGTCGCAAAATGATGCATGTCTAAAACGTGCGTCACCAACATGAAAAGTTTGGAAAGCTCTGCTGTAAGCAGTGTACAGGAAGGTTGTGATGGATACAATAAACCATTTTAAAAAAAGTATTTAAAATGCCAGCTGAAATGGAAAGGTCTTCAGTGTAAGTTCAGCAGGGAGCTGGCTTGTCCTGCTTCTCCCATCACGGGTGATATTTGGCCATGTTGACTGGCACTGATTATTATTATTATTATTTTATTTTATTTATACCCCACGCATCTGGCGGGGTTTCCCCAGCCACTCTGGGCGGCTCCCAACAGAACACTAAAAACAGAATAAAACTTCAAACACCAAAAACTTCCCTAAACAGAGTTGGGGATCAAAACTTCTAGAGAGTACCAGATTGGTAGAGGGTCATATAGGACCATGCAATACAGGTGTGGATGCAAGAGGGCCATGTTTTCCTTTCTGGCCTTGCTTTGCCACAAGCAGCGCTATTTCCATTCCACTGCAGTTCAAGTTCTATCAAATGCTTTGCAGTTCATCTCACTGCCCACACTATATTACAGAATTGGTTGTGTAAATTTTGGATTTAAGATAATTATTTCCACACCATTTGTTTAAATGCAATGGAGACACAATTTATATGAAGTGGGGGGGGGGGACTTGCCATTTTCATACTGCTTGAGGACTGAATACAACAACAGACTGGATTGATTTCCATTCCAACCGTGAGTTCTTTTCCAGATTTCAGTTCGGGAATAAGTGACCAGTGTCAACTTCTGCTCCTATTTCCTATTCCTGTTGGAATTTCCCAGGAGTGGAAAAAAAAACCCTGTCTTGTTGACATTCAGGAAATGATGCCAAAGTATCAACAAATCAGGGATCAGTGGCAATAATAATAATAATAATAAGCATTGTAGAGGTTTGGGGGGGAGCTTTCTGCACATATGACAGCACCATGGTAGCTTTCATTGTAGCCAGCAGCAAAAATGTTCAAGGATGAAAAATCAATCGCAATATTTTGATTTTATGTGACATATGCATCTTTTTTTCAAAAGTATGCATTTATTGATGTACATTTTCACATACCAAGTTCAATGAGCTGACTCGTTGAAATTAATGAACTGTTGCACTCCACCCCAATCTCTGAGCGATGCAAGATCCCAGGGGTCCCAGGCAACACCTAGAGTCTGAATTTCTTTGGAATGAGGCACAGTGGAAACTGTGATGTCTTTATGATATATGGTTTATTTACACATATATACTACCTGAGCCTCCGCTTTAGGGGTTCACAACATTAACACCCCAAGAAGGACTTGCTTCTCCCATAGCCGTAGCCTTGGATTCAAAACAGAAACCAACAATTGCCTGCTCCACTACAAAGCTCTCAACTATTTCACCAACCCTAGTCCAACTGCACCGGCTACCGATTAGTTTCTGGGCCCAATTCAAAGTGCTGGTTTTGACCCATAAAGCCTTAAATGGCTCAGGACCGCAATACCTCAAGGACCGCCTCTTTCCATATAAAGAAGACCCTGAGATCACCTTCTGAGGCCCTCCTTCACGTGCCGCCTCCTCGAGAGGTTCGAAGGGTGGCAACATGAGAACGGGTCTTCTCTGCAATGGCTCCCCAACTGTAAAATGCTCTCCCCAGGGAAGTTCACCTGACGCCTTCATTATACACCTTTAGGCGCCAGGCAAAAATGTTCCTTTTAAACCAGGCCTCTGGTTGACCTGATTGACATCCTATACCCTTTTAAAATGTGACTCTCTTGTGGGGAGTGTTATTGGGTTATTGTTCTTATTTTGATTTTGTATATTGTGATATTTTCTGTGAACTGCCCTGAGACCTCTGAGTATAGGGCGGTATATAAATTCAATAAACTAACTAAATATTCTTTAAAGGGAGCGCTGAGCTGAACCTGTATGCATCCCAGGCTCTGTTCAGCGTTCCCTTTCACGAGCCACGCGGAGCATGTGTGCGGTGCTTGCAGGCTTTTCCCCAGGAGGGAGAAGGGCAGCCCGTCACTGATGGGTTGCCCTTCTCCCTCCTCAGGGAAAAGCCCCCAAGAGCCGCACACACGCTCCGCGTGGCTCTTTAAAGGGAGTGCTGCTCTTTAAAGGGAGCGCGGCTCTTGAGAGCTTTTGCGGGAGGTGGGGGAAGGGACAGAGTGCGACTAAGCCAGAAGCTAGAACAGCAAGAGGGAGCACAGCAATCCCTCTTGCTGTTCTGGCTTCTGGGATAGCTGCGCAGCCTGCATTTTCTCCATAAGACGCACACACATTTCCCCTTACTTTTAAGGAGGGGAAAAAGTGCATCTTATAGAGTGAAAAAATATGGTAGATTTTAACACTTGCTGGATCCAGGGATTAGACAGGTCTGACACCCCACTCCCACCCCAAACTCATAACAGAACCTAAGTAACTTAAGCCATTGATTTCAATGAGTCTACTCTGAGTAGAACTAGCATTGGCTACAACCCCTTGTGTGCAAGCCTTTGGGAGCCAGAGATGCAAGAAGGCATCAGAGAAGGGAGGGAAAGGAAAAGTGATTGAGGCCAGTGTTGACCGCAGCACCCCTGACCATCATTCAAGGCACCCCAGGGTGCCACGGCACCCTGGTTGAAAACCACTGGCCTAAGAAGATAGATACCCAATTGGCCTCCTTGTGGTTCTTTTATAAAACAAATCACCTTCTGTGGTGCCACAGCATTTGTTTCAACATACAATTCTCCTTCTTGTGACATGGTACTCGTCATTTTTCCAACACTTCAACGCTGTCAGCTTTGTTATTGGGCAACATATACATATTGTTAATAAAAAAAAACATCCATTTAACGTCAAGCTACTTTTGCTAACATTAAGTTTATGGGATTGGGAATTTTTTGTTTGTTCTTGTTTTGATTATGTATTTTGTCTTATCATTTTGTTGTGAAGCGCCCTGTGATCTTTGGATGAAGGGCAGTATACAAATGTTTTTGTTTTTGTTGTTGTTGTTGTTAGAGTTAGACACTTTGAATTCTGTTTTCCTATTTTGGCAATGCTGTTGTATTAAATCCCTTTCCTGTCTTTTCTGCCTTTCAGATCATGGTGTACATGACCGGTGGGACAAAAGTGGTAGATTCGGATTTCAACCGTCGGCTCAGCTTCCTCTATCCCATGCCTTTCAATAATGTCTCCATTGCAATTAATAATACCAAAGAAGCCGACTCAGGGCAGTACATGTGCACAGTGAACCTCCTCAACAGTGGGAGTGAGCAAAACATTGGACTCATCAACCTTACAGTCCTAGGTGAATTGAGCCTTGGCTTGCTGTGGGTTTGGGGGAACCTGAGGTTAGAGGTATTTCCTACTGTCCCGAGGGCACTAGGCAAGCAGCTACTTACAGCCCTCATTTTAGCACACCAGATTGAGTTCCTAAGAAAATTCTGCATCACAAATTCATATCACAAATGTGCTTAATGGTTGGGCATAAGTTTTCTTCTTCGCTGGGTGGTAACATTTTACAAAGACAAATTTTGAAAATATTTTTTAAAACAAAAACGTAGCAACAAGGTTTATCCCCTGTAGTGTCACTAGGGCAATATGAACCAAGGCATTAAGAATCAAAGCAGTCAGGATTTCAAGAGAGGTAGCTGATGTGGACACAGCCCTACAATGATTGCCAATGCTATCAGAACTTGGGATTGACAAATCTGTCAATTTCAGTTGCTCACACCCTAATCCTGTGAACTCCCCCCCCTTTTTTCTAATGCTCTCATGAAAATGCACATGTGCCTTTGTGTGCATATCTTCTAATATTTGCATCTTTGCATGCAATTTTCCTGCATTTAAAGATTTTGTGCACATTATTTTCACTAATGTATGTGTTTGGTGCACACTTTCCCCTAGTACAGTCGTACCTTGGCTTTTGAACAGCTTAGTTCTCGAACGTTTTGATTTCTGAATGCCACAAACCCGAAAGTGACTTTTCCGGTTTGCAAACTATTTTTGGAAGCCGAACGTCCAACGGGGTTTCTGATTGGCTGCAGGAGCTTCCTGCAGCCAATCAGAAGCCGCACTTTGGTTTCCGAAAGTTTTGGAAATCGAACGGACTTCCAGAACAGATTCCGTTCAACTTCCAAGGTACCTGCTTTTTCAGTACACATTTTAGTTGTTGGAGATCTGCACTGCAAAAATGGGGCAAGTGTGAATTTCAAATGATAGTTGCATTTCAGTGCATGGGAAGCACCAAATTAGATAGGTTTGCATTAAAATACAAACTGAATCGATTTCTCCCTCTCCTTATTCAGAACCAGCTGCAGTGTTGTTTGTGGCCAGAAGATGGCAATGTTATAATTTTCCATCTTATTCACCTTCCTTAACTATGGACCACTTGATACAGATTTGTAAGCCTCATTATTTGCTTTTGCAGTTCCTCCATCCCTGCCAAAGTGTCAGATTCATGGAAGCCCTCGTGTCGGGGGGAACATTACCATGACCTGCAATTCTACTTTTGGCAAGCCTATCCCTAAGTACAACTGGAGACGCACTGGACCCACCGATCAAGTTTTCTTTGAACCTGTGCAAGGTAGGAAATAAATATGTCCAGAGGGGACTGAGGTGCAGGGGGTTTGGGGAGCCCATGCAATTTGTTGTTGTTTTGTCGTTTAGTAGTGCACTAGCATTCTGCAAATTGCTTAATGAGTTTTAAAAATATTTATAATCCACTCTTTCATAAAATATAACAACCTAGCCTACAACATATAAAACAAATACAGCTGGTCCTTAAATGTCTAGAAGACGGAATTTGAAATATCAGCATGAGACGCTTAATCTCAGGGTCGCGGGTTGGGCAAAAGATTCGTGCATTGCAAGGGTGAACCTCGTTGTCACTTCCAACTCTACAATTCCATGGTTCTATAATAAAACATCAGTAGATACTGCTTGGTTTAAAGAAAAACTCATATTGTGAAGGCCTGTCTAAAGCACGGCAGTATTTAAATGGCATTGCAAGGAGGGAGGGACAGATCCTGATGAATATCTACTGGAAGGGAGTTCTACAGGGCAGGGTCTACCACTTTGGTCCTTAGTGAAGGCCAACCAGACATGAGTAGTGGGGGGAACCACCAGAATTGCCCCATCGGAGGATCTCAGCGCTTGTAGATGGACTATAAGGGCTCAAGTGGTCATTAATTAATAAATTTTGTTTATTTCATAAAATTTGTGCACTGCTTAATTGTAAACAAACCGCAAAGCAGTTTACAGAGAGTTAATACCTCTTCCACAGATGAAGGCAAAGACTACATCTAAGGACCAGGCTTGAGGGGGAACCTGTGGCCCTCCAGATATTTTTGGACTACAACTCCCATCATGCCTGATCATTGGCCATGCTAGCTGAGGCTGATGGGAGCTGGAGTCAGGTTCCCCAAGCCTAACTTAGACGTAAAGACGTTTGAAGTACAGGAGGGGTTCAGCTTTGTCTCTGAATTGACAAATGGTGGTTTAGCTTTATGCGCAAACACAGCCTGTGTACAGCTGGGCTGGATCTACGTTGATCTTCTAAATGTTATTAAATTGAACGTTCTATAAGGTTCAGTGGCAGTTTCCCTTTGTTGGTGGTTCCCCACTCTGCAGCACCCTCTGGTGTCTCATTTTAATAATGCATTTTAATGTTATAAACAATGGGTGTAGATCTGTCCCTGGAAAATAAGGCTATCCATGGCTACTGGTTGTGACAGCTGAGGCAGTATGCCTTTGAATAACGGTTCCCGGGATTCGCAGGCAGGAGCAAGTGGGTGATGTGCTCCTGCCCTGCTTGTGTTCTTTACAGAGGCATCTCACACTGTACAAAAACAGGAAGCTGGTCTGGATAAGCCTTTGACCCAGCAGAGCTCATTCCATGCTTTTAGGACAATATCGCTGGATGAAAAGACCAGATCCCAACCGAAATAAGCTGCTACTCTGAAGCCTTGTTTCTGTTGTAATTTTTGCAGACCGCAAGAGGGGGATTCTGAGGCTAAACAACGTCACGGCAGGTATGTCCGGAACCTATTTCTGCAATGCTTCCAGCGATGCTGGCTCTTCCAGCTGCACCATCACCCTGGAGGTGTATCCACGTGAGTGCAATCTTGGTTTCACCCTACGGAGCTGCCAGAGAACCCTTTGCATGGAAATGGAAGCATCAAGGGTTCTTAACCCTCCCATACCCAGATTCTTTTCCCGCTGCACATTTTTGACATGACTAGGGAAGGAGAAGAGGGCCTGTGCTGCATTCTGGGGCCAGAGCAAGGCTGGATCTACACCGATATGAAAAACGCTATAAAAACACTATATAGCTCCCAATGCAATTTACTGTTGTCGATAGATTGCTGCTCTATAGCGCTATCTGGTGTCACATTTTTATAACACATTTTTAACGTTATAATTGACAGGTGTAGATGAGTCTCTACTGATGTCAGGGACTGGGCAGAGGAGGAATGGTGGAGACCACCTCCCTAGCCTGACCCTTCCAAAGAAGAAGAAGACAGTTCAGAATTACAACAGGGGTTTGAGGGAGGTCACAGAGGCAGATGAGGGGTAAAGCTGGGAAATAATAGGAGAGGAGGAGGAGGAGGAGGAGGAAGCACCAGGAGGGTGACAGCTGGCAGACACAGTGCCTTTAGAAAGTACTCCAGACCCCCCTATCCCAGAACCTGGCGAGCCTTGAAAGTAGGAGAGCAAAGAGCTCAAAGGAAGAGGGCACATTTCATCACCCATGGCGATGACTCAAGAGGAAGTGGGAGAGATGGAGGGGGTGGAGATTCACTCGGGACAACACCATTATTCTGAGAGGCTGCATTCCCAAGCTTCTCTCTGTAAATATTGAATAAAAAGCAGATGGTAAGGACTTTTCCTTGCCTTGTCCATTCCTGGCAACCTGCTGTGGGGGTTGGTTCCTCCATTGCCTAACAACAATCCTCAATGGCTGTGTTGTATCTCCACTGTCAGAGGAAGTAATGCTTCTCAAGACCAGTTGCTGGAAACCACAGGAGGGGAGATTGCTCTTGTGCTCAGTTCCTGCTTGCGGTCTTTTCATAGGCATCTCATTGGCTCCTGTGAGGACACGATGCTGGACTAGATGGGCCACTTGTCTGGTCCAGCAGGGCCCTTCTTTATGTTCCTATCGGATTTCTCTTCCCCCTCTTATTACCATTTTCTGTTTTCTCTCTGCTGTGACTCCCTTTGCAGCGATCAATGGAGCCATGGTGGCTGGTGCCGTCATAGGAGCCCTCATTGGACTTGGCCTGATCATTTTGTTTCCACTCCAGATGCTCTTCTACAGAAGGAAGATGAAAGAATCACAGGAGGAGATGGCCAATGAGATCAAGTGAGTGAAAATGAGGTTCTTAAATTGCCCCACAAGGCAGGCAAGTTGGGACCAGACATGACTAAAGAGGCTAAAATCTATGTGGAAATACTTCTTTTAAACGCAACAGCAGAAGACCGGTGAACAGATTGCTGTCTATGAAAGAAAATAAGTGCAATAATATCAAACAGAAATGGACAACACATTATACCTGAATGAATCTCAGGGAATGGAGGAAATTGTCCCTTATTTCTCCCTTCCTTGAAATTCATTCGGGTACAATGCATTGTTGATTTCCATTTGATATTCTTACATTCATATCCACAATAGCTGTTCCATACCTCTAGAGTTAAGTTAGTAGTTGTTTTCCAGTACTGTGTTAACATATTTCCACCTGCAGACATGAAAAAGATTGGTAGCTCCTAAACAGTAAATTATTGTGGTCATCTGTAAACAGATTTGGGATGCGGGTGATGCTGTGGGATAAAACCACAGAGCCTAGGGCTTGCTGATCAGAAGGTCGGCAGTTCGAATCCCCGCTACGGGGTGAGCTCCCGTTGCTTGGTCCCAGCTCCTGCCAACCTAGCAGTTTGAAAGCACATCAAAGTGCAAGTAGATCAATAGGTCTCTGGCGGGAAGGTAAACGGCATTTCCGCGCGCTGCTCTGGTTTGCCAGAAGCGGCTTAGTCATGCTGGCCACATGACCCGGAAGCTGTACGCCGGCTCCCTCGGCCAATAAAGCGAGATGAGCGCCGCAACCCCAGAGTTGTCCGTGCCTGGACCTAATCGTCAGGGGTCCCTTTACCTTTACCTATAAACAGATTTAATAAAAGCTAGCCCTAGGATCAGGTTGCACCACTTGTTTCATAACAGAAACAGCAAACCAAAACGGACAGGTTCTTCCTCTCATTCCCTTCCCCTCACTAGTTCGTCTTTCTCTCTCTCTCTCTCTCCCCCCCCCCCCCCAACCCCTTTGCAGGGAAGATGCTGTTGCCCCAAAGACTCTTTCCTGGGCAAAAAGTCCTGGCTCTGATATCGTCTCCAAAAACGGCACCTTGTCCTCCATGAACACGACCCGGGATCACAAACTCTACCCGTCCAAGCCGCCCTCAGACACGGCCTCCATCACCACAGCCACTGGGAGCACGGTGGGCTACAAGCCCCCTTTCAGCAACCACCGCGGCGGGACCCACACGCCGACGCCCAGCCTCTCCAGCCAGTCCTTGCCCCTCTACTTCCCACCGATGGCAAACGGGGTCCATTGCCACCATGCCAATGTGCCAATCCATAGGAACACTCTCCACAGGACAAACGGGGCTCAGCCACAGGCCCCCCGACTACACGAGCCTGCCGCCCCCGCCCAAGGGCTCACCTCCTCCACCCTGAGCCGCATGGGGGCCGTACCCGTCATGGTGCCTGCTCAGAGCCAAGCAGGATCCTTGGTGTAAGAGCTTGGCGGTGCCCTCCAAGTGCTCCAAGTGGTTCTAGCAATCCCATGCAATGCAGAGAGGCTGGAAGCACTGACTCTGGGATGCCTGCCTGCCTTCAGAGCTCCTGGGCGAGGTTTTGCGGGTGCGTCCTTCGAAGGAGCAGTTTTCAAGGAACCACCATCAATGAGACTTTCAAAGACTTGTGAGATGGGCTTTTTGTAACACCTTTCAGAACTCTTCCTCTTGGTGCCCGACTCATGTCCAGGAGCCCTCTTAACAGCAGAGGCTGTATCTACTCGAACAAATACCAGTGGATCTTTGCTTTGCAGGATGTGATTCATTCCTTTTTCTCTCTCTCTTATTGGAGGAAGCAGCTGTGCTGGGACTGGCCATCTTGACTTGGGGGAAAACGTGCCAGGGCAGATCTGAAACCTGCAGCCAGAGTGAGGTGCTTCCTTGACCCGCCTTTCCTGGGATTGGAGGGCATTGGGTGCTCTGGAGGAGATGGCAAAGAAATATTGCAGTTTAGGTTAAAGGGAAGAGGGGTGTGTGTTCTCTGAACTTCAGTTAGCGCAGGAAAGCTGCAGAGCAACACCTCTCCTTTTTCAAGTTTCTAGACCATGGGAGATTCTTCAGAGTCAGAGAAGGGCTCTGTAGGATATCCAATGTCTGGTGCACCTTTAGATCATTGGCCACTTTCCATAACTTGGCTGAAGCAGAATGAATTATGCAAGCAAAGGAAATGTATGCACATTAGTTTGGTTTGCAGAATGTTCGCAGCTTGTCTCTTGCTGCAGAATTTGTATAATCTCGGCACAGAGAATACCCAGCCCTGGACAAAGAGCTTTGGTAGTCCAGTCTCTGTTTTGAAATTGCTTTTATTGTTATTATCGGGAATGGGGGAATGAAATGGGGTGTCCTCCATAGTATTCCAACCTTGTTGGCTAGTGTAGGTGCCACTCAAAATAGCAAGAGCCCTCTGGCCACCTGCAGTTCCCAGTTATTCAGATATGAATGTTGATGTGTAAATTGGATCGTTTTCTGTTTGCTATCAAGAGTCCCTGGGAGGGGAGGGAAGGCAGGTTAGGCTGAGAGTCTGTGATTTGCTTTGTCACTGAGCAGGAATCCCCCCGCACAAAAGTGGCCAGCAAAGGGAGGGAGGGTTCCCTTGGCTTTTCTGTTCGTTGCCAGTTAGGTGACCAACTTTTACTGCTGTTTTTAAATAAGGAAAGAAATGCAAGTTTTACAACTGCAAATAGTTTTTATTTTATTTTTAAAAGCTATTTCAAAATTGATTTGCAAATGCTGGGAAGAGTGGGGAGTGTCTGTAGTACAGACATTGGACCTACCCTGCAATTTCTCTTTGTTTTATCTGAGTAACCCCTGAATAGACTTTCCCTTCTAAACAGCTTCCTTGTGTCACTGAGCCTCTCCCGTCTCCTAAAAAAACTCCCACAATAACTTGAAGCCCAGTTTTGGATGAATCCTCGCAGTTTTGGCTTTAGGAACGGGGAATATTTGGCTGGTTTCTTCTGCCCCCTTGTGATGCACAGAGGAACTGTACCTGGTCAACAATTCCGCCTTGGGGATCTTCAATAATAAGATGTTTCTTCTTCCTGCCCTTCCCAAAAGCTTCTGCAACTAACCTGTATGTAACCTTATATCAGAATATCCTAACAATGGATTCTCTAAGGGCGCCTTCAGTATTTTAATACATATTGTGCAATTATGTTTATTCAATGGACTTTTGATCTTCTGTTTCTTTCTTTTTTATAAACGTAGATCTAGCACATAATTTATACTTATAGGTATCAACAGGTCTGTGAATCCTGGCTAAAGTCCTCTAACCATTTTCATGCTGGCTAATTTTTTTTAATGGCAATGAGACCCTTCTGTTACATGAGAAGCTAGGATGGCACTGAAATATTTTTATGTACAGTTTGAAAAACATATTATTTTTCATAAATAAAAGTATTTGTTTTTTATATTTAAAAAAAATTGGTGAAAGTGTTTGTTTCTGTGGCCTGTTGTGTATGAAAGCAGTTCCACCTCGAGGGCAGATTGTGTTATTCATTATTATTACTGTATGTATTTATTTTAAATATTCAGGGTAAATGACCTTGCAAGGTGTCTGACGTAAAACTGCAACCATATGATTTCAATAAGAAACCATGCTTTAAGAGGGCAATTGAAAATAATTCTGAACCCAGCTGAGCAAACTGCAAAACTAACTAAACTATCAAGGAATAGCTTAAAGATCCTAGAATGGTACTAAAACAGAAAAACTGGCAGGTATTAAAAACAGCAGGAATAAAATAGATTGATTTGGGAAGGCTTAGGTGAAAAGAAAAGTTTTCAACAAATATCGACAATCTAACATTGTTGGCACAATGTTGCTAAAAGTGTATGTGACCAGGTTGGGATGTAGCTGGAGAGACAGTTTCTCAAATGCCCTGGTCTGGAACTGCACAGGGTTTTATATACCTGTAGCAAAACTTTGAATCTAGTACAGTAGCAAACTGGCAGCTGTGACGTGGGTGGGGCTGTTGTCTAAACCCCTGAGCCTCCTGGGCTTGCCGATCAGAAGGTCAGCAGTTCAAATCCCCACAATGGGGTGAGCTCCTGTTGCTCTGTCCCAGCTTCTGCCAACCTAGCACTTCGAAAGCATACCAGTGCAAGTAGATAAATAGGTACCATTGTGGCGGAAAGGTAAATGACATTCCCGTGCGCTCTAGTTTCCGTCACAGTGTCCCATTGCACCAGAAGCAGTTTAGTCATGCTGTCCACATGACCCAGAAAGCTGTCTGCAGACAAACGCCGGCTCCCTTGGCCTGAAAGTGAGATGAGCGCCGCAACCCCATAATCTGGACTTAACCGTCCAGGCCTCCTTTACCCTTTTTTTACCTTTTACAACACTTGTAACAGGAGTGTCAAAAGTTGTCCATAGGTTGCCCTAGAGAACAGCCACACAGGAGAGTTTTATGCCAGCTGCAGCTTCCTAACCAAAGGAAGCCCCAGCACGTTGCAGTTATTGGGTCCAGAAGCTACTAGGGCTTAGACCACCATTGTGGCTGGCATACCAGCCAAAGCTGACAGCAGGTACTTCTGCACACACATAAGACCGTCAGCCTCCAGAGGCAATGCTGAATCAAGGAGCAACCCCAAATCTGCGCCCCTGTTCTTTCAGAGTGAGCACAACCCCATATAGAACAAGCAAACGGACAATTTCCCCGACCTGGGTGCACTCGAATTCAGAGCCTCCATTTCGCTGGGAATCAGGTTTTTGGCTGTCATCCAGCCCATTACCTTAGTCCAGTCGCAGGTTCAGGACTTTCACAATGCCACCTGATCCAGATGTCTTAGAAATATTCCCTGTTCAAACTCATAACCTTAGGTATGACGCCAAAATGTGTCAAGTCAAGTCTCATGTTGCACCCATGTCCACTGTAATAAACAAAAATCTGCCCTTGTTCCCTTATGGGGGACACAAGAGCCCTTACAGAGTCCTTTGCAGGTTCTCCATTGGTTGGAGAAAATAACAGAGGCCAAACAGAGAACATTGAGAAGCAAAGCAGCTAGTAAGCCTGATCTTTATTGAACTGTTGCAACAGGGTGCCCCCTTCATATGCAGGAGGAAGACCTCGAACAAAGGTGTGCCCGCCCCTATATAGACATTTTAAATTGCCCACCCTGGAGTTCAAGACCACCCCCAGAAACATCATACATACATCACAGAAGGGGTGTAGCTCAAGACAGCCCCCCAGACACATCATACCTACATCACAGAAAGGGTGGTCTACAACAGAAATCTGAGTCCATTGTTTATCTCCTGTCGTTGTTTATCTCCTGTCTGACAGGTTACCTGTTAATGCTTACTTGATTGGATACCCTGAGGAGCCTGGCCAGTCTGACAAATACTTAGTTCCTGGGCCAGGTCACAGGCTCACACTATTCATACACAGATATACCCTTAAGACAGGTTTTGTGAATGAAAAGACAATGGGGAGGCCTTTCCATTTTCCTTTGACCTTGCAGAGAAAACATTTGGTCAGCTTGGGAGCCAAAATGGCTCCAGGGCTGCCCTCCTCTACTGCCTCAGACATGTGGCCCATACATTTATGTACGTGTTTGCCTGGCAAATCCATGAACATTTATTATATATATAAAAGACCTTAATTTTTTATTTTACCACAAACAGCCAATCCTGCAACAGCTAAATGTCCGGGTAGCATATTTTGTGCTCTGTGGAGAAATTTGGTAAGATGTGCTAGGACCGTGGTTCCCAACCTTTTTTTGGCCATGACCCACCTAAGCACCTCAAAAATCCTGACACACACCCCCAGTGACATATAATCCTTGTTATTCAAAAAGTGAACTCCTATTCACATGGAGGAAGCCTAAAAGGCCATTAACTTGGTCTAAACATTATCAAATTGCCCCCTTAAAAAATTAAATTGCCCACCCCCATGGGGGTGGCCCCCATGTTAGGAATCACGGCGAAAGGTGTCCTCAGCCCTGTTCTTAGCTTATCTGGAGAATAGTGTTTGTGCTGGGAAGGTGCCGCCCGATTCTTTTGACAGCTCTGTTAATAATTAATCTCCCAGTCTGATCTGTATTTCCTTTGCAGAGTCAATAAACGGAACTTTCTGTTGCTCCCAATTAAAAAAAACCAGATGTATCACTGAAGCCTGCATTTATGCGTAGGAGTCAACCGCCATCTAGTTAAGTTCAGGAGCATGCAAATGGATGATTCAGTTTAATAACTTCACTGCAAGGGTGGGGACTTAATATTGTAAGCAGGTCATTCAAACATTGCAATCAGGTGCTGGCAAGAGGCTTTTTGGGGGGTTCCCCCCCAACAATGGATTTTTCTGGGAAGTGTAACTCCAGATTAAACAGGAGGAAAATATTAGGGATGCACACTGGATCTAGATTGCCAGCTACACTGGTTTGAGAGACAACCCTGGATCTGGTCAGTCCAGCCAGAGTGGTCCAGTGTGGTCAAAAAGTGGGGCGGCCAGCTTCTGCAAGGTTTAAAGAGCAGCACAGGCGTGTTTGCAAAAGGGCTTTTAAACAGCCCCACAACACACTTGCGCACAAAGGAACATCTGCATGCTGCCAAACTGCACAGGGGAAGCAGCACTGAGTTGCTGGTGGCAACCTCCTGAATCCACTCATTCTTTTTTTTAAGAATATTTTTTTATTAACCGACCAATCACATCAAATCAAACCAAATTACATAAATTCCAAATTACACAGCCGAATTTTAAATTTTTGTTGGGGGTACCCATATTTCAAGTTCCGAAGGGGATCCAATCAACTTCTTGCTGCTGTTTTAATGTCCACAAATCTAACCTTATGATGTTCACAGTACTATCCAGTCCTTTCTTATTGTTTTTCCACATCTCTTGTTGTTATTTTCATATATTTTTCCTTTCTCTTTGTGACCTCTGATAGTCTCCACAAGATGGCTAGAACAGTTTGTAATCCTGCGTGGATATATTTTTTTTTAATCCACTAGCCATATCCAGACGTTTTCCATATAACATCACTTCCATACATCAAAACAGTCTTAGCGTCATTATTCTTCACCAATCTGCCTCCTTTCTCAAAACCTCTGAGGAGATTCACCAAGAATGCAGTCTGACAAGTCCGTTCCTCCTCCCGGCTATAAATCCTTTGGCAAGATGGCGACTCCGAATTAATTGCTGCGCCATTCCAAAAGCTCTTATTGCTTCTCGATCTCCATAAAGCATACTTTTGGTTAAAGTTTATCTCCACACAGACCTTAATCATCCTGCTTGGGTCAGTTCAACCGATGATTCTAATGAGGAGGGGTTCTTGTAAATCACATAGAAGGAAAGTAAAAAAGGTTTTTCCCCCCCATTCAGTCCCGTTGTCAACATACCCAGCCTTTGGTGTATCTTCATTGTAAAATATTCCTGTTTCTCCATCCCATCGTCTTCTTTCGCAGAGGTCACTTAAATTAGCAGACTTCACTCCCCTTCTTCACTTGAAATATGTGCATTTGCTTCTTTTGTAATTAATTATTCCAAATTGCTGCAGCTAGTGCGCGATCAGAGACAGCGTCCAGGAGAGCCGAGGTCCACACGGGGGCATTCTGACTAGGGCCTTCACCCCCTTCTTTCAAATTAGGGGGTGATTTATGGGCACAGCAGGCAAGAGCAGTGTTCCCCATTTCCTTGGGGCAACAAGGGAGGCTGCCTACTCCCATAACAGCCTCTTAATTACCCCATGTGGGTCGGAGAGATGGTATTGTCGGCCATCTTCCAATGCTCCCCTAGTGGCCCCCCCGAATCCACTCATTCAGACTGCCCATTGGATCTGTGGAGCAGAAGATGACTTCCTCGTTCAAGCAACAACTTCTTCCTGAGCTCTGGTGCATTCCTGTATCCTTGCTGTCCTTTAGTCCTGACAGCTGTCTTGCTCCTGCTTCCTGACTACTAGTTTGTCCCATACCTCTTGACTCATGTCTAGCTCCCAGCCATGGTCCAGCCCTGACATCTAGATGCCACAAGGCTGACAAGGAAAAGGCCAGAAGGACCTTCCAGGGAAGGAAGTTTCACAGTCTGGGTGCTGCAACCAAAGAAGTCCTGATCCATGTTTTCAGCAATGATGCTTCTGGTGGTGACAGGATGCAGAACAAATCCAAAATACCACATTGGACAGGTAGGGTCATGTCAGAGTGGATGGTTCCCAAATGATTTAGGACAGGGACCAGGAACTTGTGGTGCTCCGGCTCTTGCTAGACCACAGCTCCCCTCGTTCCTGTTGGTTTGGGCTGATGGGAGTTGTCGTCCAACAAGATCTGGAGGACCACAAGTTCCCCATCCTTGATTTAAGGCTTTCGAAGTGTGCTTTGAATTAGACTCGGAACCAGGCCAAGAGCCAGTGGAACTAAAATAATAGTAGAACATTCTCAAGAAAACATCTGCCCTTGGACCACAGCATCCTATAATTGCTTTCTGACTGTTCTTCAAATGCAGTGTGCACTCAGATAGTCAAACCAAGCTGCAGGACAGTGGCCATGGAAGGGGCAGCTGGTGCCACCAGCTGAAATGTTTAAGCAATCAGGATTTCATTTGTTGCCTTATTGGGGAGGAGGCTTGAGGGTAGGATCGGAGTCAAGTTTTAAATTGTTGCAAAGCTCCATGCCTCATGACGTCACAAGCACAAGCCAATCTGAGCCCTGCACATATAACTTCAACTGGCAACTAGGAAAACCAATTTGCCCTGTATAAATGTGAAAGCGGTGAGTCTTGTCTTTCCAGAGTGCAGCAACTCCTATCTCTTTCTGTCTCTTGTACATCTGTTACTTTTTCCTTAGAGAAGTCATATCCCAATTTTTCACTGTTGGTTTGGGTGAGAGGTACAAGAGCCCATGGTATTTCTCTTCCTAGGTTACCTCTTGTCCATCACAGAGGATGCAGCTACTTGGACTCTGGAAGATCCCCATAAGGACTAAACTGAGTGCGCACACCTGGCCCAATCACAGGTGTGTGTGTGTGTGTGTGTGTGTGTGTGTGTGTGTTTTAAATCATCTGGATTCCAACAGTCTCCTATCAAAATGTGGGGTCAGATTTATGTAATGCTGGGTGTACTGGGTAAACTCTTGAGAGTTCTTGAGCGATGTCTGCATTTCGCTTGTCTCGTCAATACATTTTAAACATTTTGCACCTTGCTTTCCCATGTCTGCATGACAACTTGTTCTTTGAAAATGAAATAATCAGAAGATTGGCATAAAAAAATTCTAATAACAATTAACCTAAACACACACACACAGAGAGAGTGCAAATTAAATAGTGAAGATGTGTGTAGTTGTGTCAGCAAAATACTTGGAACTGGAAAAGGCTTAGAAAACAAAATTATTTCACTTTGCTCCTAGAGACCTTTTGTGATAGGCAACTAATAAAGGAAATTAATGTTTGCAATAGTGATATACCATAATGAGTGAGCACCCACTGTGTATTTCTTATTTTGTGAACTGGAGATGGATAAATCTGTCCATTTCCAGTCTCAAGTTCATTTCTCCACCTTTCCACATCAGGTTGTATTTATATATATATATAAAAATAAAAGTCATTGTGAAAATTCACCAGCAAATGTCTCCTAATATACGTTTTGGCAAAGCAATTTCCCCTAATATGATGCATTTTTTGTGTTATAGTCACTGATATAAAGTATGCTTTTAAAGGCACACTATATGCATTTTTGCACACAGTCCTTGGCTGTACTGCAAAATTCAGAGAAGTGTAGATTTTGAAGAATGTGTTTCAGTTCACATATTGCTTTGGAAAGCACAGTTTAGGTAGTCCTTTTTCCAGGGGTACTCAAATGTACACAGTACCAGTACCTCATTTTGTTGTTGTTATAAAGTGTGGCACTTACTGTAACAACTTCACGGTGAGTACCGGCACCTATTTTTCTAGAAAATAAAAGCACTGGGTAGGTTCACCTGAACCTACTGATTTGAATTTTTCCTCCATCCTTTGTGTGAACTGCCCCTAAGCTGCAGCAAGCACTAAGGAGAAACATCTCCACCCTTTCGCATTGAGGGAGGCTCTTGTGCTTGAGGGTGATTCAGAGCTTACGTCTCGGCTGTTTGTTTTAGCTCACGTACGAGATAAAAAACAGTCCTGCTTAGTCTCAGTAGAGTTTCAGCTTTTGCACCAAAAGTGACAGCCTCCCAGCAGAGCAATGGCTCTCACGGTGATTTTCCTGACTCCCTCCATCTCTTGTGGGCTGATTCTCATCTCAATCTTTGGTGAGTACCTAAGATAGTAGCATACATAAATGACCTTTTTTTTGACACCTGGGAACATTTAACCAACACCAACCCGACAAAAACGAAACTGAGGAACCTGTTCCCACCGCATTCCTAACTTTCTGGAGAGAAAGGCTGTAGACCTATACCCACATGCCTGGGTGCAAGTCCCATTGAACTCACAGAAACTTACTTCTGAGTAGACCTATCTCCACTTTCGGTTACAACTCCCCCACCCCAATTTTCTTTATTTTAGCAGCATAAGTGTGGGAGGGCGGGGAGTCTTTTAGTTGTCACCATCGTTAAACAACTCAAAGTCGGAAGTCCTCGAAGATCTACTTCATTTTATTTTTAAAAATATATATATCTTTATTAATTGAAAATAAATACATTTATGAGAAAACAGATGTACATACAAGTAAACAAACATACAATCAAACAAACAAATAACAGAAAAATCAAACAAACCACCACACTGTAAGATACAAGAAGTTCAATATAATTATCATCATATATACTCCTGATACTGAACACAATTATAAAACTTATAGAGAAGAAATTAAAAACTGATTTCCAATTAATCTCGCTGTACTTTATCTATCCATTACTTTATACCGCACAGTTACATATTTCTTATGTAATTTCTTTTTACCTCCCTACGAACTTATATTTATACAATACAGGGATCAGTCTAATTCTGCCAATATGTTTCTTTTTATTCCATAGATTTCTAAATATTCTTTAAAGATTCCCCAATCCTTATAGACTTTATGTTTTGGTTGGCCTCTTACTCTTCCTGTTGCTTTCGCTAGCTGCAGATAATCTACCATTAGGATTTGCCAATCTTCCGTGTTGGGTACTGTATTGTGTTTTTCCAATTTCTTGCTCCTAAAATTCTGGCCGCCGTTATTCCGTACATGAACAATGTTCTTTTCTCACAGTCCTCGCTGATCTACTTCAATCTAGTTCAAAAAGTCCTTGCAGATCTACTTCAATTCACCCAGAGATTTGCCCACAATCTACCTTCTGCCCAGTCCTAGCATGCATGACTGCTGCAATCGTAACCACACTTATCAGAGACCATTATGCCCTGAACTAACCGGGAGACTCAGGAATCAAGAAGATAAAGACTTTAAAAAAAGAATGGGGAAATTTTTATAATTTATTTAGGAGACCATTGTAAACAAATTAAAACTTTAGCTGGACTATTAAGATTCACTTGTAAAGTAACGAAAATTATAGATAATTCATGAGTACAAAAACTATGGAAAATGGACTGATATGTAGCTGTAAATATTGGTATAAGGACTCCTGTAGGGGACAAGAGGAAGTCTGGAGATTCAGAGAACCTCAAAGAATGGTTATTTAAGTAATTTTGCTATAAATTTCTATTTGTAAAAACCAATAAAAAATATTTCATATAAAAAAGAGACCATTGTGTCCTGAAAAGCACAGGACTTGCTTCCTATCACTAACCATGCATAGGGCTTCAAGTCTCTGAGAATGGGCAGGGCGATGCCTGTACAGATTGTAAATGTGTCTGAATATCTTTGCGTCACAGCTAATCTACAGGAACCACGTCAATTCTAAAAGTAAACCATCTAAAGCCGTTTATGGTTAGTTTACTAGGTACATCAGAGGTGGGGAACCATGGGCCAAGGCGTCCAACACAGTCCTGCAGGCATATCTATCTGGTCACTGGGATAGTTGCTTGGCAATATCATCTCCCCAAGCCAGATCACTCACTGGTACTGCGATTTTTGCCTGGCTGGAACATGTCCCTCAGCTGGGACGGTGCCTTGTGCTTGCATGTGTGTGCAAACCTCTGGATTTTGCAGGTGTGAAGAACCTTTGGCCTCTGGATGTTGCTGAAAGACAACTCCCTTCACTGCTGGCCATTGGCTTTATTTGCTGGGGCTGATGGGAGTTGTAGTTCGGCACATCTGGGGAGCCAGAGGTTTTTTCATCCCTCTGCTGCAGGGATAGGGTGAGTGGAGCAAGCAACCTGAAAGTGTGTTTAGCAGTTTCTTGATACAGGAAGTACAAAAAAACAACAACAACCCAACCAGAGATATGAAGATGCTAACAATCCTGTGCCCCTATTATTATTATTATTATTATTATTATTATTATTATTAGTCTTACAGGAAAAAGCAAGGGATGAGATAGCCAAAAACAGCTTTATCATGTATAATGAGAAAAGAATGCAAACTTACCAAACTTAAAACCATGGATAGAACTGGTCTGAATAGAGACATTGGATTCTCATTGCATTAGACATGATAAAGCTATTTTTGGCAATTTCATCCCTTGCTTTTCCTGTAAGACCAATTGCAGTCATTAATAGTCATCAACTGGTTTACCACACCTATCTACCAATCACCCATTCCCACCACCCTTCTGAGTAATAACCCTTCCCATCCTCTCACTTTATATAAGGGTCTGGTGACTTCTGTTTCAGTGTATCTGAAGAAGTGTGCATGCACATGAAAGCTCATACCAATAACAAACTTAGTTGGTCTCTAAGGTGCTACTGGAAGGATTCTTTTTATTTAGTTTCGACTACGGCAGACCAACACAGCTACCTACCTATATCTAGTATTTATTAGTGCGCAGGTTGCAAAATTTGCCTTGGCTACAATTAAGTTGAGAGCTAGGCACCAAGGCAAATATCATAAGGGGGGAGTGTGAGATGTGGAGTGTTTAACTTATGCAGGTGTGATTTTGGCATTTTTGTATGTTTGCTTTGCTTTGCTGTTGTTGTTGTTCAGTTTTAAATCAATCATTTGTATTCTATGCATTGTGACCAATTGTGACGGCTTATAGCATTTAACGAGGGACGCGGGTGGTGCTGTGGTCGAAACCACAGAGCCTAGGGCTTGCCGATCAGAAGGTCGGCGGTTTCAATCCCTGCGGCAGGGTGAGCTCCTGTTGTTTGGTCCTTGCTCCTGCCAACCTAGCAGTTCAAAAGCACGTCAAAGTGCAAGTAGATAAATAGGTACCGCTCCGGTGGGAAAGTAAACGGCGTTTCCGTGCGCTGCTCTGGTTCACCAGAAGCGGCTTAGTCATGCTGGCCACATGACCCGGAAGCTGTCTGTGGACAAACGCCGGCTCCCTCGGCCTATAGAGCGAGATGAGTACCGCAACCCCAGAGTCGTCCGCGACTGGACCTAATGGTCAGGGGTACCTTTACCTTTATAGCTTTTAACAATAAATATATCATTCATTCATTCATTCATTCTGCACTAAAACACCCAATCATTCCTAACCTGTGACTATGTTGCCTGCAGTGGATGGAGGTTGGAATCCCAACAACATTGGGGGGAGGCACAACTTCCTCTGTAGTAATCCAAGAGATGAAATGATCAAACTGGTGAGATGCTTCTTTCGTTTCCCCTGCAGGCTGTGGGGAGTGTGTGGAGGTGACTGTACCACAAGATCCAGTCATGCAGCGGAGAGGTTCGAGTGTGGAGCTGCCATGTCATTACAAAACGTCTGTCGACAAAAACTTTGTGCTTGAATGGAGGTTTGCCCCCGGCTCAACTCCTCCAGACCAAGGGAAACAGGTGAAGGGGTTGGGGGCCGTGGTGTGACTCATAACAAAAGTTGCGTAAGGAGAATGTGTTGATCTCAACCAACTGAACCTCGGAGTTAAAAAAAAATGGAGGGGGAAGAGGACATTCTGCTTAAACTATGGGCTTCCTATTGTCCTACTGCTTTCTTCCAGGGAAAATCACTCTTTAGTGCTCAATCGGAGCAAATATCAATTTGGGTTTTCTCCTGATTGCCATTTGCTCTGATTTAGCACTAAAGGGAGGGTTTTCCCAGAGGAGGGAGATAGGCAAAAAGCAAACTGTGCCTTGGAACCGTGCCTACAAATTGGAGGTCAAGCAGAAAACTGTGGATGAACCCTTTGTCTGAAATTTGTTGAGGTTGCAACCTTACACACTCTAGGGAGTAAGGCCCGCTGACAACAGTGGGACTAACTTCTGAGTACACATTCACAGGGTTAAGACTGTAAAGAACTAGAGCTATAAACAGAAACTGCTAAAATTACCCAGCTCCCAAAAGGTTTGCCTGGATAAGATTCAAGAGATTTCTCAGATGCCTAAGTTCAGAGTCAGGCTCTTCTCAACAGGAAGACAAGCTGCATTCAGCAGATGAGATGGGAAGTTCTAGCATTGGAGTCAGTCTCTAACTCCAAGAGGTGGTTCTCTGGGCAAACTTCTAGAGTAGCAACAGCGTTTTCACAGCAGGTGTAATGATGTGATCTGCTAGAGCTGTATTTATTTGTGAGCTGTTGTAAGTTTCAGGATGGTGGTGGTGATAGGTTAAAAAAAAAAGGTAAAGGACCCCTGAACGGTTAAGTCCAGTCTAAGACAACTATGGGGTTGCGGCGCTCATCTCGCTTTCAGGCTGAGGGAGCCAGAGTTTGTCCACAGACAGCTTTCTGGGACATGTGGCCAGCATGACTAAACCACTTCTGGTGCAACAGAACACTGTGACGGAAACCAGAGTGCACGGAAACACCTTCCTGCCGCAGTAGTACCTATTTATCTGCTTGCACTGGTGTGCTTTCGAACTGCTAGGTTGGCAGGAGCTGGGACAGAGCAACAGGAGCTCACCCTGTCGCAGGGATTCAAAGCACTGATCTTCCAATAGGCAAGCCCAAGAGGCTCAGTGGTTTAGACCACAGCACCACCCACGTCCCAGTGGTGATAGAGGGCCAGTGTAGCCTTGGCTGGTACATGATCCATCCCTTTGGAAGGATAGGCAGAGGCATCAACTGGTCCAAGGTCACCCAGTGCCCCTCATGACTGATCAGGGATTTGACCACAGGTGTCCCCAGCTGAAGTCCAACACGCTAACCATGACTCTGCCCTTTGTTAGCTCACTATTTTAGAAGCATCACATGATCGTTATAGAACGGGTATTAGGTTGTGTAGTGATGCTCTTTGGGGTTATATCCAGGGCTTGTTCACACATTACATTGAATGCAAACATAAGCTGTCCCTACGTGTGAAAGTATCTACACTAGTTTGTTTCTACAGCTCGGCTATTGTGTATGCAGGTAGACACAACTGTACTCTCATTGAATGCATACAGCTTTAAACAGTCATGGCATTCCCCCAAAGGATTCTGGGAGCTGTAGTCTGTTAGGGGTGTTGGGAGTTGCTAGGGGCTCCTTATTTTCCAAGTGGTTGAACAACTACTACTACTACTACTACTACTACTACTACTTATTTATACCCTGCCCATCTGGCTGGGTTTCCCCATCGCTCTGGGCAGCTCCCAACAGGATATTAAAAACACAATAAAACATCAAACATTAAAAACTTCCCTAAACAGACCTGCCTTCATATGTCTTCAGATAGTTGTTTATTTCCTTGACATCTGATGGGAGGGCATTCCACAGGGTGGGCACCACTACCAAGAAGGCCCTCTGCCTGGTTCCCTGTAACTTCACTTCTCACAGTAATAATAATAATAATAATAATAATAATAGTAATAATTTACTATTTATACGCCGCTTATCTGGTTGGGTTTCCCCAGCCACTCTGGGCGGCTTCCAAAAAAAATATTAAAATACTGTACTACATCAAACATTAAAAGCTTCCCTAAACAGGGCTGCCTTCAGATGTCTTCTAAAAGTCTGGTAGTTGTTGTTCTCTTTGACATCTGGTGGGAGGGCATTCCACAGGGAGGGCGCCACTACCACAGGGAGGGAACCACTAGAAGGCTCTTGAAGCTGGACCTCAGTGTCCGGGCTGAACGATGTGGGTGGAGACTCTCCTCCAGGTATACTGGGCCAAGGCCATTTAGGGCTTTCAAGGTCAGCACCAACACTTTGAATTGTGCTCGGAAACGTACTGGGAGCCAATGTAGGTCTTTCAGGTCTGGTGTTATATGGTCTTGGCGGCCACTCCCAGTCAGCAGTCAAGATGCCACATTCTGGATTAGTTGTAGTTTCCAGGTCACTAAATCCGTCCTCACAGGGAACTCTGGGGATTGTAGCTCTGGGAGGGGTATCAGGGTCTCCTAGCAACTTTCAGAACCCTTAGCAAATGACGGTTCCCAACATTCTTTAGGGTGCCACAACTGTTTTACTGGTATAAGAAATGTCTGTTAGGATATTTCCGTTCCACCTTAAAAGGGAGCAGGCTTTGTGAGTCTGCGTATTTCCTGTTCACAGGATGTTTATGTTTGCTATTGCTTTCATTTCTCTCTCTGTGTCGTAGACACTAAAGCAGGCAGTCATGTTTTTCTGTGTTCTGATCAACGCTGAATAAACTTGTAAATAACGCTCTCCTGAGTGTGACTTTGGCTGTGCATTATCTGCTGATAGAGTGTGCATGAGCTCTGGAATGTGGCAAGATATTTTCTAGAAACTCATGTCGCTAATTGCTGATACTGCGTGCCTATGGGAGATCGATGGATCGTCCGGCAGACAGCTTGGGGGCCATGATGGACTTTATCTCCCTGGCAGTATCCCAATAATGTCTGGCGCAGATGTGGCCTAGGCCATAATCTGACCTAGCTGCCTATGCATAATATCCACTATATGTATCTACTTGAAGTTAGTCCCATTGATCTTGATGGTGTCTTTCCTTCAAGTAACCTCATGGGTTTATCAACGGATTAGGGATACACCCAGGTAACTCTGAAGAGGTGCCTGTATCCAGTGGAGCCTCCCTTCTCTCTACAGATTCTCTACTTCACAAATAATAAGCTGTACAAACCAGGCTCCCAGAGTGAACGCCTAAGCCTCCTTCAAGATCTTCCCACGTTGGGTGATGCTTCCATCCAGCTGACTGACTTGCACGCATCCGATGCCGGCACCTATATCTGCGAGGTGAACAATCCCCCGGACTTCTATGGAACTAGCGTTGGGCTCGTCCAGCTCACAGTTTTAAGTAAGTCCCATTTCCCTTTTAACATTGATGAAATATACTCAGAGTTGAGAGTGGATTTCATGCTCTTTATTCAGCTCATAGTGGTGAGGAGGAATGAAAGTTCCCCCAGAATGTCTGCTTTATATACATTATTTACACAATGGGCCCCACGTGATTGGCTAATTCTGGGATTCTCCTGTAGGCCAATCAGGTTGCGGATTCGCTTCCACCTGGAGCTGGATTGGGTGGCTCCTGTGGACCAATCAGACTGCTGCATTCTGGGTCCTATTGTTCTAGGACCAGTCAGACTGCTGCATTCTGAATCCTATTGTTCTAGGACCAATCAGACTGCTGCATTTTGGATCCTATTCAACTCAGTACATAACAATTGAATAGAAGAGATGCAGTCCTGCACAGCGGCGTAGCGTGGGTTGTCAGCACCCGGGGCAAGGCAAGTAATTTGCGCCCCCTAACCCCTAACCTGCCGCCGCTGCCAGCTTCTTCTTGCTGCTGCCTGGGCTGGTCTGGTGTGGTTCTCTCCCGCGCTCAGCGCTGCGCTGGGCAGCCGCTGCACTGTCCCTCCCCCAGATAGTCCCTCGCTCTCTCTCCGCACTGCAGGCCTGGCACCCACCCCCTCCACGGTGGGCGGCGACCCAGCGGCTCGGATTGGATTCGCACAGCCAGCACTGCAGTGAGAGAGAGTGAGTGAGCCAGGTAGGGGCAGAGAGCTGCGAGTGCGAGCGCGCGCCCCCAGATGTTGCGCCCGGTGCGGCCGGCCCCCCCTGCACCCCCCACGCTACGCCACTGGTCCTGCAGCCAGGCTGAAAGCAGGCCAAACATTTTGTCTCCATTTCCTCAGAGGGCAGGGTGGAGAATGGGTTTAAGTTGGGTTTAAGTTAACCCACTCGGTTGAATGGGTTTAAGTTGCAGGCAGGGAGAACTTGGTTATGTATAAGGAGAAATGTATTCAGTTTAAGAGCAGTTCGCCAAGGGAACCAGTTACCTAGAAGGACGACGGTTCTTAATCTCCAGAGGACATCTTCAAGCAGAATCTGGACAAACATCTGTTGGGCATGCTCTCGCCCTTGGACTTCATGAAGTTAGCAGGGAATTGTACCAGACAGATGACAAGCCCCCTTTCAGATCTATGACTCTATGGCTGCTTAGACACCATACATTTAAAGCACATTCTCTCCCCGCCCCCGAACCATGGAAACACCCCCTCAGAGTGTGTTGGGTTTCCATGGGAAGGGGTACATCTGAAAGCCCCCAGTCCCTTTCTCCCTGCGTGCAAATAGCCAAGAACGCACGATTGTTCAGTTTAACATTTATTGCAGTGATACATCACATGCTTTCCCCTACTGTTTAAAGTGGTATGATCCTGCTTTAAATGTATAGTGCGGGTGGGGGCCCAGGAGCATGCCTTCAAGGGGGCTTTGTCCGTTTTGAACCACTTCCTTTTTTATATAATATTTTTATTAAATTTTCAGCAAAAATAACCAAAGTAAAAGACACACAATAACAAATACAATAACAACCACAAACAAAGAAAAATATACACAAAAACAATGTCAAATCCATAAAATAGGATTATTTATCCAAATTATTGTTGTTGTTGTTTAGTCATTTAGTCGTGTCCGACTCTTCGTGACCCCATGGACCAGAGCACGCCAGGCACTCCTGTCTTCCACTGCCTCTTGCAGTTTGGTTAGACTCATGTTTGTAGCTTCAAGAACACTGTCCAACCATCTCATCCTCTGTCTCCCCCTTCTCCTTGTGCCCTCAATCTTTCCCAACATCAGGGTCTTTTCCAGGGAGTCTTCTCTTCAAAGAATTGGAGCCTCAGCTTCACGATCTGTCCTTCCAGTGAGCACTCAGGGCTGATTTCCTTAAGGATGGATAGGTTTGATCTTCTTGCAGTCCATGGGACTCTCAAGAGTCTCCTCCAGCACCAGAATTCAAAAGCATCAATTCTTCGGCGATCAGCCTTCTTTATGGTCCAGCTCTCACTTCCATACATCACTACTGGGAAAACCATAGCTTTAACTATACGGACCTTTGTTGGCATTTATTATTATTATTATTATTATTATTATAGCTCAAATTTCCTGTCCTATTTCTAAAATTACAAGTGTTCTTAAAATCCTGCCAATGTATTAATTAACCTGTTTACAATACTTTTGCATATACAAAATAAACATTTCCTATTCTTTTTTAAATTTCTCGTCCTCTTGATTTCTGAGCTTTCCAGGTGGTTTCGCCATTTCAGCATAGTCCATTAACTTGGTTTGCCAATTTTCTTTAGTTGGGACTGCTTCCTCTTTATGACTTATGTCTGATATATCTCTGTAAAATTTAAATTTGAAAAACCAAATAAATAAACTTAAAGGCAAACTCTACAATTCTATGATTCTATGTGTCCTGGCACTGAATTATCTCCCCCCCTCCTCCAACAGTGCCCCCATCTACTCCAGTGTGCAAAGGGACCACCTCTGCTTCTGTGGGTTCGGACGCCCGCCTGACCTGCAATTCTTCCGAAGGTGTGCCTTCACCAACCTATTCCTGGACACGGCTGGATACCAAGACTCCGCTACCTCTGTCCAATATGGTGCAGGGTAAGTGAATAACTGCTCTCTTCAGATACATTACTATTAAGGAACACTTTGGAAAAGGAAAACTGCATTGGTGCAATTTTCATTCTTACCAACAGGGTAATGCAAATAGATGTGTATGGACACGGGTGGCGCTGTGGTCTAAACCACTGAGCCTCTTGGGCTTGCCGATTAGAAGGTCAGCGGTTCAAATGCCCGCAATGGGGTGAGCTTCTGTTGTTCAGTCCCAGCTCCTGCCAACCCAGCAGTTCAAAACCACACTAGTGCAAGTAAATAAACAGGTACCACTGCGGCAGGAAGGTAAACAGCATATCTTCTTGCACCAGGTCATTGAGGACCATTTGCTTTTTAAAATTCTCCCATATATACAGAACTCCCTGTGTGCCTTTTGCAGACCCTCCAATGGTCCCTATTTTCCAGGAATGGTCCCTGATTTACAGAAGTCATCCCAGTTTCTGATTCAATCCCAGAATGTCCCACTTTTTTCTTAGGACGTCCCTATTTTCACCAGAAAAGTGTTGAAGGGTGTGGAGTTTTCCGACCACCATGCCATCTGGAGGCAGCCTTGCATAGGTTTTAAAAAATGTTTTGTTATGTTTTTATATATGTTGGAAGCTGCCCAGAGTGGCTGCAGCAACCCAGTAAGATGTGTGGGGTATAAACAGTAAAATTAGTATTATGGAATAGAACACCTCTATTTTCATCGGAGAAATGTTGGAGGGTATTCTTTTGGACTGTTATCTACAGGTTTCCCCCTCTGCTTCAATAATATTTCATTATGTTCCTATCATTTTATGTAATTGTATTTTGTATAACACTGGTCAACAACAAATTTGTTGTCTGCGTTTTTTCAGTTGATTTAGGACGAATCTGATGCGCTGAATCCCAAAATCACATTGGTTTTGCTCAATCAGGTCAAGTTTTTGAGCTATGGCCACATGTCGTTTTTTACGTTTTTGTTCACATGTACGCTTGTGTGGAGCATTTTAGAAGAAGTTGGTGGGGGTAAAATGCCATGTCGAATAATTGTTTTGATTGGAAATGATTATTTTAATGACAAGAAGTATTCAGGTGCGATAGTTCTGGGTGATTATGTCGAAAAGGGATCAGTTTGAAGTAATAAAACCTCGAAATCTTCCATAAATTGGTGCGGCAAAGCATAAAGTTGGGGGATCAAAACTAAGTTAATGGGGCTGCCCCACAAAGTATCCTAATCTTCAATCAGCACGTCGTCCTGTAGCTCATTGTGATGAAATTCCAGTTCCTATCTTCGGAGAACTTCCTGACATTAGTGATGAATTAGCCTCCAGTGTTGAAGGACATGAAGAAGAAGAAGTGGTTCTTGAAGATGATGCTCCACATCCATTTTCCCAAAAGGAGTTGAATGATCTAGTTCGCGACCTCAGCTTGTCAAAGGGCTCTGCCGAACTGTTGGCATCCAGATTGAAGGAAAAAAACCTCCTCTCTGACAGTGCTCGCATCAGCTTCTTCTGCAGCAGGCATCAAGAGTACCTCTGTTTTTTCTTGGAAGAGAAGGACTTGGTGTACTGTGCAGATATTGCGCAGCTTCTGCTCAAGCTTGGAGTGCCACAGTACGAACCTAAAGATTGGAGACTGTTCATTGACAGCAGCAAGCGATCAATGAAATGTGTTCTGCTACACAACGGCAACCAGTTTGCCTCTATACCCCTGCCTCACTCGAGTACACTGAAGGAGAACTATGAAGAGGTGAAGTATGTGCTGGAGAAAATTGGTTATGTTCAGCATAAGTGGTTTATTTGTGTTGACCTGAAGATGGTGAACTTTTTGTTGGGACAACAGTCTGGCTTCACCAAGTACCCATGTTTTCTGTGCATGTGGGATAGTAGGGACCGTGCTCAGCATTACACGAAGAAGGACTGGCCTGTGCGGGAGGAATTGGTGCCTTGCAAAAAAAGGAACGTCATCAATGACCCTCTGGTGGACAGAGATAGAATACTCTTCCCACCGCTGCACATCAAGCTCGGCTTAATCAAGCAGTTCACCAAGGCTCTGGACAAGGATGGTGACTGCTTCACTTACTTGTGCCAGGCTTTTCCAGGATTGACCATGGAGAAGTTGAAAGCTGGCATCTTTGACGGTCCTCAGATCCGTCAGCTCATCAGAGATCCAGAGTTTGGAAACTCAATGAACGAAGTGGAACTGGAAGCGTGGAAGGCATTTGTTCTGGTAGTGAAGAACTTTCTTGGCAACAGTAAGACCAGAAACTACGCAGAGCTTGTCAACAACATGCTGACTGCTTTCAGAAACCTGGGCTGCAACATGAGCGTCAAGATGCACTACCTATTTTCACATATGGACCGGTTTCCTGAGAACCTGGGTTCAATGAGTGATGAGCAGGGGGAGAGATTCCATCAGGACATGAAAGAGATGGAGACCAGGTATCAGGGTCGCTGGGACGCAGTCATGATGGCTGACTACTGTTGGACTCTGAAGAGAGACCTCCCTGCTGCTGAGCATTCCTGGAGTTCCAAGAAAGGGAAGTTCAAGCCCTGAAGTTTGAAAAATGGTGAAGCAACATGCAATTTACGTGTACTTACCTTTATCAATGCCCACCATTCAGTTTACAGTAAACCTGACCTGATGGAGAGAAACGGATGCCATTTCCTGATTCAGCAGTGCAAAAATACCCGAAATCAGTTGTAGAAATCTAGACAACATTCAAAAAGTAAAAAATTGTTGCCCAGTGAAAAAAAATAAAAATAAAGCATGTTTTGCAAAACAAAATATTTAAAAAGCTACCTTCTTACTGGTAGGACAGGGTGGGGAGCCACAGGAAGGAAACGAGGTCGGAAGGGGGCCATGGTCGGGAAAAGGTTGGGAAACACTGATCGAATGGGGTGCCACGTTGAATTCCTCCAAACGAACTGGGTCCAGCAATATATATTTTTTAAATCGTTTTTATTTGGTACCTTGGTTCTCAAACAACTTGGAACCCAAACACTGCAAACCCGTGCAAACACTGCAAAGTAAGTGTTCCAGTTTGCGAACTTTCTTCGGAAGCCAAACATGCTCCATTTGAGTGCCACACCTCTGTTTTGAGTGTTACGCTGAGGTCTGTCTGTTTTTACTATTTATTTTGCGTTTTTGTTTTTGCGGCTTTTTTGTTTTGTTTCTGTGACTGTGTGGAACCCAGTTCAGCTACTGATTGATTGATTGTGTGACTGCAGTATATTGTTTATTGCTTTCATTTTATGGATCAGTGGTCTCATCAGATAGTAAAATTCATGTTAAATTGCTGTTTTAGGGGTTGTTTTTAAAAGTCTGGAATGGATTAATCCATTTTTCATTATTTTCTATGGGAAAGCATGCCTTGGTTTTGGAACACTTTGAATTTGAAACCGACTTCCAGAATGGATTAAGTTTGAGAACCAAGGTACCACTGCTCAAGTTTATAACAAAATCAAGTACTTATCCATATAGAGAGATTTCTCTGAATCTCAACACACACACACACACCGCCAATCCCCTCCATGGATCCTATTGTCAATGTTTTCAACTGCAAATTATTTCATAATCTATATTTCAAATCTAACCTTGTTGTCCATAGTATTTGTTACATTACAAGTGAGATTAAAATCCTGCTAATCTTTTCATCTGCTTACAGGGTCCAGCAATTAATAGGCAGGCTGTGCCGTTCTTTTGAGATTGGGCAAATTGACCCTAAACTTCACTTTTTCCTTCTTTCCTCCCCACAGATGACAAAACAGGGAATCTGTGGCTGAGAAACATCTCACTCGCATTCTCTGGGACGTATCAATGTCTTTCCTCCAACGAGTTTGGACAACAGAAATGCGAGCTCACCATTCATGTGACAGGTGAGGACAGGTGTCTAGCTTTGTGTTTACCTGCTTGAGTGCCTGGCTGTTGTCATGAGTTTGGCCACCTCAGTAAGCCTTAAAAAAAATTTTTTTAGACAAAGTAATAACAATAAATAAATAAGAATAAAAATGTGCAGCCCACCACCAAGACCATTCCATTGTAACTATCCAACCTTCCAAAATTTCAACACTTCTTGGGATGGTTTGACCCCTTTCCGTTTTAACAGTACAAATTCTACAAATATCCTCCATAACTCCTCAAAGTCATTCCTCCTGCATATTCCCCATCTTACCTTAATGGCACATGTTATTTGATCATTAATAGCTATATCCCACACACCTCAGTAAGCCAAAGTGAGATACAGTCAAACCTCAATTGTCGAATGTAATCCATTCTGGAAGCCCATTTGGCTTCTGAGATGTTCGACAGCCGAGGTGCTGCTTCTGTTTGGTTGCAAGCTGTAGTAAATATAGGGGTTGCTCGTGCGTAAGTTGCCGCCACTCCTGGCTAGGTTGCCTTGTTAAACCTTTTCTGTCTGGACAGCCCTTCACTTCGTGGCTGTTTCAGTCGCTAGCAGAATCTGTCAGTGGGCGTTTCTTAAACCTTTTCCAGCATAAAAGCTGTTTGACGCCAAGTCTCCTCCTACTCTCCCTGCGCGGAAGTCTTCTGCGCAGGGAGGGTGTGGGTAGCGGAGGACCCGTACTCTCCCCGCTGGTCTCCGGCGAGGAGTCCTGGAACCCCCTCGCCGATTCCCCCATCTCCCTGGTGTTACGCTGATTTCCTTCCCCAGCTGATGAGCTGCCTCTCTCCCTGCTGGGCCCTTCTCCAGCATCGCTTGGGAGGCTTGCCTCCACCTCTAGCTCCAATGTCAGTTCCCTGACACAAGCAGTACTTTTTCTATTAAAAATGTTTAGGGGTACTCTAATTTTCCTACTTATATTGAAATAATGCCCCTCAATGAGGCCAAAATTAGAGTCACAAAATGTTTAGGGGTATGCGTACCCCTGCGTCCCCCCAGAAAAAAAGCACTGGTTGCAAGAGCTTCCTGCACTCAAATGGAAGCCACATTGGATGTTTGGCTTCTGAAAAACATGCAAAACCCAGAGTATTACACACAGTATTTACTTCTGGATTTTCGGCATTCGCGAGCCAAAACGATCCAAAATGGAGACGTTCGGGAACCGAGGTTTGACTGTATCACATAGTGGTGATTGAGAAACTGGGTGGGTGATTAAGGACATAAAAAGGTCCTTAATGACCTGGAATCTCTCTCCAGCCTTGGGAGTGTGGGACCTATCAAAATTTGGGGGAGGGGGTTGGAACTAGCTAAAAAGACAAAGACATTGGACTACCTGAGGCGAAGGGTAACAGGAAGCCCTCTGCATGCCACTAACAGAAACCAACTGGGCTGGCTGCTGAATCTTAGATCAATATGGGCAACAGGATAGCACCCCTTTAGGGAACTACATCAGAGGGAACTGCCAGGAGCCTACTGCTTCTTCTTCTTTTTTTATTTTTTAATTTTCAGTTTGTAGGAATGTCGTTTTCATTCAGATATAATCAATTTTATACATGTATAGGATTCGCTGAATTCTTGGACCTCCCTCTGCTCCCCCATGGTTTCCATCTTATAATATTTATAAATAAAATAAAATCCAATTTTATCCATACAATTATTGCATGACAAGTGTTATGTCAATCCTGCTAACATTTCTAAATGTTTACTCCGTTGTTCAAGGTAATCTGTACAAAGTTTCCATTCTTTGTTAAACTTCTTGTCTTCTTGGTTTCTGGTTTTCCTGGTCAGTTTTGCCATTTTGGCATAGTCCATCATCTTGATTATACATTCTTCTGTGGTTGGAAACTTATCTTCCTTCCATCTCTGGGCAAATAGCATCCTCACAGCTGTCCAGGAGGCTACTGCTTCAGCCCCTAGCATCTGATGCCTGAGGCTGTTGCCTCACTTTGCCTATTAACAGAGCCAGCCTGCGTTGGGGGTGGCACATGGCCATATAATGGCATGTAACTTCTGATAGCCATATCCTTCTTATTTGGAATATTTGGGATCACAGGGAGCTGCCTCATACTGAGTCACAACATTGGTCCACCTAGCTTATTGTTGTCTATGCTGAGTGACAGCAGCTGTCCAGGGTTTCAGGCAGAGCTATCTCCTAGTCCTATCCAGGGATGCCGGGAATTGAACTGGGAACCTTTTGCATGGAAAGCAGAGGCCCCATCACTGAGCTATGGCTATCCCTGCTGCAACACCAGCACAGCCTAGGAGAGACATGAGGGATGCATGCTACCTTTGAGAAAGATAAATCCACTCGTGCTGTTTGACAATATAGACCCCACTTGTAAAAAGTCCTCCCTCTCTATTTCAGGCAAATCTTCATGAGCTTGCAGTGCCATCTAGTGACCAACATGTATCTGCATTTATTTATTTATTGAAATGCGATTTTTTTCCCAACTGTGTCTCAGTATAGTAAGAATCTGGGCTTGAGCCAAAGTACAAGATGGGTCTTGTCTCTGTCTCCACCTACCAGTATATTGCAGGATGTGGTTGAGAGAAAAAGAGAAACAGTATACTGTACTCCAGCATTAATGTTCCCAGGTGTGCTGGGGGTAGAGATGAGCAAATCTATCAGTTTAACTTTCCCTGGTTTTCATTTTCTGTTTTGAAGTTCAGTTCTTCACATTTCCTTTTTAAAAATAATGTTTATTGAGTTTTTGATAATTTTATACATATAAAACACAACCATTTCAAACAATAAAATACAGGGGTTCATTTGCACCTTCGGACCTCCTTCCCTCCCTCCAGGGGTTCCATATTCAAGATTAAATTTTCTGCATCTTTTACCATTATCCATCTATTATATAACCATAATTACCATAAATAATTCCACATTACAAGTGTCCTTACATCCCTTACATCCCTTACATGCCAAAGATTTTAACTGTTTACAGTGGTCTTTTAAATAAATTTCAAATTTACTCCAGTCTTTAGAAAATACTTGTACTTTCTGGTTTCGGAACTTCCCCGTCAGTTTCACCATCCCCACATATTCCATCAGTTTCATCTGCCATTCTTCTTTCATTGGTACTTCTCCTTCCTTCCATCTCTGGGCTAGTAGCGTTCTCGCTGCCATTGTTGCATACAGTTCTTCACATTTCCACACCACCTTTTTCTAAGTCCTGATGAAAACTCACCCGAAAATTCTCCTAATTTTGTGTGTAATTTGTCTATGCAATTTTGCCTAACGTATAAGTTTTCGCAAAGCAACTTCCCCTGATAGAATTCATTTTTGCATGTTGTTTTTCAGTAATAGATACATTCTTATGCACACCTTATCCCGGTAGATGAATTTTTGTATGCATTACATAGCTGTATCACTGCATTGCAAAATTTGGAGAAGTGAGAATTTTGAAGGATGCTCCGAGTTTGGCTGCCATATTGTTTCTGAATGTACAAATTAGGCAGATTCACCTTGAAATGTGAACTAAATCCCATTTCTCCCCCATCCCTAGGGTGAGGCTGAGAGAATATGACTTAATGGCAGTGCTCCAAGACAGTTCACTGCAGGTTGGAAGCATATCTAAGGCTGAGGGTGGCTTACAACATCCCTGCTATGTTACTTTTATATTATGGAAGAAGGAGCTGAAATTGAGAGAGTGAATGGCAACCAACAGCCCTGCAATGCGATCTGGGTTTATAGACATGTGCCAGAAAGTGGAGATAAGGAGTCATTTGCTGCTTCTCTTAATGTAACAAAAATGTCTTGGGCTGGGACTGCAAAGAGATCTGTTTTCCTTCAACAACAACTTCTTCTTCTTCTTCTTCTTCTTCTTCTTCTTCTTCTTCTTCTATCACTCATAGCCAAGTAAGATTGACTTCCATGAACACGGTTTAAACAGTGAGTCTGTAAGTGACTGTGGAGGCCAATTCTGGACCCACGCGTCCTTCCACAGTGGGGACATTGGTTTTGGGGCAGGAATTGATTGTGGTGAGGGTTTGCCAAACGTGTCTTCCTCTTAGCTTGTTTCTCCCTTTCGTCTTGAGTTCGAGCGTCTTCAAAGTTCATGACACCTTTGGTAAAGGCTGTTCTGCAACTGGAGCACTCATAGGCCAGTGATTCCCAGTTGTTGGTGTTTATGCTACATTTTTTTAGATTTGCCTTGAGAGTGTCTTTAAACCTCTTTTGTTGATCGCCAGCATTACACCTTCCATTTTTAAGTTCAGATTAGAGCAGTTGCTTTGAAAGACGATCATCAGGCATCCGCACAACATGAACAGTCCGAAGAAGTTGATGTTGAAGAATCATTGCTTCAACACTGGTGATCTTTGTTTCTTCCAGTACACTGGTATTAGTTCGCCTGTCTTCCCAAGTGATGTGTAAAATTAAGAAATTATACATGATATCTCACATGACGAGCATGAGATCGCAGCCTTGCATCTGTGTTAATTAATCCTAGACCTTTCACTTCCTGACACTAGAAAACGGTGGTGGGGAACCTGTAGCCTTCCAAATATTTGAACCCTTGGCAGGTCAAGTTTGGCTTGTGGGCCAGAGATTCCTCACCTCTGCTCTAGTAGGCAGTAGGAGAACTAATGTCTGGAAATGACAGGGAAGCAGATTTTGTCTAAACATTGGGAGAAACGTCCTCACAGCAAGAGCTGTTTGACAGTGGAGCAGACAGACTGCCTTGGGAAGCAGCAGACTCTCATTCGCTGGAGGTATTTAAGCAGATCCTGGGTGGGCATCTGTTAGATATGCTGCAGTTGTGTTCTGCAATGTGGTCTAAACCCCTGGGCCTCTTGGGGTTGCCGATCAGAAGGTTGGCGGTTCGAATCCTCACGAATGGGGGAGCTCCCGTTGCTCTGCCCCAGCTCCTGCCAACCTAGCAGTTCGAAAGCACGCCACTGTGAGTAGATAAATAAGTACTGCTGTGACGGGAAGGTAAATGGTGTTTCTGTGTGCTCTGGCTTCCATCACGGTGTTATGTTGCACCAGAAGCTGTTTAGTCATGCTGGCCACATGACCCAGAAAGCTGTCTGTGGACAAATGCCGGCTCCCTTGGCCTGAAAGTAAGTTGAGCGCCGCAACCCCATAGTCCCCTTTGACTGGACTTAACCATCCAGGGGTCCTTTACCTTTTTACCTTTTCTACCTCTGCACTACAGATCCTGCACTGCAGAGGGAGAAGGACCTCAGGTGCCTTGCAAACACTTTTAATGAATCTGAATCCTCATCTCATGCCTAAATGTGCATTGAAATAAAGAACAAATTCAAAACAGGATAGCTAAAATAATAGCTAGAGTGCATTAGAGGATCCTTTGTTTTGTTAAAAAATAATATTTATTGCTTTTAAAAGTTACAAAGAAGTAAAAAAGAAAGAGAAAAAAAAAGAATGAAAGAAAAGAAGGAGAAAAACAATACAATATATAAACCATACAAACCCACCCTAAGCCCACTAAACTAAACACATAAACAAAGCAAAACAAAAACAATTTAAAAACATCCCTCCTTTTCCATACTCTGTCCTTCATTCCCTTGTTTCCTTGACTTCCTCACACCTCCCTTCTTGTATCCCGCTTCTAATATTTGTTTCAGCAAATCCTTTCCATCTTTCTCTATTTTCTGTCATATTATGAATAACATATTCTTTAACTTTATTTCCCATTAACGGTTAATTACTTATATACACCCATCTTCTTATAGCATTTCTGCTAAATCCATAAAATATCATTCCACCGTTTTTCAGACAGTCATTACTTTAACAAAATTTCTAAATAAACACTTTAAATTTTCCATTAATCTTCCACTATCTCCTCTCCCTGGCTTCGGATTCTGCCAGTCCTTTCCGTCAGTTCCATATAATCCATCATCCTGGTGCTCTAGTATCCGAGGCTCTTAAATCTCTTCCAAGTCCTTTCTGCAGGTCTTCTTCATATTCTTTGATGCTCAGGAGCAAATCTCGGGAAAACTCCAGCCTAGCAATACTTTTGTTCCTTCTGGACAGTTCAGCCAAATTTCCAAAGTTAAAAGTAAAGTCCATAGAGTGTTTCGAAGCGTATTTCAGGATTCCTCCAATTCTAGCGACCCCCAAAACTTCAAACTCCTCCAAGCCCAGGTCCATGTCCCAAAAGTCAGTCAATCCCTGGATAGAGGGTTCTTTCCAACTTTCCTTCTTCAATCTAAGCCGGGATCCTAGCCACGAAATTTGACTTTTGCTAGATTCAGTCATGAAAGACCTCAATTTATAATCCTCGATTTGCTTCTGAGAAATTAAGGATCCCGCTTGTGCTACTTTTGGTTTCACATCATCATCAGCTTTCTCCACCATTTCCATCATCAGCTTTCCTTTCTCCACCATTTGTTCAACCAAGATATGTTCCGGTACCAAATCCTGAGTTGTTTCTGTATTAACACTCACGTTTTGATTCAAATTAATCACGTTCTGTTCCAAGTTGTCAATTTTAGAGATCGTGTCATCTGTCTTTTTATGAAGCTGTTCCAGTGAGTAGTTTATCTTGTATAATACCGTAACAATGGCTTCTCCTATCAACATTTTGTGTGATCCAAGGTCAGACTCTATTTTTCAGAATCTTATCTTGCAGCTGAAGCTCTCCCTGTTACACTCCTGTAACAGTTTCACATGCTCCCTCTAGAGGGAAACAGTCACCATTTGTATCAATTCTTTCAAAACAACTCAAGCAGGTAACAATAGTTTCAATTTTCAGTTACTTCTCCTCCATTTTTAAACGCAGAAGAGGACAATGGAGACAGTACCTTTCTTATTTTAGCTAGCTGTCAAATCCATTCTGTCAATAAATATTCCCCGAATGTCATCTGGCAGCCCTTTTCCAGGTTCAGAGCAGTGGCGATTTAATTTGAACTCTCTTCTGCAGGCACACTAAATCCAAAACTTCCCCTCTCTTCTCCTGCTTCCAAGAGGGGTTATATGTTCTTATCCGGTAGGAAATTAATCCTTTATCAAAAGCTTTCAAAGACTTTAGCTTGTAACGTCTTTGCTTCAATCTATTTACAAAACGGGAGGCGGACTTCCTGTTTAGAGCCTTCCCACTTCAGCGCCAAATTAAAGTGTTTCAAAGTCCAATTTTCCGTTCTACTCACGGGATAGTTGTTTAAAATCCAATTGTCACAGGAAAAAGTCAGCGCTCTCCGGCAACAGCAATGCGGCTTCACTCCGTGAAAGAAGCAGTCGATTCAAAGCACCGCGCCGCTCACCCCACGTCGCTCCGGATCCCCAAAACAGGGTTTCCCCGCGAGTAGGGGGGGCGCAAATGGTGCCAGCCGAATCCCAGGTTCACAGGCTTCTTCCACCTGTGATTTCTATGGGTCTCCGCCTTCACCGTGGCGGTCAGACCCTGCTTTTCACAGAGCAAATTCCTCCCGGTCGGAGGAATTCAGCCATTGCTGGAGGCGCCTCCCCGGAAGTCTCCTAGAGTGCATTAGAGGATCCTTTGAAGGTAGTCAGGCAATCTGGAGACAGATAAAGTCACCTTTAAAATGAAGTCAGGCCTTTCCAACAACTTTCTCCTGGCCCGCCTGCCTGCCTATCTGCCTATCTTTTGCACCTCTCGCTGTCAGCTTTCAACAGTTCCTACTGAAATAACACTTTCCCACCTATTCACCAGATAAATCCCTGAGCTAAATCTGCTTCACCGAATCTCTGTTTTGACACCCCAACGATGTTGCTGTTAATTCTTCAAGAGAATTCTGGGCTCAGAGCCAGTTCTCATCAATGCCCAGGGCATAATAGGCATTCGATCATATTTCTAGGGATATGAATTGTTGCAGCTGTGCTGAAGGTTGTCATTAAAGTTAATTTACGCTGGCTAGAAGTTACGTCTTTAGGGAATTCATTGTAAGAACTTTCTCCATGAGAAGGTGCTTTAAAAAAACCAAACCTGTGCCAGCTGTGGAGTCATGATCCATTTGCTTCGCACATTACAGCTGCCTCTCCTTGGATTAATGCTGCTTATGTGCAGGATCTCACCTTTCCCTATGCACACACCTTGTACACAGGAAAATGTGATCCTGTACATGGGGAAATGTGATATTTCCTCCAAAATGCACATCTATTGATACTGAAGCTGAGGCTCCAATACTTTGGCCACCTCATGAGAAGAGAAGACTCCCTGCAAAAGACCCTAATGTTGGGAAAGATGGAGGGCACAAGGAGAAGGGGACGACAGAGGACGAGATGGTTGGACAGTGTTCTCGAAGCTACCAGCATGAGTTTGACCAGACTGCGGGAGGCAGTGGAAGACAGGAGTGCCTGGCGTGCTCTGGTCCATGGGGTCACGAAGAGTCGGACACGACTAAACGACTAAACAACAACAATTGCTACCAACAGAAACATGGCTATGTGAGCGCCATAGAAAGGTACATATTGGTCATTGTCCATGGCGTCATGAACACCAAGTAACCAAGCTCTGTCCACCATGCCTGTGCCATTTTGTGAAATTGTTTTCAGAGGTGCTTTGTTTGGGCTTTAAAGGTCAGCACCAACACCTTGAATTGTGCTTGGAGACGTACCCAGGAGCCAATGTAGGTCTTTCAGGACCAGTGTTATATGATCTCTGCAGCCACTCCCAGAATCCCTGCTCTCCTTCGTCTCTCATTCTGCTGCAGCCTGAGATATCCACAAACAACTCTGGGAACAGGAGAAAAGAGTTCTGGGTGACTGAGTGTGATTCTCAGTTAGATTGGAAGCATATTTTTGGCATACAAATAAATAAATACCAGTGTTATTTTCTTTTAAATTAAGCATTGCTGGTACTCACTGATTGGTACCAGCGAGATATCTGGCCCATTTGTGCTCTGACAGCTTTCCAGAATGTGCCGGGCTTTGATTGCCGCCTCAACGACTCACATCCCGTTTTTCTGACTTGCTTCCTACTCAGGTCAGGTCCTTTCATTTAATTAGCTCTCATTTCCGTGGGCAGATTCCCCCCCCCCACTCGCTGGCTTCGCTTCTTGGCTGAACGGCGACTTAGGAGGAGAAATTGGACGGCATCTGGGAACGATTGAAGGATAAAAACACCGAGCATACATGCAGAGGGGTTTGAGGGTGCAGAGAGGATGGTGGCAGAAAAATGAGATATTAATTGAAGGCAAGGAACTGGTTTGGTTTAGGAAGATAGGAAGCTGCCTTCTACTGAGTCAGCCCCGTGGTCCATCAAGCTCAGTACTGTCTACACTGGCTGGCAACAGCTCGCCAGCCTTTCAGGCAGAGAGCTCTCCAAGTCCTAGCTGGAGATGCCAGGGATCGAACGTGAGACCTTTGGCATGCAAAGCAGATGCTCTACCCCTGGGCTACAGCCCTTCCCCAGAAAGTGAAAATGAATCATGGGGGGAAGCTGGAGAAAGGGCTCGAGATATAATTAAAAAATGATACGAGAGACTTCTTAGGACTTGGAAGAGCCTCAAGAGATAAAGTGGAATTGGAAAACGAGTGAGGTCCCAGCTAAAGAAGAATGGCAACTTAAGCTGAAGGAATATGCACAGCTTGCAGAGTTAACATACAGTGGTACCTTGGGTTACAGACGCTTCAGGTTACAGATGCTTCAGGTTACAGACGCTTCAGGTTACAGACTCCGCTAACCCAGAAGTAGTACCTCGAGTTAAGAACTTTGCTTCACGGTGAGAACAGAAATGATGCAGCCGCAGTGGGAGGCCCCATTAGCTAAAGTGGTACCTCAGGTTAAGAACAGTTTCAGGTTAAGAATGGACCTCCAGAACGAATTAAGTTCTTAACCCGAGGTACCACTGTATAGAATAAGAGAGCAAAAGAACATATGTTTAGAGGGGACTGGAAAACGTTTATTGAATATATGGGGGGAAATTGTGTACACCTGAAAACGTCGGCAGGATTAAGATAAATTCAACAGAGTGGCTAGGGAAACCCAGCCAGATGGGCAGGCTATAAATAAATTATTATTATTATTATTATTATTAATCAGTTTTAATGGATGCAATAATGGAATACTGAATGGTTTAGTTTTTGTGAACTATGCAGGGATTTATGATATGCAAAATGAGCCATGGAAAGAGAAGAAGAGAAGTCGCTGATATTTTAAGGATGTTTAAATGAGCATTTTAAATTGTAAAACAGAAAATTTAATAAAAATGAGAGAGAGAGAGAGAGAGAGAGAAGCAGTCAGTGATGGGCTATACAGAACAAAGTAAAATGTGAGTAAATAAATGCATATCATATCCTGAAAGAAACAGCTTCACTTCAGTTTCCAAAAAGATTTCAAGGTTACCTGGCTGTTTCCTATGAAGCAGGTAGCAGCATCCACGGAGGGAGGAAATTTAAACTGGGAAAATGGTTTAGGATTAACACCCTCCTTCCCTGCACTACAGCCCTGATCAAATTCTCCCACAATCGCTACTGCATTTGCTTTTAACTTTAAAAGTCAGGAGATGAGGTCCATCCTTCCCTAAGTCACATCTTGTTGGGGCCCCCCTTCTGTATCTTTCCGATGCATTTAAACATATTCTCTGTTTGGGATCTGTGTGGGACCTTCTTTCCAAAATATGTGCAGGTTAGATAGGTAGGTAATAATTTTATTTGTGAAGCTATAAGCCATGATGAAACAGGAAGAGCATTCAACGGCCAACGAGGCGGTTTCTGCACGTGCCGCAGAGGGAATCGAAGGATAGAGGAGGTTTATCAACCTGGGAAAGCAGCCCATCTAGGAGAAGGAAAACTCTGATCCTAAACCTCCACTGTCTTGCAGGATAGCTTTGGGAGAAGAAAAGGGTGTGGGAATGTTGAGGATAGTAGGAGAGGATATATTGATTAAATATTATCCTACCTCACTCATGCAAGTGAGCTAGTAGCAGAGCACATTCCCTAGCACATTGCTGGTTGATGGATTCACTAGAACCATTTGAGTTAAGCAATCCAGTCTGACTTGTCTGGATTGGATTGTTCCTGGTAAATCCCCTTTAGTTCCCTCTTAAGAACAAGAATGACACAACAGTCTTCTTTTAAAAGTAATGGTAAGGTTTACTTACATTCAGTTCACAGTACAGTGGTACCTTGGGCTAAGAACTTAATTCGTTCTGGAGGTCCGTTCTTAACCTGAAACTGTTCTTAACCTGAAGCACCACTTTAGCTAATGGGGCCTCCTGCTGCCGCTGCGCCGCCGCTGCACGATTTCTGTTCTCATCCTGAAGCAAAGTTCTTAACCCGAGGTAATATTTATGGCTTAGTGGAGTCTGTAACCTGAAGCGTATGTAACCCGAGGTACCACTGTATAGTCCTGAAGGCAGGCCTTAGCTTCTAGTTACAGTTACAGAGAAAAGTGTGGGTTCATCCTCTGTGAGGGATGAGCCCATGCGCTGCTGGCCGAGAGCCAGCAGACAGCAAAAGGCAAACTGGAGAGAAGGGACCAAAAGAAAGAGGTGGATGGCTACATGACTGGCCCTTTTGTAGGGTCTGCTGGAGTCACACCCATCTACCTGGTCACACGCAGGGGGAGGATGCTCCAGACCAGGTGTGACAGGAAGTCCTCCTGGCTGAAGCAATATTCCCTTGTGTGTCCACTCTGGGCCAACAGGAAATGTTGTATTTGACTGCTTCAGTGATGTTACATCCCACAAAAGGCTATGATGTTTGCCCTACACAAATCCAGAGTGGAGTCCCTAAGAGGGCTGGATGATGCCTTGTACGCCTCCTTCTAGAGACTCCTGCAGCCAAGCGAATGCCAAATGTATTGCTCTGCTTTCCTTTGGACCACATCAGCGAGGCCGAGAGGGGGGTCTTGTTGTCTGGGCAGCCCAGGACCTCCATACATGCTGCCCAGGCTGGTGCCCTGGGGATGTCAGTTGAGTGCTGTTAACACAGCAGTTTGACTTCAACCCCGGCACACTCCATCGTCTCTCAAGACAGATGGATGCAAATTAATTGGTCTGGGAGTGCACCAATGTTGATTGAATCCCCAGCTTAACAATTAATAGGTTGCATCAGATTTCCGTTTTGTACGTTTCTTTGAGATTTCTTTGAATGGAAAGTGATCAAGAAATTTTCAAAATAAACAGACTAACAACATCTGGAGGGTCAAGGGTTCTTCACCCATGCTTAAGTTGTCAAGAAAAGGTCCACGTTTTTAGGATACTGGAAATAAATGAGCTGAGAACTTGTCTCTCCTTACATCAGGGTAGGTGAAAGCAAGCAAGCAAGAATATCCTGATATTCTGAAATTAAATTAACGGTTTGAGGTTTCCAGCTCACAAGTCTATTTTTGTTTCTCTCAGATTTTGAGGAAGAAAAAAAATCTATAGGAAGTAGAGAAAGTAGGATCTTCAGCATCTTCATGTTCAAAATCCATTTCTGAAAATGAATGGCTTATAAAAGCAGAGCAGTTGGGAAGAGCCATATGGCGTGAAGCTGTGTCTTGAGCATCTCCATTGGCACCACGTGGTCAGGGAGTATCTGAGAAAAAAAGGTTCTAGTAGAAGTGAAATAGAAGTAGAGGGCAGCACAAAAATAGGCGTTTGCAACACTTTCACGAGAGAGGAGGATGTGTAAAATAGGGGGAAGAGCTTTACATGATTGAGGCGTAAGAATAGGTTTCCAGTGAAATTAACACAGGAAGGTAGAAAAGGAAATGTTTCTGGCATGTGGAACTCTCTGCCACCAGATGCAAGGAAGAATAATACAACTGATTTTTTTATATATAAAAAAACAGCCCTATTCAGGCATTCTATGAGTTCATACCAGGTAAAATCTTATCTTTTGTCCCAGGCATTGGCTGGACTATAATGGTTTTGTTTTCTATTAGGAGCATGTTTTTGCTGCTAAGAACATAAGGCAAGCCCCCTGGATAAGGCCAATGGCCCATCTAGTCCAGTGTCCTGTTCTGACAGTGGCCGAACAGATGCTCCAATAGGAAGCATTGGGGCAGCACTCTGTGATTCCCTCCTCCTGGTATTCAGAGGCATAATACTGTTTTATTGGGTCTGTCCTACTGGTTGTTGTACCCCTTGCATTGTACAACGATTTTTTATTTTTTTCAGATTTTGTTGTGCTTTTTCCTCTTAAAATACCGCAAGTTGTTTGGAGACCGCTTTGTGGAAAGCAATTAATAAATAGACTAAACCGTTAAGATTTTTGTGCCGCTGCTGAGGACTGAAGCCTTGTGTTTTGTGTCTCTCCCTAAAACAGGCACTGCGGAAGCTGGAGTGATTGCAGGAGCTGTCATAGGGGTCCTCTTAGCGCTTCTGTTGCTCTGTGGAATAGTCCTCTGGTTCTTACGCTTTAGGAAGCAGAAGGAGAAGAAGAAGACCCAATCCATATACAGCGGGAATGAAATCAGGTTAGAGTGGCTTGCCTCAAGGTCCCCTTGGTTCTAAGCAAGCATCATTTGCCAACTGATCCTTAAAAGATGCAAAAACAAGGAAACCAGGAGCTAAAAGCGGCCTTCCCCAACCTGATGCCCTCCAGATGTTGTAGAAGACAACTCGCAAGTGCTGGCTGGGGGTGATGGGAGTTGTAGTTCAAAACATCTGGAGGACACCAGGTTGGGGAAGGCTGGCTAAAGGTCAGAAATCCACAGAGGCCTGTTGACACTAAGGCTAATTTATGCAATGCCATCAGTCTTCCCCCTTACCACTATTATGGCACGAGGTCTGATTCAACAGGTAGTTTGATAGCTCTGCAAATCAGATAGATTATCTGAAGGTGCAGTGAAGGAGGAGAAGCCTCCCTTCCCAATTCCTAGGTCCTGTTGAGCGGCAATTAAAAAAACAAAAGTGATGTTGATCAGACAGGTGCAAGGAGCTTCTGGTTTAGTTAATTTCATACTGGAAGGAAACTTTAAAAAAAGTAATTTAAAAGTCTTTTCCACTATTGTCTGTTTGCTACCCATCTTGACTTTTCAAGGCATAGGATATAAAAGATAAAAAGCTTTCAATGCAGTCTACTCCACTTAATAGGCTACAATAGGGGGAAATGTGACCAGCTGATGTGTGCACCTGCTCAGCCTGCTATTCAGGATCTAAATGTAGAGAAAAGTTGGATTTCATGGAGAGAAATCCATGTATTTCATGGATAGGGGAGCGGGTGGCGCTGTGGTCTAAATCAGAAGGTCAGCAATTTGAATCCCTGCGACGGGGTGAGCTCCTGTTGCTCTGTCCCAGCTTCTCCAACCTAGCAGTTCGAAAGCACGCCAGTGCAAGTAGATAAGCAGGTACCACTGTGGTGGGAAGGTAAACGGTGTTTCTGCGCACTCTGGCTTCTGTCACGGTGTCCCGTTGCACCAGAAGTGGTTTAGTCATGCTGGCCACATGACGACCTGGAAAGCTGTCTGTGGACAAACACTGGCTCCCTTAGCCTGGAAGCAAGATGAGTGCCACAACCCCAGAGTCCCCTTTGACTGGACTTAACCGTCCAGGGGTCCTTTAAGGTAAAGGTAAAGGGACCCCTGACCATTAGGTCCAGTCATGGCAGACTCTGGGGTTGCGGCGCTCATCTCACTTTCTTGGCTGAGGGAGCTGGCGTACAGCTTCTGAGTCATGTGGCCAGCATGACTAAGCTGCTTCTGGCGAACCAGAGCAGCGCACAGAAACACCGTTTACCTTCCCGCCGGAGTGGTACTTATTTATCTACTTGCACTTTGACGTGCTTTTGAACTGCTAGGTTGGCAGGAGCAGGGACCGAGCAACGGGAGCTCACCCCATCGCGGGGATTCGAACCGCCGACCTTCTGATAGGCAAATCCCAGGCTCCGTGGTCCAACCCACAGTGCCACCCGCATCCCTTTACCTTTACCTTTTTTACCTTCATGGACAGAGCACATGTTTTGCATGAGAAAGGTCCCAGGATCTCTACCATCTCCAGCTAGTACTGGGAAAGACTCTTGCCCTAAACCTTAGCAAATTGCTGCAAAACCTCAGTCAAGTATAATTGTGCAGCCTGAATTCACTGGCATCTCACTTGAAAATAGTGACCGTCTGGCTGATGCTGCCTGCTTCAATATCTCCTCTTTTTCCCTTCTTCTCTCCTAAAGGGAAGATGCCACAGCTCCAGGAATCTCTGAGGCCTCTCTGCAGGGAGAAAGCCAGCCAGAAAATCATCTTCTGGAAAACGTATCTAGCAGGCCTGCATCTACTACCAGCACTACCAAATCCCAGCTCAAGAATTTTCTTGTCTAAGCTTACTCTGTGACTGTGGGGTTGGTTTGTTGTTGCTTTACAGCATTTTGTTTTACTACACAAAGAACATTTCCTCTGAAGATGTTTAGGACATCCTTCAAAGGGTGTCCTAAACTGCCCCTAATCTGCTTGCTGCATTGTCAAAACTTGAATTAGATTTCTGAGAGCTCCTCCCGAGGAGAGGTGGTGGAGAAATTCTCTTCAGTTTGCATTTCAACCTACCTTGTTTTCACTTTCCAAAACAAGATGCAAACCGAGACACAGCCATCCTTTGAAATTCTCATGTCTCTGAATTTTGCAAGGTCATTCTCCAGCAAAGTAACGTGTACAAAAAATGAATATGCCAGGGTAAAGTACATCTTTGTGAAAATCACATATGAAAATGCATCATATTGTCTTGCATTGTATTGTCTTGCAAAAATGTTTCTACTAGGCAAAATTGCAAACAAAAATATGTATAAATCACACTAAAATGCTGGTGAATTTTCATAATAACTTCTAGCTACTTCCTTCAGGAGCTGTGGTTCAACTTCACTTGCCCCCTTCTCCAGTCAGAGTTTTTAATGTAGTTTACTACGACTCCTCAAGCTTCCCTGCTAGGTAGCACTGAACACTAGCTTTTCTATGGACTTCCTACCCTTTGAATTTAGCTCCTGTGTTGTGAATTTTCACAGGACTTGGAGACAGTGACCTTACACTGCTGTGCAATCTGCTGTAGCTTTCCAGCTGGACTACCTGATCTGCGCTCGAAAGTAGTTCCTTTGGAACATGGGAGCCAGACTTATTTTTAGCGTGAAATGCGGGGAGCATTTAAATTTTGATTCTGTATTTGTCCATTTGTTTCCGGGTTCCTTCTGCATCCCTTTTGGGAACAGCCTTTTTTTTTCATCCTGAGGGCTGCATCTGCTTCTAGGCAACTTTCTGAAGGCCACATGCTGGTGGGTGGAGCCAGAATCAGAAGTGAGTGGAGCAATAAATGCTAATGGACCAACCACCCGCCTCTATCCTCCATACAGTCTAACAAGAGATATTATCAGAGTTCAAGGGCACAGTCTAGCCAGTCATATGCCTTCAAGGAGGATGCAAAGCAGGGCCATTAAAGATGTAGCCATGGAGAGGGGGGTGTTAGCCTGGGGAGAGTTCCAAGGGCCACATGGAGAGACCTGGAAGCAGTGGCATAGCGTGGGGGTGCAGGGGGGCCAGCCGCACCGGGCGCAACATCTGGGGGGGTGCGCTCCACGGGTTAGGGGGCGCAAATTACTTGCCTTGCCCCGGGTGCTGACAACCCACGCTACGCCACTGCCTGGAAGTCTGCCTTTGGCCCTTGGACCAAAGCTTCTCCATCTTTGTTTTATGGTCTTAGTCCAGGCTATTTGAGAGAGTGCCTTCTCCCATACGTACCTCTCTGCTCTTTAAGATGAGTCACTGAGACTCTTCTGGTCGTTCCCACAGTGTATTTCACTGACAATGACTTCCAATCAGGCTTTTTCAATGATGGCTCCTAAGCTTTGGAACTTGAAACAGGTTCATGCTGCAGGATGCCAGATAATCCAGGAATTTTCTCCTTTAAAGCACACTGTTAATATGTTTTTGTTGTATTCATAGGCTATTTATGGTCAGGTTCATGCGTCAATGCTCTTGATTTCTCTCATCGTGTGTTTCCACCACCATTGTTCTGATTCTATATTTTGTGTTGTTCCTTTTTTAAAAAATCATTTCCTTAACATGAAGATTGTTGCATGAAGAGTGAGTTAACCAAGCCCCACCCCCCCAAAAAAAATAAACAATGGGTGTCTTGTTGTATTAAGCCCCATATTTCTAAGACTGAACAACCCTAGGCTTTATCCTTGGCTTTAAGTCTAGACACGGCTGCCCAAAGTATCCCAGTTTTGGGGATTCCCCCCCCCCCAGAGCTGCTCAGAATCTCTCTTCTTCAATGTGTGCCCCTGCCAAAAAATGTGTCCAGGCAACCCAAACACTTACACACACACACACACACACACACACACAGCTCAAACCTGTTGCCAGCATCCACTGTGCACAAATTACTTTTACTTATTTTTAGAGATGTCAGCTGATAAAAGAAATCTGAATGGTTTCGGTTTTAGTCTAGAGAAGATCAGTTCTAGAGAGTATGCCAGAGGAGCTGCTACTTCCAGAGTCATGCTGCGTACACACCAGCCAGGACAAAACAAGAGCTTTTAACATGTTATTCTCCTTGCCCCATTGTCTGATGTAAATTATAGGGCACCTCCTGTCGGTGGTTTACCCTTCGTTGGACTCCCTGCAGACGGGCAGGAGTCAAGATATAGCCTAGCTTCACCCCAGTGTCTAAACCAAACTCCTCACATCCGTAACCAATAAAGTTGCAGCCTATTTGAACCCATAAACCAGTGTGTTTTATTGTTCTCCTGGGAACTTTGTGGCTCAGGTGCCTTGGCACGCAATGGGCAAGATGGTGGGCAGCTCCTGCAACAACAACAACAAAAAGAATCCAGATTTTCATATCAACATTCCTTTATTAACATTCCATCTTGGTAGAAGCAATCACATGCAAAATGTTAAAAAGATATTTAGAAAGACAGCTGCACCAGCTCCTGCCTAAACTGTATGGATGGATGGATGGATGGATGGATGGAGAGAGAGAGAGAGAGAGGACTTACAAAGTGGGGCACGGTGCAGAGAGGCCAAGGGAATGTGGGGTGTTCACAAGGCAGACAGAAGAACAGTGTAGGATGGTGTAAAATGTAGCTGAATAAGCAGGGGGGAAATTCCTGCATGCTATTGAGGCCTTTTGAACATTTCTTGGAATAGTTGGATGGTGTATCATCTCTACAGTCCTTCTTGCTACCTAGAGAATCTTCCTAAAAGCCCAGCAAATTCAAAGCAGAGAATACAGTCACTGCTTGAGTTCGCTCTTCTGCTTATCCCATGGCCTTCTTCCCCTCTCCGTCAGCCCTTCTCCTGTCTGCTCTGAGCCCTGTAAGAAGCGAGGGAAGAAGAAAGCATAAAAAGCCAGGATCACATCTTCTTTCTAACCTGCCAGCCTGTTAGAGAACTTGGACCGTTCTTCGTGCTCTATAGAGAGCATAAAGCTGGAGGCTTGAGTAAGAAAACAAGAATGAGGGAATTGGGTTAATGAGTCGGGGGAGCCAATTGAGGGAAGGGGGATCGGATTAATGCAGCCTTGCAAATAATAATAATAAGTGGTTGCCTGCAAAAATATTTACTAGCCTGCTGTGAGCTAGCATTGGAGGGACCAACTGGTGTGCTATTGCATTCAGGTCCTGCTTTTGAGCTACCCATAGGCATCAGGGGGGTGGGGGCACTGTAAGATGGTCCCTTGGCCTGATCCAGCAAAGCCTTCTTATGACAAGGTACACTGAGTGGCTTGCTCACTTGCTCTCTCCCTCTGGGCCCAATCGGCACAACGCCCTGAAGCTGAGCACGGGGAGGGGGTGGAGGCTATTCTTGTCTTCTTGCTCTGGTTTGCAGGCTCAAAGAGAGCAGGTGAACAGACAGTTCCAGGATGAGGAGGGAGAAACATCAGAAAACGACAGTGGGCCCTAGTGGGTTCGTGCAGGTGCCCAACAATGCCTGCCCTGCGGAGTGCTCTTCCCTTCCTCTGCCCTGCCTTCCTACCCTGGGTGCAAAGGAGGGATGGAACGCTCCGTTCCTCCTCTACCAGCTGCAAGGCTTTCATGGTTGCTGATGGCTTCTGGGCTAGTGCTTAATAGCAAGGGTGGGTTAATAGCAAATGCGGAAGGCAAAATGATTTAACTGGACTACACGATTGATCCCAAAACTATAGGGCCGGACCACTACAATGGTACCTTGGTTCTCAAACTTAATCCATTCTGGGAGTCCATTCGACTCCCAAAACCATTAAAAAACCAAGGCACGGCTTCCAATTGGCTGCAGAAACTTCCTGCACTCAATCGGAAGCCGCGGAAGCCACGTCAGATGTTCGGCTTCCGAAAAACGTTCACAAACTGGAACACTTCTGGGTTTGCGGCATTCAGGAGCTGATTTGTTCAACAACTTAGCCATTCGGGAACCAAGGTACCACTGTATATTTGCAGCCTGAAGACAAGAATGGTGCCCCTCTTCCCCAAACCAACTGAACTGGTACATGAATCTTACCTCAGCAATGGTGATGAGACAACATTCTCCATCACACTTGAGGCAGTGTATGCAGTCCTGGCTTCCAACAGAGGGCAATGGCTGGGAGGAGGAGCTCAGGAGCAACAGCCCAGGGGCTGCTATTGCTGCACCCCAGCACCTGACCCCTGAGGTCACTGCCTCACTCTATACAATGGTAGGGCCAGCCCTACAGAACTTGGGGCTAGGAGGTTAGGGCAGCCACAACAACCAGCTTGCATGGTGGGGAGGAATGACACACACTGACTATCAGACTGGGTCTGTGCAAATGAAGAACCTGAAGGCTGGGAGCAACTTAGCACTCTCCATGATCTACTGGCCCAAAGAATAAAAGGGAACCAATGGCTGTCCTACAGCTACTGTAGAAGTTCATTTAAAAAGGGCTCACCACACCATGACAAGAATTGAGGACACCAACAGAATTAATATTTCAACCTTCAAACCACAACTGAACAGGAACGTTCAACAAAGGCTAGACTGATTAAAAATGGAGCTTGGTTGCGCAACGCCTCAAAAAGAATTTCTAAAACTGTCAGATGCAAAAGAATAAATCGGCATGCAACATGCAAGAAAAGGCTTTATGGGAACACCTCTCTGGGCTGACCAAGGAAAAGGGTGTTTCCTTTCTAGCTGGAGATATTTTAAAGTGTGAAAGATAGTATGAGAGAGAGGTTTCAGAAACAGCTTTGCAGGATTTTGATGTGTTTTTCCAAACTTGATGCCGCCTGTGGTGAGGACAGACAAAACACTTTATTGCAATCCTATGCATAGTTACAGTACTCAGAAGCAAGCCCCGTTAAGTTCAATGGTACTTACTCCCTGGTATGTGAGCACAGGATTGCAGCCTCAGTCGTGGGAAGATAGTTTGAATGGACCTTCCTTGCACAAGTAACATTATGTACAGATTTCTGCCTGGCACAAGCTCAGCAGGCAAGGAATGATGCTGCAATTTTTCTGTGTGTTGGGACAGGGGGTGGGGTGGGGACACAGAGCTGGGATGGGCACATACGAGTTGGTGTTAGGGACGAGGGAGAATATATGAACTGAAGCACAGCCTTTCTTCGAAGCATGCCCTTCTCTGAATTTTGTGGCGTAGTTCTCCAAACAAATGAAGTATACAAAAATATATATATCGGGGACACTAGGCAGACAAAGGCATATATTAGTGAAAATAGCACCATACGTGCATTATATGAGGGGGAACTGACTGCAAACACTGTTGGGCAAAAATGCATATAAAAATTTGTACATTAGGCTAAAATTCTGATGAATTTTCAGGAGAATCTTTTTTTAAAAAGGAATTGCAAAACTGATGCAGAAATGTGGTGGACTGGATAAAACAAGAAACTGAGAGAAACAAAAATTGACAGGTTAACCCAACTCGAAGTGGCACCCGTAATATCGTCAACATGCATTTCCTTCTCCATTATTTTTAAAATGTTATTTAATTAGTAAGATGAAAGATGGGCGAATGGAGATATAAGAAAATCATTGTGTTCATAATCAGAACCATAGGCGATGTTAATGTGGTTTTATTTTATGTGTGTATGGTGTTGTTGTATGCAGTAAGGATCTAATTAAAAACAGCAGCCAATATTATGCCCCATCGAGCCAGATATTTATTACAGTGGGACAAAATACATGCTTGTGTGCTGCAGAGCAAGCCGTTCTAACATACCACTCGCAGCTCCACTGCCTCGTCTCCAGACTCTGGCCAGTGATGGAAAAGGCTTAAAGGCCAAGCTATACGAAGAATAGCCTCTTTGCCTCTGCTCAGACTGCTCAGAATACAGGACTGAGTAGCAAATGCCTGAAGGCCCCCCAAAAACTGAGAAGTGGAGAGGCAAGCTTACAGGTTATGAGCGTTGCAAAAGAAAGCTCCGTTCTATATTGCACAGGTGTGGGTGTGATATATGTGTATATAATTTGGGTGGGGGGAATTGAAGAACAACTGATATGTACACAGGGAGGGGTTAGAGACAGCGTGCAAAGGAGGAAGCAAGGAGTGCCAATATGATTAATTTTTTTAACAGAAAGAATAGGAATAGCGGCTCTAAAAAGAAAGGCGGTCCAGGAGAGCATTGCATCTCTTCTGTGATCAGACTCAATGGGGTGGTGATTGTTCTTCTGGAAGTGAAAGGGTGCTGTTGAGAGGACCAATGGGAAACCAGCTTGGATGCTTCTGTGCCATTCCATTTCTTCTTAGCCACTGTAAACAGAAAGAGACATATTGACTCTGGCATTCGCAGACCTGCATCAACAGCTTCCTTCCTGACCCGTGCAGGGACTGCTTCCAAACCTCCCCTCCAGATTTCTTGGTAGGTTTCAGAGCTCCAAATTGCAGGGTTTTGTTTCCAAAACCACCAATGAGTTAGAATTTGACCTTATTCTCCTTTAAATAACATTTCTGAAATCTCAGTGGTAAATAAATAACAACAACAATAATAATTTATTATTTATACTCCACCCATCTGGCTGGGTTTCCCCAGCCACTCTGGGTGGCTCCCAATAGAATATTAAAAACACAATAAAACATCAAACATTAAAAGCTTCCCTTCAGATGTCTTCTAAAAGTCAGATAGTTGTTTATTTCTTTGACATCTGATGAGAGGGCGTTCCACAGGGCAGACGCCACTACTGAGAAGGCCCTCTGCCCGGTTCCCCGTAACCTCACCTCTCGCAGGGAGGGAACCACCAGAAGGCCCTCAGAGCTGGACCTCAGTGTCTGGGCTAAATGATGGGGGTGGAGATCCTCCTTCAGGTAAACTGGATTGGGCAGGCCGGGGCGCTCAAGTGGGACTCAGCTCACGTGGATGAAGGCTAATAACCTGCAAGCAACTCAAGCATCTCCTCCCTTTTGTGAGCCATCGGGAATCTCCCCCTCCCGCTTCGAATGAATGCTGCGATGATGATCCAAGGCCTGGACTGGCTGTGCCGGATCCCTGGTGGAAAGGAAGCTGGTGTTCTGGGCGTTGTTTGGAAAGCACAGTGGGCTTAGGAAAGAGGCAGGAAAGCAGTGGGGCACTCAGGAAGCCCAAGGAGGCATTCGGAGAACTCGCCGTCTCCATTCGGATGAGGAAGTGTAGGAGACGAGGGCTTTGGATCTGACTTGAAAACAGTTCTTGCAGAGGGTGTGTGGGTGGCGAGCAACACTGGCTCCTGCTATTTTCTACCAGATGGCTGCTGATAACTCCTCTCTCTCTCTCTCTCTCTCTCTCTCTCTCTCTCTCTCGTTCTGTGGCTCTTGTTTTTCGCATTGCCTTGATACTGTGCAAAGCCTTGGCACCTTTCTCATCCTCAGGGAGGTGTGAATCATTCCCCTGGTCTACTGATGGGCGTTGCACTGCTGCCTTGGTGCCACCTGCAAAACCTGGCACCTGTGTCTCAAAACAGGAGACAAGCTGACATTTTAGGTGCCAAGTTCCTTTCTCTGCTTCTGTAGCTTTACTGAGATGCACATTGCTAGTACAGTGGTACCTCTGGATATGAACGAGACCTATTCCACAGCACCGTTCGCATCCTGAAGCGAACGCAACCTGCGTCTGCGTGTGCGCGGTTCGCCGCTTCTGCGCATGCGTGTGATGTCATTTTGACCGTCTGCGCATGCACGAGCGGCGAAACCCAGAAGTAACGCATTCCATTACCTCTAGGTCGCCGCGGAGCGCAACCCGAAAACGCTCAACCTGAAGCAACTTCAACCCGAGGTATGATTGTACATTCAAAAGGATGGGAAGGGGGGGACCCTGTGTCTCATCCTGATATTGCTGACCTACCCCTCCCATCATAACTTGACTGCTGGTCGTACTGGCTGATAGGCACTCTCAGCTCAACAGCATCTGCAGGACCGCAAGTCCTGTGAGAAGAAGCTTGTTGGATCAGATCAGGCATCCCCAAACTCGGCCCTCCAGCTGTTTGGGGACTACAACTCCCATCATCCCTAGCTAACAGGGCCAGTGGTCAGGGATGATGGGAATTGTAGTCCCAGAACAGCTGGAGGACCGAGTTTAGGGATGCCTGGATCAGATCAAAAGTCCATCTTGCTTGGCATCTAGCTGTTCTCCCCCCAAGCCACACAGCTCAGCAGATGCCTCCAAGAAAGTTCAGGATAGGACCCCTGGACGGTTAAGTCCAGTCAAAGATGACTATGGGGTTGCGGAGCTCATCTCGCTTTCAGGCCGAAGGAGCTGGCGTTTGTCCACAGACAGCTTTCTGGGTCGTGTGGCCAGCATGACTACACTGCTTCTGGCACAACAGGACACCGTGAAGGAAGCCAGAGCACACAGAAATGCTGTTTACCTTCCCGCCACAGCAGTACCTATTTATCTACTTGCACTGGCCTGCTTTTGAACTGCTAGGTTGGCAGGAGCTGGGACAGAGCAACGGAAGCTCACCCCGCCGTGGGGATTCGAACTGCCAACCTTCCGATTGGCAAGCCCAAGAGGCTCAGTGGTTTAGACCTTAGCTCCACCTGCCATCCCTGTGGGGCACCACCAACCCCAGCAGCAATTCAATTGGTATTCAGTAGCATTTATCAGAGAACATGAAAGTTCTGCCATATGGGCACCATAGCCAATTGCCATTTATAGCTCTATCCTCAAGGCATTTGTCTTAGGGAGGGGCCCTAACTCTGCGGTTGAACATCTGCCATGCTTGCTGAATGTCCCAGGTGCCCATCACAGGGGCGTCTGAAAGACCATCTTGCCCTGTGGGGAATGGGGAAGAAGCAGAAACAGCTTTTTCTGAACAAACTTCTCTTTTCCATTTTATTATAACTTTTTAAAAAGGTGTTCTTTGCTGTAATCTTATGTAAACTGTTTTGTGAGGTCCACCCAAAAAATGGTACATAAATACTGTAAATAAATAAATAAATAAATAAATAATAAACCACTCTGGAGAGCCACTGTCAATCAGTATAGAGACTGTACTGAATTAGATGAGTGAATTGTCTGACTAAGGTAGCTTATTTTTATGTTCCTAGGATGGGGCTGCTACAGGCAAGTCCCCGCTTCCCTCCTTTGCAGGGAACCTACTCTCTGCATCCTCCAATAAACATGGGTCAGGCTTCAATGAACCTCAGTGTTCTTGTTTCTATTAATTTAAACACCCTGATGCACAACACCATCTCCAACTGTCTCTCGTCATTGTTTCATCATTATCATTACCATTATTTAAACCTATTAGTTGCTTTTTGTACAGAAGTAAAGCAAAATGACTTAGAACAGTGGTTGTCTAGGCTCCATAGGCTGCAGGACTGTCTCCCTACTGCAAATGCAGAGATGTCCTAAAGGGGAACTGGCAAATATGTTTTAGTTATTCATTTATGTATATACTACTGGATTGTGGTAAAACCTCATAGCAGTTCAAAAGAAATATTAAACTCACCAATTAAAAACAGCTAAAACCATTAGAAACATTTTTTTTAAAAAATAAATAAATTTATTACCTGCCCTTCACTCCCAAGGTTCCATGGGCAGGTTACAACAATTCAAAAAATAATTAACAATAGCAGTACAAGAGATTAAAACACACCAACACCTACATGTCTGTATAGGATATTGCGAATAAAAAAAAAATGTTTGAAGCAGGCACCCAAAACCTGCCTGGTGTTAATGGTCAGGGGGTTCCTAAGTGTAGAAGCTGCAACACTAAAAGATATTTTAGTTTTCATATTTCCCAGCTGTCATGCATCCTACAGAACCCAGCAAGAAGAATGAGTGACTGTTGTCTAGAATATTATCTAATTGCAATAATGTGCAGGTGGGCAGCTATGGAATACCACTAAATATTACAGTGTTGGGGAGGAGGAGAATTCCACCCACTTCTGTCTCTTCCCATTTCACTTAGTACAATTGCATTTGGGAGTCTGTAAGCCTCAGATTGCTTCTAGATCAGTCCTGTTTGCCAGTTCCACATCTTTGATGTCTTCTGTAATGCTTTTTACTAAGGAGAAGCATCAACTCTAATCACGATCATTGTAAACAACACTTAACATTAATCATTGCTGCCTTTGTTTAATGAGCTCGCAGTGAATTTGCTGCAATGTCCTCTCAATCCTGTAACAATCTGTGGGATCCACATCCTATTCTGGGGGTTCGTATTACAAACAGGGCTGCTGCAAAACTATCCCATAATGACAGCCTATAACTGCACTGATACTTGAAAGGTGAGCTAGCATTGCTTATCTTTTAAAACATGGGCATGTGTCTAGTGTTCCCTTTCTGCTCATGCAAAGGCTCACATGCTAGTCAATGGGTGATGTGTTTTTTTCACCCCAGTGCTTTCCCCAGAAAAACCTGCTCTTTGCTGCTGAATCGGAGCAAACAGCAATCTGTGGGGGAAACAAATTCAGCATGAGTTTTCCAGGGCAAAGCAGTGGGGCAGGAGGGAAGTACTCAGACACAGAGCTTTAAAGACCGGACCTGTGTCTAGCAAGCTTGGGTCAAAAGGGAAGTTTGGACATTTTGCCACAGACTCAGCAATCTCTTGCACAACCCATGTATACATTGTCTAGCACAGCCACGTTCCGCAGGCACAACATGTTTTTTCCAGAAGAACAAGGATACCCTAAGGGACTTAACTGAATGCCACATTTAGATACAACCCTCAATATTTTAATCTTATTGCACGCTTGGGGAATTCTTATCTTGTTTTATGTTTGTTGATGAATTTGCAGAGCCTGATATTTAATATATAGAGAGGAACCGTTCGGTATAAAATACAAAACAAAGTCCATTTCCAACAAGTGTTTTATGCACTATAGTCCTCGTTGTGCATTCATGTCTAAGTGTTAATTAAACACATGAGGAGGCAGTGGAAATGAGCTCACTGGAGCTTCATTTTTTGCCACCCTCCAGCTTGTGGAAGATCAACTTCTGCAGCAAGGAGTCATCAATGAAAGCTCATTTTCCAGGGGTCTAAAAGCCTCCACAGGTACAAAACGTCCCTATTGCCCTATTGTCCCTTCTGTAAGTTGGACAAGAATGGCAATGGGACAGAGCTAGGGTGATCTTTCTTGCAGCCCCCTCTCATGTTCTGGGCATGTGGCCAAGCAGCAGGCAAGAAGCCCCTTAAAGGTAAAGGTAAAGGGACCACTGACCATTAGGTTCAATCGCGGCCAACTCTGGGGTTGCAGCGCTCATCTCGCTTTATTGGCCGAGGGAGCCGGCGTACAGCTCCCGGGTCATGTGGCCAGCATGACTAAGCCGCTTCTGGTGAACCAGAGCGGTGCACGGAAGCACCGTTTACCTTCCCGCCGGAGCGATACCTATTTATATACTTGCACTTTGACGTGCTTTCAAACTGCTAGGTTGGCAGGAACTGGGACCGAGCAACGGGAGCTCACCCCGGTGCGGGGATTCAAACCGCCAACCTTCTGATCGGCAAGTCCTAGGCTCTGTGGTTTAACCCACAGCGCCACCCTAAGAAGCCCCTTACCACCCTTTAATGCTCCACGGGCTTAGGAAGTCCCTGTTGTAACTTACCGTATTTTTTGCTCTATAAGACTCACTTTTTCCCTCCTAAAAAGTAAGGGGAAATGTGTGTGCTCCTTATGGAGCGAATGCAGGCTGCGCAGCTATCACAGAAGCCAGAACAGCAAGAAGGGATCGCTGCTTTCGCTGCGCAGCGATCCCTCTTGCTGTTCTGGCTTCTGAGATTCAGAATATTTTTTTTCTTGTTTTCCTCCTCCAAAAACTTGGAGTGTCTTGTGGTCTGGTGCATCTTATAGAGCGAAAAATACGGTAAGTGGCTTTAGATTGCCTTGGGCAAGATCAAGCAATTAAGCTACTAACAAATTTAATAAATAAATAATGATGATAGGAGAAATTCACAACAAAATGACAATGAATTTTCACGATTTCTTTAAAAAAATACTAACTCACAGAATGATGCAAAAATGTGCAGAACTGAACTTGAGACTGGAAAATGAGAAACTGAGAGAAACCAAAATTGCCATACAATGGTACCTCGAGTTGCGGACATGATCCAATCTGGAGTGCCATTCGCACCCCAAAAAGTCCGCAACTAAAACAGCACTTCTGCACATGCGCAGAGCATGATAGAGTGCTTCTGCGCATGTGCAAATCATGCAGAATGAGACGCAACATGAACCTAACGCAACACGAGGTATGACTATACAGTGGAACCTCGGTTTTCAAATGTAATCTGTTCCAGAAGACCGACTTCTGAAACCCGAAGCATGCATTTTCGGAAGCAAATACTTATGGAAAACTCAATACGGAAGCCACGTGACACATTCGACTTCTGAAAACCGAAACATTCAACTTCTGAGACATTCGAAAACCAAGGTTCCATCGTACAGTCATACCTTGGATCTCAAATAGCTTAGTTGCTGAATGTTTTGGCTCCTGAACGATCGAAAATCAGAAGTAAGTATTCCAATTTTCAAGATTTTCGAAAGTCGGATGTCCGGCACGGCTTCCGTGGCTTCTGATTGGCTTGGGTTTTTAATGGTTCTGGGAGTTGGATGGACTTCCGGAACAGATTCCATTCAACTTCCGAGGTATGACTGTATTTGCCAATCCCTACCTTCAGGCTAGTGTAGGGAGGATGGACAATCCAATCCATGCAGCATACAGTACGCAGCTCCTTCCTCCAAAAAAAGGGAATCGCTGGAGCACCCTGCATTCCAGGGGGTTGCATTAGATAACCCTCAGGGTCCCTTCCAACTCCTATTCTATTCTATTCTATTCTAATCTGCTGCCCAACGCTATTTCCTCACTCTGCCTAATAAAAGGGCCGTCCCTCCTAAAACTGATTTCAGAATCCACAGGAAGTGTAAGGATGATTTAAGCCACATTCTTCTTCTTCTTCTTCTTCTTCTTCTTCTTCTTCTTCTTCTTCTTCTTCTTCTTCTTCTTCTTCCTCTTCTTCTTCTTCTGTCACTCCCTTTCCTTTAGAATCGTTTAATAAATATCTCAATTGGAAACCTGGAGTTGAGCAATGAGGCTCCACTTGGAAGATATCGCCCACGCCGACTGTTCAGCCTAATTACTAAAAGGAGAGCTGGCCTATGTCTGTCTCCTGCCTGCTTTAAAAATCTCTTAAGTTTGGATTTAGCTGGGGCTTCTTCTCAGGAAAGTGGAGACAGGGTTTATTTATTTTTTTAATTTTATTTTGCAGCCTTAGTGACCATGTGTTTGTGAGCGATAAAACACACTCATCCTTTCTTGCATGGCAAGGCACCGGTGGGCACGAGAGTTCCCAGAGTCTCAAACGGCATCCGCCCTTGATTTACTCCACTTTTCTATACCTTTTTCCTGCCAGGTTTTAAAAATAGCATGCGCTGATGTGAGGCATTCAGCCTGGTGTTGCTAAGGAAGAAATCAAATTCAAATCCAGCTCCTTCGTCTCCACTGGGGCGTTAAGTCCTTGTTTCCATGCGAACTACCAGCGTGTAGGATTGCTGCCTGCCACGTTAAAAACTAGGACATACAGTTGTGACTCTTTGCTGGTTCTACATGTGGGAAGTTTGCAGAAAAGAAAGAGAAAGGAAAAACAAACCAGAGTCGTCGTGTAAAGCGGAACTGGTTCTTTCCTTGTTTTCAAGCAGAAATGGAGGAAACCATGCAGGGTTCAATGATTGTTTTGGATTTCTAGTGCATGCATACACACATAAGGAATCAGGCCCAGTTGAAATAAACACATTTAAAATGAAAACAGGACGTGCTTTCGAACTGCTAGGTTGGCAGGAGCCATTTGCCTAAAAAGGTAAAGGGACCCCTGACCAATAGGTCCAGTCACGGACGACTCTGGAGTTGTGGCACTCATCTCGCTTTATTGGCCGAGGGAGCTGGTGTACAGCTTCCGGGTCATGTGGCCAGCATGACTAAGCTGCTTCTGATGAACCAGAGCAGCGCACAGAAACGCCGTTTACCTTCCCACCGGAGTGGTACCTATTTATCTACTTGTGCTTTCGAACTGCTGGGTTGGCAGGAGCAGGGACCGAGCAACGGGAGCTCACCCCGTCGCAGGAATTCAAACCGACAACCTTCTGATCAGCAAGTCCTAGGTTCTGTGGTTTAACCCACAGCGCCACCCGCGTCCCCCCATTTGCCTACTTGTCAATAAAAATAGATACAGTCTACAAAATTTTAGGATCAAGATCCTGCAACAAAATATTGAGCAGTGCAACCCAAAGCTTAATGGTCAGGACACCTGAACAAATTAAGACATGTCCTAGTTGATGCCTCTCGAATCACATGGGGGAGGGTGGTGCAGAGGCTTGGTGGATGGTGGAGCTATGGAAAAGGTGCTGTTCCTTGTTGTCACTAGATGGTGATCTGCCAACCATGACATGACCAGCAGGGTATTCCCCAATGGAGAAGTGTCCCCAGGATCAACCCCCAACATCAACAGGTAAGGCTGGGGGAGAATACTGTCTGAAAACCTGGAGAGCCGAACTGAGGAAGATATCCATGTATGTAACCACTGCCACGAGAATGCTGACAGCCAAATGGTGGAAGGGAGTCAAAATACCCACTAAAATGGAGTGGCAGGCGAAATTATTTGACTATGTAGAATTGGCAAAGATGACAGGGGAAATGAGGAACCAGGCAAACCAAAAGTTTAACAAAGAATGGGATATATATTTAAAAGAACATTGATCACATATGAAATCTTTGACATGCTTTGATTAACTTCTGCAGTGTGATATGCTACAAAGATTATAGATAATTTATGATAAGTTAAAGGTCATACAATATGCAGTCAACAAGGAAACAAAGGACCCATACTGAGGATGACGGAAGTCTCAACGTATGGAAGAACTTTATTTTATATGTAACATATTTTTTATGTGTATTTGATGTGATTTGTTTTTTCTTTGGGTTTTTTTTGTGGTGAATGGATTCAATATTTAAAAGCAATAAAGATTAAATTGCAAAAAAAGGAGAGAAAACTTGGAGAGCCACTGTCAGTCAGAGTAGGCAATAGATGGCTGAATGGTCGGATTCATTACAGGTATAAGACAGCTTCCAATGTTCTTAGGCACTCAGTCTGCCAAGTATTCTGATCTTCAGCTGTTCAGGGTTTCCTATGTCAGTAGCAAAACCTTGAAGATGTACACAATGTACAAACATGTACAAAATTGGGGGGGCGGTGGGGGGGTTCTTGCAAAAACGTATACATTGGGCAAAAATACATGCAAAAACTGTGGGCTTGAAGGGAAACAGGTATGAAAACACATGCACATTTTCATGTACACTTCTTGTAAAAAAAAATTGGTAAAATGATGTGAAATGGGGCAAACTGGGGACTGGAAAAATGAGAAGCCAAAATTGACAGATTCACCCACCCCTAATTCTGCCCCAGTCAAAACAGCCTCCCTCTCCGTCATCAGTAAAAAAATTTAATCAAAAGCAGAAGCTAAGTACAGATATTCCCAGCTGTTGAGTGGGGCTCAAAGGTGATCATTGCTCTATGGACCACAATTTGAGAACTTCTGGGCTTGGTGATAAAAACTATTTGGCATTACTTAGAAGCTGGCCCAGTCACTCTCTCTTCCTTCCCTCCCCCCTCATGGCAGCAGGCTGAGATTCACTGGTCAATAATTCACATCAATATTTGCAGTCCCCGTATGACAAGCGTCAGACACGCTCCATCTATCTGACTTGCACTCCACAGCATACATGCAACAACTCATCAGCAAATATGGCTTTAGGGTTTTCATTTAAATTTTAAAAAGAAAAGATGAAAGGAAACAGACCACGTTGCTTTTTTACATCAAATACTATCTTAATTTGTCAGAAGGCCAAATTCCATTTCCCTTCCAACGTCTTTCCTCCCCCGCAAACCTGTACATTTGGTCTGCAAATGCTTTCAGGGGAAAGCATATAAGCTTTGCATATGCCAACGATATCCCCAGATGGATTGGGCTAATGAAATCATGCTGCGGAATAGGATTGCAAGCCTATTTGTGCAGGGGAGAAATTGTGCACCTGGAATGAAGAGGGCAAATTCAGATGTCCTAAAAGAGTGTCTTAATTCCATGGATCTAAGGACCTTTTGAAGACCCAATAAATCTTTCCACATGCAATTGTGCCTCCAGTCCTTCCAGTATACGATAAGGGTGTTTAAAATATCACAGGGGGCCACTTTTTTATATCCCTGCATAACTCACACAGCTGGGGGTTATGGCTCTGAATGCCAGTTGTTGGAGATCCTGAGCAGGGAAAAGGCTATTGCCCTCCAAGTGTCCCTATTTTCCAGGGACAGTCCCGGATTTAGAAAAGCTGTCCGGGTTCCTAATTTGATCCCATAATGTCCCGCTTCCCCTTAGGACGCCCCTATTTTCATCGGAGAAATGTTGGAGGGTATGGAGTTGTGCAACCCCTGAGCCAAGGAGATAAGTAACCATACAAACTTTAGAAGACATCTGAAGACAACCATGATATAAGGAAGCTTTTGTTTAAAGTTTAACGTTTTATCATTTTTTATATATATGTTGGAAGCTGCCCAGAGTGGCTGGGGCAACCAGTCAGATGGGCGGGGTACAAATAAATTATTATGATTATTATTGGATGTGGGTGGGGCGCTGTGGTCTAAACCACCGAGCCTCTTGGGCTTGCCGATCGGAAGGTCGGCGGTTCGATTTCCCATGACAGGGTGAACTCCCATTGCTCTGTCCCAGCTCCTGCCAACCTAGCAGTTCAAAAGCACACCAGTGCAAGTAGATAAATAGGTATCACTGCGGTGGGAAGGTAAAAGGCGTTTCCGTGTTCTCTGGTTTCCGTCACCGTGTCCCGTTGCACCAGAACAGGTTTAGTCATGCTGGCCACACGACCCGGAAAGCTGTCTGTGGACAAACGCCGGCTCCCTTGGCCTGAAAGCAAAATGAGCATCACAACCCCATAGTCATCTTTGACTGGACTTAACTGTCCAGGGATCCTTTACCTCTTACCTATTACAGTGGTACCTCTGGATGCGAATGGGATCCGTTCTGGAGCCCCATTCGCCTGATGAGTAGAACGTAACACGCATCTGCGCGTGCATGGGGCGCGTTTCGCCGCTTCCGCACATTCACGCGGCGTCATTTTGAGCATCTGCGCATGCGCCAGCGGCGAAACCCAGAAGTAACGTGTTCCGTTACTTCCGGGTCACCGCGGAGCGTAGCCTGAAAACGCTCAACCTGAAGCATATTCAGTCCGAGGTATGACTGTATCATCATCATCATCATCAAGACTCCTTGTTCTCTGCTCTCCCTTTCTTCCACTCCAACCCCACAGAGTCAGCATGTCACACGGCCTCCCTGCTGCCTTCGTGACTGTTTCCCAGAGGATGCTACCAGTTGCCCAAGGGAGGAGGCCGGCACTGGCAGCCATGGGGAGGAGAAGCCATGGGGAGGCAACAATATGCTCCCTTGCAGCCACCACTGCCGCCGACACAGCTCAGGACAAGCGATGGATCATCCTCCTCCTTTCCCACCTTGGCGGTGGTGGCAATGTTTGGGGAAATAGGGACATTCCGGCATCAAATCAGAAGCCAGAAGCTTTCATAATTCCAGGACTGTCACTGGGAAATAGAGAAACTTGCAGGGTATGCGATTCCCCCCAGGTTACAAACCCACCCACAGGCCACCACCCCTGAATGTTTTTGATTGGCCAGAATGTGCCTTGGAACTGTGACGGTGCTGCTTCCTTCCTCTGGTTTTTGAAAGGCAGGGAAGAGTTGCACCCATTTGCTCTGCCCCTTTGCATCTGCCCCCACCACCTCTGGCATGCGGCCACCAGAAGGTTGGGGTCAGGAACCGTGCTGAGGAGGGCTGCGCTGAGGAGGAATGGTGGGAGCCTCTTCCTCCTCCTGATCAGGATCCTGAATCTTCCCAGGAGCAAGGAAGTACAGTGGTACCTCGGGTTACATACGCTTCAGGTTACAGACTCCGCTAACCCAGAAATAGTACCTCGGGTTAAGAACTTTGCCCCAGGATAAGAACAGAAATCGCACAGTGGCGGCAGCAGGAGACCCCATTAGCTAAAGTGGTACCTCAGGTTAAGAACAGTTTCAGTTTAAGAATGGACCTCTGGAACGAATTAAGTTGGTAACCAGAGGTACCACTGTATTTGAAATGTAGTTTGGAAGCTCCTTGAGTGAAAGGACCTGACTTCTTATACTTATACTGGCACACGCATTGATGGCACAATAATAAACTCTAATATTCATAATACAGTGGTACCTCGGGTTAAGTACTTAATTCGTTCCGGAGGTCTGTACTTAATCTGAAACTGTTCTTAACCTGAAGCACCACTTTAGCTAATGGGGCCTCCTGCTGCCACCACGCCGCCGGAGCACGATTTCTGTTCTCAACCTGAAGCAAAGTTCTTCACCTGAAGCACTATTTCTGGGTTAGCAGAGTCTGTAACCTGAAGCGTATGAAACCTGAAGCATATGTAACCCAAGGTACCACTGTACATAAGACAAGCTATAGACAACTACTCCATGTTTCTCTTTTCTTCTTGGCACGTAATTGTAACTTTAAAAGTTAATTTAGTTTTGGGGGTTTTTTTTAAGAATTAAAAAAGCTCTTTTTTGAGATGATGAACCCATTTATATGTAGAAAACAGTATGGTGTTGACAACAATGAGGTAGTTAATTTCATTTATTCATCTCAAAGGGAATTAATCAAATCTGCATAATTATTTCCAAGGTTGAAAGGTATGTTTAGTTATTTAAAATGTGACTTTCTGTACTGAGGAGAAGTGCAGGAGTGTGGGGTGGATTTAGCAGACAGTGTTGTGATTTATTTATCAGAGAAAAGTGGAAAGTAGAGATTGGAGCAGACAGATTGATGGTTTATTACACACAGGTTGCCTGGGCTAGATTTGGACTGTTCTAAACCGTCCTTTTGCAGAACACAATCCCAAAGGGGGCAGCGGAATGCAACTTCATTCTTGGCTGAAGCAGATGGAACTTATTTGTCTTGACGCAACTGCATGCTTGAGGGATCCCAGATTTTAAAAGTGGCATCTTGTGGCCTGCTAATTGCCCCTCTCGGCTGGTGCGCCAGCAGAGTTTTCTCAGGGTGGTGGGTGGAAGGAAAGTGGCGTCTTGCTGAGCTAATAACCATTCTAAACAAATTGCTCCTAATATGTAAGCACATTTTCCTCTCCTTGCTCAGTTGCTTCCCACAACCGCCGGGGTGAACACTCAAAACCCCACACAATTGTGCCCAGGGGGTGCTGCCTAAACAAAGGCCAGGAGTTTGCATTTCTAGAGGGGAGAGCTAGGTTTGCCAGTGGGTGGTGTTATAAGAATTCTAAGGTCCCAAATATAAAATAAAGGTTCATAAATGTACAAGGCAAACACATACATACCGGTAATTACATAAACCACGTGTCTGAAATAGTACAGCAGAGCAATCATGAACTCATTTTGACTCTCCCAAACCATTTTGACTGTCCCAAATTGACCTCAAATATTTCTCTGCAAGAAGGAAAGAAATGGGAAAGTCTCTCCATTTTCTTTTGCTTACCTGTCTTAAGGGCGTATTTGTGTATGAACAGGGTGAGCCTGTATAGTTAAAGCCATGGTTTTCCCAGTAGTGATGTATGGAAGTGAGAGCTGGACCATAAAGAAGGCCGATTGCCGAAGAATTGATGCTTTTGAATTATGGTGCTGGAGGAGACTCTTGAGAGTCCCACGGACTGCAAGAAGATCAAACCTATCCATTCTGAAGGAAATCAGCCCTGAGTGCTCACTGGAAGGACAGATCGTGAAGCTGAGGCTCCAATACTTTGGCCACCTCATGAGAAGAGAAGACTCCCTGGAAAAGACCCGGATGTTGGGAAAGATGGAGGGCACAAGGAGAAGGGGACGACAGAGGACGAGATGGTTGGATAGTGTTCTTGAAGCTACAGTATGAGTTTTACCAAACTGCGGAAGGCAGTGGAAGCCAGGAGTGCCTGGCGTGCTCTGTTCCATGGGGTCACGAAGAGTCGGACACAACTAAATGACTAAACAACAACAAAGGGTGAGCCTGTGACCTGGATCCAGGAATTAAAGTATTTACCATTGCAAAAGAATGGCCGGGCTGGCCAGGTAAAGCAATCAGTGACCATTGTCAGGTATCCTGGCAGACAGGATTTCTGCTGTAAACCACCTCCTGTGATCCATTTCTGCTGTAGACTGCCTCCTTCTGTGATGTATGTATGATGTTTTGAGGGGTGGTCTTGAGCTACAAGGTGGGCAATTTCAAAAGTCTCTAGGAGGGCTTGCACACCACTGTTCTGGGTTCCTCCTCCCTCCTGCGTATGGTGAGTGAGGACCCTGTTGCAACAGTTTAATAAAGATCAGGCTTACTAGCTGCTTTGCTTCTCAATATTCTGTGGCTGGCCTCTGTTATTTCTCCTACCACTTAAGGACACTATACGGGCTCCAGGAAAGGGAAAAGGAGCAGATTTTTCTCTATAACAGTGGTTAAAAGTTTTCCATGATTCACAGTTGCTAATGGCAGAAAGAGGTTTGGCGTGGGTGTTTCTACACACACACACACACACCCCTGAGTACAGAAGTGCAGGAGAATTGCATCTGATTGATTCCCTGCTGCCTCATAACTGTCAATGAAAAAGGATAGGAAATTGCCGCTCCAAATTCCCAAAACACATTTGGATTTTAAAGGTGCTAGTCCCTCTGCTACTCCTGTCTTTTATTTGCATAGATGTTTAAGGTTTGTTTGGGGTTGTGTTTTTTTTTTAAAAAAAAGGTTTTTATGAACTCTGTTCATTGTACAGTGGTACCTCAGAAGTCAAACAGAATCCATTCAGGAAGTCCGTTCAACTTCCAAAACGTTCGAAAACCAAAGAACTGTTTCCGTTTGGCTGCAGGAAGCCGTGGAAGTTGCAATGGACGTGCGGGTTCCTAAAAACATTCACAAAGCAGAACACTCACTTCTGGGTTTGTGGCGTTCAGGAACCAAAACATTCAACTCGCAAGGCGTTCAGGATCCGAGGTACAACTAATTGCTTTTAGCATTTCTATTGTGTCCGTAAGTCATTTCTATGAATAAAGCAACTAATTAATATAAATGCTACTACTAATAATCATGATCATCATAATTGCTTCAGGGACAGAACTAAGCTTGAGCCTGCCTTACCATTTATCCATAATAATGACAATTTGTGCGATGCTCCTAGCTTGCTGTTGAGTTGACAACACCCAACATGGAGCAAGTAGCATTAGAAGTACACATCAACTCAGCTGAGGGCAGGGAGCGCGGAAAAATAATTATTTTTCTCTGCCAGAAATCTTCCCAGCAAGTCTGCACAGCACGTAGCATCTGTTTTCCACCGAAATGAGTACGAAGGGATGTCAAGAATCATCTAGTCTGACTACACAGGGAAGATACTCTAGAGACAAGTTTTTTTAAAAAAATAAAAATAAAACAGGAGGGGGATTCAAATTGGCACCTGGAATAAATTGTGAAAATTGAATGCATTCGCTTCTTTTTTGCATAAGTATTTTCTGCTGGCCATGGGGGGGGGGTGTGTGTCAAGGAATAGTGCCAAGGATTGAAGCCCCCAGTGCAAGTCCGGCTCTCATGCTGACACATCAGCTTAAACAGGCATTGTTTCCAGTTCTCATTGCAGCCTTAAGGTCTAGCAACTTGGAAGGAAGGGAGGGAGGAAGGGAGGGAGGAGGGAGCTGAAAAATTTGCCCAGCATCTAATTCTAAGCTTATGGTATAAAATTTAAGAGCAACAGCTCCTGTTCAAATGGGCAGCCAGAGTGCCTTTCAAAAGAAACAGAAATAAAATACACAATATTAAAGTCACTAATTTGGACAGCAATCATTAAAAGTAGCAGCCATTAAACTCACTTCTCCCTGAAGAACTGCTTCCCATGAGTATAGAAAACGCTAAGCTAGATGGTCTTATTTTTCCTACATATTAAAAGCAGCAGCAGTGATAAACTTTAAGAGCCTGTTCAAATGGAAATATTTTCAGCTTCAAAAATGTTTAAAATAACCTTTGCTAAAAAAAAAAAACCCCTGAAGCCTTCCTTTTAGGAATTCTAGGTGCCAAAATCCCAAGGGAGCAGAAAAGAGTACCATATTTATGTAGGCGACCACGGCTGCACGGATGTTACAGGGCCCAGAGATGGAAAGAAGAGAAGAATGGCAGATCGAGTTGATGGACTATGCTGAAATGGCTAAAATGACCGGAAGAGTCATAAATTTTAATAAGGAATGGGGGAAATTTATAACTTCTCTTCAAGACTATTGTAAGCAGTTAAAATCATTAGTAGGATTGGGATATCACTTGCAGGGTGAATTTTGGACACAATGGAGATGTAAAAGATTTGGATCATCCTAAAAGATGCGGGAGGAAATGATTCATAATAGGATCCACAAAGGGGAGGATGGAAGTCCAGGAGACTTCTTGGAATCTTGTTTTCATTATTTATGTTCGATATATCTCTGTAAAATTTTAATTTGAAAAACCAAATAATCCCCCCCCCCCGAAAAAAGGAAATATTTTCAGCTTCCATCAAAAAGAAAACAAGGAGGGAGCTGGAGGAATCTCCACAAAGAGGGCAATTGAAAGCCCCAGAACTACCACCAAAAATACCTTGTCCTCACTCAATTAGACACCTGCAAGCTGCCCTGAAGGTAACTTGAAGTGCAGAGAACACACAATCGTGCATAGAAGCCATTTTTCAGTGGCTGGAGTGTCACATGTAGAAGGCTTGTGTTCAAATCCCCTCCAGCCACTAAATTCACTAGTTAACCTTAGGCTGCTCACTGCTTCTCTCAGCTGAACCTACCTTACAGGGTTAGAATCATAGAATCATAGAATCATAGAATCATAGAATCATAGAATCATAGAGTTGGAAGAGACCACAAGGGCCATCGAGTCCAACCCCTGCCAAGCAGGAAACACCATCAGAGCACTCCTGACATATGGTTGTCAAGCCTCTGCTTAAAGACCTCCAAAGAAGGAGACTCCACCACACTCCTTGGCAGCAAATTCCACTGTCGAACAGCTCTTACTGTCAGGAAGTTCTTCCTAATGTTTAGGTGGAATCTTCTTTCTTGTAGTTTGGATCCATTGCTCCGTGTCCGCTTCTCTGGAGCAGCAGAAAACAACCTTTCTCCCTCCTCTATGTGACATCCTTTTATATATTTGAACATGGCTATCATATCACCCCTTAACCTCCTCTTCTCCAGGCTAAACATGCCCAGCTCCCTTAGCCGTTCCTCATAAGGCCTTTGACCATTTTGGTTGCCCTCCTCTGGACACGTTCCAGTTTGTCAATGTCCTTCTTGAATTGTGGTGCCCAGAACTGGACACAGTACTCCAGGTGAGGTCTGACCAGAGCAGAATACAGTGGCACTATTACTTCCCTTGATCTAGATGCTATACTCCTATTGATGCAGCCCAGAATTGCATTGGCTTTTTAGCTATGAAGATGCTCTACAACAGGGAATAAAATACGGTGCAGAAATCATGCATGGATGCCTCTCTGCTTCCTCAGGGCCATGTGACTAAAGCAACTTACAAAATGCTTCAATGTTTTCACAGAGCTGGAAAACTTTCTTCTCCTCGTTATGTATCTATGGAGGCTATTTTCCTTTCCAAACCACCGACTGGCTGATTCTGCCAAGGTACCCAAAGCGCTTTATGGTTTTAAAATACCCAGATACATGAATGATACAAAATGTAAATTTAGCCCTTCTGGAGGCGGCAAGATGCCATCTTTGCCTTGCTCTCTCTTTGGTGTTTGTTTACAAGTTGTTGTTTTTGTTGATTTTTGGAAATCTGTTGTTTTTTTGTTTTTAGAGCGTTGGTTTTTTGATGCATTTTCTGAATTCATTTTTATTGGATGCCTTTGAATGTGTTTGTATTGCATGCATTTGAAATTGTTTCTAATGGGTGTATTTTAATTCTTATCAGCCACTCTGTGTTTCTTTTCGAGAGAGAGAAAAGTGGGATGTGGCATTTTAAGATTATTATTATTATTATTATTATTATTATTATTTAAAAAGCTCTTGGAATAAGCCAAGCAAAAAACAGGACTGTAGCAAAACCAACAACAACAACAACAACAACAACAACAACAACAACAACAACAACAGGTTTTACTATACACTTGCTTAATGGATGTGCCATCCCAGCATATATAAATAGAATACCACAGTGAAGAACCAACAAATGCCTCAGTGGTGTAGAGGTTAGAGCAGGCATGGGAAACCTGCGGTTCCCCAGATGCTGTTGGACTACAATTCCCATTATCCTTGGCTACTGACCATGCTGGCTGGTGCCAATGGGAACTGCAGCCTAATCTGAAGGATGGAACAGGACACCTGTCCCCAGGTGTGAGTGTTAGACTTGGCCGAGAGAGACCCAGGTGCAAATCCTCACTCAGCCATGAAGCTCACTGGGCAGGGGCGTAGTGTGAGAGGGCCACAGGGCCGTGGCCCTGGGCATACATTTTTTGAGAGGGCGCAAACCAGGTGCCCCCACACAGGTGACCCCACTTGGCCCAGCCTGGTCTCCTCTCTGCCCACCACGTTGGCCAGCCAGGCTCACCCCTGCGCAGACAGGCAGGTGGTTCAGCGTGGCCCTGCTTTGCTCTGCTGTAGATGGGGGTCACTTCAGCGGCAGCAAGGACTGGGGTCTGCACACATCCCTCCGCCTGGCACATGTGTTCCTGCCTCACCCATGCCCTGGGTGCCAGCAACCAACGTTATGCCACTGTCACAGGGTGACCATGGGCCAGTTGCTACTTTTGGCCTAACTACCTGGCAGGTTTGTTATGAGCATTAAGATGGGGGTGGGGAGGAGAGCAAAGTGTGCCACGTTGAACTCGTTCGTCTGGAACAGAGCAGGTCACATTGTTTGCTTCTTGTCCTCAATCTGACAGCCTCAAAGGGCAAGCTGTACTGGATACGTCATGTGGCCTGCTTTTCTCAATCTATTTCTGCTTCGGTCTCATTGTGCTTTGTACAGCCCCGGGTCCTCTCTCCCCTGTAAAAGGTAAAAAGGTAAAGGACCCCTCGACAGTTCAGTCCACTCAAAGGTGAATAAGGGGTTGCGGCACTCCTCTTGCTTTTCAGGGCAAGGGAGCCGTGTTTGTCCACACACAGCTTTCCGAGTCATGTGGCTAGCATGATTAGACTGCTTCTGGTGCAACGGAACATCGTGATCTTTACCCTTCCATGGCGGTATTCAACGTTTTGTTTTAAAAAGAGGGAGAACCAATAACGGAGGGAGGGATTTGCACCCAGTACATTATCAGGGCAGCTTGTAAGAAAACATTAAAATGTCTTCAAATAAATGGTGCATGAAAAGCAACAAGCAACAAAACCAGGAAGTCTTTAAAAGCATCAACAGGGGATCTCAGGTGTGGTTTCGGTGCTGTTCACCCTTGCGGGAAAGTTCACCAAACTGAAAGTTCACCAAACTGAAAGTTCACCAAACTGAAAGTTCACCAAACTGTCGGGACCTAAATCTGAAAGCAACATTAGAGCAGGGGAGACTGCTTTTGTGGTGGACGCACTACAAAGCTGCTGACTACCATGCAGAAAGAGAAAGGGTCAGTATGATCTCAATATTCTTAAAAAAATAAAAATAAATACAGGATTTCCAGACATTATTTTGGAGAGAGGATCTGCTTTATACAGGGTGAGTCCTTTAAAAGAGGCCCCTGGATACAGAGTACACAAAAAAAGAGCCAGGCTGAGGGTCCATCTAAACCCGCATCCTCTCCCCAACGAAGGGCATGCAGATGTTTCCAGGAAGCCAACAAGCAGGCTATGAAGTGTCTCCTTTGCTCCCTGCCCCCCGACCTCAGCAAAACAGAATTTAGAACTCCACTGAGCATAAAAGATGCCATTTAGCTGTCATTGCCCATAGGACGTCCATGCCAAGAGTTTATCTGGTGCTTTAAAGTCATCTGAGCCAGCGGTCATACCCGTGTCTTGCAGCAACGAATTCTGCAAAATGCACCGGCTGAACATGCTGTGCTGCTGCAGTGGGTTCTGCCACACATCTCTGGCCACCTTGCATAATGTGTCTTCCTTCAAGGCTGCAGACACACTGCACACTTGGAGCATATGTAACACGTGTGACTTCTGCCCAAAGAATCCATGTAGGTTGTTAAGGGTGCTGGGAATTGTAGCTCTATGGGGGATAAACTACAGTTTCCAGGATTCTTTGTGGGAGGGAGAATGTGCTTTGAATGTATGTTGTGTACACAGGCTGAATCAGGTTTGGCTAGAATGTTAGCCACTTTAAGACTCCTTCGGGTAGTGATAAAGTGGGATATCAAATCCAAACTCTTCTTCATCATCATCATCATCATCATCAATATCTCAGTCACCAGGTGGAGAGCATCATGCACTCCTGTCGTGGTTGGTGATAGTGAACCATTCATTTGGTACCAATGGACCTGAGGCACTTTGTGTCTGAGCAGTGTGAGGCTCGTTTACATGATGCTACACCATAATTTAGTGTTGTGTCCGAAAATCTTCAGTAGGTACAACACTAACAGACTAAGCCCATAGCTTTAGTGAAAGTTGACATGTTTCTATGAACAAGCATCAAACCACCTTTGCCTTCAGTTTCAACAATACAGTGGTACCTTGGTTCTCAAAAGCCTTGGTTCCCAAATGCCAAAAACCTGGAAGTAAGTGTTCTGGTTTTCGAACATTTTTTTTCAGACGCCAAATGTCCAATGCAGCTGTCGGCTATTGTTTCCGGGGCACCTGCACCAATCAGAAGCTGCACCTTGGTTTTCGAACATTTTGGAAGTCAAACAGACTTCCAGAACGGATTACATTTGGCGCTTTTGTTTTTGCTATTTATTTTGTGTTTTTGTTTTTGAGGCTTTTTCGGTTAATTTGTTTTTGTGACTGTGTGGAACCCAGTTCAGCTACTGGTTGGTTGTGTAACTGCGTAAATGGATAAATGCCCTACAACCTGATGACTATCATCAGTGTAGGTAAGAAAAAAAAATAATTTTAATTTTAATCATCTACAATATTGTCTTATTTATTTTATAGTACAGTGCATTGATTATTGCTTTCATTTTATGGATCAATGGTCTCGTTAGATAGCAAAATTCATGTTAAATTGGTGTTTTAGGGTTGTTTTTAAAAGTCTGGAATGGATTAATCCATTTTGCATTACTTTTTATGGGAAAGCGTGCCTTGGTTTTGGAACACTTTGGTTTTGGAACGGACTTCTGGAACGGATTAAGTTTGAGAACCAAGGTACCACTGTATGTGCTTAAGTGGGAAAATGAGGAAAGGGCAGGGATCAGTTCTGGAGACCATAAACAGTAATAGAAAGCATGAGTTTTCATTCTCTACAGGGCGGGCATAGTGGGCGTATTCATCATTATTACTGCAAAATCGCTGCATAGAATAATGAATGGTTATCTTGGCCATTAAAATGATACAATGATAGTATTGGTTACAATGCAGTGATTGCAACAAGGCTTTTCAAAGCCTGTTTGTTTTGTCCTTCGGATGCGCTGCAGAAATGAATGTTCAAAACGAACGAAAAATGGGAACGAACGTGCCCGGAAATGAAATTCCATTTGTTTTCTTTTTCCATGCACTTGGAATGAGCTTGTATTAGAGCCCTCCAGATGTTTTAGACTACAAAACCCATCAGCCCCAGTCAGCACTGTCATGCCGCTGGGGCTGCTGGGAGTGGTAGTCCATAACATCTGAAGGGCACCAGGATGGGGAAGGCCGAATTGTTTGCATTACTTATCTGTGCACCAAAATGTCTCAGGGAAAGAGGAGAGAGAGACCATGAAACTGACAGCTTGGTGGTAAGTTCTATTGAGTTTCGACTGCAGTTAGGCTGAGTCTGTTGCTCCTTGTTTAATTGCCTATTAAATGGGAAACCTTTGTCCAATCCATCTGAAAATTGGCAGGTCTGATGCCCAGAGGGAATAATAGAATGACTGCAAATTTCATGTCATTGGAATGAAAAGCACCCAAGATGATACGAGACCCCTGGAAGATTGTCTGAATCTTTTGCTGAAATCAATGGGAAATGTATAGAATGTGCACTTTTTAAAATTGCCTCTGAAATAATAGGAAGCTTTTGTTCAATCCCCTTGGAATTTGGCATCTTTGACACCCTGGGAGTTAGTAGAAGGACGTAACATATCATGAATTTTTGGACAGACAATGCCACAGTTACACACAGCAGGAAAGTCACTGAGTCTTCCATTTAAATCAGAGTTGTGGAAACTGTGGCCCTTTACACGTTGCTAGACCCCAACTCCAATCATTCCTGTTATGTATTCAGTGGTCTGTGTTTGCCTGAGCTTGAGTCTGGACTACGGATTCTGAGCTCCTATATTCTGATTCGATACATGTTGTCCAATCACAGAACATTTCAGGATTTGGGCCTCTGTCATTGGCCCTTGAACTCTGAGTCATGATTCACAGTTTGGAAATTTAGACAGCCAATCATGTTGAGAGTGGGAGTGGCCCAGGCCTTCAGAAATGTATATAAGCAGTTGCTTGTCCTCTGTTTCCCAGTTATGTAGTTCAATAAAAGTTCTTGCTGTTATCACTGTGTCTTGCCTTGTGGGAACCCACGTACACTTCAATTCCTACTGTTGACCATGATGGCTTGGTCACAGACAATGGTCAAGGATAATGGGAGCTGGGATTTATTGCTATCTGGAAGGTCATAGGCTCCCTGACCCTTTGTTAAGAAAATAAGGGCAGAGATTACTGCAGGGATGGGGGAACCTGTGGCCTTCCAGGTGATGTTGGACTACAACTCCCATCAGCACCAGCCAGCCTAGCCAATGTCCAGGGATGATAACAACTCTTGTCTAACAACATCTGGAGGCCCACAGGTCCCTCATCCCTGCTCTAGACCATAGCAGCTTATGCCACAATAAATTGTTTCATCTTTCAGGTACCACAAGGCTCTTAGTAGGAAGGTAAATTAAACTAAAAGGTAAAGGTAAAGGGACCCCTGACCATTAGGTCCAGTCGTGACCGAATCTGGGGTTGCGGCGTTCATCTTGCTTTACTGGCTGAGGGAGCCGGCATACAGCTTCCGGGTCATGTGGCCAGCATGACTAAGCCACTTCTGGCGAACCAGAGCAGCGCACGGAAACACCGTTTACCTTCCCGCCGGAGCAATACCTATTTATCTACTTGCACTTTGATGTGCTTTTGAACTGCTAGGTGGGCAGGAGCAGGGACTGAGCAATGGGAGCTGACCCCGTCGCGGGGATTCGAACCGCCGACCTTCTGATCTGCAAGTCCTAGGCTCTGTGGCTTAACCCCACAGCGCCACCCACGTCCCTAAATTAAACTAGGTACATGCAAAAGAATGGCTCGCAATAAAACAAGTAAGCTGGGCTGGGGCATTCGGATGCTTACCACTTAATCTCCATTGCGTAGGTCCCCCGCACGAGTGCTGCTCGTGCACTCGGGGTCCTTGCTTTTGCGCTCTCCCCCTTTGATCTTCTTCCTAGTCATATGGCCACGGAAACTGGCCTGGATCTTGGCGGCAGCCGCGTTGGCACTGGGGTCATCCAAGGGAATATCCATGATGTCTTCATCCAGCTTGGTGCAAGCCCCTTCCTGCGAGAGAGGGAAGGAAGGAAAATAAACACAGGAGGTCCTCACGCCATCAGGTACATTCTTGTCAGGGACGAAGGAGAAGTACCAACAAAAGAAGAATGGCAGATGAAACTGACGGAATATGTGGAGATGGCAAAACTGATGGGGAAAATCCGAAACCAGGAAGATCCAGCATTTTCTAAAGACTGGAGTAAATTTGTAATTTATTTAAAAGACCACTGTAAACAGTTAAAATCTCTGGCAGGGATGTAAGGACACTCGTAATGTGGAACTATTTATGCTTATCATGGTTATTTAACAGATGGATAATGGTAAAAGATGCAGCAAATTTAATCTTAAACATGGAACTGATGGAGGGAAGGAAGGAGGTCCAAAGGTTCAAAGACCCTTGTACTTTAATGTTTGAAATTGTTATGTTAAAATGATAAAACTGTGGGGGACGGAACAATTACAAAATTAAAAAATAAAAATAAAAGTTCAGACCACCATCTTGATTCAAAATGTCATTCAATTGTATCCAAACATAAACGAAAACCTCTCCTTGGTCTCAGGAACAAGCATGAGCTGGCAGCTTTCCAAGATATGGCTTTGATGTCATTCTGGACCATGGCTGTTTCTTGTCATATTATTCAAAGCAAAACAAACAAAGCAAGCAACCCAGGAATGAACTAATGTTCATTTATCCCTGAAGTTCTCGTCAAGGGCTGTTTGTGCTAACTTTAATTACAGCTTGGTGCTGACTTCAACCCACCATAACTTCAGACTGCAAATAGCTATAGGTTTGTTGGAAATGACTAGGCTTTGTTGTGGTTTTGTCAGACAAGTGTGAGATTGTATTTTTTCTCTCCTTTCAAAACAAAAGAGGCAGCCAAGATTGAGGTGAAAAGCAGGAAAGGAAAGGAAAGGAAAGGAAAGGAAAGGAAAGGAAAGGAAAGGAAAGGAAAGGAAAGGAAAGGAAAGGAAAGGAAAGGAAAGGAAAGGAAAGGAAAGAAAGCAGCTTACTGTGTTCCTATGAATGGACTTCATCCCAGGACATGTCACCAAGGAGAACAGTTCTCTATGAAAGGGCATTCCTTATTTGAATGATTCTGTGGTCCAAGTCTAGTTTAAAGATCAAGATATCATAAATAGGGAGAGCAAGGTGCAGACTTTGAGCTGCTCTTCCACACCTGGATTGTTCAGGCCAGCCGGCAGGTCCCCTGGCCACAGTCTTCCTCACTAAGGTGAGATATAATTTAAATTCTCTCCAGGTCTTCTACTCAGGATACGATCAGGCCAAAGCCCTCATTAAACAACATGTAGCTGACACAGAGCACCAATTGGATCTAGCCAGCACCCTAACTTTTATCACCAGTGAATCTGCCAGGTACTCTGCCTCCCCCATGGCATATCTAACTAAACTCGAAGTCCCTAAGCATCGGAAGGCCTTTACCCTGGCACGATGTCACGCCCTCCCCTCGGCTGTCACTGAAGGTCAATGGTTTACTCGGAGAGACAATGCCCCTGTGACTCTGGACAAATAGAAGCAATAGAGCATGTGCTTCTCCAGTGCCCTATAATACAGAGACATTTGTATTAGCCTCACCTCCCCACTACTCCATAAGTACCCAGGGTGCACCGGACAATTCTATACCTCCCTGCTGCTTTCATATACCAACCCTGCTACAACATACAATGTTGCCAGAGTCTTCACAGCCGCGTTCAAAATTTGTCGGGTGATGACCTGTGCCACAAACTAGAATTAATGAACACTCATATCAGAGTGCTCTCTAAATTGATAGCTACAGTTTTTTATATACTAACCCTTTATGCTCTTCCACATCTGTTTAATGCTCCTAACCCTTCTTTTAGATTCTTTCAGCTTCTTGTAGTCTTTTATACAGTGGAAGCTTGGGTTGCGAACATGATCCATGTGGGATGCACATTCGCAATCCGCAGTGTTCACAACCTGCGTCTGCGCATCTGTGCACACGTGGGTTGCGATTCGGCACTTCTGCGCATGCGCATAGTGTGATTTAGCACTTCTGCGCATGCGCAACTGCTGAAACCTGGAAGTAACCCTTTCCGGCGATCCGCAACCCAAAAAAATGCAACCTGAAGCGGCTGTAACCCGAAGTATGACTGTATATACCTTCTGTTTTAATACTTAGCTTTCCAAAACGGCTTACAAATTTTAAATGATTGTACCCTACCCTACTTATGCTGGTCTATGACTGTAATAAAGATTTGATTGATTGTTTGATTGATATAATTTAAATTATTATTGTGATTTCTAACATTGCGTCTGTACCTATGCAAATTTCATGCAAATCTGCCCCTTCTTTTTGATGATGTGTTAAGGGACTGCCCAACCAGAACACCAGACTCCTCCCTGGACGGCAGGTTACTATTGCAGAGTAGATGTGGACAGAAGATGAGCTACCCTGCTGGATCAGGGTAGCTGCCCATCTAGTTCAGCATCCTTTTCTCAGAGTGGCCAACAAGATGCCTCTGGGAAGTGCGCAAGCAGGACTTGAACGCAGCAGCCCTCTCCCCAGCTGTGGTTCCCATCAACTGATATTCGGAGGCGTGTCACAGACCCTCCAAGTGTCCCTATGTTCCAGGGACAGTCCCGGATTCACAGAAGTCGTCCCGGTTTCTGATTTGATCCCAGAATGTCCCGCTTTTCCTTGGGAGGTCCCTATTTTCATCTGAGGAATGTTGGAGGGTATAGTAGGAGGTATCTATTTCCGTTGGAGAAATGTTGGAGTTATGCAACTCCTAAGCCAAGGAGATAAGTAATTATACAACCTTTAGAAGACACCTGAAGGCAGCCATGTATAGGGAAGCTTTTGTTAATGTTTTATTGTGTTTTTATATACTTGGAAGCTGCCCAGAGTGGAAGAAGAAGAAGAAGAAGAAGATGAAGAAGAAGAAGAGGAGGAGAAAAGTAGGTCGTCCCTATTTGCATCGGAGAAATGTTGGAGGGTATGATACTGCCTACGGAAGAAAAGAAACATCATGGCTAGTAAAGGTAAAGGTAAAGGACCCCTAGACGGTTCAGTCCAGTCAAAGGCGACTCTGGGGTTGTGGCAGTCTTTTTGCTTTCAGGTCGAGGGAGCCGGCGTTTGTCCACAGGCAGCTTTCCGGGTCATGTGGTCAGTGTGACTAAACCACTTCTGGCACACCGGAACACCTTGATGGAAACCAGAGCGCACGGAAACACTGTTTACCTTCCCGCCACAGCAGTACCTATTTATCTGCTTGCACTGGCGTGCTTTTGAACTGCTAAGTTGGCAGTAGCTGGGACACAACAATGGGAGCTCACCGCGTGGTGGGGATTCAAACCACCAACCTTCTGATCGGCAAGCCCAAGAGGCTCAGTGGTTTAGACCCACGTCCCCTTTTACCTTTTAGCTCATGGCTAGTAACCACTGACAGCCAGGACCAAGTAGAACAAGCAAAAGGAAACGCTTTAGCAATGTATACTGATGTATGCGTGAATATATGCCTTGAGTAAGTAGCGATCCACAATATAAGCATTGGGTGCTGTGACGTGTTGTATTTATAACTGTTTCCCTGTTTTCACCTGTGAAACAGTGGGACATATGGAACAGCCTAGCCCAGCCTCCCCTTGTCTCCATTCTCAGGAATCAGATTATATAACACTAGCCCTACTGCCACTGGATCGGAGGAGTTGCACAAGAAAAGCGTTTTAGAAATAAAAAACCTAGCCTCCTTCTCCCCCCCCCTTTCTTTTTGTAGTCATCTAGAAAGGCTCATCGCCCCAAATTGTGACTCACATTACGCCTCATCTGGGAGAGAGGGTACAGAAGCAATTCTGCCAAAGAAGCTAAAACACCATAATGGGATAATTGGTTACCTGCCAGAGTTGAGTTGCTGACAGCCAGCCATGCTAACTCGCACGCATGTGATATTCATTGCTGAATATATATTGCATACACCTGAGCATTGTCTATGAAATGGCACTTCCCCCCCCCACAACACACCTCCAGTGCTGTTCCTAGAGCTCTCACGGTGCTAAAATAGAACTATGCCTTTTAAAGAAAAGCGTCTTGCTGGCTTCAATCTGTCCTAAAGATTTAATTGATCCGAAGCTGCCTTTTTGGCTGAGTGGTGGAGGAATGTATTCTATGCACAGAGTGTTGCCTAGCTGCATAGGAAAAATGTTTCCTGTTCTAAAAGATTAGATTTCTGCCATTCTTACACACAGTAACACAATTGTAGGCTTTTTTCCTGCCCACAATTGAATCACTATGATTGTTTGATCAGTATTATTGTCGGGATTCTGGCAGGGGATCAATTGAATAGAAGCCTGTATAATTAGACTTTGCAACTTCTGGACCTTCCATTTATCCACAGACACCAGAAGGATGCACAGAACTTTTTTTTTTCCAGCTTTAGTGTCCAAACCTCTTTTTAAAGAGATTGTGTCCAAACTTCTTCTTTCAACCTTCCCCCTAACGTTATCCTTGAAACAGCATTGTGAGGTAAGCTAACTGGGAAATGGTGATCAAGGATTTGAGTCTGAGATCTAGCATGATGTTTTAACCTCTGTGCCAAAGTGGTTTTATGTCTCTGACCCAGAACTATAAACAGGACCCACAGGCATGGGCAGGTCACACCCTGACATCATATGGCCCAGACAATTTTCTCTCTTTTTGTTTATTTTTTAATGGTTTTAAAATAGATCAAAACTACAACTAATCCAGAATGTTTTCTATATTTCATTAATGTATTAATGAATATTTATACCCCACCTACGAACTGAAGTTCTAGAGATGTCTTACAATACATTTAAAACACAATTAAACACACAGTGATGCAAAGGTTGAAATATACTAAAAAATAAAAAAATTGTCCAGTAGCGCCTTAGAGACCAACTAAGTTTGTTCTTGGTATAAGCTTTCATGTGCATGCACACTTCTTCAGATGCAAATGTTGTTACGGCAGTACAAGGTGTACATAAGTCCTGTCCCCCCTGCCTCGTACTCAGTGTTCCAACAAATGCCATTTTGTAGCTGAATCTCCTGGCTGTTGAAGCAGCTAAATGTTAGTGCCACCAAGTCTAGGAAGTCCTCACTGGGTGGCTCCTGCTGCTGCTATAGAGGCTCCCACCGTGGTCAATCACTTCTGGGAAGCCCAGAAACAGGAGCTGACAACAGGCCTCAGGTGGCCTGAAAGGTAAAGGGACCCCTGACCATTAGGTCCAGTCGTGGCCGACTCTGGGGTTGCAGCGCTCATCTCGCTTTACTGGCCGAGGGAGCCGGCGTACAGCTTCCGGGTCATGTGGCCAGCATGACTAAGCCACTTCTGGTGAACCAGAGCAGCACACGGAAACGCTGTTTACCTTCCCGCCAGAGCGGTACCTATTTATCTACTTGCATTTTGACGTGCTTTCGAACTGCTAGGTTGGCAGAAGCAGGGACCGAGCAACGGGAGCTCATCCCATCGCGGGGATTCAAACTGCCGACCTACTGATCGGCAAGTCCTAGGCTCTGTGGTTTAACTCACAGCGCCACCCGTGTTCCTTGATGACAACATTACACCTCCCCTATTGCTTTTCCCCAGCAATATTCAGAATCAGAAGCAGGACGCCTCTGGTCCTGAAGGCAATAAACAACCATCATGACAAGTAGTCATTGGTAGGCTTATCCTCAATCAATTTGTCTCATCCCCACATTTACAGCTCAGCTGGAGGCCATCACCATATCTTACAGTAGCAAATTTCATCATTTATCTATGTGTTGTATGAAGATGTGTTTCCTTTTGTATCTGCTGAATCTCCTACTCTAAGGAATCTATTTCTTGGGGTCGACACACAGCAGGGGAATAGATGACTTCCTCAAAATGCTTTCCATTGCAACATGCAAACAGTGTTGAATCATAGACACCCCCAGAGTCTTCATTTCCTCGGCTAATAACAGACTGCTGAATTACACAGAGCTGAAAGGCATCTCTTAGGGTTTCGCTGAATGCTACAGTAGCAACATAATAAATAGGGCATCATATAAATGTAGTGTACAAGGTGTTCCCCTAAGCCACTTAATTTCCAGTTCTGCAAGGGTCACAAGTGACTCTGATCATCCCAGTCCCATCTGTAAATCTTTAGAGCCGATCCCTCTATCTACCAAGACACGATAGGAACGCAGGAATTTGGGAAGCTGCCTTATAAAAAAATGGCTAAACATGCTAATTTGGGTTTCACATGGTAGCTTATTTCCCCCCACATTTCTACATCATTCTGCTCATTTTTATTTTTTAAAGTTGTCACGAAAACACACCGGAAAATTTTTGTATGCAATTTTGTCTAGCATATACAGTGTCACAAAGCAATCGTCCTTAATATAGCACATTTTAAAATGTTATTTCGACTATTGCATGCATTTTTACACACACTTTAGTATGTGAGGTTTTCTACACATAAGTTGGCTGGAGAACTGCACTGCAAAATTCAGGGAAGTGCAAATTTCAAACGACGTCTGTGCTTCGGTTTGAATGTTGTTTTGGGAACCGTGAACTAGATCGATCCAGTTTTAAATGCGAACTGAATTGAATGTGTCACTTATGCAGAGCCAGACTGGTTTATATTTTTGACACTGACTCTCTGGGGTTTCAGGCGGATGTTTTTTCCAAGCCTTACCTGGAGATACCAGGGATCAAACCTGGAACCCTTTACATGCAAGGCGTGTGTTCTGCCAATGAGGTACAACTCTCTTCCCTGCAGTTAGAACCAGGGGAGCAGACTGAGCAGGTGCACAGAACACCTGGCTATAGTCTTCCCACTATAGCAAAATGTAATCATTTCTACATTTGCATCTGTACATATAAATTAGCATGTGTCGTTTTTAAGCAAATCAATGTCTTATCAATTTATCTTTGCTTCCACTCAGTCTTGAGACATCTTGTCTGCTTCGGGTCCCACCAACACATAAACCACTCCTACTTTTGGGAAGGATTTTGGTAACTTTTGCAGAAGAGCCTGAAGCCAGTAGCTCCAGGAAGGGGGACAATTCATCCATCATAGTCTGCCTTAAATCAGGGTGGATAAAAATCAATGATTTTTTTTAAAAAAAAGAAAAACAGATTTTTTTTATTTAAATTGGGTTTTTTTAATTTAAATTGATTAAATGGTGGAATCCATTCATTTCAGCAGGTCAGCTATGAGTAGAAGTTTGCTGGATCTGTGTTACTAATATAGCATTAACTGATTGCAGCTAAGCAACTGGTTAGAAATCTTCATCAACTGTTTTCCTTTTATTACCGAAATCAAAGGGACTAGAGACCTACTTTTTGAAAAAGCTTTGCATGTAGGAAGGTCCAGGTTAAATCCCAGCATCTCCAAGAAGGGCTGGGAATGTCTAAAGTTGTGGAGAGCCACTGTAGTCTATGTAGATAATATTCACCTAGAATGATCAGTGGCCTGGCTCACTATAAGGCAACTTCCTATGTCCCCATGAAATAACAAGATGAATTTTAACAGGGAGAAATGTAAAGTATTGCACTTGGGCAAAAAAAATGAGAAGCACAAATACAAGATGGGTGACACCTGGCTTGAGAGCAGTACATGTGAAAAGGATCTAGGAGTCTTGGCTGAGCACAAACTTGACATGAGCCAACAGTGTGACACGGCAGCTAAAAAAGCCAATGCAATTCTGGGCTGCATCAATAGGAGTATAGCATCTAGATCAAGGGAAGTAATAGTGCCACTGTATTCTGCTCTGGTCAGACCTCACCTGGAGTACTGTGTCCAGTTCTGGGCACCACAATTCAAGAAGGACACTGACAAACTGGAACGTGTCCAGAGGAGGGCAACCAAAATGGTCAAAGGCCTGGAAACGATGCCTTATGAGGAATGGCTAAGGGAGCTGGGCATGTTTAGCCTGGAGAAGAGGAGGTTAAGGGGTGATATGATAGCCATGTTCAAATATATAAAAGGATGTCACATAGAGGAGGGAGAAAGGTTGTTTTCTGCTGCTCCAGAGAAGCGGACACGGAGCAATGGATCCAAACTACAAGAAAGAAGATTCCACCTAAACATTAGGAAGAACTTCCTGACAGTAAGAGCTGTTCAACAGTGGAATTTGCTGCCAAGGAGTGTGGTGGAGTCTCCTTCTTTGAAGGTCTTTAAGCAGAGGCTTGACAACCATATGTCAGGAGTCCTCTGATGGCGTTTCCTGCTTGGCAGGGGGTTGGACTCGATGGCCCTTGTGGTCTCTTCCAACTCTATGATTCTATGATTCTATGATTCTTCTCACTGCTGCACAACTTGTTTGAGGTTGAATCCTGACAAGACAGAAGTACTGTTTTGGGGGAACAAGGGGCGGGCGGGTATGGAGGACTCTCTGGTCCTAAATGGGGTAACTGTGCCCCTGAAGGTGTGCAGCCTGGGGCTCATTTTGGACTCGCAGCTGTCCATGGAGGAGCAGGTCAATTCTGTGTCCAGGGCAGCTGTCTACCAGCTCCATCTCGTATGCAGGCTGAGACCCTATCTGCCCGCAGACTGTCTCATCAGAGTGGTACATGCTCTAGTTATCTCCCACTTGAACTACTGCAATGCTCTCTATGTGGGGCTACCTTTGAAGATGACCCAGAAACTACAACTAATCCAGAATGCGGCAACTAGACAGGTGACTGGGAGCTGCCGCCGAGACCATATAACACCGGTCTTGAAAGACCTACGCTGGCTCCCAGTACGTTTCTGAGCACAATTCAAAGTGTCAGTGCTGACCTTTCAAGCCCTAAACGGCCTCAGCCCAGTATACCTGAAGGAGCATCTCCATCCCCATCGTTCAGCCTGGACACTGAGGTCCAGCGCCGAGGGCCTTCTGGTGGTTCCCTCACTGCAAGACGTGAAGTTACAGGGAACCAGTCAGAGGGCCTTCTCAGTATTGACACCTGCCCTGTGGAACACCCTCCCATCAGATGCCAAGGAAATAAACAACTATCTGACTTGTAGAAGACATCTGAAGGCAGCCCTGTTTAGGGGTGTTTTTAATGTTATATGTTTTATCACATTTTTAATATTTTGTTGGAGGCCTCCCAGAGTGGCTGGGGAAACCCAGCCAAATGGGTGGGGCATTTATTAATTATTATTATTATTATTATTGCCTTGATACACATGGCACGCAAGCATTTAGAGATAAACATGATGCTTTTCTTGTCATCCACCCAAGGCATCTCAAGAACTGTTCTGTATTAGTCTGACAGCAACTCACAGAAACAAAGAATGCAATACAAAATGCAACACTTCAAATCAGCACTGTATGCTTATAAATGCGATCATACGCTACTGTAAGCCCAATTACTTTGACGGCACTGTAGCAGCATAAATGATCCGCCACTCTTAAAACCTGCTCATGTTTTAAACCTGTCATTTATTTTATTTTGGTTTTATTTTAAACGCATCAAACTGTTGAAGGCTTGATTTTTCTGGAAGCTATTTTGAGGTGCACTTAAAATGAACCACGCCACATAGTAAGCATTGGCTGTGTTGTATCACGTTTTTCTCCAGCCTGCGTTTGGCGCATTAACATTACACCCCTGGGAATGGTTACATAAGCCCATCTCCTTTTGGCGGGGTGACCATCGTTCTTAACACCCCTGCTATTTACAACCCCTGAGTGGGCTTCCATGTTTGATGCTCAGAAAGCCTCGTCCAATTATTGGCAGACAACTTTGCTCTGCCTGTGCAGGAGAGGAGATGGATAGACATCACGTAAAACTGCTATCTTTTATCCAGGCAAACGATATACGGTCCAGCTGTTTGCTGCATCCGTGAGACAAGACAAGTGGGACAGGAGGGGGTCTATTGATTAGCAGATGATTCACGACAGGAGAGAAAAAGTTACCGTATCGGCCTGAATATAAGCCACACTTTTCTCCCCCAAATTCCGACTGTGAAAAGTTAACATGCGGCTTAAATTAGCGACCTTACAAAAATTGGCTTTTACGATATAGCTGCTGAAACAGACATACGGTAAAACAGAACCAAAAAAAAAATTTTTATTGCTGATTTGGAAGCTTGAGACTGTTGTGGAATTAATTCTAATGTCATTCATCGCTTTCCCTGTATTCTACAGTGCAGTATTAGTTTTTTTATTTGCACTGACGGTGCTACGAACAGGTGTTTAACCCACCTGCGGGTTCTCTCCAGTATCCATAGGATTTTCTTCTACATTTGCCATTTACGGGTGTGAGTGCCTGGGGGATTGTAGCAACTGAATAGAAATTTGCTGTTTTAGCGATTGTACAGTAACTTTTGCGGGCTTGCAAGATCAAAGGCTTAAATGGGCTCGGAGTTATAATTCTACCAACCGCAATGACTTTCAGCCTGCAACCCAATTTTAAGGGAGCGGCTTATATTTGGGTATTCTCTCCCCCCCCATTATTTTTTTTTTTTTTTGGAAGGTGCTGCTTATTTGCCGGTGTGGCTTATATTCGGGCCAATACGGTAACTGTCTATACACGTAATTAACTTATGGCATTCACTGTGGCAAAATGTGGTGATCAGCACCAGCACCAGGTTTGAGGGGGGCCCTGTGCAAAATGGCCACTGGTGTTGCCCCCACCCTGTTAGCTAGTACTTGTGGACTTGTGGGACAGCACTCTGAGCAGTTCAAGGTGGTAGGTTTGGTCTAATTACCATTTTAATATCCCACAACCCCACCCCACCCCAAAGGATGACTACATTTTGGTTTGCGCTTTGTTTCAGGAAGTGCAAATCAGGAAATTTGCCTTTAGGTACAAACTGAATCAATTTTCTGCCCAATCCCTAGTCGCTGCATTGGCTATCCCTGCCCTAGAATAACCTTGATACATAATTTAAAGACTTTCTCTCTGTTTTTCAACAGTGCAATGTTACTTGATAGTTAACTGATACAGAATGGGCCCTCTTGGACTAATCTGATAAGCAGAATTGGGGCGTTGCTAGGTTCTTAAAAGATTCAACGCACAAGCTCAGAGACAGACATTTGCATTAACATTGCACAGACTAATTGATATGTGCAGATGCAAATCTAGAATTTAAATGTCACAGGAGAGAAGACAAACTAACTAATTTCCCATCCATATCTTCAGATAAATTCTACAATTAATTTGCACCCCACCCAGATCAGTTCCTCTTCAATTCATTTACTCCCGGTTAATTTCCCAACAGATCCTTCTCCACATCCATTCTATTCTTCTTCAATAGCTCCCATTTGTTGGCCTCTCAAATTGTCCCTAGATAAAGTCAGCTCAAATTAATTTATTGATGTATCCCCCCCACCCTGGCGAGACCACCCACCTCACTCAATTTTCCTCACACTTCTTGCCCACCCAAAAACTGTCAGGGCAGTTCAAGGTGAGTTCATGTGGCATGGATGCCAAAACTCTTTATAAGAATGCCCATAGCCAGACTCATTCATGGAAAGATGGCATTTAGACCTCTGTTCGTACAGAAGGTTTGTGGGCATTCTTTTTAAAGATGGTTTTAAACGCTATGTGTTCACATACACCTCTGCTGTCATACTTTCATGAAAAACTTTCTAGATTGGATTATTTCATTGCCCCTGACATTCATTTCTCTGAAGGCCCTTGTTTCAGAAATGTGATGGTCTTACTTAGTAAGGAAAGCTGGCTATAACACCATACCCTTTCTCAGCTGAAAATAGGGACATCCTATTCCATAATAATTATAATTATTATCATTAATGTAATTACAATTATTTATACCCTGTCCATGTGACTGGATTGCCCCAGCTACTCTGGGCAGCTTCCAACATATATAAAAACATAATAAAACCTTAAACATTAACAAAAACATCCCTATATAGAGCTGCCTTCAGGTGTCTTCTAAAGGTTGTATAGTGACTTATCTCCTTGGTTCGGGGGGTTGCATGACTCCATACCCTCCAACATTTCTCCGATGAAAAGAGGGACGTCCTAAGGAAAAGCAGGACATTCTGGGATCAAATCAGAAACCGGGATGGCTTCTGGAAATCCATGACTGTACCTGGAAAATAGGGACACTTGGAGGGTCTGTAACACTCAGTCACAATTCCCCACATTTTGTGGAATGGCTCAGTGTGGTATAGCATCTGCTTTGCACGCAGAAGGTCACAGGTTTAATCCTGGCATCTCTGGGTTGATTTGGGAAAGACTTCCTGTCTGAAATCCAGGAAAGCTGCTGCCGGTCCGTCTGGATAATACTGAACTAGATGTACCCAATAGTCTGACTTGTTATAAGTCAGCCTCCTGTGTATGGGGACTAATTATCAGTTTGCATTTCTTAGTGCAGAAAGTGTTGTTCTGATGTGTAGAGCTCTTTCCTATTCTAATTTATTCAAGAGGGTTCTGGAAGCTTCTCTGTGTGAAAGAAACAAGCAGAAGGTTCATGATGTTTGGGTTATTCCTTCAGAGAAGCCGAGTACAGCTGGCTTAAATTGGTTCTGTTATCTCTTCTGTCAAGTCATGTTGACTATAATATTACGGCCAGAAGGAGCCTGGTTTCACTCTTTCTATCTCTCTATCCTTCTGGTGTGGTGTTCTGTATATAGTATGCTTAGTGTTAAGGTTAAACTTATTGTAAGTTTAAGTTAAGTCTGCTGCAACTGTATTGGATGTATTGGATTTGTGACCATTATGCTCATTTGCCTTCAGTAGCAGTAAAGCTCTGCTGGATGAAATATTAATTGCCTCTGGTCTATTTTTTGAGAATTCTGCAACGTGTTTAAGTTTTTACTCTGCTAACTACACGCTGGAGTTCTACTCTGGATCAATATTGAGTAGAATTCCATGACACTAATGCCCTGGAGAGACATGATGTCACGGTCACTCCAGGAAATTAGAAATACGGCTTGAGGACCTGGGCAAGAGATGTTGGCGACAGTGGACCATGCCAGGGAGTAGGGACCCCTAGCAGCTGCCCAAGGAGGCCAGAGGCTGACTCCGTGCCTGGTCACAGCTAATGATGAGTTACAGGAAAATAAGGGCAGATGGAGTGGGATGAGAATGCCAGCAATGATATTTCTAAGAAATGCTATTACATTGCATGGGGCACGTCTCAGTGCAGAAAGGTCAACCCGCCAGAAGCACTTGCTGTTCGGAACTCAAAGACAAAACTCATCTTCCCACCTGATCCCCCTAAATGGCTCCACGTTGATGTGCCCTTTTGTTGAGACTCACCTGATGACTTCTTTCAACTGCATTGACTCCACTGTAGAAACAGCACAGAATCCTGGGAACTGTAGTTTAGCCCCCCACAGAGCTACAGTTCCCAGCACCCTTAACAAACTACAATTCCCAGGAGGGGAGAAAATGTGCTTTACATGTGTGATGCGTGTGCGGGATTTTTTTTTAAAAAAATTGCTTCCTTTTTTTCTGGAATGGCTCCCTTACCTTTAATAACCAAGACAACAAGAAATCCAGATAATGAAGCTGTATCCACTGGTACACTGGGAACATTTTCTCCAAATCTCTGCCTGAAATTGGATGCATTTTGTTTGTTTGCGATCATCTACTCTGAAAACTGGCATCATTGTGTAGGATCAGGAAGGAGCTGTAATGCATGGGTGGCATCTACAGTGGTACCTCGTGTTACATACGCTTCAGGTTACAGACTCCGCTAACCCAGAAATAGTACCTCAGGTTAAGAACTTTGCTTCAGGATGAGAACAGAAATCGTGCGGCAGCAGCGGGAGGCCCCATTAGCTAAAGTGGTACCTCAGGTTAAGAACAGTTTCAGGTTAAGAATGGACCTCCAGAGCGAATTAAGCACTTAACCTGAGGTACCACTGTATAGGGAAAGGACTGCAGCTCAGGGACAAAGCCATGCTCCAATTCGAATGCTGACATCTCCGGTTTAAAAGGATCAAGTGGCAGGTGGTGTGAAAGGTTTTGTCTTCACCTCAGACCCTGGAGAGAGTCACTGCTAAGTCAGAAAAAAACAATACTGAGCTAGGTGCAGAAATAAGCTGATGATATATAGCAGCTGATTTATGCAGAGAAATCCCTTGAAGGAACAGGAGCAGGACACAACAGTTTTTTCCTGGGCAGTTGACAATCCTCTACAGAAGAGAGACAGACAGGTGGCCAGACAGCTGGGCATTAACATGCCCACCACAACTCTGCTGATGCCTCTAAAAAGGTCCTGAGCTGCCCTCCTTGCAGCCAGCGGTGGAGGAAGACACTTGGGTGCCTGGGGCGGTGTGCCCAGGGGCAGGGCGAGTTGCCCATAGGGGTGGGGTGCACCACAGGGCCTCCAGAGCCTAACTGCCTCCTCCCACTTTGCCACCCTACAGCTGGGGGGGGAGACAGCGGGTGAATCGTTTGGGCAGTGCAGTGCCTGCATGCGCCCAAGCCACCGCGTCTTTCCCAGGAGAGACGTGTGGCTCGGGCGCACTGCAGGCCCCGCAGTGAGTGCCTCCCGGCATTTTGTCATCCCCCTCAGTGGTGACACCCGGGGCAGCCCGCACCTACCGCACCCCCCTTCCTCAGCCCCTGCTTGCAGCCCATCCCCCAACAGTGGGCATTCAGTGAAGTCCCATCATGTGGACATCACTATCAAAGATATCAGAAGAGCCCTATGTTAGCCCTCTTGGCTTCCATGCTTGGGGAAGGGAGGCGGCTGGTAGGCAGCAGAGGCAAGGCAGAGCAGTAACAGGGCCAGAGGGCTTGTGGGTGAGGGCTGGGGATGAGCAGATGTCCCCACTTGCTCAGATGTGGGCCTTGTCAGAGTCCCAGCAATCCCAGCCCTTCACACCTGTTCTCTGCTGGTGGCACATTGTGGAATGCATCATTCGGATCTGTGCCAGTGTGCTTAAGGGAGGAGCAGATGAGTTAAATGGCCCTGCTTTTGGGGTCCTTCTTAAAGACTCTGTTAGAACTTAACCCCTAACCATCCATCTTTCTCCCCCTCCTTTTTTTTGCATTTAATATTTGTTGATTTTTTAAGTACAGTGGTACCTCGAGTTACATACGCTTCAGGTTACAGACTCCGCTAACCCTGAAATAGTACCTCGGGTTAAGAACTTTGCTTCAGGATGAGAACAGAAATCGTACTCTGGCGGTGCAGCAGCAGCAGCTGGAGGCCTCATTAGCTAAAGTGGTGCTTCAGGTTAAGAACAGTTTCAGGTTAAGAATGGACCTCCGGAACAAATTAAGTACTTAACCCGAGGTACCACTGTATACATCACAATTATCATTCTCCATCAGAGATATACAGAAGAAGAAGAAAATACTCAAACGTTGAAAATGAAATAATATTCTGTTTAAAAGTATTAAGACTTCCCTCCACCCGAACGTGGGTCCTCTACAATTCTATATTAACTGCATATTGAATAACATCTAGTTTATATTTATCCAGTACGTCCATATGTTATGTCACATTTCAGGAGTCATTCAAGGCCTGCCAAAGATTCCAGATGTTCACAGTTATCTTTTAAGGATTATCTGTATTTGTCCCATTTTGTGATAAATTTTTGGTCGTCATGATTCCTAACTTTCCCCATGAGTCTTGCCATCTCGGCATATTCAAATAATTTTGTCTGCCATTCCATTTTTGTCAGTATATTATCTCCTTTCCAGCACTGGGCTGATAGCAGTCTTGCAGCCGTGGTTGCATACATAAATAACATCCTCAAATCTTTTGGTATATCTATACCTATAATACCTCAGAGAAAGGCTTCAGGTCTTTTTGGCAAAGGTTAATTTAAACTTCTTTTTTAGTTCGTTGTAAATCATATCCCAAAATCCCTCCCCTCCTTTTCTTTTGGTAATATATTTGTGCTGAAGAAAAGTAGCTGCGCTCCCTCCAAATTGGAAGGCTGTCTCCACAAATAAGGCACACAGTCCTGCCCAGGAACCCCAGCAGCCCACACACCCTGCCAGCGAATGCAGGCAGACAAACATATAAATAAGCAAAGAAGGTGGCACAAAGTTCTGCTTTCTGTAGACAAGTCGCCTGGTTTCCATCCCACTTAATGCAACGAAATACGACTCTGCCAGCCATCTCCTAATTGAAATTGCTGAAAACCAACCCGAGTCCCTTAGGAGCTGCCGGCACGCCGGCACTGACATCCCCTGGCTTGGCAAATAGGATCACGGGAAAATTCCAACAAAAGCTCTAAGTGAGCAGATCGCGTCCTTTCCCCATCTAGCTCTGCGGATGTGGGAGAATTTCTGGGTCAGGCTGTTAGAAGAAATCCAGGCTTCTTCTTGACGCTGATGGGTTTCAGTCGATGGGGACTCAACTCTCATTTTACCTTGCAAGTCCAATAACCTTTGGAGAAGCCTTTTCCAAGCTGCTGCCCTCCAGATATGGTTGGAAGGCAACTCCCACCAGACCCAGCCAACAGGACCAGGGACCAGGAATTGAAAGCCACAGCAGCTTGAGGGAAGGCTGCTATAGTTTTTCACATCCCTAAATGCGATAAAACATCAAACATTAAAAACTTCCCTAAACAGGGCTGCCTTCAGATGTCTTCTAAAAGTCAGGTAGCTGCTTATTTCCTTGACATCTGATGGGAGGGCGTTCCACAGGGCAGATGCCACTACCAAGAAGGCCCCCTGCCTGGTTCCCTGTAACCTCACTTCTCGCAGTGAGGGAACCGCCAGAAGGCCCTCAGCGCTGGATCTCAGTGTCCGGGCTGAATGATGGGGGTGGAGATGCTCTTTCAGGTGTACTGGGCCCTCTGCCTGGTTCCCTGTAACTTCACTATTTGCAGTGAGGGAACTGCCAGAAGGCCCTCGGAGCTGGACCTCAGTGTCTGGGCTGAACAATGGGGGTGGAGATGCTCCTTCAGATATACAGGGCCGAGGCCGTTTAGGGCTTTAAAGGTCAGCACCAGCATTTTGAATTGTGCTTGGAAACGTACTGGGAGCCAAAGTAGGTCTTTCAGAACCAGTGTTACTGGTACATAGTATTGGCGCCAGTCACCAGTCTAGCTGCTGCATTCTGGATTAATTGTAGTTTCCGGGTCACCTTCAAAGGTAGCCCCACATAGAGCGGGGTATGTAAATACTTGCCAGTGTTGTGGGATGTGCAGCCGCATATGCTGCCAGCACAGGGATGGGAGAATGTGTGCTCCTCTAGATGTGGTTGGACTCCAGCTCCCATCATTCCTGACTACTGGCCATGCTGCTTTGGGGCTGATGAGAGCTCAGCCATAAGTCCCCCATCCCTGCCTTAGCATCTCACAGGTGACAATGGAAACATGCTTGCAACATTCCCATTCTAATAATAAGGTTCTCACCATAAGCCACACACCCAGGACCAGCATCAGGAATCAGTGTGGTTGAGCATCTGCCATGCCCCCCTCAGTTAGGGGTCCACTACCAATCCGTCCCCCTGCTGCTACTTCTCCTGTTGCTGCTTGCTCACCATCCCTCTTCAAGCAAGCAGCAAGAGGAGCATAAAAAAGTGAAGATCTAATCTAATATAAATAAATAAATAAATAATAATAATAATACCCCACCCATCTGGCTAGGTTTCCCCAGCCACTCCGGGCAGCTCTCAACAGAATATTAAAAACACAATAAAACATCAAACATTAAAAACTCCCCTAAACAGGACTGCCTTCAGATGCCTTCTAAAAGCCAGGTAGTTGATTATTTCCTTGACATCTGATGGGAGGGCATTCCACAGGGCGGGCGCCACTACCAAAAAGGCCCTCTGCCTGGTTCCCTGTAACCTTGCTTCTTGCAGTGAGGGAACTGCCAGAAGGCCCTCAGAGCTGGACCTCAGTGTCCAGGCTAAACAGTGGCAGTGGAGACGCTCCTTCAGGTATACTGGGCTGAGGCCGTTAGGGCTTTAAAGGTCAGCACCAACACCTTGAATTGTACTTGGAAACATACTGGGAGCCAATGTAGATAGCCATATACTTTGTCATTTCTCTCTCTGGGAGGGGGTGGTAGTAAGGACTGGATTGTGTCCATAGCAGAAGAGTGGCAGTGATGGTGAAGGGACCTAGAGACCAAGTATGATGAATTACGGTGGAATGAGTGTGTGTTTTAGAGACAGCTAAGAGGTGGGTGATGTTGTGGCCCCCTTCAGATACTTGAAGGGCTGTCGTGATGATAGAGCAAATTGGTTTTCCATTGATCCAGAAGGCAGGACTTGAACCAACACATTCCATTCACAACAAAGGGGATTTCAATGAAACAACAGGGAGAATTTCATAGCATGAGCTGCAGCACAGGGGTGGAAAACCTTTTCCACCCTGAAGGCCACATTCCATTCATTGCAAGTTTCCGGGGGCCACAAGTGTGCGCTAGGGCCAGAAGCAAAAGAAGGTGGAGCAACAAATGTGAGTTTTACCACCTTTTTGCATAGTAGGCTGGTTTCTTCACACACACCCCTCTCTCCTCTATCCAGGCAAGCAAGAAGCATTGCCAGAGTTCAGAAGCATATTCCAGTCAGGTAAAAACACCTGAAAAAAGGTGTGAAGCAAGGCTGGCAAAGGAGTATGAGAGCAAGGGTGGAAGTAGGCCTGGGGGAATTGCCAAAGGCCAGATAGAGAGTACCAACCTTGTGGCTCCCCACCCTTGGGAGCCAGTGTGGCATAATGGTTAGAGTGTTGGACTAAGGACCTGGGACAGCAGGGTTCGAATCCCCACGAGGCAGCCTTGGGCCAGTCACCGTGTCTTTGCCTAACCTAAGTCACAGCCTTGTTGTGAGGATGAAATGGGGAGGAGGAGAACCATATACACCACCTTGAGCTTCTTGGAAGGAGAAGAAGACGTAGTATATAAACGTAAGAAAATAAGATTGCATCAGAAATCTTTTCTTCGGACTTTTTAAAGCAGGTGATGGATTACCACCAATCAGAGAAGCCGTAGCAGCAGATTTCCTGGCCTAGATGATCTTTGAGGTCCTGTTTAGCTCCATGATTCTATGAAGGAACGAAGCCCACAGGAACGTACCTTGTCCAAGCTTCAAACTGGCATCACCCACCTTCTCCACTGTTAAAAAATGCTGAAAGCCCTTCTCCAAATGCTATATCCATTGATTATGCAGTGAATTAAAAGCCAAGAGCATGTTTGTCATTTCCAGTTCAAGATATAACAGAGAAACATATTTGCTCACACAAGATAGCCCTGGAATATGTTATCAACACTTGGTGAAGTGGCCAGATGTACCTTCTTCACAGTTCCAGTGAACAGGCATTTATCTGGATGTAACTAGGGGCCTCAAGATGCATTCACCCAACCACTCGGTTATCTTAGACTTCTCCAACCCCTGGGAATGGACCTGAATCCTGAAAAGGGGGCACAACTACCAACTCACACTCAGAATATTTGAACACAGCACTCCTCAAAGGAGTCCTAATAAGCAGGAAATGATTGTAGGCATATTTCCAGTATTGTTTGCAGTTCCCTAAACTAGGGATGAGGGAATCTGTGGCCCCCGCAGCCAACACGGTCAATGATTGGCCACATGTTCCCCATCGCCACCTTAGCCCCTTTGCCAACAGAACGTGTGAACATACCAACAGCACTTATTTTTGTGTGTGGATTAATCTCGAAATCAAGGGTAGCCAACAGAGTGTTGCACCACAACTTGCATCGCTGGTCATGCTGGCTGGAGCTGATGGGAGCCAGAAAACCAACATTAGAAGGGAACAATGTTGGCTACCCTTGCTCCAAAGGTGGAAAAATGAAGGAAACCCAGGGGGGAAAGCTTGCAAAATATGCATGTTCTACCCAGCGCTGCCAGCCTTCAAATGCTTTTCCCACCCAAAAGCGCAAATCCGATTTAAGACTTCCAGCAGTCCAAAGTTCATTGTTTTAGTGTGTTTCTTTCAAAGGGGTGGAAAAAAAGAAAAACCCTGATCCGTGAATTTAGTCAGCGGTTGCTGCTTGTTCTTCTTTCTCAGCCCCTTTATATATATATAAAAGAGCCATTATTTCCCCTCATCTCTTTTTCTCCCCAGTACAGGAGCAGAAATAAGCAGCAAACTCCCACACAGAAACTAACAGTTCTGCTGGTCCTGTTATTGCTATTTCCACGCTTAGCTTTCTGGCAACTAGAAATCGCTGTGCCACACAGAGCAGCCAACTTAAAAGATCCAAAAGACAGACTCCTTTTATTTAAAAGATTGCAATAAAAAAGTCAATGCACCACATCTAATTTAAAGTTATTAAATAGGCTCAGGGCAGCTGGTAGAATTTCCTATCCATCAGACAGGGAGGGGAAATTCCAAAATGTCACAGGGTTCAGGTACATGGTGTGCCATGCCTGGTTGCCTCGTCCACAACCATCTCAGAGAGGGGATCTTTCAGACCCTAAAGAAAAGACCCTAAAGAAAAGGTGGGCGTGTTCCCCCTCCCCCTGCGCCATATCAATATGAGAGTAGATTCAGAGACATCTCAGCACTTGATCACAGACTGCCATTCATAATAGTTCAGAAATAAAAACGAACAAAACAACCTGAGCACTGCACCTCAACTTCAGTCTTTCCCCACCAGCTTATTACATTCTAGCATGATTTTTTCTTTGCGCATTCCAAAATAAAATAATAATAATAATAATCTACAGATGTGTACGTACATTACAGCAGTCCATCGTGGGTGCCAATCTGATTAAGAGTTCCCCAGCCAACAGGAGCTAGATACACCCTGGGAAGGCAGAGATCTGTTTCCTTCTCCACTTACGAGAACTTGCTTTTTCCCTGCTGCCTCCAGAACAGATCTTTCTGTAGGTGCTGAAGTTGAACAGAGCTTATTGCCTACGTAACCCACTTACTCTCAGCTGGGGAGCCTATCAGACCTACTCAGGCAGCTCCAGTTCTCCTCTTGCTTTTTAATTTCTCTCTCTCTCTCTCTCTCTTTCCCCAGCTTGTTTTACAGCAACTCCCCTCGCTTCTAACACCCTTTAAATACTTAAAGAGACAGGCAGCCCAGTTGGCATTAGAGAGCTCTTTGTGCCATAGAAACACAATCAAGAACAAACAGTACCCAGCTCGACATAGAATGGCCAATTCCACAGGTCTCTAGCAAGTGCCCAAATTATATTGTCGGTTGCCAGTGCCTGATCAGACACCAGAAAAAGAACCTGGAGAGCGGTGCCTCAAATATGAATAGCTGCATTGGTCCCAGGGCATAGTATGAAGACACATGATGCAGTGACCTTACTGAAGCTAAGCAAATATGGATCTGGCAAGCTCTTAGAGGGGAGCTGGCCTGCAGACTCAAACCCTCCAATAGTCCCTATTTTCTAGGGACAGTCCTGGATTTACAGAAGCTGTCCCAGTATCTCATTTGATTCCAGAATGTCCCACTTTTCCTTAGGACGCCCCTATCTTCACTGGAGAAATGTTGGAGGGGGTGAAGTTATGCGAACCCCTAAGCCAAGGAAATGAGTAGTTATACAACCCTTAGAAGGCATCTGAAGGCAACCTTGTATGGAGAAGGGTTTTTTATGTAAATGTTTTATTATGTTTTTTACATATGTTGGAAGTTGCCCAGAGTGGCTTGGGCAACACAGTCAGATGGGCCAGGTATAAATAAATAAAGGCCTAAGCCCAGCTCCATAAAGATACAGTGGTACCTCGGGTTACATACGCTTCAGGTTACTTACGCTTCAGGTTACAGACTCTGCTAACCCAGAAATAGTGCTTCAGGTTAAGAACTTTGCTTCAGGATGAGAACAGAAATCGTGCTCCGGTGGCGCAGCGGCAGCAGGAAGCCCCATTAGCTAAAGTGGTGCTTCAGGTTAAGAACAGTTTCAGGTTAAGAACAGACCTCCGGAACGAATTAAATACTTAACCTGAGGTACCACTGTGCTGGATTTCTCCATTGATTTCTTATTAACATTTGTCACTTCCAAGCCTGGGAACGTTTGAAAATAGCTTCTCAGCATGAGCCAGGAAATGACCTATGGAGACAAATAAGTGGTTCTCTCTGTTATCTACTCTATAAGTCTTTTGATCCCTTAGCAGCTGCTCCATCCCATTCCACTCCCCACCTGCCTCTCCTGTTGTTGTTGTTTTCACTCTCAGACCCTAAATATGCCATGCCATTGAGTACATAAAGGACTTTTTAGGTGCCTCCTCCTCCTGCGTTTTTTCTAAAGAGACTTTTTTGTACTTTTGCAAACCTTCGGGTTCCCTCAAGCCTGCTTGTACCTTCCTCTCCTGTGTGGGAGAGACATGGTTTGTTTTAACGTTAAGGTCACTTCCTATGTCCCTAACCAGTTAGTTAAAAGTTGCAGCCCTAGTACAATGGTACCTTGGTTCTCAAACACCATGGTACTCAAACAACTTGGAACCCAAACAGTGTTCTGGTTTGTGAACTTTTTCAGAAACCGAACTTGTTCCGTTTTGAGTGTTAGGCTTCCAATTTGAGTGCCACACTTCCATTTTGAGTGTTACACTGAGGTCTGTCTGTTTTTGCTATTTATTTTGCGTTTTTGTTTTTGCGGCTTTTTTGTTTTGTTTCTGTGACTGTGTGGAACCCATTTCAACTACTGATGGATTGATTGTGTGACTGCAGTACATTGTTTATTGCTTTCATTTTATGGATCAATGGTCTCGTTAGATAGTAAAATTCATGTTCAATTGCTGGTTTAGGGGTTGTTTTTAAAAGTCTGGAACGGATTAATCCATTTTGCATTACTTTCTATGGGAAAGCGCACCTTGGTTTTGGAATGCTTTGGTTTTGGAATGGACTTCCGGAATGGATTAAGTTTGAGAATCAAGGTACCACTGTAAAAGGTTTTGATAAGTGTTCTGCAAATTGTCAGCCACTTTAACAAAGCAGCAAGAACACAGGTTTGCTATTTCATGAATACCAGAAGGTGTTTGCTTTGGACACCAGGAGAACTGGATCCAGGAGAGATCACCATGCCTGAATGTGTGGTGTTCCTGGGATACTATTCGCCAGATAACCAGGATGGTGGGAGGGAGGGAGGGAGTGTGGCCCCATGATATAGAGCTTGCCCTGTATTCAGAAGGTTCCAAGTTCAATCCTAGCCAAAAGTATTCTGGATGGGAAATTACTGGAACCAGGACCACTGCCTGAGAAACAGGCGCCGGTTAGACAGGATCATAATGGCCAAATAATCTGCCCCAATTACTTCCTGTACTTGTGATATCAAGTGGAATTATACAGAGATAGTTCAGACACCTGTGGGTAGCTTTTTTGCTTCAGGCCTTTGAAATCAAGACAAATACACCCACACATCAAAGCAGCCTTGTGGAACTAGGACTTCATTATATAATGGCTGTGACAAACTGCAGCTGACCTTAGACTAGTGCAGAGATGGGGGGAGCTATGGCCCACCAGATGTTGCTGGACTCCAACTCCCATCAGCCGCAGCCAACACATCTGATGCCCAGGGATTATGGGAACTGTAGTCCGACAGCAGCTGGCGGGCCATGGGTTCCCTAGCATTCAAATAGCCGCTTGCTTAAGTCCACTTACAGTGCAATGCTTTCTGTGTCCACTCAGACATGCGTGGGCCTAGGATTGCAGCCTTTCATATGGTGCTTTTAGATCTGAACCAAGTGCAGTGAGCCACTGAGTGCCAACTGCATACACTCTAACTGTCCCTATTTTCCAGGGACCATCCCGGAATTACGAAAGCCACCCCGGCTTCTGATTTGATATTGAAATGTCCCTATTTCCTTTGCCAGTGCTGTCCCAAGCAACAATAAAACAATGAACAGCATGGTGAAACAATGACTACTGCGATCGACACGAGGTAATATCACCAAGGCAACTATCAGGGAAAAAACAATAAACACCCATAAAAATGGCAAAAGTAGCTTCTTTCGCAAATAGGTTTTATCTTAAACAATAGGAAATGCAGTAAATAAAGAGTTCACTTGTAATATATGAGTAGTTCAGCGCTCATTTCTTCTCCTTCCAAAACAGATTTTATCTTGAACAATTGCAAAGGCAGTAATAAAGAGTCGACTTTTGAATAGCAGTGGTTCAGTGCTAAGGAAAATTAAAATTAAAAATAGGTAGAGAATGCATAATTAAGTGGCTGTCACCAATGGAAGCGAAAGCCTTGAAAAAGCTCAATATGGAGGTCAAATGGCCAAAATATTGGGAAATTTTGGAACAAGATGGAGACAGATTGAAATTGCAGAGTTTTGAAAAACTAAAAAACAAGGTGCGAGACTGGCTTCATTATTATCAGATAATGGAGGCATACAATTTGGATAAGAAAATTGGCTTCCAGGTGGAAAAATCAAAATTAGAAACAGAACTGTTAGAACCCAAAACTAAGAATTTGTCAAGAATGTATAACTTGCTGCTGAAATGGAACACTCAGGATGAAACGGTGAAATCTGCTATGATTAAATGGGCACAAGATGTTGGACATAACATCATGTTCGCTGACTGGGAACAGTTATGGACCACAGGTATGAAGTTTACGGCATGTAATGCCCTAAGAGAGAATATTATGAAAATGATATACAGGTGGTACATAACCCCAGTCAAGCTTGCAAAAATCTACCATTTGCCTGATAATAAATGTTGGAAATGTAAAGAAACTGAAGGTACATTTTTTCACCTTTGGTGGACGTGCCCAAAGATTAAGGCTTTCTGGGAGATGATATATAATGAATTAAAAAGGTATTTAAATATACCTTCTTGAAGAAACCAGAGGCCTTTCTCCTGGGCATAGTCGGCCAACCGGTGTTAAAAAAGGATAGAACTTTCTTTATGTATGCTACAACAGCAGCAAGAATACTCATCGCAAAGTATTGGAAGACACAAGAGCTACCCACACTGGAGGAATGGCAGATGAAAATGATGGACTATATGGAATTGGCGGAAATGACTGGCAGAATCCGTGACCAGGGAGAAGAGTCGGTGGAAGAAGATTGGAAGAAATTCAAAGATTATTTACAGAAATATTGCAAAATTAATGAATGTTAGAGTGATGTTGGATTGAAATTAAGTGGCTTCTAGCTGTACAGGCTTTAAAGTTATAAATATATCAAGATTAAGGATTAGGATTAAAAAGGTTAAAAGAATGGAAAAATTGGTTTTTAATAGGTAAAAATTCAATGTTATATTATATTAAGATTAAGGATTGGGATTAAAAAGGAGGGAAAGGAATTGCTGGACTAACAAACTGAATTGGAATACAAAAGAGGGAGGTATGAGGAGGTCCGGGAAACAAGTAAATGTAAAAGTAGTGATGAAAAGAGGGAATTGTTTTTAACTGTTTTTTCTTTTTTCTTTTTGTATTTTGCATTGTGTATTTTTCTTCTTATTCTTGAATTTTTCTTTTTTGTTGATGTGATTCTTTCTTTGTGAAACCTTAATAAATATCATTAAAAAAAAAAGAGAGAATGCATAATTAAGACATAACTTTGTAGTAAATAATATACAAGAGATGACAGTATGTAAATGCCTTAAAGCAGGGGTAGATCTACAACAAGCACGTCCAACAGGTAGTTTGTGATCTACCAGTAGATCACTGGACATTTGTGGTAGATCACTGGTAGATCACTGGCTCCCCCCAAAGCAGCTCAACATTTTTGCCCCCAAAAAACGGGGCTTCCCTCCTCCCTAAAAGAAGCTCAACAACTTTGACCTGAACCCTTTAAAAACGGGCCTTCCTCTTCCCTAAAAAAACTAAACAATTTCGACCTCAACCCCCAAAAACAGGGTAGATCACTGCCAGTCTTTAACTCTGTGAGATCTCAGTCTCTTGGGAGTTGGCCACCCCTGATCTACAAGAATAAAGGTGAGACTATAACTAGTCTATTCGCACATACACAGTGAAAACCCCCAGTCCCACTAACACAAAAATCTCAGTAGAACCTTACCTGTCCCCACCTGCATGTTTCCATCGGGAGGAGCACAGAAAGAGGACGGTGTCCTTCTGTTTGTTAAACCTCCTTAGGAAACATGGGTAGGGCTCACAAATTTAAAATCATAGCAGTGAAAAGACCACAAACTGCCCAAGCAATGGCAGCTGTGGATGCGAGGAAGCATCCTGTTGCTTCTCCATGGCTGTGAGGGGAGGCTGGCTGTGAGGGGCAGGCAGAGGGCAGAGAATAAAGGGGGAACGAAGAGGAGAGCAAGAAGTCTTGATTTGGGGGGGGGGGGGTTAAAAAAATGCTTTGTGCATCTGCGTCTAATCTTACCCCTTTCTAAAATTTATTTATTGGGGTGTGCATTTCTTTTTGTAAATCTACCAAGGAATAAAATCAAATCGGGATTAAGGGGTTTTCTCTTCCTTCTTTCTTTTTGAAATTGTTTTTATTTCATTTTACAAACATAAATTTATAACAATACCAAATCTATATCTGCATAGATTTCTCTGAATTTCGAGACTTCTCCCCCCGCCCTCCATGGGTCCTATTGTCAACATTTTCAACTGCATATTATTTCATAATCTATATTTTAGTTCTATCCATATTGTCCTTAGTGCTTGTTACATTACAAGTGAAATTAAAATCCTGCTAATGTTTTCATCTGCTTACATCGGTCTCCTAAATAAATTATAATACCCCCCCCCCATTCTTTCTTGAAGTTTTTGTCTTCTTTGGTCCTGAGCTTTCCAGTCGGTTTTGCTATTTCGGTGCAGTCTAACAGCTTGGTTTGCCATTCCTCTCTGGCAGGGACTCTTTCTTCTTCCCATCTCTGGGCTAGTAGCATCCGTGCACTGGGGGAGGAATGGGGGGGTGGGGGAGCGCACGGCCCCCGGCACCATCAGGGAGGGGGGTACCATCGCAGCCGCCCCCCCGGACACACGCCGCGCACCCCCACCATGCCGGGCGCACATGCCACTGCATCCATGCTGCAGTTGTCGCATACATAAAAAGTCTTTCCTGCTGCTTTGGGATGTAAAGGTAAAGATAAAGGGACCCCTGACCATTAAAGTCCAGTCACAGACGACTCTGGGGTTGGAGCGCTCATCTTGCTTTACTGGCCAAGGGAGCTGGTGTTTGTCTGCAGACAGCTTCCGGATCATGTGGCCAGCATGACTAAGCCGCTTCTGGTACCTATTTATGTACTTGCACTTTGACGTGCTTTCGAACTGCTAGGTTGGCAGGAGCTGGGACCGAGCAACAGGAGCTCACCCCATTGCGGGGATTTGAACTGCCAACCTTCTGATCGGCAAGTCCTAGGCTCTGTAGTTTAGACCACAGCGCCACCCGCGTCCCTCCTTTGAGATGTAGGTACCTACAATTCCTAATAAAAAAGCTTCTGGCTGGGATTAAGGGGTTTTCTCAGGACAACAGAGGGCATGTGTGCCATGGCCCATTGGGGTGGCAGCACTCACCCGTCTTCTGATAGAAGATGCTCTGCAGGGAAAGGGACAAAAATGGAGAGGGGGTGTCAAGGAGGGTCAGTTGTGGAGGAGTGAGAAATGTCCCTATTTTCATCTGAGAAATGTTGGAGGGTATGCAGTTGGTGGGAATCACAGAGCAGAGCGTTGTTGCACTCACAAACTGGGCTTCCTGCAGGATGCCGGCATAGATGGGTTGCTGACCTGATCCACGCAGGGCTCTGATCATGCCATGTCCTTACGTTGCCAGAAGGGAGCTTTGCTGCTTATACCTAAAAGCTCACGGAAACGTAACCTGCCCCTCTCCAATCAAGGCAAAGCGTTCAGATTTAAGCCCAACCAGCCCCCAACAGGGCTTAAATCAGCTTTCGTCCTCCAAGGAGTTTGGCAGAGAGCAGACTAAATATCTCTGCACTATGAGATCTCTTTGCAGCGGTGAGTGCCTGTGTAATTAAATCCACGCCGAGAAAGCTGGGCGAAACTTTTGTGCCTGCCTGAGCCCAAGCGAAGCGAGAGGGTGAGAATTAACACGGCTCAACTGGATTCTCTCCCATCTGAGTTCCCTGCCCACATGGGAAAAAATTGCTGCCGAAAAATAAAGGCTTGGATGTTGCTAAGCAACCTTACAATTCTCCCACTTTATCTTGCAACTGTTCGGTGGCTTCTCTTTTCTTATCGCCCGGGGACTGATTTCTAAAATAAAAATAAAAATCTTTCCACTACCAGGTGCTGAAATTTATTACACCTCCCTGCCCGCCCCCATTCTTAAGTACCAACATGCTCGTCTGAAAATCAGACGCAAAAAATAATCACAGTGTTCTCCTGTATCAGAAGGAGTAGTGCTAGCTAGTTGTCTGACCTTATGCTTCATATTTAGGCATGTTTAGATATAAGTATTGTGTATAGTTACGCTTTTTTAACTTGCTATCTTATGCACTGGCATTTTTTCTAGAAAAAGAGGTGCCGGAACTCACCATGAACGCCTCCCTTGTTCTCTTAAAATGGCAATGGTGCCCATCTAGGAACATACTCCTCAACATTTCTCTGATGAAAATAGGGACGTCCTATTCCATTATTCTTATTATTCTTATATTTTTGCCCCACCCATCTGTCTGGGTTGCCCCCAGTCACTCTGTGCAGCTTCCAACATATATAAAAACATAATAAAACATTTTTTAAAATGTCCCTATACGGAGCTGCCTTCAGATGTCTTTTAAAGGTTGTATAGTTACTTATCACCTTGCCTAGGGGGTCACATAACTCCATACCCTCCAAGATTTTGCCAGTGAAAATAGGGACATCCTAAGGAAAAGCGGGACATTCTGGGATCAAATCAGAAACAGAGATGGCTTCTGTAAATCCATGACTGTCCCTGGAAAATAGGGACACTTGGGGGGTCTGCCTGAGAAGTGCCAGAACTGAGCTCCGGCTGAAAACAAAAGCCATGATTTTATGGGTCATGATGTTTTGTGAAACACTTTTAATGTTAAAAGACAGCTGCTATGGATATAGATTCATATTTTTTAAAGTGGGATAGAAATCTACTAAGTAAATAATATCATAAGAAGAGCCCTATAGGTCCGTTGAGTGGAGCCGTCCAAATGAAACTCTGCTGCTCCTATCAGCCCCAGCCAGCCTTTGATGGCTGAGGCTGATGGGATTTGTAGTCCAAGTGATCTGGAAGGTGCCAGGCTGGGGAAGGCTGTTAGGTTTCTGTTATGCCATTGTGCAGTTCTTGGAGTCACAAGACTCTGTTGACATTCCAGACTGTTGGAAGTCTCACAGGAGACGGGAGGTGGATGTTGATGTTACTGGTTTCCTGTTTCTTTGTCCTGTTGTTCTCTGTCTCTCACAGAGAGCAGACACATAATCTTTCCTGTTTTCCGCAGGTAGAAATAAAGTAGCAATGTAGCACATATTTCTGGCTCCTTCTGCTGCTGTCTGGGTACTCTGCGAACGGAGAGCGTGCCTGAAGTCTCATTCAAAGGCTTAGGTCATCAATCACCATCGGAGGAGAGCCTGGATGGGTTCCAAAGATACGTCGGAGGAGTAGCCATTACAGCTGGTCGTATGGGGGCTCCGACAGGCTGGCCTAGTCTAGGATCCTGTTTCCCACAGTGGTTCGCCAAGTGCCTGTGGGAAGCCCACAAGAGGTCATGAAGGCTGCAGCCCTCTCCTGTTGTTTCTTCTCGAAACCTTGTCCAAAAATGTACACTGCCTCTGAAACTGGAGGCTCCATTTAACCATCATAACCAACAATGGCTGATAGGCCTTGACCAACCAGGAATGCGTCTAATCATACAGCCGTAAGTTCCACAAATCAGTCGTGTGTTGTGTGAAGAATCATTCCTGAACCTGCTTCCAGTCAACACCATCAGTTCTGGTATCAACAAGTTACTAGATACAACATGCAGTATACTTTACGGGTCAAACTTCCTTTTTATTTTTTAAAAGCAGCTCCATAGCAAGGACAATTCGGATCAGGACTGCTGCAAGGTGGGAAGAAAGATTAAGCCTTGTTCTCCTCCACCGATTACCTGACGTCACTCAACCCTGCATATGGCTCCAGTGGTACTTTGGTTTTTGAATGTCTCCGTTGACAAACATTTCGGTTTTCGAATGCCGTAAACCCGGAAGTAAATGCTTCAGTTTTCGAACATGCCTCGGAAGTCGAACATGCCACGAGGCTTCCGCTGAATGCAAGATCCTGAGGCCTAGCTGTCGGCTACTGAGTTTTCGAACATTTCAGAACTCGAACAGTTTTCCAGAACGGATTACAATGGTACCTCGGGTTACATACGCTTCAGGTTACATACGCTTCAGGTTACATACGCTTCAGGTTACAGACTCCGCTAACCCAGAAATAGTACCTCGGGTTAAGAACTTTGCTTCAGGATGAGAACAGAAATCGTGCTCCAGCGGCGCGGCAGCAGGAGGAGACCCCATTAGCTAAAGTGGTGCTTCAGGTTAAGAACAGTTTCAGGTTAAGAACGGACCTCCGAAACGAATTAAGTACGTAACCTGAGGTACCACTGTATGTTAAAAAACTGAGGTACCACTGTATTTGCTTCCCCTTCACAATTTAGAGCAGCTTGCTGGGGTGAGGGGTGGGGTGGAGAACAGCCTGAAATGAAAGGGTTAACCCCCCCCCCCATTCCCACTCCCCACAGATTCCTTCCCCCACCTTTCTTGGCACTGCTGCTATTTGGAAAAATGAAAATAACGACAGAGCTGCCCTCTGTCATAAACACGCATTGAGTTCAATGCAATCTACTCCTTTAACTAAGTCTGTGGTCCATACTGGACAGAAAATCCCACTGACCAAATAGAACAGGGCTTGCTTTTGACTGCAAATTCACCTGTTGAGAGGCTTGCCACCTTGGCAGATTGCTCCGAAGGGAACTGGCGCCGGCTCTGACGCTAAGCCGTCGAACCATGTGTGGCACCGCAGCCATTATAAACACAAGCGCAATTACTGTCATGTCGACTGCAAGACTTGGCAGGTTTCGCTTTGTATTTATGTCATAATGCTGGAGGCTGTGATGCGCCGCAAATGTGGTGATGCTTAAAGGATTAATGCTGATCGCTCCAGTAATAACCTGCGCTGGTTAACAGCAACATCTTCCTTTGGCTGAGAAGGCGTTCGAAGGCAATTAGCCCGTTCTATGGAAAGCGTCATTTGTTAAGGATGCGGAGAGTTGTTAGCAGACCCCTCTTTCCCGCATATAGCTCTGTTTCCTAGCAAACAATGTCTCTTCCCGGGGAACTCTGGGAATTGTTGCTCTGTGAGGGGAATGCGGGGGGGGGGGGTCCCTCCAAACAAGACACAGCACCCTGAACAAGATGCATTTCTCTTTTTGGGGGGGGAAATCCAAATAATTTTTATTTGGTTTTACAAAAGTCAAATTATAATCATACTACAACAAATTCATAATTTAAAGATTCTTCCAAATCTTTGGACTTCTCACCTTCCCCTCCATTGGTTCTGTTGTTACCCCTGTTCTACTGCATCTTATTTAAATAATCCAATTTTTTTGGTAACTCTGTTATATCCATAGTTCTCGTTACATTACAAGTGTTATTGCAGTCCTGCTAGTGTTTTCAGCTCTTTTCAGTGGCCTTCTATGTAAGCTATAATTTCCCCCCATTTCTTATTAAAGTTTTGGTCTTCCTGGTTTCTGAGCTTCCTGGTCAGTTTTGCCATTTTGGCATAGCCCAACAATTTTATTTGCCATTCTTCTCTGGTAGGGACTTTATCTTCTTTCCATCTCTGGGCTAACAACATCCGTGCAGCTGTCATCGCATACATAAAAAGTCTTTCCTGCTCCCTTGGAATTCCAGCACCTACAATTCCTAATAGAAAAACCTCTGGGTTTGTTTGTTTTTAAATAAAAGTTATTCTAAATTTTTTTTCAATTCATTATATATCATTTCCCAAAACGCTTTTATTACCTTACACGTCCACCACATATAATAAAAGGTGCCTTCTTTTTCCTTACATTTCCAGCAGATATTTGTACCTGTCTTATACATATTTGCTAACTTACTAGGCGTTTGGTACCACCGATACATCATTTTCATATAATTTTCTTTCAACGTACAGCATGCCATGAATTTCAAATCAAGATACATTTCCCAATATTCTCCTGGGGGGGGGGGGGAGGCATGGTTTCGGCCAGGGAGGGTGGGATACAACTAAAATTTGTTTTTGTTTATTATTATTATTATTAGTAGTAGTAGTAGTAGTAGTAGTATGGCTGTTTCAAGTGATACAATTCTACCGATGGAGCCTAACAATGGCTATGAGCTACAAAAGCTACGTAGAACCTTGATGTCTAGAGGCACTTTTGCCACTGAATACCAGCTGCTAGGAGGCAACAGCAGGAGAATGTATTCATTTACCTGCTTGTGGGCCTCCCAGAAGCATCTCTTAAGGCCATGGTAGGAAAAATAATGCTGGACTAAATGGACCTTTGGTCTGATCCAACCAGACTCTTCTTATGCTCTCCCACGAGCATGTCTATAGCAGGGGGCAGACTTTATTATTACAAAGTTTGGGTGACTCCCCCTCCTCCCATGGGGTTCCAGACACTCACCCAGGGTGGTCCTTTGGAGACTTGAGACGTGGAGGACACTGCTGTACCTTTAAGAAATAGAGTTTATACACCTATTTACACCTTCATTCTGCATGGAGGGAGTTCAGAAGGGGAGTGACCTAGCTAAGCCTGGCAGGACAGCTTACTCTATGGCATTAACTCCTTCATGCATCAATTAGACTTAAGCATGCTGGCTATGTGAGGTTGGTTATCCACACTTCTTATGCTATTATGTTCAAGAGTGCTTTTAATTAGATTGCTTGAAGTGAAATGAATGTGTGTGTTTCCTTCTCGTGTTTGTCAGCCAGAAAATTTGTTTTTGGAACATGAGGTTTTTATAGCACTTCTCAAGTCCTCATCGTCTGTCTCGGTGCCTCTGTCTTGCAAACATAAGGTTCTATCTACTGCAAATGTTGCTTTCCACCCCCCCTTGTGCTGGTATGGAGGAAGCTTTTGTTTTGCCCCTTGTTTTCAATAACATTTGCATTAAAATCATCTTTCAGCTTCTAAATAAAGACTCCTCCATTTCTGTGGCTCAGATCCCGACTCTGCTCAAACTAAGGTGATTTTGGTGCTTGTGAGTTTTATTGCTTTCAGTGGGTGTTTCAAACCTTGATGGTAATCCTCTAAGGGAGACTAATTTTCTGTTTGATCTTAACCAGAAGGTATCTCAGTCGCTTTCTGAACCCATCCTGGATTTGCTGCTATCCATCCTATCTCACTGCTTGATTTCTCCTTTCATCCTCAGGACATGGATAGTGCTGTGGTCTAAACCACTGAGCATCTTGGGCTTGCCAATCAGAAGGTCAGTGGTTCGAATCTGCGCAATGGCGTGAGCTCCTGCCAACCTAGCAATTTGAAAGCACACCAGTGCAAGTAGATAAATAGGTACCGCTGCAGCGGGAAGGTAAATGACATTTCTGTGCGCTCTGGTTTCCATCACAGTGTCCCGTTGCACCAGAAGTGGTTTAGTCATGCTGGCCACATGACCTGCAATGTTGTCTGTGGACAAATGCCGGCTCCCTTGGCCTGAAAGTGAGATGAGCACCGCACCCCATAGTCGCCTTTGACTGGGCTTAATTGTCCAGGGATCCATTACCTTTTACCCTACTTTCTGTTTCCCATTAAAATAGGGTTGCCATATTTCAAGAAGTAAAAAATCCGGACACAAAAAGTTGTTGTTTAGCTTTTTTGGGAAAGTTTCAAAACCTCAGACATTTTGTCTATTTCCCAAAATTCCCCCCAAACACTGATTCCATCATTGGAATTCCAGACATGGCCAGGAAAATCTGGATGCATGGCAACCCTACATTAAAGCATAAAACTGGAACTAGGATAGGATCATGGGGAGCTGACTTATACTGAGTCGGACCATTAGTCCATCTAGCTCAGTATTTCCTACACAGTGAGTAGCAGTGGCTCTCCAAGACGTCAGGCGCAATTCTCACCCCACCTTACCAGGAGATGTTGGGGATTGAAAGGGGACCTTTGGCATGCCAAGCAGATGTTCTACCACAGAGCTGTGACCCTTCCCAGTTCCTATTCAGATAAATGCAAAATATACTTCAGCAATGACAAATATACTTCAGCAATGACAAACCTAGACAGCATCTTAAAAAGCAGAGACATCACCTTTCCAACAAAGGTCCGTATAGTTAAAGCTATGGTTTTCCCAGTAGTGATGTATGGAAGTGAGAGCTGGACCATAAAGAAGGCTGATCGCCGAAGAATTGATGCTTTTGAATTATGGTGTTGGAGGAGACTCTTGAGAGTCCCATGGACTGCAAGAAGATCAAACCTATCCATTCTTAAGAAAATCAGCCCTGAGTGCTCACTGGAAGGACAGATTGTGAAGCTGAGGCTCCAATACTTTGGCCACCTCATGAGAAGAGAAGACTCCCTGGAAAAGAACCTGATGTTGCGAAAGATGGAGGGCACAAGGAGAAGGAGACGACAGAGGACGAGATGGTTGGACAGTGTTCTCGAAGCTACCAGCATGAGTTTGACTAAACTGCAGGAGGCAGTGGAAGACAGGAGTGCCTGGCGTGCTCTGGTCCATGGGATCACGAAGAGTCGGACACGACTAAATGACTAAACAACAACATACTTCAGCGAACAGATAACATGGGTTATTGAAATATCACCTATGGGTTGTTGGCAACAAGTTGTTGTTTTTTAACTTATTAATATGGAGGGTGGAAATACTGACAGGCATTTTGATGCCAACAATATCATGTGGATGTTGCAAAGAAAGAAAAAACACCCAGCAACCCTGGGATGTATCTGGAAAACCCACAATATGCACCCATTTGATGTAAGCACCTTGTGTGGATTGGCAATGCAGAAGGAGTCACAAGTCTAGTGATGGAAGATATGTTTGTTTCTTGATCCACACAGGCTGACTCACCCAAAGCTAATCTTCAAGGCAGTGGTGGTTTTCAAACCCCTTAGCAGTATTCTTGTTTGATCTTCCAAGTTTCGAAACGATCCAAGGTTTTTTAATCCCCCTTAGTACCAATTACAGCTTTGAAGTAAGGATAACTTAACGTGTTGTTCGTTCCACTCAGAAAACCACCACAGAGAAAACAGAACTGCTGGCATTACTAGGTAATCTTCTGGAAGGAGGAGGTTGTGCCGCAAACATGAGCTTGGTCATAGATGGGGAGAGGCAGTGTGGATCAGTGGGGTGGCTGCTTCAGTTTGAAGATGCTGAGGTCAGGGAGTGGCAGTGAGGTATTGGAGGACCTCCAATGTGTGCCACTCAGACTCTGTTAAACCAGCCTACTGTCCTCAGGGTCAGTGGAGGAGTAAGATTTATGTATGGAAGTGAGAGCTGGACCATAAAGAAGGCTGATCGCCAAAGAATTGATGCTTTTGAATTATGGTGCTGGAGGAGACTTTTGAGAGTCCCATGGACTGCAAGAAGATAAAACCTATCCATTCTGAAGGAAATCAGCCATGAGTGCTCACTGGAAGGACAGATTGTGAAGCTGAGGCTCCAATACTTTGGCCACCTCATGAGAAGAGAAGACTCCCTGGAAAAGACCCTGATGTTGTGAAAGATGGAGGGTACAAGGAGAAGGGGATGACAGAGGACGAGATGGTAGGACAGTGTTCTCAAAGCTACCAGCATGAGTTTGACCAAACTGCGGGAGGCAGTGGAGGACAGGAGTGCCTGATGTGCTCTGATCCATGGGGTCACAAAGAGTCGGACACGACTAAATGACTAAACAACAACAAGATTCAATGGTCAATACTGAAATAAGATTCAACAGCCAGCCATTGTAGCTGATGCCCATTGCAGGGTTGAAAGCAGGGAGCCCAACTGGGAGCCCAAAACACATTCTGCCCTGTATTCATCACACGCAGCACTGTTTCTTTTCCACTGCAGTCCTTCTTTGACCAACAGCTGTGATATTCGTCTCGCTGTCTGTTGTCACAAAATTACAAATGCAAATTGTCACCCCGTGTGCCACCTTGCCCTCGTGATTGAGGGGGCCCCGGGGCTGTGCAACGTCACCATGCCATGCATGCACACACACCCCAGTGTGTTCGCATGATGTCAGCATGCCGTGGGGTGTATAAGCATGCATGGCTGCCACTGAACTTTTTGGGGGGGGCTGGACCCCTGGACCCCCACTACTCCACCTGTGTGGTTGTCATTACAGTATTCTACCCCATTCATTTCAATGCAAAGGAAACTGTGCACATTGGGATGCAGGGAGGAAACGTAATCATCCCATATTGTTTGCAGACTGAAAGCAACCACAGCAGGGAATACTGATTGCATTCACTGGATTGATTTCCATTCTGGACATAGGATAAATAACCAAACGTCAGCAATTCCTACTCCTGTTTGCAGTTTTTGTCAGAATTCTCCAACGCCCTTACTTCAAAGGTAGGGTGCATATAGCATTGCAGCCTTAGGGTTCCTCTAGACCAGAGGTTGTCAACCTGGTCCCTCCAGCCCACTAGTGGGCGTTTCAGGATTCTAGGTGGGCGGTAGGGGGTTCTATGGCACAAGCTGAATCCTCCTTCCATTGAGCACTGGTGGGCGGTAAGGAAATTTTACCATCAAGAAAGATGCATCAGTGGGCGGTAGGTATAAAAAGGTTGACTACCCCTGCTCTTGACAATCTACTTACTGAGCATTTATTGTAATTCGCTTGCACAAAACCTGTGCAGAGGTTCGATTATATCTAGTCTTTATTGAGCATTCATTCTGATTTGTTTGCGGAGAGGTTATATGACAATGAGCATTCATTCTGATTGGGGGTGTTTCTATGTCTTCCTGTTAACCATTTTTCATTCCACACATTTAAATGCATTTCACGGTCACTTTTCTTTGACCCACTTTCACTGCACAACCCTAAAAATCCCTGGTATGTGCTTGAATCCGTCCCACAAAGCAGTGACAGTCTGGAGGCACCCTTCGTTAAATTTCCAGGACATATTGCCCCACCCTCCAAATACTGGAGCCACTTTTGTCAGAAGCGAAGGACAGTTGAATGTTAAGGCTTTCTTACCACACAAACGTTGAGCTTTTGCATTTCCTTATTACTCATTGCGATTACATGATTTGATGGCTTCCCACTGAGCTGAGGGAGAAAGAAAAATCCTACCGGTACCTTTTTGTTCCCCTAATCCAAACCATTTCAAATCTGCTATTAACTTGAATCCAGCTTTCTTTCCTTGCCAGAGAACCACAAGTCTTTCTTGATTTGGATTTGCTGACTAGAGAGAGACAAGCTAATTGCATATAAACTGGATGCCCTTAAAATGTCCCACCTGATCTGCTGGTCTGAACCAGCAAGGATCTTCTTAGGTTCTTAACTCCCACCATGGCAACCGTTGCCTCAGAGCACCTCAGTGATATTTGTATGCTGCTTTCTCTATGTCCTGTCATGATTTGGAATACCCGCTAAGGAAGGGGTGGGAAACATTATTTTTTTAAGTGAAGGGCTGCACCCCCTCATAGGAAATCTTCCATGAGCTGCACATTAGTGATGGGTGGAGCCAGAGGCAGGGCAACTCTTTCCCAGTAGCAGATGTTGCCCACTTTGACATAGGACAGAAGGAAGGGAGCCCCAACAGTAGGCAGACAACAGTTTAGGAACCACTATTCTATGGAATACCTGATCCTAGTGGCATAGCATGGGTTGCCAGTGCCCTGGGCCACGCAGAGGGGTGGAAGGAAACAAACAGAAAATGCATGCACATTCAATTGCCTAACAGCTTCTGCATCACCCAGGAGATCACAGCCACAGAGATAAGAAAAGAAGAGGCATTCCATTGTCTGCAGAGGTCACTTCCTGGTTCGCACAGAGAAGCCGTTTTCAACAGAGCCCAGAGATGGAAGCACAGAGCTGTGTTGGGGAGGCACCGGGTGCCAAAATTTTGCACCCCTAGCAATTTTGCAGCTCAGGTCAGGCTTTCTTAAAATGTTAGAAGTAAATTTTGAAGTGCAAGAGCTCATCATGACTGCACCTATAACCTAGGTGCGGGGAACTTTTTTTTTAAAAAAATAATTTTTATTAACCGGCCAATCAAATCAAATTAAATTAAATTACATAAATTCCGAATTACAAAGCCGAATTTTAAATTTTGTTGTTGAGGGGACCCATATTTCAAGATCCGAAGGGGGATTCTGATCATCTTCTTGCTACTGCTTTAATGTCCAAATCAGTCCAAATCAGTCCAAACAGACTTCATAATTCTATCCAGTCTTATCTTGCTGTTTCCACATCACATCTTGTTCATATATTTTCTCTTTTTCTTTTAGATCTCTTCTGATAGTCTCCTTAAGCCGATAAACACCAATAATAATCCTGTGTGAATTTTTCCGTTCTTCCAATCCTCAAATCGAGATGGTTTCCATATATCATCGCCTTCATAGATAACATCGCTCTTTCCACCATTAATTACAGAACTGTCGTTCTTAAGTCCCTCTGAGGAGTTTCACCCACAATATAAAAACAGCTCTATTTCTCTATTTCTCCTCCCAGACTTAAGTCCTCCGACAGAACTTCCCAATATGGCGACGGCATTTTTAACTGCGTCATTCCAAAGCCCTTATACATTCCACGCTCTTCTTAAAACATGCTTTGGTTCAAAAGTTTATCTCCACACAGCCTTAAATCCACAGCTTAAGTCCTTAAAACGACATTTCTGACTTGTGAGGGGAGGGGATTCTTGTTTAATCACATAAGGAAAGAAAGGAAAGTTTTTTTTTCCCTCCCCCATCAGTCATCAGTCCCTTTACCATACCGAGTCTTGGCGTATCTTCTCATAATCTATACTTGTTCCTCCGACTCGTCTTGTTTTATCAGAGATCTCTTCTGTTAGCAGTCTTTACTCCCCCTCCTTCCTTGAAATATGTGCATTCGCTTCATCCAAATTGTTTCTTTTGAAGTTCTTGCAACTAGTGGCGCGGATCAGAGACGGCGTCCAGGAGCGCCGAAATCCCACAGGAGGGCTTTGTGCCTAGTGCCCCCATCCCCACAAATTCGGGGGTGGTATAGGGCACAACAGGCAAGGGCAGTCCCCCCCACCATCCTGGGGGGGTAAAGGTACCCCCTGCCCGTACGGGCCAATCTTGCCAGACTCTAGGGTTGTGCGCTCATCTCACTCCACAGGCCAGGAGCCAGCGCTGTCCGCAGACACTTCCGGGTCACGTAGCCAGCGTGACAAGCTGCATCTGGAGAGCCAGCGCAGCACACGGAACGCCGTTTACCTTCCCGCTGGTAAGCGGTCCCTATTTATCTACTTGCACCCGGGGTGCTTCGAACTGCTAGGTTGGCAGGCGCTGGGACCGAACGACGGGAGCGCACCCCGCCGCGGGGATTCGAACCGCCGACCACGCGATCGGCAAGTCCTAGGCGCTGAGGTTTTACCCACAGCGCCACCCGCGTCCCCTACCCTGGGGGGGGTAGGGAGGCTAATTACTCCCATCATAGCCTCCAAATTACCTCGTGTGGGTCGGAGAGATGTTATTGTCAGCCATCCTCTGATGCGCCCCCTAGTGGCCCCTCAGGTGCGGGGAACTTTTGGCCCTCCAGAAGATGAACTACAACTTCCATCAGATCAAGCAAGCAAGGCCAATGTCCAGAGCTTTTGGGAGTTGTAGTTGGGAGTTGTGTGGGGCACCCAAAGGTGCCCCACACCTGCCATAACCCCACAACAGTTTTGTTGGAAGGGGTGTGGTCAGATCTGTTCTTACTTTCGTCTTTTATGGGGATGTACAACGGTACAGAGGGACCTGGGAACACAGATGCCGATTACTGCCAGGAATTTATCCGTATTAGACCAGAGGTAATGTTCAAAGTTATGCCCCTTCAGCATTTTGAACCTGTTGGCCATGGCTCTCTGCATAATGACCTTCTTAAGCAATCATATATAGTGAAATGGTGTGTGTGTGTGTGTGTGTGTGTGTGTGTGTGTGTGTGTATATATATATACACGTAATTGGAAGTCTCCAAAGCAACCATCTGCATAGCAAAGGATTAATAAACCTTGGGCGATTATGATCATGTGCAATCTTATTCAACAAGTGCAGCAAGCGAGGAATTCTTGTTTTAAAAATGATTATTACGATACTATCGTTTCCGTTTATTTATTATGTTGGGAGTCTTTCATATGCCACTTGAGTCCAGGTGCCTATGGAGGTTTCTGGTATGAAATATGCATGGCTTGATAAAAATGCTGTGGGTGCCACGGCCATCAAAAAAAGGGGTGCAACTCTACACCAGGGAGTACTGTCACAAAAAAGGACTTGGTGGGAAACCTTTGGCTCTCCATACGGTTTTGCACTGCCTCTCCCATCTTCCCTCACCATTAGCTACACTAGTTGGAGTTGACCAGGGTGCTGGAAGCCGGACGGCTATAGCAGGGTTACCAGACATCCCCATTTCCTGGGGACAGTCCATGGATTTGCGAATAAGTCCCCAGACAAATTTCATCCCCTGAATGCGTTGTGGGTCTTTAAAGACTTCACAAATTTGTGTAACCAAAACTCAACGTAATCCTTAAAAAAAAAAATCTGCTAAGTGCATTGTAGTTCACAAAAGCTCAGCCTTTAAAGGTTCAGCCTTTAAAGACGGGGCGTGGAACCTATCTTCCCCTCCCCAACAGGTGAACTCTTGACAGGTGAGCAGAACTACCCACCTGACCTCAGCTGATCGCAGTGACAGAACTTCAAGCTCCAGCGGGGGGGGGTGGAGAGCAGGTGGAGGCATGGCTGACGTGTGTCCCGGGGGCATGGCACGCTGCCCGCAGGGGCGTGGCGTCCAGTTGCACCCCACCAGGATAGTGCCGCCGGGGGCGGTGCACTCTCCCCGCACCCCTGTTCCTCTGCCAGTGGCTGATCAGCTGTGCCTGCAAATCTGTCTTTGGCCCTACAGTGTCTTTACCTGTGCCACACCCTACATCATACAGGGCACCAGGTGTAAAGCAGGGTGTGCCTTGGCCAAAATGGCCCGGTCAGCCAAATGGGGGAGATGCCTGAAAAACCTAATCAGATGTCAGAGGTTCCCCATTCCTGCTTTAAGGACATTTGCCGTAGTGCGAGATCAACATAGCTACTCCTCAGGGAGAAGTTTAGAGAGGTTATCTGATGAATTTTCCTTTTACTTCATACCACAGAGGAAAACCTGTATCTGAAATCCTTTGCCCTTCATCCATTTGGAACACAGTGGATGTTACCAGCTTAGAAGAAATCAGCTTGACACATGCCCAAGAGTTTTTACTCTGACCTCCTCACGATAGCACTTTATTCTCCTTTTCGCTATTGCATATTCATGATGCTTGCGATAATAGCAGATGCCACATTCCTCCCTCACGAAGGGAGTTGTGACAGCCTCCTGAGATGCTGGGAAACTAAAATTAGAACCGTTAAGTATCATCTAGAGAGAAGCACATGTAGATCACTTTTCTCTCTCCTTAAGAGACATGGGAGCAGGGCAGCACAAATGTTCTTACCCTAAAAAAAAATTAAAAATACATCCTTCACAGAGCTATGAGTAAGAACTCTCAGGTGATCACATGTAATAATTGCAGAGACCTTGGGGATATATCCAATTATTGGCAACAATTTATTAAGTTTGCATTAAACAAGATTCCTGATGAGCTAATCTTCCACCCCACGAGCACACAAAGGAGGCAAGGAACTCTTTTGTTCTTCAATCATTGGTTTAGACATATTGTTAAGGAGGAGTGGAAAGGGAAGTGTTCGATCAAAGAAAAAATGACAACCCCCCGCTTTTGTTTTGGCAGGCTGTGTCCTAACATAACTATTATTTTTTTATAAGATACAATCTCACACACAAAAATTTAGAACTAGGCTGGAGGACTTGTGGCCCTCCAGATGTTGTTGGACTGCCATGAGCCCCAGCCAGCATGGTCAAAGGTTTGGGATGATGGGAGTTGTATTGCAACAACAGCTGGAGGGCTGCAGGTTCCTCATCCCCAGTCTAGAACCAAGTTCCACAAGGTTTTGATGACTGAAGCATATCTTCCCTCCCCCATGCCCAGGAATTAGACACTCTCTAGAACAATGGTTCCAAAAATCCGCCCCTTCCCATGAACTACTTGAAAAATATTGAGGGTCTTGGCAGACTACTTTGATTCTTCTCTTTGTCTGTTGTAGCAACTATAATGCACTGCACTAGGTGCCCTATAATTTTTATTTGCATTTTCATTGCTTCTTTTATTTCTGATGCTGTATTTTACTGTATTGCACAATGTGAACTCCATAGAATTCATAGAATGTCCCATGTTTTTTCATGGTACACCAAAACAACAGCGTTATGTTAAAAAAAAGGGGTACTCTAATATTGACTCAAGAAAATCACCATTTTGTAGTTCAAATTGGGAAAAATAAATACAGTAAATGGACAAAAGTACAAAGATTCACAAAATGTTTAGGTGTACCACCTGCGTATTCCCAGAAAAAAGCACTGCATTTACTAACAAATAAGCTCCACTGTAGGCAGTGGGACATCCTTAAACTGAGTTGTCAAGGAAGCGGGGGTCAAGAGATGCAAGTAATCCTGATCCCTCTTCAAAACTGACCCTGATGTTAGTTTGTATAGATTAGAATTTAAGAAGAATATCGACAAGCTGCAATGTGTTCAGAGAAGGGCAACCAAGATGATAAAAGGGTCTGGAAACCAGGCCTTATAAGAAACAAGGCCTTATGAAGGAGTTGGATATGTTTAGCCTGGAAAAGTTGAGAGTGAGAGGAGAAACGATAGCCATTTTCAAATATCTAAAGGACTGTTACATGCAGGATGGAAAAAGCTTGTTTTCTCCTGCTTCAGAGACCAGGACCCAAACCAATGGATTCAAGTTATAAGAAAAGAGATTCTGATTAAATATCAGGAAGAACTTTCTGACAATAAGAGCTGTTCAACAATTGAACAGACTCCCATGAGAGGTGGAGGACTCTCCTTTCTTGGAGGTTTTTAAGTAGAGGATGGCTGTTGAGATTCCTGCATTGCAGAGGGTTGGACTATGACCCTCGGGGGGGGGGGGTCCCCTCCAACTCTACAATTTGATGATTCTATGATCTATGATTCTAAGACTGGTGAACTAAAAGTCAAGAGCCCAGGATATTAACTGAGAAACAGAAACAAGATATATGTATTTCTCTTTAAGCTTAAAGAGTGGATCACCCTGTCTTTCCTTTGACTGCTGTGGCTAATATGTATGTATACTTAAAACTTTAACCACCCCCTGGTTCTAGGGATGGAAGGAACCATGTTAAATTGAAAATCAGTATTGGTGTTAAAACTGAAACTCAGCATTGATACCATTGCATGTGAGGTTAAAGTACTTACCAAAATCCATGACATTTTTTGGTCTGTGTTGTTCATGGTTCAGATTCAAAGAAAAATTAGACATGGGTCAAAACTGGCAAACATTTTTAAAAACATTTAACTTGTGTGCATTCAGCTTTAGGAGCATGGCAAAAAAATTAAAAAAAATTAAAAGGAGGTGCAAAGGGGGCAGAATTATGGGGGAAATGACTTTGGCAATCCTGCCTGCCATTGAACCCCAAGGGTTTTGACTATACACAATTTTGGCTTTAGGCATAATCCCTGGAATGTAACCCCCATGCAAGTTGTGGGCTTACTATATATATAAAAATCTCCAAACCAAACTAAAGATTCCCCACCCAACCACCTAAGGCACCAAGACTGGCATAACCACAAAAGGAGACAAGAGCAAGGTCTGATTGTACAGGCTACAACGTTCATGAAAGTGCTTTGCACTTTACACTCAGAGAACCACAACAACTTAGCAAATGAATTACTAACAGAGCCATAAGATCGTATACCTCCTTTTGCTCCTCAATGTAGCCAAAAGGATGGTGAAGTAGTAGGAGACTCACTATTTGTGCCTTAAAACAGATTCAGGCTGCCGTTCTGCTAATGAGCACCAAGAATGACAAGGTGCATTTTTGAAGGTTATTGTTTATTTCATAAACGTGACACATGCTCCTAAAGCAGACCCAGGGGCTTTGCCTTACGCCACTTCTAAACTTGACTGCTGGCAGGTTGCTGTGTAGCATTACTGTGGCTCTTTCTTTTCAGGTTCACTTGGCTTTTCCTCCTTTCCCGGTGCCTTCTCCTCCTCCCTCACTTCTTCCAATTCTTCTTTTGTGGATTTTGTGTTCCTCCTTGATCTGTATCCCCTGTATGTGGCTTGAATTTTTGTAGCAGCCTCTTCTTCAGTTAGGCTCATAATACTCATAGCTGCTGGTGGTTTCTCCACTCCTCCCTCCTTTACAATGGAAAAGAAAAACAAATGTACATGTCTAAGCTTTGCCTTTAACCAGCTGAGGGGTTTGAAGAGCTATATAGCTCTCTCTTTGAAAAAGAGAGTGAGAGCTTTGAAAGTAACTCAAACCTCCATTATTCCAAAGGCTTTTTGGAAGGTGGTTTATGAGTCCTAGGGTGGGTGGGAAAACAAAATGCAACTTGTTTTGTCATTTTTTAAATATGTACTTTCCACAATATATTCACAGGACTATTTTTAGTGCTAGATGTTCTGTATGTCACTTGGGCAACTTTCCATCATTTTTTCAAAGGAAGTTTTGTCTGCTAAAAATGTGAGAATTTAGCACTCAGAATTTAGATATTACCAACTGTTCATCCTTGGGATGCAAGAAAAAAAAATCCCCTACCAGAAGAGAGGGGAGCAATGCCATAGGCTGCAGTTGCCTAATCTGTTTGCCTGCAATGGACAAAGGCTTCAATGTCATTCAAACGTTACAAAATACAGAGGGTACACTTCATCCATAGTTAAGAAGTTTCAAATCCCAGTGATTTCAATGGGTGAATAGAACAGAAGCTTAAGCCTGCAAATATCTGCACACCTACCTGGAAATAATCCCCACAAACACAGCAGGGCTTCCTTCTGACTAAATATGCATATCATCATCATCAGGGCTGGGCAATATACCAATATATTGTCCAAAACTGGCTTTAAGTCCATATCATGATACCAGTTTCATAATTTCTGACCTACCAATATATTGTGAATCATGTTGTGTGTGTGTTATGCAAAAAGTAAGATGCGAAGAAAACCATTAAGCCAGCCAGTGCCTCTACATAGTTCCAACCTTATTTCAGATATTGTGATACAGTGGTATAGCAGGAGATATGTTTATCCGATGGTATATCACGATGTTGAAAACCAGATATCATCCAGCCCTAATCATCATCCTATTTGTTGCTGCCTTTCCACAAAAAGAAGCATGCTTAATGTGGTTTACAACAAAGAAAAGAGTACTACACCTCAAAATCAACACTGCAAGAACAATTTCATAGTAACATCATAAAACAACACAACAGCAATTATAACTGCATGCAAAAAGCAGTATTTCAATAATAGAGTATAAATATAACAAGATTAAATTAACATTACACCTTCTAGCAACAGTAGAAATAACAAGGGAGAATGACAGTTTCACCTTAGCCCTATGGTGTTGCTCACACTGCAAGCCTTTTTCATAGAAAGCAATGGGTCTTTAAACACTTGGTTGGGCTGTGCCTACATTTTCCCTGATGGAACTTGTTGAACAAAGGTGTAACATAGCTCTCAGTGATGAGCTGCTCCCTTTGATTGCAGGTTCAGAGATCCAACTCAAACATCCAGGTGTCTTGGGGAAATGTTAGAAATAGTGCAGGCGTACGCAAACTCTGGCCCTCCAAATGTTTGGGACTACAATTCCAATCATCCCTGACCGCTGGTCCTGTTAAGCTAGGGATGATGGAAATTGTAGTCCCAAACATCTGGAGGACCAGAGTTTGCCTATGCCTGAAATAGGGCCAGCTGCCAATGATGTTGATTTCCAGAAGATTTCTATGCAGATTAGGGCAACTTGCTTAGGAAAATCTCCTGATGCCTTGGAGAGGACATGGGCGTAGCCAGGATTTTTTGGGGGGGCAGGCTTTATGTTAGGGGCAGAACTGAGTTATCTGCAATTGGTCAGTTAGTTAAATATTTTTATTTCTTTACTTGATTTGAGTGAGACAACTGCCCCCCCCCCCGCTACTTACATGGGAGAGGGAGCTAATTCGCAATGTTTATTCTACCTGTATTTAAAAGTAAGGACCTGACACCATCAAGCTTACCTAATATTGCATTTGCAACTGGCATCCATTCATAGTTACTAATTAATTTATGAAATGGGAAAACTTTCCATTGGAAAATTTTCTGTTTAATTTTTCCCACACCACATTGCCACTGTCTGCCACTTTATCCAAAGCAGATCTAGAGATGTGTTAACTGCTCTCACTTATGTGACTAGGCTAATTTCCCCCACCCACCCATACATTTCACTTCAAGTGAAGGATTTTTTTCAGTGGATCAGCAACTAGGGATTTGAAACTGGAATCCATGCAGGGAAGAGGAGACTCCATAGATTGCTACCGATGAGAGTCTCTGGGTTGTATCCAAAGTAGAGCTAAGTTGGTAAGTCACAGTCCTGTGTTCAGAAGGATTTCTGTTTGTGCAGCAGATTCTCCCCCCTCCCCAATCTGTTCTTGGGGTTCCCCATACCCTCTGGAAGGCACAGGGTGCACATGGTGGGAAGATGATGGGATGTTTTAGTTGGATGCCTCCCTCTGTAAAAAGCAATGGAAATTATTTAGAAAAGTGAAAAGATCTTGACAAATTGACTGTTGCTGCACTCTATGCAAAGATTACTCTGGCCTCATGGCAGCTTTTGAGCATGGCAAGGTCAGTAGTGATTTAGCTATGTAGCAAAGGGCTGAGAATGGTCTTCAGGTTCAAGAAAAGTACAGTGAATTCATTGAAAATTTCTTACTGGCTGTGCCTCAGATCCTTCCTTCTTCTCCTCTGCTTTATCACCACCTCCTGGTGGTGCAAGTTCCTGCAAAAAAAGAGGCTATTTTCAATGCACTTGCTTGCAAGAAGAGCACCAGGGTCTGGTGGTACAGATGATACTTAATTTAAGCCCAATCAAGGTGTAGGATGAGAAGGGTTAGGGAGTTGCTCACAATCATTTGGGTGTGAGGTTTTCTCTAGATCAGGGAACTTGTAGCTTTCCAGATGTTGTCAGACTCCATTTCCTCAACCAACGTGAGTCAGGATTGATGGGAACTGAAGTGTGACACCATTTAAGGTCACAAGTTCCTCACCCACAGTCTAAGAAGGGGTGGACTATGTGCCTTGATAGCCTCTGTGACCAAATCAACAAACACATTTGTTTTTTCTACCACCTTCCATAGTACTATCACACAATTGACACATTCAAGTGTTAAATGAGCACCTAGAATTATTTCTGAGCTTTTGATTCAGTTCAGGCATAGCAATTTGGGGGCGGTGGCAGATGTTTAACCTGCCCTTCCAAAGCACCACAGTGCTTCCTATGCTACTAAGCTGTCTCTGCCCACACCCTCTGGCCTGTTAGTCCCATCCCGTCCCCCCAATATGCCCACCATAAAGTAAGACTTACATTGAAGGCATGGTTATTGTAGTATCGGTCATCTATTTTTGCTCCCCATTCACATGGATCATAACCACTTTCTAAACAGAGTTTTGTAAAAGAAAATAAACACTGAATTATTTTATATAAAATAAGGGTCATATCCAATGCTGGTCACTAAAATTAAATAGGCATAGCTAACTTGGATCTATTGTTCTTGTGTGTCTAATCTAAGTACAGTTTAGTTGGGGACAAACCCAAAATAAGCTACCCATTCAAGTATTTAGAGTAGCAGCTGCAATGAAACGCAGGTATCAAGTAACATGTCTTGGTCTAGTTATGCACTTTCAGCTTTAGGGATTGTAGGATTATTTTTCTTTTAAAAATCTCTTAACTATTTATACTTACACCTGTGTACTTATATACAGCCAAGTGCAAGACAAAGGGGGAAGCAACTGCAAAATTCTCTATGGAGTTGAGTCAGGATTGTAAGTCAGAACACATGTATTTCCTTCCAAAAAAAGAGCAGAAACAACCAAGTATGATGGGTTATAGTAAATGAGTGAATGCGCAAAACAATGCTTTAAAACATCTTGTTTTCGACAGGGAAAAAGGGTCTGATAATGAAAGAAATGTAGAGTAAGAGCTGGAATGATACACGTCATGAAACATTTGCCCAATCTTACAGAGTTAAGGTATCCAATTTTGCATGAGTAAGTGGGAAGTAGAATGGTAATCAAGGACAGTTGGGTGGCAGAATGAGAAGTGACTATACTGGCTACTCATACCATTTTAAGTAACAGATGGTGCAAAAAGGAGTTAGTACATTGCAATCCTATGCACGTCTCCTGAGAAATAAACATTTACTCCCAAGAAAGTATCAATAGTATTGCAGCCTATATCTGTTTTCAGCAACTACTTCAGGTCCCACAAACTGAGAGCTGCTGCTTCATTTGTACTGCTTTAGAGGACCAACCCCATCTTGCGTACAACTGCTTATTCCCCTCTGTTGACCATCACCCATCCTAAGCAGACAATTTCCACAGGTACATTAATCACAGGCGGGAAACAATCTCAGTGTCCTGTGACCCAAACTCTTTATTTCTTTTTAGATGCATAGCCTGCTTTGGGGCTGGAATACACAAACAGGCTTAAGGCATTCATACAGTTCAACAGTTTCCCTTGAGACAGTAAAATATTTTTAAAAACATAAACAACAAAACAAATGCTCACAAGGTTATATTTCATGGCCTCAGACCAAGGAGATATCGGTTCACATATCCACCCAGCTACAAAGCTCACTGGGTCATTTTAGGAGAGCTACTCTCAGCCTAGCCTACATTACAGGTTGCAAGGATAAAGTGGGTGCACTACCTTGAACTCTTTGGAGGAAAAGTAGGATAGAAATGAAAGCCCCTTTAAAAAAATACTGAACTCAAGAAAAGGGGGGGTCAACACAACCAAGGTGGGGGGGGAAGAGTCCAGGTGATTCACAATAACAGATATATAAAGGCGTCTTCAACTCATGCGGCAGCTAGGCTGGTGACTGGGAGTGGCCACCGAGACCACACAATACCGGTTCTGAAAGACCTACGTTGGCTCCCAGTATGTGAGTCATACAGGCTGGAATTGATGGTAACAGGAGTTCAACAACAACTGGAGGGTGACGTGCTCTCTCTCCATCCCTGTCCTAAACATGACTTTTTAGACTCTTAAAAAGCAAACATAAGAAGCTTAGCCTGGCTCCCCATGTTTGGAAATATTTTTCCTGTCCCGCTTATGCAGACAGATCTGCACGGTGTCCTTAAGCTGCATAATAAAATCTGGCTTCACAATTTGTGTTTCGGGGCCAGGTGGATAAAAGGTGGAGAACTCACAGAACCCCATTATGAAACTGCTGATGCTGCATGCCCTATAAAATTAAAATAACCCTCCTGAGTGTCAGTCTGCGTAGCAACATCTACACGTATAGAACCAATTACATTCTGAAGGTCTGCTAAAGAACAGTGTATTTTGAAAGGAGGGTGTCATTCCAAGCAAAAAAGTGTAGGCTTCCACCTGCAGCTCTGAGGCACAACTGAGTATTGCCTCTGGGAAGAGGAAAACTAATTATATGAGATGGTAAGGGGTTCTTTCTCTTGCACCCAGAACATTCACTGCTCACTAACTTTCCTTGCATAACGCTATAAACCTTCTCCAAAAGTGTCATTTACTAGACATTTTAAAAACAAAGAAGAGGCCAAATAGCTCTGAGCTTCACTGTGAGTCATCCTGCAATTAAAAACACCACCACATGTTTGTAGCTTGGTCAATCAGCAAGACTGCTTCCTCCGGCCAGCTATTTTTTAAAAAATGCTTCGTAAAAATTCTCCCAAAGAACTAGGAGTACCACATTATCAAGAGGAGGCCACAACAACATGAAATTAATCATACTTGGCTTGCTGTCAAGTAGCTTCAAATGAAGAAAGGGGCTTCAAATCCATCAGGGGCTTTTTCCTTGCCTCAAGATGCAATCCTACTAACTATCAACACACTTTCCTGGATAGTACCTATATATAAAGTAGACAGGAAAGTCCTACACCTGCTTTTAGCAGAGGGTCAAAATGCAACAGTGTGTAAGAAACCTTCTATCTTGGGAAAGAGAAGTGTAAAGATGTGGAATCTTTGCTCCTTGTTCACAGAGCAAGCCATGTGCTCTGTATTTGCACACCAAATGGCCAAGAAGGGAAAGAGGAACATGTCTTCTCTGCACCCTTAGACTTCCAGTGCATTTTCTTCTTCCCATCCCACCAATCTAGGTTTCCCATGACCTAAAGAAAATGCCTCTGTTTGTGTAAAGCTAGCACTGGGTAGTGTCTTATGGCTGCAACCACAAACAGTAAACTTCCACATCTGCCCTCCAGATGCTATGGACAGCTTCAATCATCCCTAAATATTGAAAGACTGAGAGTGATAGAAGCTGTAGTTTAAAACATCTGGAGGGCACCAGTTGAAAAAGGTTGCTGTACACACTTACCTGGAAGTCCCACTGAACACAGTGGGACTTCTGAGTAACCATGCATAGGATTAGGTTGGTTTGGATCTTTCCTCAGGGAGAAGAATGTGTGCACATACACGTTAAACATATGTGATATTATCTCAGTTTATGCTCACTTTCTCTTTCAATTAGAAGAGTTTCAAAATACTTGGCTGCAAAGCTTGGTATATCCGCAGGCTGGCTCCTCAAGACTTCCCTGGCAAGCCCTTCGAGCAGATTTGCAAATCCTGGAGGAATGCGTTGAGTGGTGTTGGAGAATGGAATGGACATTGTCTCTCAATAGGTTTCTATCCCACCTGCAGCTTCATTAACAAGAGAAATGCATTATTTCTGTAGCTGAAAAACAGAATTTTTGTTGGTCTAATATATACAGATGTTACAGATATTACAACTGAAGTTATGAAACTCATACATTCCCCACCCACTGCATCATTTACTGAATGAAGCGTGAACACAAATGCCTACATTATACTTAAGACACAAAGAGCACAAAATAACAATAATCATCACTGCAATTTGCTATCTGATACTCTGGAGCTATCTTTACTCTGGGGCTGCAATGCCTTATTTATGAGATCTGTTGATGAAAAATGTTTTGATCAATCCGAAACAAGAACTCATTTAACCAGGGACAAGGTATTTAATTTAAAATAATTTTCTTTCAGGACCACAGACTGCACTTCCTTCTCTTTCTTACTATGAAACCAGAGAAGCCATGCCGGGGTGGGGGGGGAAGAGTAATTTAAAATTATTTTTAATACAGGTTCTTATATGGCAAGTGCCATATCAAGGCAAAATGCCCACAAATGAAAGACAAGAGATGTTCCTCTTCTAACATGATGTTTTTTGCATGAATAACCCCCCTTTTCTTCAAGAAATGGGGTGCAGCTAGCATGAAGGAAGGCTAGGAAGGCAGCCTCAGATCTTCCTGTAAGAGGAGGGACCTCCTGCCTCAATCCCAGATGACTTCCTGACTTCGTGGTGAATGGTCAGACACTGAGAGGGCTGCTGTTGTAGGCTGACCCTGGTGCAGGGCTGGGCCAGATGTGGTTCTTCAGGAATTTCTAGCTGACCATCAGAATGTCCCCAGCCTACACACCCTCCCTAGCTGCACCATCTGTAAATATTTTTCCCCTGGCTGGAATGTGTCCTTGAATACTGATGATGACTCTTGTGTGTCTGGATAGAGCATAGAGAGTGGGGTCTGTGAGTGTCTGTGTTGAAGCTAGCCTAAAAAGAGAGATGCAACTCTGCTTGAGGAAGAGTTCATTTATTAATTATATATCTTGTTGCAATTTATGAAAGTATGTATACTTTTCATGTTGCCAGCCACCTTGAGCATGGTTTGAACAGTGGAAAGGTGATATATAAATAAAATTACTGATGTATGTACACAGTGCTTTTTTCTTAAAAAAATGTTTGGGGGTACTCTCATTTTCCTACTCATATTGAAATACTGCCGCTCAATGATGCCAAACTTAGATTCACAAAATGTTTAGGGGTATGCATACGCCTGCATCCCCCCAGAAAAAAAGCACTGTTGTACATATGCTATGCTTGAATGCATCATCTAAACACAAAAAGTATGCTATCTTCCGCAGGAATCCCCCCATATGCAAATTTATCTGTTTATGTGATTAAAGTTCATACACTTAACTCACCAAGGTTTGGTTAAGTGGGCCCTACTTTTTACAGCTTGGGAGTACATATTTCCACTAGCTAATTGCAGTTCAAACAGATGTTTAAAAGCACAGCAAAGCAGTCAATACAAAAGTCAAAGATTCAATAGAGCACCTCTGTTTCTTCAGTTCTGCCATTAGAAATAAACTCTAGGATATTAAATGACAACAGATTGTTGTAAAGTTCTACTTATGAATTTAGTAGCAAGCAAAGTCAGGGAATGCAGGAGTTACAGCAGAGATAGAAGCCTTAATTCATTCTATTCAGTACATATTACACCTCTGCTAAAATTTCAGTTGCCTTTTATACAGTCACAGTTTACCTTCACAGCTTGAGCGAGGTTACAAATATGAGTTTGTGCACCTCTCATTACCCTAATGGATGTAATTAGAAGCGCAAGTACTCAGATCTGGAAACAGGAAACAAACTCATACATTCGCAAACACTTTCAACAGTGCAATCTTATACGTACATGTCTAAGTACTCCACAACAAGCAGAATTGGACTTTCTCTTAATTAAGTGTGTATAGGATTGCAATCCTGTGCTAACCACCTGGAAATAAGCACCACTGAAAACAGTGAAACTTCCTTCTCAGTAAACATATAGTAATGTACTGCTAATACGGTAACTGTGATTGCAATCAAACTATACTTAAGTCTCCTTGACCTCAATGGGTTCTGCATTCTGAGCTGCCTGCAAAGGATCAGAATGCAAAACTTACATGAATTTGTAATTTTTATTTGGGAAAATATTTTAAATTGTGGTATAACTACTACTGCCTGTAGCTGCTTGCAGTCCTGAGAACACTTACTTGAGAATAAGTTCCACTGAACTCAGTGGGATTTATACTCAAGTGAGTATACAGCTTTGGTCCTGTATACCTGAAGGAGCATCTTCCCCCTCATTGTTTAGCCCGGACACTGAGGTCCAGTTCTGAGGGCCTTCTGGCAGCTTCCTCATTGTGAGATGTGAAGCTACAGGAACCAGGCAGAAGGCCTTTTCGGGTAGTGGTGCCCACCCTACGGAATGCCCTCCCTTAGACCACTGAAGGCAGCCCTGTATCAGGAAACCTTTAATGTCTGGTGTTTTGTTGTGCTTTTCTTATATTCTTTTGGAAGCTGTCCATAGTGGCTGGGGTAACAAGTTATAAATAATAATTACTATTATTTCTATGTAAATATGCACAAGATTGAGCTGCAAACTGTGGATTTAGTAGCCTTACTGACAAAACAGACAGAAAAGTCTACATTCAAGGTTCAATTCAAAATGACCATTATTTTTAATTTTAAAACATATATTCATTCATTTTGTTTAGGATTCTAGGGCAATGTACAATTTACTGGTCACCATGCTTTCTTGTTCTATCTTTGAGATCAGCATAGAAATGTCACAGACATCTTTGGCCCCAGCAATTCCCCCAACTCAGTTTATTCTTGTCTATCTTTAACATGTTACCATTCAACATGGTTGATATTATTAATTTATGATTAATTTCTTAACCTCCCTTCACCATGAGGTCCCAGAGCAGGTTACCACAATCTAAAAATATATTAAAAGATGACTTGTAATAAGCTATACCTATTATTAGGGATTAGTGACCTGTTTTCCAATTCCATTATTTTATAATGATTTTTTTAAAAGCACTTCCTGGAAGAAGAGGAGCTGGGTCACTTCTAGACTGTCACTAATTTCAGGTGGAATTCAATCACATGCCAACAAATGTGAATAAATGTGCAATAAATAGGTCTGGAAGTGCCCTGAGTCTCCCATTTGCTGGGAATCTGCACACACAAACATAAGACAGATGCTCTGCTTTCAAATGCAAGAGTAACAATCCCTGGTTACTTCCACACAACTCATTCACTGAATGTTCATTTTGATCTTGATTTGTTTGCAAGGAGGTAACATGATGTCGCATGAAGCAAATTTAATCCCGTACTGGCTGAGACCCTACCTGCCTGCAGACTGTCTCGCCAGAGTGGTGCATGCTCTAATTATCTCCCACTTGGACTACTGCAATGCAGTCTGTGTGGGGATATCTTTGAAGGTGACCCGGAAACAACAATTAATCCAGAATGCGGCAGCTAGACTGGTGACTGGGAGTGGCCACCAAGACCATATAACACCGGTCCTGAAAGACCTACCTTGGCTCCCAGTACGTTTCTGAGCACAATTCAAAGTGTTAGTGCTGACCTTTAAAGCCCTAAACGGCCTCACCCCAGTATACCTGAAGGAGCATCTCCACCTGCATCATTCAGCCCGGACACTGAGGTCCAGCTCCAAGGGTCTTCTGCTAGTTTCCTCCTTGCAAGAAGCAAAGTTACAGGAAACCAGGCAAAGGGCCTTCTTGGTAGTGGAGTCCGCCCTGTGGAACATCCTCCCATCAGATGTCAAGGAAATAAACAACTATCTTTTAAAAGACATCTGAAGGCAGCCCTGTTTAGGGAAGTTTTTTATGTTAGAAGTTTTATTCTGATTTTAATGTTATGTTGAAAGCTGCCCAGAGTGGCTGGGGAAACCCAGCCAGATGGGCGGGGTAGAAATAAACTATTATTATTATTACTATTATTATTATTATTATTATCCAGTGCGTTTTCCCCCCCACTTTCTTCAGCGCAAAGAAGTCTCGCAGAGTTTATGAAATCCACTTTAAAGGCGCACCCTGAACTGGACCGCTTGAGGCGGAATCCCATCGGCCGAATTGCACCAGTGGAAGCACGGGGGGGGGGGGGGCGTGGATTCTGTGGACCTCAAGACGTTGCTGGACTTCAGGTCCCAGCAGCCCTAAAACAGAGGGGCCAACGGCCAGGAACAGCCGTAGACCCACTTATTCCCCACTGCCTGGGTTAGCCGCCCCTTCGTGTGGACGAGGCCCTCTGCCCATGCTCAGAAACACTCGTCCTCTCCCGCCCCACCTGAAGGTGACGTCACAAAACGGCTCCTCGCACTCCTATCAGTCTTATCCCACCTCGGCCTATTTGACTGTGGGGAGCGGGAGAGGAAGCGGCGGGAGCGATAACGAAACCCCACCTCTCGCCCCTTTTTCTCAACTCGCCTGAGAGAACCGAGAGAAAAGCTCTGCGTTTGTTGTTAGTTGCCTTGGCAACCCCAAACGGGACGGCAAGCGGGGAGGGACACAAGAGCGAACCGTTAGTGGAGCTGTCGGCTGGTTGCTCTCGCGCAGCCCCGGATTCGTTCTCCGAGCCAAGGCCCGCCTCTCGGATGCCCGGAGCCGCCCACCTATTGGACGACGGACCCGCCTTTCAAATAAAAGTTTCGCCCCCGCCCCCGCCCCCGCCGCGTCGGCCCGCCCACTCGAGGCCTCCGCTTATTGAAACTGCCTCAGCGCCGCCCTCGGGTTTCACCTGGTTGCCCGATTACGCGAGGGGAAGCTCGCGGCGTGGCCAGAGAAGGAGGCGGTGGCGAGGCCAAGCCTTTTGGCCGAAGCACGGGAGCCAGCGCTCCTGTCGCGTCTAGTCAGGGCCCATTGACTTGGGACTCTGCGGGGCGGAGCGGGGGTCGGCAGACGCCTCAGGGGTTCGCGAAGGCCTTACGCAACAAACGGCGGCGGCGTCACGCGACGGCCCCTCACAGCCGCCTCAGCCCCGCAACATCCGGGGATTCAGGGCCGCGGCCTAAGCTGCGCCCTGTGGCGCTCGGTAGGGAGCGGGCAGGTAGAAAGCCGCCGCCCGGTGCGCCCTGTTAGGGTGCCGGGGCTGCCCAAGGGAGGCTCGGGCGCCAGCTCCTGGTAGGCCGCGGGCTAACTCTGGGCCAGCCGCGCACCTGAGCAGGGATGTTGTGAACAATCCCATAGGTTGCTTCGGTCTTGGGGAGGAAAGGCCGGATAAAAATAAAATGCAAAGAGATTGTTCTGGCCGAAGGAGTTAAGAGGCTGTGGGAGCCCAAGTCCCCATCTGTCATAAAAGACTCTTGAGCCAAAATCATCCTGCGCCATAGTCTGAAGGTTCTGGAATAAAGTTGTTGAAGCCTTGGACTCTCCAGAAGAAAGGCGGGATATAAATACATGGTTAAATCAAGAGTAATGCTGACATATTTTACCCATTTGACATTATGGGATTTGTAGAGACAGTCGGAATTGCTATGTACCTTCATCCTTTGCTCAACAGACCATTCTTTGCTAATGGGTCCAGGTAATTTCTCAGGAGCAATTTCAGCAAGTGCTTTTTAAAAAACACACACACTATAAAATAATGGAATTGGAAAACAGGTCACTAATCCCTAGTGTACTGCAAGTAAGTATAGACACGTGCACAATAATAGGCTATTCCTGAAGCCCAAATTTGAGGAGTCCTGTATATATTTCTGGTAGGGATGCTAAGAGGCTGGGGTAAGAAATGTTAGGCTACGATACTGCAAAAGCTACCTATACCTGTCAGTGGCAGACTTGAATCCACATGGCTGAATAAAGCGGAAATCGTGTTATATAGCATTCCAGCTAGTGGAGGGCATTTATTAAAACGTGCATTGCCTTTTCTGTACTAAGCTTTCAAATGGAAATCTTTCCCCACCCCTTTTTTTTTGCCCCAGGTCACTTGTGAGATCACAAGGAACCTCGCCTCTTTAAGATAAACTGGCTGCTGGAATTCTGCACGCCCTAGAATCACGTGAAGTTACTTCCTGCTTTTGTTTGGTCAGAGGGGCCATGGCTTCTTCCGTGCTGCTTGTGTTGCTGTTGGTTTGGAGGGCAGGTGAGTGCGGAGGGCGGAAATGTCGTTTGCTAGGAGACATGTACACAAATGGGCTAGAGGGGAAATTTGAAACGGCAGCAACTGTATTCACATTAGTCACAGAACTTTCATGTTTATTCACCTTCCTATTTGAATCTCCTGATGTGAAGGGATTGCTGTTCTTTCAAAAAACAAAACTAATAGCAAGGACAGAGAGAGGTTTTTTGTGGGAAGCGTTGGAGCACAACAACCAGAACCGTGATTCCTAGCACAATAAAAAAATTGTGTAACTGTCACTTATTTTTCAGTGTAACTGTCACTACCCTGTGCTTTCAGCATTTCACTTTCCTCTCATCACACTTTTCATATTAAGTCAGGGGCTTAATATTAATAAAGCAGTTCAGATATTGCTAGCCGGTGACTGGAAACAGTTTTTTTGTTTTAAACTTACTGTATTTTCCCTGGATAGAATGTATCTGGATTAAGTGGGGATAATTTATGGGGTGGCCTTTTGATGTCAATATGGATGCTGGGGAAAGTTGCATGCAAGGTTTCAATAATAGGTTTATGTTTCTGTGTATCATATTGCAGATATCCAGCTAACCAGCTTCATCGGGTTTTTTGATGTGAATGTAACATCCCATACCATGCTTGCTTTCGTTGTGTTTAGTTTTTATGTGTTTGCCTCCTTAAGTTGTATTTTGTTATTTGGGTTATATGGCTAATAATTCAGTAAAAAATACTTTCACCAAAAAGTATATATATGAAAAAGCATCCTGGGGAGGGGTTCTCCAAAAAGGCAAAAGAAGCATGCATATGAAATATTTTCTTGAAATCTAAGAACAATTCAGGGTGAAGAAAAGTAAAAGGTCTGAGAATCTGTTCCTCTTTTCACTAACAGACTTGGCTTCCTTGACAACCTGATACAGACTGGCAGCTGTTTCTACAATCAGAAAAAATCTAACTGTTGATTGGCTGCAAAGCAGCCCATTTCCCACAGGAACATTCCAGAGAAACCCTAACTACTAACAAGAATGTCATGACATTTTGTGTTCTCCCAGGTGCTACGCTTCGTCTTGCCTCCTATTATGGCGATCATATGGTACTGCAGAAGCAACCAAGTCAGGCCGTCATATGGGGCTATGGGGATCCTGGCGCCAACATAATAGTGACTGTTTCTAAGGATCGCAGTGTTATGGAAAAAATGACAGACATTAAAGGTAAAAAAGGCAGATTCAAGTGGTGGCTTCAGAGCCAACAAAAAGCAGAACTGTAGTTTTTACACATTGCTTCCTTAAATTCTCAGATATGTTGCCAACAGATGTGGTAATGACCACCAGCTTGGGTGGCTGTAAAAGAGATTAAGCAGATTCATGGAGGATAAAGCTACTAGCCGTGGGGTTGCATCCAACTATGTATTATTGCTCCATGTTTTTGTTTTACAAACCACCTTGAGAATATTTTTAGATGTTAAAGGTGGCACGAACATATTTCATATAAACAAATATTAGCTTCAGTTTCGGAGGCAACAATTGGGATCACAATTTGGATCACAATTGGGAGAATGCTATTGTGCTTATGTCCTGCCTGTGGGCTTTCCAGAGGCATCTATAGGCCACTGTGGTCATGGCTCTTGGTCTGATTCATTTGGGTTCTTACATTTTTAAAGTATAAAAAACTTCCCCCACTGCCCAATCCTAACACACAGTCTCCTGAACGGCACAACTTTATTTGGCTTCTTTGTGCTTCAATTGCATACTTCTGTGAGTACCAGTAGGGTACAGGGATCCCATAAAGAGAGAATGTTTCTTGTGACAAAAGTTAAGCATTGATAAAATGGAGGAATTGTTGGTCCGAGATTCTGGCAATCTGTTGGCTTGGTTTAGGCATGTATACTTTCCTTGGAATAGATTCCATATGATAATAAGCCTGAGATCTTAGGTGTCCTTTTTATGTTGAGATTCGTAGAGACACCATTGATCCTTTGCTGAAGAGGCTCGCCGATCTTTCAGACAAGTCTAAACTTAATTCTCTCCTCTTAGGCAAAGATCCTAAAACGACCTGGCTGGTAGCCAGATTCTGCGCCTAGATTTGTAGGCACAGATCATCCTCTAGAATAAAATACCTTACTAGGGAAATGCTGAAATAGCCCTTTGGGGTGCCTCAGGGTCAATTTTTTATGGTAGCCCAAATCTCAGTTGTACAGATGTATGTATATATCTCAATTCTAATTCATGAGCTATTGCAGCAATCTGCTCCAATTGTATATTTTAATTTTTATGAACGCTGTTTTTATTGTGTTATGTTATGTGAGCTAGTCTTTGACCATAATAAATTATCTAGCTAAGCCTGAGATCTTTGTAAATTCTCTCCCCCCCCCCAAAAAAAAAGGCTCTGGGATCTGGAAAGTACTCCTGAGTCCTATGGCCCAAGGTGGCCCTTTCAATATACACATACGGCAGTATTGGATGGGAAAGGTATCAAATGTGACGTTGACGGATGTCTACTTTGGAGATGTCTGGTTTTGTAGTGGACAAAGTAACATGGAAATGACAGTTTCTCAGGTAAGCCGCATCACTATAGAGTGCAGCATATGCTCCATTGGGAGGAAAAGTACTGATAAAGGCCAAGTTCGGACAATATGCAAAGCCATGATTTCTGTTTCTTATGCAGGGGTGGGAAACAAATGACCCTATAGATGTTGCTCAACAACTCCCATCATCTCTGATCACTGGCCATACTGGCTGGGGCTGATGAGAACTGGAGTCTAACAACATTTGGAGGGCTAGAGGTTTCTACCCTTGAGCCAAACCTGAGCCTGCCTCCCAAACTTTGATTTGATTGTTGCTGACAAGTCCAGATCTGAAACCATGGGTTCAGGCTTTCTTTCAGGTTTGCTATTGTGTCTGAATTCACAGGTTGCAGTTAGGGCCATTGCTTTGCTTCAGGAGGTTGCTGCACATGCAAATGGGAATGAATTTGATAAGCTTACAGGCTGATGGCTAAATGTGTGGATTAGAAGACAACAGAAATATTGTGCTCTTGTGTTGTTCAGCCACTCCTCCGACTCAGTCAAGGGAGGGGATCCCGCCTTCTCTCTGGGCAGAGGGGATTGGGTGGGCTCGTTTGTCCTAGTTTCTGAGTCTCGCAATAGTGACTCCTGCTCCAGTCGGGCCTCAGGGACCTCATTTTCTAAAGTTGCTTGTTGTAGCTCAGTTGCCAGATCGACTCCCTTCCCTCCTCTGTTTGCTTCCATATCCTTCCCATGCCAGGTACGGTCGACAGACCATTTGTGAGTGTACAGGCTCTCCATGTTTCTTGTATCTTCTACTTTTGGTTTGAAATAGTATAAGATTTTGGCCTGGTTTTTCTTTGGGGGTGGGGGTTTGTGCAGCTTGTGTAAGAGAAAATCTCAGTTCTTTATAACTCTTTCTTATGAGTACCATCCCCAGACTAGATTTGGGTTACTTTGTCCTGTCCGTATATTTGAGGGCTTTGTTTTGAACTTTGCTTAACTGTATTTCAGTAGAATCTGCCCTGTTTCCTAGATATTCAATGCCAGTAAGGAGCTTGCAGAGGCTTCCCATTACTCACTCGTCCGTGTGTTTTCAGCCGGTCTTGTCCAGTCCGAAGTAGAACTGCAGGACCTTGCCAGCGTCAGCTTGCCGTGGTCTATTCCGACAGCCAGTAAGAGCCTTTTTTTTTTAAAAGCAAAACCTCCGGCAAACCATCTGAAGCAGAGGTTTTGAGTGTGTTCTGTCAAAAGCAGGCATCTTCTGTTTGTGGTTTGGCCGGTGGAGTAAGAGTTGAACAATTTTCCTTCCTGAACTGTACCATGGACTTCAAGGTAAAAAAAGACCTTGAAGATTTAGTTAATGGAAGCAAGCATCTCAAATATCTCTGCCGATCAACGGGCACTTTCATTCTGGCTCAGATACATGATGATCCACACAGCCTGCTACACAGTTTCTGAGAGTGGCCAACATTAGCTGCTTCAGCAGAGCATGTAGTAGTTCTTCAGTATTCCATTCCCTTACCTATCACAGCTGTACAATGGCTAATATATGAAAATACAGCAGCAGAAATTATTTTTGTAATACAGCATTTAGTTGTATTACATTTAGTTGCATTATTAGTTTGCAAGTTTGTATATGTTCTAAAGTTTCTTTTAACATTGCATTGAACAGAGAACCTTGGCCATGGAGACTTCAGTTACTTCTCTGCTGTGTGCTGGCTCTTTGGCCGGTATTTGTTCGAGAAGCTCAAGTATCCCATAGGACTGATAGACTCCTCCTGGGGAGGGACACCAATAGAGGCCTGGTCTTCCAAGAGGGCACTGCGGGAATGTGCAATCTCAGGATACTCTAAAAAGTAAGGAGGGTTAATGACAGTATGCTCTGTTCCTTCCAGCCGTGTTAGACTGGTTCCTCAGTACACTGAATGCTTTCCACTATTACAGAATATTGTGTGCTCACTGGCTTTGCAGCACCTCCTTCCTGTGCGGAAACAGCACACAAGCATCCACACAACCTGTGGTCCTGCAGATGGTGTTGGACTCAAACTCCCATCTTCCTTAACCATTGGCTAAGCTGATAGGAGTTGGAGTCAAACAACATCTGGAGGGCTGCAAATTTCCGTACCCCTGGCGTAATCCCATTTGGCACTAGAAAGGCAGTGCAGTGTGCCTGACTTGTGCCTAGTTTCTTACAGGTCGGATGAATAACCTTAGACCCTGCAATCATTATGATAGGAATGTAAGAAGAGTATACTTCCCCCGCCCAGAAGCCAACCAGTTACGTTTAGGAGGTCCCCAAGCAGGACACAGGGACATTAACCACCTACTTCTTTCCTCCATCACCTAGTATCCAGAAGCATGTTGCCTCTGATCCTGAAGGCAGCAGTGTAGCTCTCATGACTAAAAACCATTGATAACCTTATCCTCCATGAATTTGTCTTAACCATTGGCACATATTGTGGAAATATGGGGCGCGGGTGGCGCTGTGGTCTAAACCACTGAGCCTCTTGGGCTTGCTGATCAGAAGGTCAATAGTTCAAATCCTTGTGACAGAGTGAGCTCCTGTTGCTCTGTCCCAGCTCCTGCCAACCTAGCAGTTTGAAAGCACACCAGTGCAAATAGATAAATAGGTACCGCTGTGCCGAAAAGGTAAACAGCGTTTCTGTGTGCTCTGGTTTCTGTCATGGTGTTCCGTTGCACCAGAAGTGGTTTAGTCATGCTGGCCACATGACCTGGAAAAGCTGTCTGTGGACAAACACCAGCTGCCTCGGCCTGAAGCAAGATGAGCTCCGCACCCCATAGTCGCCTTTAACTGGGCTTAACCGTCCAGGGGTCCTTTACCTTTACGTTTTTTTATTGAGGAAACATATTCCATGACCTGGGAAAGCTGGTGTTTTCTCTTGGTTTAGTTCTAACATGGTTTAAAGGGTTCAGTCCTTGAACATGTTATCGGCATGAAAGCTTTTCTACAGTTTTGCTGTTTTATTCTGACAGTAATGAGAGAGGTGTATGTAACAAGATATTTGCACAAATAGGATGAGTTCAGTGAGGGGCATATTTTCTCTGAGGTGTACAGATACCATGACAAAATAAATGATGTTGCTAATGTATTCTACTTTATGAAAAACCATTGAAACATTTTTTTAAAAGAGTTACGTTTAAAAGCCTCTGGTAAGACATATATGACCAGGACAGCTTCAGAACAATGCAATAGCATAGCCTGAGCTGTGTAGGTGTGTGCTTAATCCTTCAGCACTCTCTGATCACAGATATTCAGAAAAGTGCTTCACCAGCCGGAAATCAAGCATTGGCTACTTGCTGTAAATTCTTTTCTAATTGGTCGATCTCATATGTTGCAGGGCTGCTTCGTTATCCATTGATTCTGGCCCCAAAGTATTATCGGTGCTCTGGAACGCCATGATTCACCCTTTTCTCAACATGACCCTCCAAGGTGTTATTTGGTATCAAGGTAAGTATTGAAGGAATGGGTTTCTGTGTAGTAAGTTTAAAAACTCACTCAACCCACCCCCCTTTTGTTCTTTCAAAAGAGAGCACTTTTAAATGCGTAAAACTTGAACTGTTGAGCAAAACCATAATAAGGACACAACTGCATAAACAGTTCTGTCCTTTATCAGGACAGGCAAGGGATGGCCTTGGCTCCCCAGGGGAACAACAAAAACACGTCAGAACTTTATCTTATGTTCTGACCACAAAATACGCACAAGACCAATGTCCGGGAAAAACGCCAAAAGCGTGTTCCCGGAGATTATGACGTCTTCCCAGATAAGAGTAGGAAGAGGAAGATCCTTTTATGGTCAGTAGTACAGGAAGGAAGATCCTTTTATGGTTGAGAGTACCAGAGCAGGAACATAAGTGATGTCAACCTGCGTATACAAGTTGACGTGGCTGGGGAAGGGGGAGAGGATGCCTGGAGGGTATATATACTGCATGAAACTTGTCACTTCTTTGGACTTGCTGTGGACTCACCACGCAACTGCCTTCTGCTATCCGGAGAGCAGAATAAACTCTTTCTTTGAACCAACTCGGTGTCATTTTGACTTCCTTCCTCCTGTCACAGAGCAACGCAGACCCAATCGGTGAACTCCAATAAGGCTACAGTATTAATAATAATAATAAAATTATTATTTATACCCCTCCCATCTGGCTGGGTTTCCCCAGCCACTCTGGGCAGCTCCCAACATCATCATCATAATAATAATAGGCAATAAAACATATAACATTAAAAACTTCCCTAAATAGGGCTGCCTTCAAATGTCTTCTAAAAGTCAGATAATTGTTTCTTTCCTTGACATCTGATGGGAGGGCGTTCCACAGGGCGGGCGCCACTACTGAGAAAGCCCTCTGCTTGGTTCCCTGTAACCTCACTTCTCGCAGGGAAGGAATCGCCAGAAGGCCCTTGGTACTGGACCTCAGTGTCTGGGCAGAATGATGGGGGTGGAGACGTTCCTTCAGGTATACTGGTAGACCCCACAACAGAGTTGAGCAGGCATTGTGTCACTATAGTTACCCCATCTGGGCTATTTCCTGCTTTGTATGCCCTACCACAGGTGAAGCGAACACCCTTATAGACACCAGTCTGTACAACTGCACATTTCCCGCACTCATAGAAGACTGGCGGAAAGGCTTCCACGAAGGGTCTGATTGGCAAACTCAGCGGTACTTTCCCTTTGGCTTCGTCCAGGTAAGTGGCCGTAGGGTGGTGGCTTGAGCCCTGAGCTATCAGCTTTGAGACAACTGCAGGAAGGCAGCACTTTGTGCAAGCAGCGGGAGGCAGTATCAATTTGTCTCCCATCCTAGCTATTTCCTACGTCTTGCACCACAGCCGAGTATTTTCTCACATCTGTCTTCAGACCTCAGCCCCATCCCCAATACATATTGTGTAGAACCACTCACTCCATGTCCTGACATGATCACATTGCGGGTTTCTCAACACCCTTCAATACTGCTGGTGGTTAAGTGATTCTACAAATGATGGAAGACAGGGTGGTAGGCTTTGGAATGTGGGTGCCATTCTTAGGAGCAAGCTTGAGTCTTGGATAACAGAGTAATTCAGGTGAATTCTTTGTGTGGCCTTACATCTCCAATGTCTTTCCTTAGCAATATGACAGTTGCTGCCTTTGTCTATGTCTGTAATGCAGAAGCAGCCTGTGGGTCTATTGCAGCCAGCCGAGTCGCCTGCCCGTTCATGATCTGGTGTGTATGTGATGTGTGTATGGTTCACAGTGTGAGCATCTATGGAGTAGCCATCACCACCACTGACATACCCTTCCCACAGGGTATGCAAGGTGGTGATGTGGTCCTCAAGTCTGGAATACCTAACCACCCATGCTGTAAAAACTCTCCCTTCTCTGTATCCTGGATCAGAATGCAGGTTCTGGGTCTGCTGCAAGAGATATTTCCAGCAGTGGTTCCTTTTCCGCTGGCCTGTATTGCTTCTCCCACCACTGCCATTACTTTGATCCCAAAATGTGTAGGTGTCCTATTTTCCACACTCCGTATGTTTCTGATGGGCAACATGCACACTGTTTGCTTAGAGTTGTTACTCTGATTCAACAGGCATGGCTTCCCTTAAAGAATCTTGGGAACTGTAGTTTGCTCAGGGTACTTACCTCACAGACCCACATTTCCCAGCAGCCTTAACCATCAATAACTCCCAAAATTCTTTGTGGCTGCTAAAGTGGTATAAGAATGCTTTAGATGTATGCTGTGGGTGCTGTCATTGAGCCATGTCTGTCTGCAGGAAGCACAAACAAAAATAATTCTATGACATCCACAGCTGGAGATAGGTTTCGTCTCAGAATATCAAATGTTGTTCTGTGTTGCAGTTATCTACAGTTCGCTCTGTTGAACATAATGACAACTTTGCACGTATCCGATGGCACCAAACAGCAGACTATGGCTTTGTCCCTAATAAGAAAATGCTCAATACTTTCATGGCTGTGACTATAGATCTTGGTGATGAAAATTCCCCCTATGGAAGGTAAAGATAGCCCACTTTCTTTCTTCGTCCAAACCCGCCCAAACCATCCATAAAGATTTTCAGGTAGCCAAATCTCTTCTATAACAGAAGGCATCTGGAGATGGAAACCTTTGCCTCTTATTGGCCAGGAGTCTAAGATGACCTAGAATCTACACCGATGCTCTTCAGACAGGTGGAGGGAGGAGATGGGTAGCCTGGGAGGCAGAGGCATGATGCGGGGGAGAGAGGGAGGAACAGTGGAAGGAGAAACGGGTACAGCTGCTGCCATACATGAGAACAGCTGCTGCCCCAGCTGGGTCTGGTCCAGCTGCTGGCAGAATTCAGCAGCTAGACTGGTGACTGGGAGTGGCCGCCGGGACCATATAACACCTGTCCTAAAGGATTTTCATTGGCCCCCAGTGTGTTTCTGAGCACAATTCAAAGTGTTGGTGCTGACCTTTAAAGCCCCAAACAGCCTCAGCCAAGTATACCTGAAGAAGCATCTCCATCCCCATCGTTCAGCCTGGACACTGAGGTCTAGCTCCAAGGGTCTTCTGCTGGTTTCCTCCCTGCGAGAAGCAAGGTTACAGGGAACCAGGCAGAGGGCCTTCTTGGTAGTGGCACCCTCCCTGTGGAACACCCTCCCTTCAGGTGTCAAGGAAATAAACAACTATCTGACTTTTAGAAGACATCTGAAGGCAACCCTGTATCGGGAAGTTTTAAATGTTTGATGTTTTAGTATGTTCTGATATGTGCTGTGAGCCGCCCAGAGTGACTGGGGAAACCCAGCCAGATGGGCGGGGTATAAATATTATCATTATTTATTACACATAAGACAGGGAAGTGGTCAATGTGCAAGAGAAGCACGGCAGAAAAGGTAGGAGTAGATAGCATAAGGATCCACCTTAAACTGAGTCAGCCATTGGTTCATCTAGCTCAGTAGTGTCGAGTGATTGGCGGCAGCTTTCCTGAACTTCAGACAGTACTCTGTTCTAACCCTGCCTGGGAATACTAAAGATAGAACCCATGATCTATTGTGTGGTATCCAAAGGACTTGTTCTGTTAGCACCCTATACCCTCAGATCTGTTCTGGAGGGTATGGAGAACACTCAGAACAAATAAAGGAGGCATGTGTGAGGAGGGGGAAGCTTCATTGTACAAGCAGAAATCCTTGCCCATGGAACTACTTGCTTAGCACTGCAGTGGCTATAACACTGAGTTATGCTCCTTCTATCTAACAGTAGATAGAAAAAGACAATCAGCTGAGAGACTGCATCAAGGACTTGATGAAAAAGCTTTCCATAGAGTTTGTTGATTGGTTGCTAATGGCAGCCTCTAGGAAACTGGATTAAGCACTTTTGCTGTATTCTTCCATGTACTGCATAACTTGCTATCTCTTCGAGATTTTTAGGGGGAGAAAGGAATGACAAAGAGCATGGAGAGAGGGGCAGAGCCAAAGGATGGAGACTGTATAGAGATGGGGGTGAGGAAAAAGAAGACTAGGGACAGTGGCAGTAGATGGACAAATAAGAGCTATTGCGGGGGGGTGGGGATTGCTCGATCTGTTGCCCTCCTTCCTCAGACAACTGTTATGAATCTCAACTAACACAATTGTTCTCAGCTAGCATAACGTTTCTCTACATCCATGAGAGCTAAATGGGATTTTTATGAGAATTGGAAAAAATGGTTGGTTTTGTGTTTTGCACCCAGTACCTACCTTAACTCAGTAAATCTGCAGGGCTGGGGACTGAACAGAACCCCAGTAGTAATCTCCTCCTTTCTTCCCTCCCACTACTACTTTCCCTTGCTTTGCAGCATCCATCCTCGAGATAAGCAGACAGTGGCCTCTCGATTGCTCCGTGGTGCCTTGGCATTAGCGTACGGTGATAAAAGCATCGTTTTCCAAGGCCCATACCCTGAGAGAGTAGAGGTGGATGTAGCCCGCAAAAGTATCAATGTTTCCTATAAAGGAGATATCCTGCTTCGCCGCTTGACCAATAACACGTTTGAGGTAAGAACCGCAGGGGAAAGGGGTACTCTTTCTGCCATGTACCATGTGGGGAAAACACAGAGTTGTGCTGCCCATTAGACAAGCCGTTCATTCATCCAGTTTACTCATTCCTGAATCCAGCAGCACCAGTCTGGTTTGTGTCCCATAAGAAAGAACAGACTGAACGGATGTGGACCTGCTATATTTCTATCCTTTATGTTTTTACCAATTCAGATAGCAATATTAGATGCCAGTATTATATTATTCCCCTTAACTGGGCTTGTAGCAACTTCAGGAATGGAGGAATAGGGTGACTAAAAACCAATGGTTTTTTAAAAAAAATAATAATAAAATTGATTTTTATTTAAATCGGGTTTTTAAAAAATAAAATGCTTCTGGAGGAAAAATCTTTCTAAAGATAGTTCTTTATTTAAGTTACATTATTGTCCAAAGGCTATTCATCAGGAAATAAGGATTTGTTTTAAGTTTTTCCTGTGTGCTAAAACTCAGTCTAAGTTTTCTTTTAAAAAATTGTTTAACCACATCAATTAACAAACATGAGTACATCTGCTATAATGTTATTGTTTTAGTTAAATAAATTGTTTAAATTGTTATTAAGGAAATCATTATTTTTCTCCTTCCAATAAAGCACAGCAGAAAAGTTGTCCAAATATAAACAGTTAACTTATTAAACCTCACAATAATTTCCATAATTATCTGTCTGTGTATTTCTAATAGTATAACCAAATCTGTAATTTTTGATACAACTGTAAAAACTATTCTGAAAACTGATTATTCCAAAAATGAAACCTTCATCTGGTTGTAAATATTAAGATTATACCAGCAAGAATGAGTCTTTCTGTAAAAAAAGAAAGAAAAAGATTTAAATCAAGTCTTACTGTCTAGTGATTTAAATTGTGATTTAAATCAAATCCACCCTGGTATTAGATGAGGAAGACAACATAGTGGGGAAAGGGTTACATGCGCTCTTGCCTAGCACTGCTGCTCCTATCTAATTTCCATTCCCCATTGACTGCTTTGTGGTGGGGGGCAGATCAAAACATCAGCATGCCTGATCATGGCTCCACTGAATAATGTGTACTTTGGCCCAGAGTCTGGTGCCAAGTGCATCTTCCACAAGCTGAAAAGGAGCTACATGTGTGGAATGACTCTACCATTCTAGGGCTTTAGTTCCTAGGGCTTCATCTGAAGCAAGTTTGGGTAAGTCCTCTATCTCTCTCTTTGGCAGGTGTGCTGCTCTGCAGAGTCATTGTGCCATTGGAGCCCAGTATCCATTGCTACCAGCGCTTCCCACACAGTGATTCTGCACAACCCAGAGTGCCCAAATAGCACCGTCGGCCTCCGCTACGCGTGGAATGAGTGGCCATGCGACTACAAGCTATGTCCCATTTACAACACAGAAGGATTGCCTGCCCCTCCGTTCATCACATTTTCGCAGAAGAACTCTGGTTGGAATATATCGTGAGCAGAAAGATGGGTGGACAGTCTTATATTTTGGCCTCACAGGCTGCCGTATGAAGTTCAGAAAAATTGTAGTGGCAGATTATGTTTCACCAGGCCTTTGGTCAGGGCGCAGCCTGACTCCCTCCTCTGGCAATCTGCACAGAATTTTGCTTAATAGTTGCCATCAATTTGATTTTAATTAATTTTTATATTGAAATGTTTTTAGAATGTTGGCTTATTTGATTGTTGTTAGCCGCCCTGAGCCCGGCTTCGGCTGGGGAGGGCGGGATATAAATAAAATTTATTATTATTATTATTGTTATTTATTATTCTCTGACAGAGAGGGGGGAAAAACCTTAAAATTGCGGGTTGTGGTTGCTTCTCAGAAAAGATTATATAGAAGTTGCCTCTGGGGAACTTTCATTGCACTTAGCACTTGCATGAACCTTTAATGGTCCCTTCTTCACTGCCTGCTCTGAAGTTTTGCAGAAACCGCATCATCTTGGTGAAACAAGGCAAACTTGCTCAAAATTCTCTCTGTGCAGCTGTTCAAAGGAAAAGGCCTAATTTGGACCACGGCTTCGGACTAAAGCAGGTGTAGCGCAACATAATACATTTGTTTGCTACTTCTAGAACATAGCTGAGTTGGCTCTCATGGGGACTCTCTTGGGTTTCCCCTGCAGCTTTTGTTCCAGAACTACAATAAATTGTTTCACCTGGAGTAACACATACAACTCTGTTCCACGTAGGTTAAATTCTATATTGAAATTCCCTAATTTTGTTACCAGGCTTCTACTTTGAAAAAGGGAATACAGTAAAGTTAAAAGGTAAAGGACCCCTGGGCAGTTACCGTAAGTCCTGTCAAAGGTGACTATGGGATTGCGGCGCTCATCTCGCTTTGAGGCTGAGGGAGCCAGCATTTGTCCACAGACAGCTTTCTGTTTATCTACTTGCACTGGCATGCTTTCAAACTGCTAGGTAGGGAGGAGCTGGGACTGAGCAACGGGAGCTCATCCCGTTGCGCAGATTCAAACCGCCGACCTTCTGATTGGCAAGCCCAAGAGGCTCAGTGGTTTAGACCATAGCGCCACCCACATCCCCTGCCCCCCAAGAAAGGGAGTATTAGTATTTTTCTACTTATCACTATGAAAATCTTTGGCCACAGCCAGAAGCTATGGAAGTTTTTCCAGTAGAGGATTGTGATAAACTTGATTGACTTCACCACTTAAGTGGAACTTATTGCATGTCTGCTTTAGAGAAACAGAGAGCCAGCCTTTTGACTGCTGTGATCCCTGAATGCATCGTGTAAACACAAATAAAGTCTTCTGTAGAACTTCCCCCCTCTCGTATGTAGATATTCATATACACTTATGTTATTAAAACTCATACATTTAACTCACTAAGATTTTGTTAAGCGGGCCCAACCTTTTTACAGCATGTGAGGTTAAATATTTTCTCTGGCAAATTGCAGCAGTTTAAACAGTTCTTTTCAGGCACAGCTTAAAGGAGTCAGTTCAAAAGTCAGAAATATAGGACTTCGGTTTCCTCAGTTGTGCCTTTAAAAATAAAATTTAGGAAATTAAATGCCAACAGTGTATTGTTGTAATGTTGTACTTGTGAATTTAATAGCAAACAAAGTCAGAGAGTGCGGGAGTTAGAGATGGCCACATTCATTCTATTCTGAGCGTATTACACCTATGTTAAAATTAACACTTGCCTTTTTATACAGTCACAGTTTACTTTTGCAGCTTGAGTAAGGCTACAAACATGAGTTTGTGCATTTCTCATTACCCTAATGGATGTGTTTAGAGGCGTAAGTACTCCGATCTGGAAACAGAAGACTTAACACACGTTATACATTTGCACACACAGTTGCTAACCTATACATACCTCCATAGAAAGTAGAATGGGCTTACTCTCAGCTGTGTGTATAGGATACCAAACTTTTGTTCCCTCCATAGAAGTTAGCACCACTGAACATAGTAGGACTTCACAGTAAACACTATTATATAAATATAATTGTGATTGCAATCAGAACTTTCTGGTGATCACACCACAAAATATACATGATTTTTAACTTTTATTTTGGAAAATATTTAAAATTGTGCTAAAACTGCTGTATGCAATCCTGAGAGTAAGCTCCACTAAACCCAGTGGGACTTATTTCTAAGTGAATATGCACAAGATTGAGCTGCAAATTGTGAATGTGGCAGCCTTATTGACAAAACAGACAGAAGATTTAACCTCAGCAAATCCTGACTCTGTGATGTGTGATAAATAACAAAATAAAGAATGAAATAGTTAGCAGTGGAGCCAAAATGCCCCAAAATGCAAAGGGCACAGCCAGCTCAGAACTTATGGAAGATAAGCTGAATGACCGTTACTTTTAAAACATGTATAGGATTCCAAAGCATTGTACAATTTAGTGGGCACTTTAATTAACTTGTTTAACGGGCTTCTGCATAGAAATGTCACTGTATTTTCACACTTTGATCCTAGCATTTCCCCACACACCCGTTATGTTCCTCTAATGTTTACATGTTGGTGTACAAAGTGGCACACTATTCTTTGTTATTATTTATTCTTCATTTCTTAACCACCCACCCGGGTGAGGTCCCAGAGCAGATTGCAACAATTTAAAACAACAATATTAAAACAGGTTGCTGTATTTATAAGGATTGTCTTATAAGGTATTAGTGACTTTATTTCTCAAATCCCTTATCTAATACTTAAGTGTTTATACAATGCTTGAAAGGAGAGGAGCTGGGAGAGCTTCCAGACTGTTACTAATTTCAGGTGGGATGCAATCACATGCCCACAAATGTGAATAAATTCACAATACAGCGGTACCTCAGTTTAAGAACAGTCCTGTTTACGAACGATTCGGTTTACGAACTCCGCAAAACCGGAAGTAGTGTCCCAGTTTGAGAACTTTACCTTGGTCTAAGAACAGAATCCAAACGGTGGAAGGGCACCAGCGATGGGAGGCCTCATTCGGGAAAGCGCGCCTCGGTTTAAGAACCGTTTCAGTTTAAGAACGGACTTCCAGAACAGATTAAGTTCGTAAACTGAGGTACCACTGTAAATAGGTCATCTGGAAGTGCCCTGGACTTCCCAATCCACACACAAAAGCATAAAAGACAGGTGCTCTGCTTTCAGATGCAAGAGCAACAATCCCTGGTCACTTCCACACAACCAGTTCACTGAATGTTCATCTTGATTTGTTTGCAAGGAGGTAACAGGATGTCGCATGAAGCAATTTTAATCCTGTACTTTTCAGTCCAGTGCGTTTCCCCCTCACTTTCTTCAGCGCAAAGAAGTCCCGCAGAGTTTATTAAATCCTCTTTAAAGGCGCACCCTGAACTGGACCGCTTGAGGCGGAATCCCATTGGCCAAGTTGCAACAGTGGAAGCACCCTGGGGGGGGGGGCAGGGATTCTGTGGCCCTCAAGACGTTGCTGGACTCCGGGTCCCAGCAGCCCCAAAGCAAAGGGCCAACAGCTAGGAATAGCCGTAAACCATGGGTAGGCAAACTAGGGGCCAGATCCAGCACAATCGCCTTCTAAATCCGGCCCACGGATGGTCCGGGAATCAGCGTGCTTTTACATGATTTACTAGAGCCAGGGCTTTTTCGGCTGCGGCTCCAACCTGGTGGAACACTCTGTCACAAGAGACAAGGGCCCTGCAGGACTTGACATCTTTCCGCAGGGCCTGCAAGACAGAGCTGTTCCACCAGGCCTTTGGTCCGGGCGCAGCCTGACTCCCTCCTTTGGCAATCTTTACAGATCTTTAGTTTATGGTTGCCATCAATTTTGATTTTAATTAATTTTCATAATGTTTTTATAATGTTGCACTATTTTAGTGTTGTTAGCCGCCCTGAGCCTGGCTTCGGCTGGGGAGGGCGGGATATAAATAAATTTTATTATTATTATTATTATTATTATTATTATTATTATTATCATTATTATGAGTAGAATGTGTGCTTTTATTTAAAATGCATCTCTGGGTTATTTGTGGGGCACAGGAATGGGTTCATTTCCCCCCAAAAAATATATAGTCTGCCCCCCCACAAGGTCTGAGGGACAGTGGACCAGCCCCCTGCTGAAAAAGTTTGCTGACCCCTGCCATAGACCCACTTATTCCTCACTGCCTGGGTTAGCCGCCCCTTCGTGTGGATGAGGCACTCTGCCCGTGCTCAGGAACGCTTGTCCTCTCCCACCCAACCTGAAGGTGACGTCACAAAATGGCTCCCTGCACTCCTGTCCGTCTTATCTCCGCCAACGACAACTAGGGTTTCAGAGTGGGCAGGTACAAAGCACTGGGCCGGTCGCTTACCTGAGCCTGCCTCTCAGGGTGGTGACACTCTTTAACACGTGTGTGTGTTAGCACGTTTGAAACTAGCTGCGCTTGTTTCTCAAGATGCCTGCTTTGGCCACGGTGATAACATGACTTGTTTACATCCCATTTAGAACCCCCCTCTCCATGGGGTTGCCATTGAAAAGCCCTTGGAAACACTACGTTGCTGCCGCCAGATTGCTGATGAGCTGGTTATACAGAGGACAGAAAATACTTGTTAGAATGGCTCCACTGGCTATCAACATTTTCTGGCACCATTCAATGTTCTGGTTATGACCCACAAGTCCCGTTTATGGCTCGGGGCACAGGCTACCTGAATAACCTTATTATTTATTTAATTTATATACCGCCCTATACCCGGGGTCTCAGGGTGGTTCACAGAATAAAATCAAGATATAAAACCACAAAATACATAATAAAAATAAAAACAACAACCTACTAGCCCCCCAATTTTTTTTAAAAAAACGGCATAGGATGTAAATCCTTACTTACTTACTTATTTACTAATTAATTAATTAATTATACTGCCCTTCATCCGTAGATCTCGGTGTGTTTCACAGCATAAAATTACAAGGTAAAAAAACAAAAATACATATTTAAGAGAAGAACAGGAAGAAAGCAAAACAAGCCAGCTACTTTGATGCTCTCCAGCACTAGTATATGCTTTTTGAAATGCATATTTGTTTTCAGACAGGCTTTCTTCAGATTGTTAACATTCACTGAATGTTGGGCATTCATTATGAAATATATATAGAATCTACCCCCCACCCCCTCTATCTTTGATCATGATTGTTTAAGTTCATTTGTCTCTTGAGTAAATCTAAAGTATAGGTCCGAGGCAACTGCAATCAGAGAATCGGGGGGAAACGTCCTGGATGTGGGTCGTTTCCCCCCAAAAAAGCATGCATATGTCCTGAAAGAGATTTCAATACTCTAAAAACAGTTCAGGGAGAAGAAAATGTCGGACTTGGCTTCCTTGGCAACCCAATACAAACTGGCAGCTATTTATGCAGTCGGGGGGGGGGGGAATCTAACCGTTGATTGGCTGTAGAGCAGCTCATTTCCCACAGGAACATTCCAGAGAAACTAGTAACAAGAATGTCATGACATTTTATGTTCTCCCAGGTGCAAAACTTCACTTTGCCTCTTATTATGGTGATCACATGGTGATGCAAAAGCAACCAAGTCATGCCATCATATGCAGTGCCGGATTTACGTATACCACAGCGCCACCCACGTCCCTAAAACAGGTGTAGTGCAACATAATACATTTGTTCATTGCTTCCAGAACAGAGCTGAGTTGGCACTTCAAAGGACTCTTGCAGCCTTGTTCCAGAGCTACAATAAATCGTACCTCATAGAGTAACACATATGCCCAGGGATTTTTCTCAGCGAGAACTCACAGGAACTCAGTTCTGGTTCCTCTCAGGTGGGTGCCTTTTCCATTATAACACAAGGGAGGTGTTCATGGTGAGTTCCGGCACCGTTTTTCCTAGAAAAATAGCACTGCATACACCTCTCATTGAAAAAGCATTAAATGTATGCTGAAATGGTGAAAATGACCAGGAGGATCAGAAACCAGGAAGATAAGAACTTTAATAAGGAATGGGGGAAATTTCATAAGTTACCTTGGAGAACACTGCAAACAACTAAATACATTGTTATAACACTTGTAAAGTAACAAGAACTATGGCAAAAATGAGAGTTTCTAAGAAAAATGGAAGAAATTATAAGATGCAGGTGAAAAAGATTAACAATGGAACCCATTTAGGGGGGATGGAAGTCTAAGGATATTTCAATGTAAATATTTTTTGTAAAACTGAATATATATTTTTTTAAGCATTAAATGTGTAGAGTGACTCTGTTCCTTTTGAGTTGTATTGCGTATTGCAATACCCTAATTTGTCAATAGGCTTCAACTTCAAAAAGGGAACATTAGGATGTACATCCCTTTCTGTCACCATGGGGGGGAAACCTGGCTGCAGCCAAAAGCTGTAGAAGTTTCTCCAGTAGCAGATCCTGAGTAACTTGACTTCACCACTGAAGTAGAACTGATTGCATGTCTGCTTTGCAGGAGCAGAGAGCCAGCCTTTTGCACGCCAAAGAACTGTGACTGTTCCTGTTGTGCTAACCAGAGCAGAAAAGAAGGAACAGCTTGTTTTTGTTGCTGGGTTCATTGGATTTGAGCAAATACACGGACTGCTGCTGAGTAAGGTGTTTGGAGGAGCAGATGCACAGCTTAAGGATAGCATGCAAGCAAATATGCTTTGGTTTATTTCCCTTCCGCTGTCTGCTCTTGAGATCAGCGTTAAGTCTTGTGATCGTGCGTGTGAAAAAATCTCTCGGATTTTATACTTGAAATCCCCCCCCCCAAAGTCCTCTTGGTTATTTACCAGCGATAGGCTATTAGTTATGTTTAAGAAAAAATAAAAAGTGACCTTTTCGCACCCTAAAATGACTGTCTTATAAATTATTAAACTTTCCTAGATATATTTCTGGTTCTGTTTATAACAATTCATGAGATAATGGATTGTCAGCTATAGAGTGGACTAGTGTTTAAGATGGAATATATGGATTTCTTTGTGTCCGGGTTGATGTGATCCAGCTGGTAACATGGTTTCTACATCAGAACCGGCTCAGACAAGAGCACGGTCCCCAACTGATCAGTGTGACATTAAATTTAATGATTAGTTTGCAGAACGAACACAGCAAGGCAGACAAATGGGCTGTAGATAAGGTGAACATTAGCATACAACATAAGAAAGCCACTATATTTTTTTTCATGGAAAGGCTGTTGCACCTTCAGCAGGTTTGTAACAGATATTAAACAGGTGAATCACACTTGCCATGGTGGAAAAGTTTGATCTGTCTGCAGCACAACTTAAAAGGCTCAGGATTCTGCCCGAACAACTGGCAGCCTAACCTTATGAGTACATTAAGCCTCAAATAATACAAAGACATTTGCCAGCAGCCTATAGCCAGCGTGCAGGAATCATATTCCAAATATTAAATTATATGGACTTTGTACCCAATAAGCAAGCAAGCACTTAGGATGGTGCAGTCCTGTACCAGGAAAACATGATGCAACTTAGAATCGTGATGAAAGCACACAGCACATTGCTGTACGTAGGATGGGGGCACCGGCTGTCTTTGTGTTCCAGCACTGTTCATCAGTCCCATTTCCTCTGCTGTTGGCTGCCCTATCTACAGTCTGCTGCCAGCTGGGCGTGTCAGTCTTCTTTAGATTCCAAGGCAGGCTTCATTTCTAGGTGCAGGAAAGAAAAGATCACGTCAAAATGATGCTGCATCTCACGGACAATGGACAATCGACGGGTGCCATGCATGGAGAGGAAGAGGAGGAAGGCAAGAGGGCTCGGTCAGAGCACAGAGTTAGAGCCATGCTCTTGCTTGCCTCTTCTTTGCACCTGATCAGGTCAGGAGACCACGGATGAAACCAAAGCCGGGCAGAATCTTCTAAATATGGTAGCGTGCAGTACAGGAGCACCCTGTTTTTACAGTATATGTACTGTGCATGCAAGTAAATACACAAATATCAAGGAACAAGGTAGAACAGGGATAATAATAAATAATAATAAATTTCCATTTGTACCCTGCTCTTCCCGGTTCAAAAACCGGGCTCAGGGAGGCTAACAACAAATTTAAAACTCTTAATTGATGCAACAAAAAACAGCATAAAATACAATATAAAACATGAATAACAATAAATTCAAAATTCAAAAATCAATTTAGGGGGGAAATCCATCCAATAAGCATTAGATGATCACCAGGGCTAGCTGGCTAAATTAGTCCTATTTGGGCCAGCGTGGAGACCAGGGGAGAATTAGTTGTGGGATCCCAGAGTGGGTAATCTCATAAAAAGGGGAGAGGGAGGGAAGGAAGGGGAATAAAAGATCAGGCTAAGTTCAAGCTGAAAGCCAGGCAGAATAGCTCTGTCTTACAGGCCCTGTGGTAGAGAAACGTGGACTTCCAGGTCTTTGACGGCATCTCCCATCACCCTCAGGCAGCATGTCAAGGATGGTGAGCATGGTAGTCTGGAGGTTCACAAGTTCTCCACTCATGATGTAGCACATAGACTGCCATTTCCCATGTTACAGCAGTTGAAGTAACATCTTGCTTTACATTTGCCCCCATGTATGTGCTCAGGTGCACATGGCTCCCTTGCCTGCCACCTTCATCCATTGTACAGTGGTACCTTGGTTCTCATATGCCTTGGTACTCAAACACCTTGGTTATCAAACACCTAAAACCCAGAAGTAAGTGTTCCAGTTTTGAACGTTTTTCAGAAGCCGAACGTCCGATGCAACTGTCGGCTATTGTTTCTGGGGTGCCTGCACCAGTTGGAAGCTGCGCCTTGGTTTTCAAACATTTCAGAAGTCAAACGGACTTCTGGAATAGATTAAGTTTGGCGCTTTTGTTTTTACTATTTATTTTGCGTATTATTATTTTTTGAGGCTTTTCCAGTTAATTTGTTTTTGTGACTGTGTGGAACCCAGTTCAGCTACTGATTAACTGATTGTGTAACTGCGGAAATGGATAAAAGCCCCCCATCCAAACAATGACTATCATCAGTGCAGTTAAGAAAAAAAATTAATTTTACAGTCATACCTCAGGCTGAATGTGCTTCAGGTTGAGCGCTTTCGGGTTTTGCTCCATGGCAACCCAGAAGTAACGGAGCACGTTACTTCTGGGTTTCGCCACTTGCGCATGCGCAGACGTTCAAAATGCCGTCACGCGCATGCGCGAAAACAGCAAAAGGTGACACACGCAGACGCGCCGTCGCATCTTACGATCTATTCAGGATGCGAATGGGGCTCCAGAACGGATCCTGTTCGCATCCCGAGGTACCACTGTAATTTTAATCATCTATGATACTGTCTTATTTATTTTATAGTGCAGTACATTGATTCTTGCTTTCATTTTATGGATCAGTGGTCTGTTTAGATAGTAAAATTCATGTTAAATTGCTGTTTGAAGGATTGTTTTTAAAAGTCTGGAACGGATTAATCCGTTTTGCAATACTTTCTGTGGAAAAGCACACCTTGGTTTTGGAACGCTTTGGTCTGGGAACAGACTTCCGGAACGGATAAAGTTTGAGAACCAAGGTACCACTGCATACTTGTAGCAATCCTGTGAGGAAGGTTAAGTAGACAGTGAAACACTGGCCCCAGATCACCCAGTGAGCTTCATGGGTGGAAATCTGTACCCAGGTCTTCCTAGCCCTAGCCTGATAGTCTAAACAAGGGCTGGATCATCTTTTTCAGCTGCCTTCTCTTATGGGGAATCTTTGGAAGAATTCATGCCAGTGGTAGAGAGAAAAGCCAAACAGGGTGTCCTGAAAAGCATGTTATGGGATTCAGGGACTATCTATCCTTCCAGCAAGCTGGCAAAGCACTAACTGCTCAGCTTTTCAATTGCTTAAAGAAGCCAGAACGACCTTCGCTCAGCCAAGCCTTTTCAGCCTGCACACCCTACCAGGGAGAGGCAACTAGCCTTAATAAAATAAAATAAAATAAACCTCTGTCACAAGTCCCAGAAAAATAGCAGGAAAAGATTCTCCTCAGTTGGCATTTGCTTTGCTGCTCGCAGAATCTTGCCTTCAGCACGGCAGCAGGCGGCTATTGGCGTAAGCTTTTCAGTGACACATTTGTTCACGCTACGCTGTTCGTCAACAAGACATCTCTCTCCCACTAAGAGCTACCGGGAGAGTGATGCTTTTTTTAAAAAAAAGTCTGTATATTTAATGTATAATACAATACAGTAATATATATACTGTAATTTTTGTAAGATTACAGTAGACTAAGCCCATCACATGGATGTGCATTGTCTTGATATTTATCATTCCAAAACATAAGAAACATTTCCCCATTCATCTGTTTGGCTGATTTGTATGTGTCTTTTGAAGGTACGTGTCAGGGAACTGCCATCGGACGGAAGGGAGGTGAAAGGGCTCACACAGGTTGGGAGAGACTCAGCAGCTGAAGAGGGAACCAGTAGGGGGAGAGGAGCTGAGCTGAGGGAAAGTGAGCTGGAGGGATGGCTCAGAGACACTTCCAGCGAAAACAGTGGGGAGGTTTCAGGACCTCCTGTAGGGACACCCACTCCTCGCCGGAAACTGAAACGCAGAGAGTCCAGAAGACGTGTTTCCGTTAAGGAGCTTTTATGTTGGAAGCGATTCCGAAAGCAACCACTGTCGGAATCTGCTAGTGACTAGAGGAGCCATGTCTGAGGGGCTCCGTCACAGACAGAGGTTTGTGGACTTGAACAAACTCTGAGGGGATACGATTTTACGCACAAGCAGCTCATCATCCCATCACAGCATTCCGACAGTCTTTGAAAGCAGCTTGTGCAGGAGAAGGCATCATGAGCAACCCAGCCGGAACCGGAGAAGCAGGAGCTGGAGCGGGTCCAAGCCTGGAAGAAAGGTACCGGGTGTTGGAGGTCCAGCTAGCGATGCAGACGGCGAGGCTTGAGGAGAGGAGGGCTCAGGATGCAGACAAAAGGGGAAAGCCACCCAGCTCGCCAGAAAGGTACCAGGATTGGTGCAGAAGTTTGGGGGGGAGCCCAAAGACTATCATGGCTTTCGGACAGAGATGCAATATGCCCTCAATCTGCAGTTTGATGAATTCCCTGACGAGGAATCACGAGTGGCTTTCGTGATTGAGCATCTTGAAAAGGGGGCGAGAGACTGGGTTAGACCCCTGATGGCAGCGAATAGTGACGTCCTAAAGGACACGATGAAGTTCTTTCGCGCCATGGATCTGATGTTTTCCAGCGATATTGAACAGGGAGTGGTGCGCAGACAGTTAATGGCTTGCAAACAGGGGAGCCGATCTGTCCGTGAGTACTGGACTGAGTTCACCATGCTGGTTCACAGATTGGGGTGGGACTTATCGGCGGAACCCATTCAAATGCTCTTTGAAGAAGGGCTTTCTTCGGCTGTGAAAGACGAACTTCCCGGGCGCCCAGGGCGGAGTCTATGGACCAGCTGACCAAATCAGCGCTGACCATAGGAGCGCGCCAGGAGGCGAGAGCATTGGAGAGGCGGGAAGGGAAAGGGGAACATTGGAAGGAGTTCCGCATTCCAGACATTCCAGAGCCAACTTTCCCGCCGGCAGAGCCGATGGAAATCGGAACAGCGCGCGCGCGCGCAGTTTCAAAGCCCAGTGAAGGGGGAAAGAAGGAGGGAAAAGGCGCCCGGAAATGCTATCTCTGCCAACAGCCAGGTCACTTTGCCAGAGTCTGCCCCCAGAGGAAGGAATGGCAAGGGATGGTAGGAGCTGTGGAGGGAGAGAGGAAGGAATACCGGAGCAAGTAAAAGCCAACGCCTGGCTGCCACTGTCGGGGCACAGCAGCCAGGCCAAAGAGCAGTGAGAGTGCCCACGCCAGAACCTCCTAAACCCGCCCTAGTGATAGAAGTGACGCTAGAGCTGCCAAACGGACACCCTCTAAAGATAAAGGCGCTGTTGGACTCAGGCAGCTCCTGCAATTTCATAAGCAAAGAGTTTGCAGCTGAACACCAGATACAGACGATCCTTTAAGCAACCCCCTGCAGGTGACCACGATCGATGGCAGGGAGCTGTTGGGAGGAGAAGTCAGCTTGCAGACCGTCCCAATGATAATGAAGGTAGCAAGGCACACCGAACTGATAGCTTTTAATGTGGCCACCTTGGGAGGAGCTCCCATTATATTGGGGATGAGCTGGCTAGCGTTACATGATCCGCTGGTGGGCTGGCATCAGAGAGTGGTTTCTTTTGGTTCAGCACATTGCTTAGAACACTGCAAAGAGGGAAAGGGTTTGGCAGGGGCCCAAGCTACCCTAGCAGGGACTGAAGTAACGGAAAACGTGAAGGTACCACGACAATATGCAGATCTCCGTGACGTCTTCAGCGAAAGGGAAGCTGACCAACTACCCCCGCATAGACCCTTTGACTGTCAAATCAATTTACTCCCTGGGGCACAGCTCCCTGTAGGCAAGCTGTACGCCATGTCAGACAGAGAGATGCAGGAGCTAAGAGAGTTCATTGACAAGAACCTGAAGAGAGGGTTCATCAGAGAGTCCAGGGCGGTGGGGGCAGCCCAGTGTTTTTGTGGATAAAAACACGAACAAGCCGAGGCTGGTGTGTGACTTCAGGGCCTTAAATGCAGTGTCAGAACCAGTGGCCTTCCCTATGCCCAGGATTGACGACATTTTGACAAGGGTGCGGAAGGGAAAGATTTTCACAAAGCTGGACCTAAGGGGGGCGTACAACCTGGTACGAATAAGGAAGGGGGATGAATGGAAAACCACCATGTTCACCCCTTTAGGGGCATTTGAATATTTGGTTATGCCCTTCGGCCTCCAAGCAGGCTCCGCAACCTTTCAATCGTTTATGAACCACGTCCTGGGGCCTTTGCTTTACAAGAATTGTGTGGCCTTCTTAGACGACGTGTTGGTGTATTCTGAGAATGAGGAGCAGCATGTGAGAGACGTCAGAGAAGTGTTGAGCAGGCTGCAAGCCAACCAGCTGTGGGTGAAACTGGAGAAGTGTCAGTTTCATACCAAGGAGGTGGAATTCCTGGGGTATCGCCTGTCAGACAAGGGATTGGCCATGGATCCCGGCAAGGTCCAGGCGGTGCTGGAATGGAAAACACCCAAAACAAGGAAGGATGTGCAGAGGTTCCTAGGATTTGGGAACTTCTATCGTAAGTTCATCCGAAACTTTGCCCACCTGACGGCGCCCATTACGGACTGTCTCAGCAGTAAGAAGAAGTTCGTTTGGACTGAGGAGGCGGAGCGAGCATTTGAGGAACTAAAAGGGCCTTCGCCTCGGAACAACAACTCCTGCATGTGGATTTACAAAAACCGATGAGAGTGGAAACTGACGCATCAGACAGAGCGATTGGGGCGGTGCTTCTGCAGCCAGGGAAGGAGGAGTCAGAGTGGAGACCGTGTGCCTTTTTTCGCGAAAGCTGAACAAATCCGAGAGGAACTACACGGTGTATGACCGAGAACTACTAGCCATTCATGAGGCGTTCCGGAGATGGAGGCACCTGCTAATTGGCGCACAACATAAGGTGCAAGTGTGCACTGACCACAAGAACCTAGAGTATTGGAGGACGGCACGAGTGCTCAACCAACGGCAAGTGAGATGGGCCCAGGAGTTCTCCAAATTTAACTTTGAGATTGGTTACGTGCCAGGCCCAGAGAACATTAGGGCGGACGCTCTCTCACGCAAACCTGAATATTTGGAGGGAGGGAGCACCCGAAGAGAGACATGTCATTCCAGAGGACCGCTGGGTGTGTGGGGCGGCATTGGTGGGACAAAGAGAACTGGTAGAGGAAACAGAGAATGATGAATACGCCCAGAATAAGCTCAGAGGTCTTAGGGGTGAGGGAGAGGAACCAGGGGTTTCGAGGAAAGAAATGGAGCTTTGTATTACAAAGGGGCACTGTATATCCCTGAAGGAGACTTAAGGGGAGGGTACTCAAGCAGTTGCACGACAGCCCTACGGCGGGGCATTTTGGACAACACAAAACCATGTGGTTGGTCACCAGGGAATTTTGGTGGCCCAAGGTGAGGGAAGATGTACGTGAGTATGTAAGAGGGTGCGAGCAATGCCAGCGAGCCAAAGGGGAAAGGCGGGCGCCGGCGGGGCTATTAGAACCCTTACCAACCCCAGAACGACCTTGGGAGGCAGTGTCGATAGATTTTATGACTGATCTGCCGAAGTCCAAAGGGAAAACAGCCATCATGGTGGTGGTGGACCTGCTAACAAAGATGTGCCACTTTGTAGCTTGCTCGCATGCAGTCACGGCGGAAGAGACAGCGAAGTTATTTGTAGAACACATTTTTAGGTTGCACGGGGTGCCATTGAGGGTGGTCTCAGACCGAGGAAAACAATTTACTTCCAGGTTCTGGAGGAAGCTCATGAGCTTACTGCAGGTGGAGGTCAATTTTTCGACTGCCCGGCACCCTGAAACCAACGGGCAGGCGGAAAGAGCAAACGGTGTCCTCCAGCAATACCTGAGGTGTTATGTCAATGACAGAGAGAATGACTGGGTAGAAAAGTTGGCGCTGGCGGAATTTGCCTACAACAATGCCGAGAATGTGTCCACAGGGATGAGCCCCTTCTTGGCTAATTATGGGTGTCATCCCAGGGCTTTCCCAGGGGGGAGATGGGGAGAGATGGAGCGTCCCGGCAGCCGAGCATTTTGTAGAAGAAATGGAAGCAATCCATTGTCAGCTCCAACTCAACTTAGAAAGGGCGAAGGAAGAATACAAGAGGCAAGCAGACAAGAACCGAAGGGAAGGTGAAACCATAAGGGTGGGAGATAGGGTGTGGCTGTCAACCCAAGGGTTGCCGTTCAAAGGAGGGTGTAAGAAATTAAGACCCAGGAGGTTGGGTCCCTTTGAGGTCATTCAACAGGTCAACCCAGTGGCTTTCAGGCTCCGGTTACCCAACCACATGAAACTGCACCCAGTATTTCACAGGTCGTTACTGTCACCGTACGAAGGGGACGAGAAGGGATGGCCACTCGGGACCGGTCATAGAAGAAAGAGAATGCAGCAGCCATGTGGCAGAAATCCTCGACGCCAGGTGGAAGGGGAATCAGGTGGAGTATTTGGTAGCGTGGGAAGGAGAACCGGAGTCAGAAAACACTTGGGTAATGGCCGAAGATATCAATGACGAGGTATTGATAGAAACGTTCCATCAAAGGTTCCCAAGGAAACCTCAGCCTGTGGAGAGGTTCCGGAGGGAATACTTTGGGACCACTGATGAGGAGGAGGAGTTGGAAGGCTTCCCGGACTCGGAAGGGAAGGGAGATGGACTCTGAGGAGGAGGAGTACTTCGAGACCAGGAACCGCAACAGGTGGAGAGAAGTGTTCGAGACATCGGAAGATGAAGGAAGTTCATTCCGGGTTTTGCCTCCTCACCGCCCGTAGAGGAGGGGGCGAGAGGGGGTGAAGGGGGCCCTGGAGGGGAGGTGGATGTCAGGGAACTGCCATCGGACGGAAGGGAGGTGAAAGGGCTCACACAGGTGGGGAGAGACTCAGCAGCTGAAGAGGGAACCAGTAGGGGGAGAGGAGCTGAGCTGAGGGAAAGTGAGCTGGAGGGATGGCTCAGAGACACTTCCAGCGAAAACAGTGGGGAGGTTTCAGGACCTCCTGTAGGGACACCCACTCCTCGCCGGAAACTGAAACGCAGAGAGTCCAGAAGACGTGTTTCCGTTAAGGAGCTTTTATGTTGGAAGCGATTCCAAAGCAACCACTGTCGGAATCTGCTAGTGACTAGAGGAGCCATGTCTGAGGGGCTCCGTCACAGACAGAGGTTTGTGGACTTGAACAAACTCTGAGGGGATACGATTTTACGCACAAGCAGCTCATCATCCCATCACAGTACGTTAATTTTATCATTGTTCCAATAGGCCATACCTTATCAGTCCAATCAAATAAAGATGGTGTATTGCTCTCTTTCCAGTTTTTTGCTGTTCTCACCACTATTCTAGCTATTAGTAAATTGATAAATACTTCCAGATTGTGGTTTTTAAGAGGTCTAAAAGTTCACCATTGGGATGGATCCAGTTAATAATGAACGATTTCATATCCTCTCCTTTTCCTCCCTCTATCTTGCTGCTCACCAGTGATCTGTTCTCCTGGTGTTCCAGTGAAAGACAAAGGGTTTCCAGAGCAGGTACAAGTTTTTAATTTGTTCTTCATGTTTAACTCCCATATTCATAGATGTGTTAGCAGTTTTATCTATTTCATCTAGTAGGGTTGCCATGTGTCCTCTTTTTCCAGGACATGTCTTTTTCATAGGTATGTAAGATGAGAGTCATCATAGCGACCCATAGTTAAAAGTAGAAGTTGGCAAACGTGTCCACTTTTTTTGCTCTTCAAAATGCTCTACTCCAGGGGTTTAAAAGCTTTATCAAACTTCTCTGCAAGGTCTGGCATAAATTGCTGAAGATGCTTCATAAACCCTAATTTGACAGTCATTCACACCTGCAACACCAACGATCAGATTTTGAAAAGCTGGTATCGTTAGATCAAGTTCATCAGTTTTGTGGAACTAATTAATCTAAATTGTGTCAATTGCACTTTGAAAAGATTAGTTGTTACCATTGTTATAAGAATTTTAAGGTCTCAAATACAGAATAAATATTTATAGACTGCCTCCTTTTGTGATGTACATATGGTGTTTTGGGGTGGTGGTGGTCTTGGGCTACAGGGTGGGCAATTTCAAAAGTCTATATAAGGGCTTGCACACCATTGTTCAGGGTTCTCCTCCCTCCTGCATGTGGTGAGTGGGGACCCTGTTACAACTGTTCCTTGAATAAAGATCAGGCTTACTAACCGCTTTGCTTCTCAAAATACTCTGGTTGGCCTCTGTTGTTTTCTCCTATCAATAGGGAACCCACTTAAGGACTCTATACGGGCTCTGGAATACCCCATAAGGGAAAGGGAGCAGTTTTTCTTATAACACTGTTTTGAATTTTATTCACACCTCCTTCACCCCACCCCTGGACACTTCCTTGCCTCTTATGGAATCTCCTAGGGCAACTTCCTGTGAGAGGCTTTTTAAAGATCTTTTGGGCTGTACCAGAATATGCTGGGACAAGAGCAGTAAAACATTCAGTGCATTTCTTTTAAAGAAAGAAGACAACAGATCTCTTCTGATGCCAGTGAATAAAGCTGGGATGGTGCCAATTTTATTGATGATAACTTGTATTCATGTTCTATGGTTATATACTGTAGTTCCTTTTATTAAATGCTTGCTTTACATGGCCTGGTGACTAGATGATGATGATATATAAAAAGCAACTTCTGAATCCATGTGGAATTAACACTTCAGCCCTTCCCATGTTAGCTGCAGGCTGTATGCAACAAAATGTCTGCAAGGATATTCCATGTGCATCTGTGAAATGGCTTATTAATTAATTAATTAATTAATTTTATAATGAATGATTTTAGACTGTTGTTTATGCTGTACTTTGTACTTTTTATTGTTGTTAGCCGCCCTGAGCCCGGCTTCGGCTGGGGAGGGCGGGATATAAATAAAATTTATTATTATTATTATTATTATTATTATTATTATTATTGGTGCAGGATTTGAAAGGAGGGGGGCGGAAGGCAGGGAAAACTCAGCAGAGCTTAAGCTTCAAATACTGGAAAAATTATTGGTATGACCACCTCACAAAGTTTCTCTTTTTGCCCTAGCAGCAATGAAAACCCAGAAAAGAGTTATCAAGTAGATTGCAGTTGGTGAAGCTCTTATTTAATCATAATATATTTTAACAATCAATGGGGTTTTTCAAATCTGTATTAAATTTTACCCGTTCAGTATGTAAGTTCCATACATGTTACATGTGGTTTATGTAGTATTTTAAAGATATAGGTTTTATGTTTGATTCAAAGAGTAACGTAGTTTTGTGCAGCATTTTATACTGTTGGGTTTTGTACTGTCTTTATTTATCTGATATGCGAATGGCCTATGGGCCAAGCATTAATAAACTACGCAAAATTCCCCATCCATGCAACAGGAATAAAAGCAACCGAAGAGGGTTGCAGTGGAGAGCAAACACAGGTAAAGGTAAAGGGACCCCTGAGCATTAGGTCCAGTCGTGGCCGACTCTGGGGTTGCGGCGCTCATCTTGCTTTAGTGGCTGAGGGCAGGCGTTTGTCCACAGACAGCTTCCGGGTCATGTGGCCAGCATGACTAAGCTGCTTCTGACAAACCAGAGCAGCGCATGGAAACACCGTTTACCTTCCTGCCAGAGCGGTACCTATTTATCTACTTGCACTTTGATGTGCTTTCGAACTGCTAGGTTGGCAGGAGCAGGGACCAAGCAATGGGAGCTCACCCCATCGCGAGGATTCGAACTGCCGACCTTCTGATCGGCAAGTCCTAGGCTCTGTGGTTTAACCCACAGCGCCACCCGCGTCCCGTAGCAAACATAGACAAGGTGGTAAATAAAGGATTTTGCACACTTAAATGCGCTGTTGCCAGCTGGACTGCTTGTGTTCAGCACAACAGGGTTTTTAATAACGGGGACTAGCAGTGTGCCTTCCCTCATTCATACAGTGGTACCTCAGGTTAAGTACTTAATTCATTCCGGAGGTCTGTTCTTAACCTGAAACTGTTCTTAACCTGAAGCACCACTTTAGCTAATGGGGTCTCCTGCTGCCGCTGAAGCACAATTTCTGTTCTCATCCTGATGCAAAGTTCTTAACCCGAGGTACTATTTCTGGGTTACCGGAGTCTGTAACCTGAAGCGTATGTAACCTGAGGTACCACTGTATTTCTCTTTAGAGATGAGGTTGGGCATTGCTGCATCCAGGGATCATGCTGTTGCTCTGTGCTTTGCTGCACGTAGCCTTGGAGCTGCATTCTGGAAGGAAACTGTTTTCTCCAGTTAACGAAAAGCAAGGCAGGCAGTCACAGTGCACTGGGTTTTCCCCCTTCCTTGGCACTTGCCATGCAAAGTAAATTTCCACAAATGCAGGAGGGTTTGAAACACCCTGAATCCTCTCTTATACTCAACTCCTTTTTTAAAAATAACAACAAACAGTAGCTGATTATGAAGCAGTTAGGATACACACTGCGGAGCCCCTGTTGCACGAGTTTACACAAGAGAAGCCCCACAGTATACTTATGTAATTATCATGTGGCACAGAAGAACGTCTCCCCAAGGCCAAAGGCAAGACTTAACCTGAGCTAAAGCCACTGCTTTTTTTCTTTAAAAAAAATGTTTAGGGCTACTCTCATTTTGACTCAAGAAAATCACCATTTTATAGTTCAAATCGGGGAAAATAAATACAGTGGTACCTCAGGTTACAGACGCTTCAGGTTACAGACTCCGCTAACCCAGAAACATTACCCTGGGTTAAGAACTTTGCTTCAGGATGAGAACAGAAATCATGCGGCGGCAGCAGGAGGCCCCATTAGCTAAAGTGGTACCTCAGGTTAAGAACAGTTTCAGGTTAAGAACGGACCTCCAGAACAAATTAAGTACTTAACCCGAGGTACCACTGTATAGTAAATGGACAAAAGTTCAAAGATCCACAAAATGTTTAGGGAAATGTGAACGCCTGCGTGCCCCTAGAAAAAGAAGCACGGGCTACAGGCAGGTCCCAGCATATGCTTTAAAATAAGGAAGCAGTTCACATTGTTTGCCAATGTCTAAACCCACATGGTGCAACACAAATAGAGGAATTTGGCAACTTAGGCAAATGACGCACATAGATTTGTTGATTTTGCCATAATATATTTGTGATGTAAAATTGTGCCCCCTTTTGTCACTCTCTGTTAAATTTCTAACTGTGCACTAACCACCGAACAGGAGAGGGACACGTGGAGCTGCAAATAAGGATGTATGGGTGAATTTCCCTTTCTCAATTTTCCAGTCTTAAATTCAGTTCTGCACATTTCCATATCAGTTTTTTCAAAGTCCTCACTGAAATTCATCGGTGAATCTCTCCTAATAGTTTGTATGCAGTTGTGTGTGAAGTTAACTTTGTGTAGCATTTAAAGGTGCCCGCAGCTAAGTCACACTTTCAAAAATGTTATGTGAACCAAAACACAGCCATCTTTTGTAATTTGCGTTTCTCTAAATTTTGCCTTTGTCCAGTCCAGTAATATGTACAAAAATGTACATACAAGGGTAAATTGTGCAGATGCTAGTAAATATAACATTAAAATATGCAATATCTTCTGGAAAATTGAATATATATTTGAATAAACCTGCTGATGAATTTTCATGACAACTTTTTTCAAAAATTGCAAACATGTGGATATGTGGAGAACTGAATTTAAATATGGAAAGATGAGAAACTGAAATGGACAGATTTGTCCATCTCTAATAAATCTATCTGGTCCCTCCTTTCTTTTCTTTCTAAATTGCAAGCAAAAGCTGCTCTGTTTACACTGACTTTTGATGGTTAGCCGAAATGTTTTGTTTACTTGGTGGCTGTTTTGGTTGGCAGATAAAAGAGTTTCAGCTGTCTAATTTGTGGCAACTTGTTTTATGCGAAACTTGCTGCTGCACAGATGGCATGTGTATCTTTTGGACTTAGTGATTTCTTCTTAGCTGCCCCATTCAGGGGGAAAAGTATGCAAATATTTTCATAAAGTAATGACTAAATAAAGCAGTGTGCTAAATTAGACTTCCTTTATAGTAAACAAAGAATGCTAGTAGACAGGGCTTTATATCACAAAAGGGTCGTTCAGATCCATTTTTTCTGCATGCAAAATTAATTTCCTAGTTCCCATGCATTCTGTTTTGTTCAGGCTATAGCTATGGCTATTATTCCACCGCTTGTCATCAACTCCAGTCTGGGCCGGCCCACCTATTGGGCAAGGTGAGTTAACTTGAGCGGCAAAATCCACAGGGGCAGCAGATCCCAATGTTGATCTTTGTTCCCCTCTTCTTCCTGATTTAGATCTTCACTCTCTCCTTTCCTGTTGGGAAGGGACACCATTTTGTCATTCACCTCGGGTGCCAAAATGCCTTGGGCCGGCCCTGACACCAGTGGAAAAGCTTGAAAAATGGGATTAGGGATGGGCAGATCTATCTGTTTTGGTTTCTTATATTCCTGCTTTTCAGTTCTTCACATTTTCACATCCATTTGCAATTTTGCAAGGGTAAGTCCTTGTGAAAATTCATCAGCATTTTAGTGTGATTTCCCCTCCCCTCCCCAAAGATACACATTTTTTGTTGCTGTTTTGCCCAGTGCTTTTTTTTCTGGGGGTACCAAAGGGCATGCAGTACTGGTACCTTTTTTTTCCTAGAAGAAAAGCTCTGGTTTAAAACATGACACTTACTGTAACAACTTCATGGTGAATACCCTTCTAGAAGAAAAGCACTGATTTTGCCAAACATGGTGCATTTTTTGTCTGTTATTTTCAACAATATAGGCATAAATGCGTTAGTCTGTAAGGTGCTACACAACTCTTCATTGTTTTGTTGTTTTGTTTAGTTTTGACATCTGAAGGCAGCCCTGTTTAGGGAAGCTTTTAATTTTTAATAGGTTATTGTATTTTAGTGGTCTGTTGGAAGCCACCCAGAGTGGCTGGGGAAACCCAGCCAGATGGGCGGGGTATAAATATTTATTTGTTTGTTTGCTTGCTTGCTTGCTTGCTTGCTTGTTTGTTTTGCTACGGCAGCCTAGCACGACCTAAAAAGGAGCAGACATGTCAGAGACCAGGCTGAGGAGTCCTGCTCTAATAAGAAATGGTGGGAGCCTCCCCCTGCTCCTGACCAGGATCCCAAAGCTGCCCAGGAGCAGTGGAGCAGTATAGATTTGGAGCAGTGGTTTGCAGAGGGGCATAATTCTGAAGATAAAAGTTAGGAAAAACTGAGGGGTGAACAGCAAAGTGAAGAAGAACTGGAAGAGAGAGAGCTAACAGACTCTCTCTCACTGGAGACTGTGCAGCCTATTAGTCCAAGGACATGTAGAGCAGATACTAATACTAATACTAATACTACTAATAAATTTATTTATACCCCGCCCTTCCCGGTTCAAAAACCGGGCTCAGGGCGGCTAACAACAAATTTAAAACACTTTAAAACACTTAATTATAAAAGCAGCATAAAATACAGTATAAAAACATGAATAACAATAAAATTCAAAAATCAAATAAACCCCAGGGCTAGCTGGCTGAATTGATCCTACTTGGGACAGTTAGGAGGCCAGGGGAGAATTAGCTGTGGGGCTAAGGTGGCTACACAAAAAGCACAATGGTTGCAAGATCAGGTTGCAAGATGCGAAAGTGACCAGGGGGAAAAGTTGGTGGAAACCTTAATTGGGAGCACCTTCATTCCGAGAATGGCTGCTTTGTTCTTTTGCTGTGATCATTAAAGACTCTTTCAATGGTAAGGGACTCTTTTCGCTTTGTCCTGCTTATCTACGGCCAAAGGAGGGGAGGAAGCTGAGTCCCCGATGCCTGACAAGATATGAACAAATCTGAGTTGTGCTGTGGTCTTTGTCCACGAATGTTAGAAAGCTTGGCTTTCTGCTGGTATCACTTACCAATAATTTCACTGTTGTGATGAGGCGAGTTTCCATTGGCACAGAGATTGTGCTTAGGCTTCAACATCTCCAGACCAGCCAAGAGGGTCATAAAATCCACCACCGTGTCAATGTCTTCCTTATCCGCCCTGACATCTCTCAGAGTGCACAGCACGCTCAGCCTGCTGAAGGACTTGACCTCCGAGATGTTGGCGCGCAGGAACAGCAAAATGATATTCAGGTCGTTCAGAGGGCAGGTCAGCATCTTCCTGCTGAGGAGGTCAAAAGCTGGCAGCATCTCATAGATGGATAGGAGCCTCTTGTCCCACTGGCACAACTGAAGCAGGTGGTAGATGACGACGGGCCCCAGAAGGACGTACACGCACCCGATGCAGATACTGGTCACCTGGAAGACGGTGAAGAAGACGAGCTTGCAGGGGACCGAACCTGGGATGTGAAGCTCATCTCTTAGCAGGCCCACCTTGATGGTGCAGCTGAACTCATCTTGGAAAAAGACGCCCACATGGAAGTAGGCCAAGTAGAAGCAGGTGGCAGCGAGGAGGAAGAGGAGGAGAAGGTTCCGTAGCACGTAGACCCCAACGAGGTAATAGGAGCGCTGCTTGCAAGTGAGGTACCTCTCCAGTAATGGGAATTCAAAATAGCGTTCCCTGCGAGCCCTTGGTGAGAGAGAAACAAGGAATGTTTACTACCGTTATAGCTGGAAAAAAGCTTGGATCTATAGATCTGGTCAATCAGTGGGGCTCTGCCTTACGGGGGGAAAGAACATGATTGAGGAGAGACTGCAATGGTCAGACAGGCAATTTTAGGCTCTGGAGTCTGGACTTTAATGGTTTTACCAGGCGGGTGGTGGTGGAATTCTTTAAATCAGTGGTTCCCAAAAGTTTCCCCCCACAGACCACTTGAAAATTGCTGAGGGTCTTTGAGGACTACTTAATGTGTCGTCCCCCCCTTTGAAAGTTGCAGCAATTGTAATTCACTGTGCTCAAGGCTGTATGTTTTTCCATTGTATTTTGTTGCTTCTTTTGCTTCCTATGTTGCATTTTATTAAACATTGGTACCTTGGTTCTCAAACTTAATCCGTTCCAGGAGTCCATTCGACTCCTGAAACCGTTCAAAAACCAAGGCACAGCTTCTGATTGGCTGCAGGAGCTTCCTGCACTCAATCGGAAGCCGCGTCGGATGTTTGACTTCCAAAAAACGTTCGCAAACTGAAACACTCATGGTGTTCGGGAGCTGATTTGTTCGACAACTAAGCCATTCAGGAAGCAAGGTACCACTGTATTACCTGAATCCTATGGAATTCAGATTGTAATACCATCGAATGCAATATAGGAAATAGAAGAAGCAATAAAAATACAGTGCAAAATCAATCTGGATGTTTAATGTGGACTCACTTAAATGAAACTCGCAAACCACCAGTGGTTCACAAGCCACAGTTTGGGAACTGCTGCTTTATATTATTAATATCAATCCTATCATTATTGTCATTATTAATCCAATATATTGTTATTAATATTAATCTGATTTCTTACCCACCATTCACCATAAGGGCCCAGGGCAGGTTACAGCAATTTAAAAAATACAGTGTTAAAAACAGTTGAAAGTAAGTTACAGTCGCAAGAATAGCGTGGTAATGTCTATTGCTTCTCTTATACTGCACATTCGGCCAGTTGAGGGACCTGAACTTCTGCTCTAAAGTCACTTCCGGCAATTGCTCTCCAGGAATTTATCAGAGAGGGAGATGCCAGGGACTGAACCTGGAACCTTCCGCATGCAAAGTGAGTGCCTACCACCTCGACTACAGGGGTGCCAACTTGAATAAAATATTGCGAGGGTGGTGTGTGTCATTTCTTAGTACAGAAATTATTGATCTGATATGTAAGAGATCTTTCATATTCTAATTAATTCAAGAGGGTTCGGGATTCTTCTGGAAGCTTCTCTGTGTGAAAGAAAAAAGCAGAAGGTTCCTTATAATAATAATAATAATAATAATAATAATAATAATAATTTATTATTCATACCCCACCCATCTGGCTGGGTTTCTCCAGCCACTCTGGGCTGCTTACAACAGAATATTAAAATACAATAGTCTATTAAACATTAAAAGCTTCCCTAAACAGGGCTGCCTTCAGGTGTCTTCTAAAAGTCTGGTAGTTGTTCTTCTCTTTGACATCTGGTGGGAGTGTGTTCCACAGGGTGGGTGCCACTACCAAGAAGGCCCTCTGCCTGGTTCCCTGTAACTTGGCTTCTCACAGGGAGTGAACCGCTAGAAGGTCCTTAGCACTGGACCTCAGTGTCCGGGCAGAACGATGGGGGTGGAGACGCTCCTTCAGGTTTGGGTTATTCCTTCAGAGAAGCTGAGTACAGCTGGCTTAAACTAGTTCTGTTATCTCTTTCTGTCAATGTCATTCTGACTATAATAGTAAGACCAGAAGCAGCCTGGGTTTCACTTTCACTTTCTATCTCTCTTTCCTTCTGGTGTGGTGTTCTGTATATAGTATGTTTAGTGTTAAGGTTTAATTATATGTTATTGCAAGTTTAAATTAAGTCTGCTGCAACGGGATTTCTTATGGACAGTGCCAATCCTGAATGTATTGGATTTGTGACCATTGTGCTCATTTGCCTTCAGTAGCAGCAAAGCACTGCTTGATTTAAATACAATTGGCTCTTGTCTTTTTTTGGGGAATTCTGCAACATGTTTAAGTTTTTACTCTGCTAACTATACATTGGAATCTACTCTGGATCTATATTGAATAGAATTCCACGACAGGGGGTCCACATACGCCATTTGAACGACAATGCCCATCAACTCTGGGGGACCCTGGCACCCTCAAATATTTTATGGGGGTGCTGAAGAGTTCTTGGCCCCTGGGAGTTGGCCCCTGCACTCGGCTACATCCCTTCTCCTCAGCCATCTGTTTGAGCTTACTTGTCGTATTCCTCCCATAGCTCTTCTGGGTCAGTACCAGACTGTTGTAGTTTCACCATGTGCTGCACTAAGCGGATGGAACGGTTGTAGGATTTGTCCAGCTCATCGATGATGAAGAGCAGGTCGCAGTTCAGCGACGAGGCAGCCGCATATCTCCAGAGCAGAGAAGGTAGGTACATGGCGACTGCAATCACCAGCAAGGAATACGGGAAGACCTAGGTGGAAAGAGAAAAGTACAGTAAGAACTGACGAGGAATCAGGGGCGTGGGAGAAAGAAATACTAGGTATTGGCCCAACTTATTTTTCTAGAATACTCTTCTCCAGGAGTTCTTTACATCTTGAAAAGGGAAAAAGAAGCTTGAAATATACCGGTACTCGGAGTTGAGAGTGGATTTCATGCTCTTTATTCAGCTCATAGTGGTGATGAGGAATGGAAGTTCCCCCAGAATATCTGCTTTATATACATTATTTACACAATGGGCTGCACTTGATTGGCTAATTCCGGGATTCACCTGTAGGCCAATCAGGTTGCGTATTCACTTCCACCTGGAGCTGGATTGGAGCCTGTGGACCAATCAGACTGCTGCATTCTGAATCCTATTGTTCTAGGACCAATCAGACTGCTGCCTTTTGGATCCAATTCAACTCAGTACATAACAAAGCTCATTGCATAGAGAAAGGGGCAGAGCCCAAGAAAACAAGAAGAACATATGTTTTAAAGAAGATTGGAAAACGTTTATTGAATATATGGGGTGAAATTATGTGCACTTGAAAACACTGGCAGCATTAGGATAAATTCAAGAGTGTAAATACGTTTTGGTGGATGTAATAATGGAATGCTGAACGGTTTAGTTTTTGTAAAATATGCAGGGATTTGTGAGATGTAAAATGAACCATGGAAAGAGAAGAAGGGAAGTCATGGATATTTTAAGGATGTTTAAATGAGTATTCTAAATTGTAAAACGGAAAAATTATATATATTTATATAAAAGAGAAAAAGGTAGGGCCATACCGCTGGCCCCCACCACAGTCTTATATTGACAGTCTTGCCTTGCCATCACCCATGTGATGAGTGCACACCGTTTGCAAGAAACCCGTACGTGTGAGACGCAAAGATGCTTCCTCTTCAGACATCTGCACTTAGTGTAAATAATGGAACCTTCCAAAAATATACCGAGAGTGTGCTAGAACCACGTCATTCAACCTTGGGTCCCCAGATGTTGGCCAATGTTGTGCCCTCCAGATGTTGCGCAACAGCTCCCATCATCCCTCTCTATATAAGATTCCTGGTAAGATCCCTTCTTGTCCCTCTTAAAAAGAATAGACACGGCAATCTTATTAAAGTGCATATAAAAGTAGTTTACTCACATTCATTCAGTTCACAGTTTGATCCCTGAAGGCAGACTTATGTTACAAAAGTACATTCGTATGTGGAACTATCCCACAAGGAAGTTAATTCCTAAGTGACTGCATAGAGAAAAACAAAAATGGAGAAGAGAGGAGCAAAAGAAGATGGTGTGCGCCTCTTCCTTGCTCTTGTTACCCAGGCAGACTAGGCCAGATTAGACCAGGCACACATCTAGTCACATGCAGAGGAATTTTGTCTCAGCTCAGGAATGTTGTACTTGACTGCAATGTGTTTTACATCCCACAAATAGGACCCACATAGGGGAGTATGGGAGTCCAGAAGATTCCTTGAAATCTTGTTTTTATGATTTATGTTTGATATATCACTGTGAAATTTTAAGTTGAAAAACCAAATAAATATATATATTGTAAAAATAGTAAATATAATAATCCTTCCTTTGAAACACTAAGGTGTCCCACACTGATACCTTGAGGACCCAGAGAGATCTGGATTGAGAGTCTCCCATAGTATCGTAGTCATGGTGAAGCAAGGAGTCCCAGCACACAGCGTCGACGTAGGCTGATTGCTTCCCTGTGAAGTTGGCAGGAGAGAAGCAACTGATCTGGGAGCCTGGAGGGGAGAACAAGGCGGAAACAGAGCCATTAGCCTCCAGGGCCGTTTCTGCTGGTACTTCATCCAACTGTTCCATCAAACTGCAGGAAACTGAACGCTGCTTCATCCCAGCAGTAGCAGCCTTGTGACTCAAGCAAGCAGATGGTCTTCCTGGTCAATGAGGAGAATGAGTCCGGTTCTCCCAGCAAATACTCATGATCAAACTGCTCCTCATCACGTAACCCCAACTGTGTTTTTTCCCTAAAGAAGTGTTTAGGGGTACTCTCATTTTGACTCAAGGAAACCACCATTTTATAGTTCAAATTGGGGGAAATAAATACAGTAAATGGACAAAAGTACAGTGGACTCTCGGGTTGCGAACGTGATCTGTGCAGGATGCACGTTCGCAACCCGCAGTGTCCGCAACCTGCAGTGGTAAGTCTGTGCACATGTGGGTTGCGATTCGGCACTTCTGCACATGCGCAAAGTGCAATTTAGCACTTCTGCGCATGTACGACCGCCGAAACCAGGAAGTTACTCGTTCCGGTACTTCCTGGTTTCGATGGTCCGTAACCCAAAAAAACGCAACCAGAAGCTTCTGTAACCCAAGGTATGACTGTACTGTACAAAGATTCACAAAATGTTTAGGGGTATGCGTACCCCTGCGTAACCCCCAGAAAAAAAAGTGCTGGCTGCGTTACATTAGCACAACCAGCCTTTGGTAACAAAGTCTGTAGTTTAGATACAAATTTTTATTTTAAAATTTGAGGACTTTAGGCTTCTTGACATAAATTGGGCAAGTGCTGAATACAGAAGCACACAAGACATGAATAACTAAATAGTATTCCATCCCAACTAACAAATACTAAAATCAAGTATCCCAGTGCATATATAGTCCATAAACAATTTAGTGAATTATCTAGCAAACATCTGAGTGCAGAAAGAACATCTAAAGGTGTTCAACTTTTTGCAGAAAAGTTTTTGGAACAAATGAATTTCAGCTAGAGAACAGAGCAGGTTAGATTATGAATATTCATAATCTGTGGTTCAAAGGCATTTTGGACTAGAGACAGACTAGGGTGCATTTAGTTCCCGTTGTAATCAATGCCACTAAATTTTTCACATTGATTTTAATTCATAGGCCCAAAGTGCAACTAACACGGAGTGGATACAGCCCAGTGAGAATATATTTTAAGTTGGTTTAACTAGAACCCTGGAACAAATAGTAGTAATAGTAAAGAAGTTAATGTACCTGATGAAAATTCCCGTGCAAACGACAGGGACACGAGCAGCAGGGGCAGCCCCACAGTGACAAACTTCACAATGCGGTCACACGATAGCTCCAAGCGAAGCCCCTTTGCCCTGGAGCCATTCGGATCCGGAAGCAAAGCATCCGAGAGCATATACTCGCCCGCGGTGTGTGCGATCGACATGGTACTTTTCGGATGGGCCAAGCACAGGCAAGAGAAGAGAAGAGGCAGCTGCTGCAATCGCACTGCTCACAAACGGCATCTGAAAGCTTGACGTTTGCACTTGCCAAACTGAAAGCTTTATTTGCAGAGAATTAAGCACCGGACAGCTGCAAATGACAGCCTTGGATGTTTGCGAAAGGGAAGGGTAATTACAAGGCAACCCGGTTTCTTACAAAGCAGCGACTGCCGTCGGCCCCAGAAATAGCGCAAGCAGCATTGGAGCGTTGCGATTGCCGGGGACACCATGTACCTCCGTCCACCACAGGCATAGCAAGGCAAGGCTGGGTCCTTGTGGTTTTACATCCCTCTCTCATAAGCAGATGTTATTTCCAGCAAGCATCTGCAGGAATGTGGGGCTGTGGATTTGGTTTTACATCCAGGAACACGCAGGGGTGGGCTTTCGGGGTTAGCTGACTAGTGGGAATCGTGGACCATGCTTGCATTTTCAGAGCACAGTGGTGGCTTAATCACACGCAGAACACCTGCATTCAGGGAGTATTTTTAGCCCTGTGGGGTACGCAGTGGGATTGGCAAAGCCCTTTCTATACTTGATATTAAAAGGCACACTTTGTGGATTTTGCAAACCCTATAGCTTCAGGTCTTCAGTAGCAAATTGAAAGCAGGTGATCTGGAGAATTGATCCTTGGGTGGAGAACATCAGGGGACCAAATGCAGCCTGCCATCCTCTCTAACTGACCTGTGGGACTCTACCACAAACACTCTTCTCAGACCTCCCTCTGCTTTGCAGGCTCTTTGACTGTTTTTGCCTGGCTGGAATGAGCCTTTTGATGGCTGGATGGGAGGGTTTATAGGGGGGATGTTTGAATATGAAGAAATGAGTATATCATATAATCTTCTGTTGTCCATTACATTCGGCTTCACGGTCCAAGTTTCTGGCCCCATATTTATCGAGAATTGCTGACAGTCCTCAGGAAGCCCAAATAATATACTTATTAAACGACGAAGATACAAGTAGATCCCTTGCAATCGCTAGATACCTGATTAATGTTTTATTTCAAAGAGGAGAAATGGATCACTGTATGTTTCTGACAGCTTAGCCAAACTTAAGAACCATCAATAAGTGCCAGAACTAAGACGTATACCCCCAAAATCTGATGGATCGGAATTGCGGTTTACATAGAGGAGCTTATTGTGTATAGTGTTTACTTAACTAAAGTAAAATTGGTTTTATAAGGGTGTTTTAACTTGGAACTGTTTAAATTGTATTGTTTATGGATAAATTCTGATGTATTGTTTTTGATATGGGCCAATGGCCGTAATAAATCTAAATCTGAAATCTGAAGAAATGAGCCTACTGTGCAGGGACAAAATTCATATTTGTCCCACCCACCACTTGCGCATATGGACGCTGGGTGATTGTTCAGAAGGAATGTGGCTCTCAGGCTGAAAAGGGTTCCCCATCCCTGGGACAGTAGGATAAAATGATATTTTTGATTGAAAGATTAGAAAGCAGCTGGGTTTCAAACCTTTGCTCTAGCCTGAGGCAGCACTAAGCACTACTACTTAGCATTTGTCATTATCATCCTAGCTACCACTCTGTTAAGGTGCAGAATTATTATTCCATCCTGTTGCGAATAGGGAGACTGAAGCTGAGAAAAGGTGGCTTGTCTGTGACTATGGCAGAGGGAACTACTGGGAACTTCCAGATTTCTAGCTTAGTCTCTTAACTGCTCTACCAGCAACTACCAAAGCTAAAGCAATGTCCCAACCTACCCAAATGTCTCTCTTTACCAGCAGAAGTCAATGATGGGACAGGTGGCCCTAATGCAATATTCCAACACTTGCAATACCCATCAAAACATCTGGAGAGCTCAGCCACTGCCAGCCCATCCAAGCTACACAGGCAGAGATTCATAAGGCTAAGCCATTTGCATAGCTGATTTCTTGCAATGAGTACAGAGGCATCCATCCCTTCTGAAATATCTGCTACCTCCCAGGACATTTCCCACACACTATGCCGCCAAACTGGGAACCAGTATTTTTGTTCTGGTTAAGACATTGGTTTTCAATCCGATATTTGCAGCATGTTTCAGTGTCCTACCAAATCCTCCCCTCCTGCAAAACTCTCAAGTGTGGAATACCTTTTCCCTAATCTACTCTCTCACCCCTGGTAATCTTTGTCCTGGACATGTACACTGTAGGGTATGGGATGAAGCATGTCCTTGATTGAATTAGGACACTGAATTACATGACTAACATCAGCAGCAGCTGAGATTTTTCATAGGAAGCCACAACTGCTGATATTCAAATACTACTACTAAAAGCACATCTCTTAGAACACTGTTCATCAACTGGTGGGTTGCAACAGGAACACTACCATTCTGTAAATTGATGTTAAAAGATTAAGAGATGAATTAAAGTTTGGGTTAAAAGTGAGTCCTGGGTCTGAAAAGGTTGAAGATAAATTTTTCAGATGGCCAAATCTTATTGACAAACTTCTCTCCAAGAACCCTTCAAGGTGCCTTGTAGTTAGAGTTGCATTTTCTGTCCATCCATTAGAACATGTTGCTATTGTTCAACATATCGTTGAAAACACTCTTAGGTTTTTTTTCCTCCCTTTTCAAAATTACAGCTAACACTTCATTGATGGATTCTGCAGTTCCATGGATCAATTCTGTGTTACTACAGAATATAGCAGTCATCAATATGCCACCTTGCCCCTCACACCTAAAACAAGAAAGCCATGCAAAATTATGCAAGTGGCTGGGATGCTAAATGCTTGAATTTGGTAGCTGCCACTAGAAAGGCATCTTTTGTCTTCGTATTTACAGCCTTAAATGCCACAATTTCTTATTATGTTTGCAACTGTATTGTAGCCACAAGTATCCTATATTTTGTGGTAAACAAAGCACCAGCATGCAAATGTGAACTCAGAAAAAACATTTGGAACAGTTAGGGCTTTGGGGAATTTTTTTTATTGAATTAAGCAGCAGTTTAGGAGGAAATGCAAGAATCAAAGAGGCTAGACATGGTGCAACAGCCAGTCTCCATGTTACACTAGGGCAGAGGTTGGAAATTTGTGCCGCCCCCCCGCCCCAGCTCTTATTGGTTCCATATAGTATAGTCATAGATGATGCGAGCTGTCGTCCAGCAAACATCTAGAGGCCCACAGGCTACCCACAAACCACAGGCTGTAGGTTTGGATGCTCAAGTCTGGACACAACACTAAACCAAAATATAGCTTAGTTCCAATAGTACACAGTAGCAGCACTTCTGTCCCAGAACCCACTCATCTGTATTAAGCCATGGTCTGGCTGAGTGTTACATGTGAACTGGGCCTAAGAGAAAGTCTAGGTGTCTAAAGCCAGCACAGGCATGATTTGAACCCAAGGGCTTCTCAACGTGTAGCTGACTTCCATCACTATTACATCAGCAGAACAAACTCGACTGAGTCTTTCTTCAAAAAAATCCCTGTTACAATTACATCATGCCCATTCAGTCAATTTCTTCAAGCAAGAAAGTTGTTTGTACTGGGCTGGGTTTCAATGCCTCAACTGCTGTCTCCATCACAATGTCTGTCACAGGACTACTGCATCTTCAAAAACCCCTGTCTGAAACCTACTGGGACCCCCGTCTTCACTTCCCATGGCAGCTGAATACAGAGCCTCAGCACTTGCCACAAAGATTCTCTGGACAGATGTAGGCTTCTAGGAGAAGCAAATCTTGCAGTTCCATGTTTGGCCACTTTAGAGTCCAAAAAGCTCTGAACTTAGTGGAATTCCAGGAACTAGGAGGTCAAGGAAATCAAGTTTCTCCAATAAAGCTACACAGGCTGTCATTGCTTTGGTTCACTATTTCGTATTTCTGGGAACTCCAGCTTCAGTCGCTGTAAGGAGCGAATGAAGAACAGGGGTGGCTTGCAAACCAAGTGGATTTTATCTTCTTCACTGCCGTTTTTTGCAGGCAGAGTGAGTTGGCAGGCATGGAGGTGAAGTGGGAGGTGGCGAGCTTTGACTTGTTCCAAGCCCAGCCTCTTCAATGCAGCCTTTGGAAGCTTCTGTAAAAAAGGAGGAAAGAAATGGTTAAATGGTGAATTCCTGGGGAAGGATCTCTTAATTTTCCACTTTAGATCTCCAAGTGCTGGGAGGTGGAAATGCTCTCTTGCAATGATGTAACCAAGTTTTTTCTCAATTTTCTGAGAGATGTTGTTAGAAATCGACCTGGCAAGGGGCCAGAATAATGGGTCTTAATGCTTTCTTGGAGATTTTGAGGATCAGGAATGATAAAAAAGAAAAAGGGTGTGCTTAGCCATGATTAGTAGTTGGCCACTGGGGAGAATTGGACAGTTACAAACAGTTGATTTGTTCACATGGATGCACGGAGTAGAATGCAATGAACATTCTGTGCATTTCGCAAGAGATTCTCTTCAAAATTTGAAAGTATGCGGCAGATACTTTTCAGATTATACAACGTATAAAAGGAAATAGTTTATGGTTGAAGTGAATTAAAAAGGAACTACGTTTTTGCAATAATGGTCTGCTCTAGCTATCAGTGCTACTCTATATTTGATTAGTAATAATAACAAAATTAATATTAATATCATAAATGGCACTGCTTCATCTCCAAACAGATCGATAAATATGCACCTTGACAGTTCTAAAAGCACTAGAGACTGCAGCATGTAGCAGGCACATGCCAAAGGATGCAGTGAACACCTAGTTGGATTAGTGCTTCACAACAACTCAGACTAAAAGCTCTTTTTGATTCAGCCATAGCAGTGCTCTACCGATTCCAAGTCGGGATGGCAGCATCTCATCCAAACTCCTACTCCACGCAGAAAATCTAGGGCTACAGAATCTCCAAGAGTCGACTGTCAAACCTCTACGTGAAGACTGCCAGCAATTACCCTTCAGGTAACTGGTTCCAGAGATGAACTGCTCTTCCTGTCAACACATTTCTCCTGATGTTCAGCCAAGATCTACCCTCCCGTAATTTAAGGAGCCTTGTGGAATGGTCCCTCCCTGATGGTGTCCTGGCAGGTGTTCAATGTGTTTTAGTGGGTTGTTATTCTGTTGCATACCACCTGGATGACTTCTGGTTAAAGGAGGCATATAAATGATTTTTTTGAAATAACTAAATAGCTCCATCAGGCCTCCTCTCCTACAACTGTCACCTGGTTGCAGTCATTCCATCTGGCTGCCTCAGTGGGAAAGGAGGGAAGCAGGGCTCATTCCATCAGCTTTGCTGAAAGATCAGCTCCATCAGTCACTTCCTGCCCCTCATCTGTTTCTATGCCAGCTGGTCATTATAGCTACTATTTAAGAATTGTGAGATCTGGTTTTTAAAAAAAAGAATAGAAGTCTGAAGGCAGGGACTGTCTTGTTTTAATGTATTGTATGTAAGCCGCTCTGACAACCTTTTTGGTTGGAAAGCTGGGTACATATGCTCTAAATAAATAAGTGAATAATACACTCCTTAGATTTCGCCCTACCTTCTTGGGCAGCAGAGAGCAAGCCCTTGCAGTCTTCTGTGTGACAGCCGTTCACATAGACCAGGAGTGGACACCTGGCGGCCCATGAATTTTGATCTGCATCCAAGCGGTTCTTTCAAAATGTCACTGATACACAGTAAAACGTCAGCCAGGTTTATGTAGCCAGTAGCCTGAGGCTACTAGTTCCTGGTACTCTCCTACCTAAAGCATTTAGCAGCAGGTGCAATGGGAGTGATTGTTTGGAATAGACTGGAATTTGAAGTAGATGACAACCACCTCAGGGCAGGAGATCAGTCTACCAAACTGAGACACCACCCACCATGTTTTGAAATGGATAAGAATGCAAGCCAGGTTCCTTTCTAGAACTTGGCTGAGGCTTGAATCCTAAGCAAACTTACTTGTGGTTTAAGGACCTTTGGCCATAATGAGCCCTACTTCCAAGTAGGGTTTGAGACTCAACCAGTCCACTATTTGTAAAAACCTAATGTTTTCAGAGCACTCAAAAGATCATACATAAACTAATTTGATACATATGAGAAGTTAGAAAACTGATGATTGTTCACAATAACAGTTTGTCCAAAGTAAAACATTGCATGTAATTCTTACAACATTACTATGTATTTTAAGTCATTTCTGATTTAATACAGTGGTACCTCTGGTTACAAACTTAATTCGTTCCGGAGGTCCATTCTTAACCCGAAACCATTCTTAACCTGAGGTACCACTTTAGCAAATGGGGCCTCCCGCTGCCACCCCAGGATGTTCTCATCCTGAAGCAAAGTTCTTAACCCGAGGTACTACTTTCAGGTTAGCAGAGTCTGTAACCCGAAGTGTTTGTAACCCAAAGTACCACTGTAGTTAGCTTTTAACTGATTTAATCTGTTGTATGGGTCGATCTTGCTTAGAGACAACTATAATTAAGTAGTATATAATTGAAATAAGTTAAACACATAGTAATACTACATAAGGTTTTTTTAAAAAAAATGTGAACAATTTGCTGAACAGTTCTTCTCTTTCACTTTGAACTTGAAATGTCAGGGACAGCCTACACTTGTCCAAAAAAAGGGTAGGGGAGGAAAGGGGGAAAAATAAAATTTAAGTAAACACCCCTTGTTAAAAACAGTCCTGATAAGTAGGCAGGACTGTTCAAGGATCAAGGAACACCTGCCAATATCTGTCCAGTGCCGATCTAATTTTCAAGTAAGAATGCATAGGTGTGCAGTGACAGCAGAGGCATAAGAGGCCCTTATTTCATCCTACTGTCTTCTTTCACTGAATAAGCTCCTTTCATCATGCTTCTCTTACCTGTGGTGCAAGCTTGTTCCAATGGGAGTATTTATGGTCTCCAAGGATTGGACAGCCTAAGCCATAGGCCAAGTGGACTCTGATTTGGTGCTTCACTCCTACGTACAGGGGGAAGGCAAAGAGAAAAAATTAAGCACACATGCATACAAAGCCACAACCACCAAATACACCTGTCTGCTCTTTCTTAGCAATGGGCTGCCCATACTGAGTTCCATTTGCAGTTTGCTAGAAATGGTGGAGGAAGGAGGAGAGAAAGGGCGGCTCCACTCATCTACCTCTGACATGAAGCCCCCAAAGGGAATGCCGTTCCTGCACCACTATCATAGTATGAACAAATCGCTGGTCATCAAATTAAAAGCTTAAAATTCAAGTGGCACATTCATGCCTTCCTTTTTCAAACAGCAGCCCTGTGTTTCCTACATGTACTTCAGCAGTAATGTGCTTTTCTGTTTGTACCGACTCTCAAAGAACAGCAGAGCTTTGCCCTGAAAAGCAACATTGAGTCCTTTCAATAAATAAAATAAAATATACTCCTGCATGGGTAAACACTACTGTATGCTCCACCAGAAGATTTCAAGATGACCAAACTTGGTCTGCACTCAATTGCACAGAACAAGGGGCAAATAATAATAACAATTTTAAAATGCCCAAATAAGAAAAACTGCCAGGCTTAGAGATGCTCAGGAAGGCTTTTGAGTACTCAGTGCTGATGGCACCACTCTGCAGAAGTTCCTGAGGCCTTACCTGTGACTGGGTGCAGTTCAAGGAGGGAACAAGAGGAGGAGCTACTCAGCACTCGGTACTGGGTCACTGCCATACTGGCATCTCTGTGCTTGCGGACTTTGAACATATTCCCATCCTCAGAGGACACGCGATAGTTTGGCGCAAGTGTCATCTAAGCCAAAGAGAGATAAATAGATGTATCACGCTGTAGAGGTCCATCACTCATTATCCACCTCCCAGCACTTTGTCACTGAAGGATCAGGCAGCGTCAGCGAATAGAAGGGCCTTTTACCAGTTGTAGCTGGTGCAAAGTTATGGCTGCTCCTGGACTGGGAGAGTATGACCCTAGTAGTTCAGGCACTGGTGACTTCAAGACTGGTTTACTGGCATGTGGAGCTTCCCTTGCTCTTGAGATGGAGTGCAGAATGCTGCAGCACAGTTGCTGACAGAAGTGAGGCCCTGTAAGCATAGGACACCTCTGCTCAGAGAGCTGCACTGGTTGTGCATTTGCTACTGGCCAAATTCAAGGTGTAAATATTACCATATAAAACTCTTTAACAGCTTGGGAATTTGCAGGATCCCTTTACTACTCTATATAAAAAGGTAAAAGGTAAAGGATCCCTGGACAGTTAAATCCAGTCAAAGGTGAGTATGGGGTTGCGGCGCTCATCTTGCTTTCAGGCCAAGGGAGCCAGTGTTTGTCCACAGACAGCTTTCCGGGTCATCTGGCCAGCATGACTAAACCGTGACGGAAACCAGAGCGCACAGAAACACAATTTACCTTCCTGCCACAGCGGTACCTATGTATCTACTTGCACTGGTATGCTTCTGAACTGCTAGGTTGGCAGAAGCTGGGACAGAGCAATGGGAGCTCACCCCGTCATGGAGATTCAAACTGCCAACCTTCTGATCAGCAAGCCCAAGAGGCTCAGTGGTTTAGACCTATAGGTGCCCACCTGACTGCCATGATTTGCGGAACTGGCACTGGAAAGCAAATCCAACTCATGAACTGTGTTGAATTTCCCAGGGATAAAGCTTAAATAATAAATCAGTGCCTTGGTGCTTGAGAGAACTGGAAAGCATCAGAAAGCCCTCCTGGAAATGGTGTGGCTAGAAAAGTCAAGACATTGCTGACAGGAAGCAAACTCACTTTATAGTGCAATTGGTTGCCCTCGGCTTCCTTCTCCATGATGGGAATATCCACCACTCCTTCTGCTGGCTTTGGTTCTCCAATGCAGATCGCCCTACCAAGATAACAAGTGATGAACAGTGCCATATTTCAGCTTGTTACAGCCATCAACTCTCCTTTCAAGAGGGAAAGAAAATGAATCCAGCACTTCATTAACAGGCACTGTCCCAGAGATGCCGTTCTGAAGGGGCTACTGGCTTATAAGAAGGCAAAGTTTCTATTAAAGCTGAAGGTGGGAGTGGGGAAGAGTATATGAACCCAGTAATGTGTCTCATACCAGTATTTTTTCTCCACCTGTCGGGTTTTGAAGAGCTGCTGGATCTGGTGTGCGGTGTCCTCATCCCGGGCAAGCACCATGACTCCAGTTGTTTCCTTATCCAGCCGGTGACAGAGATGAAGGGGTTCAGCTTTCATGCCATCCAACATCTTTGCCAGTACTGGCAGCACATCAGTGATGCACATTTTTACCTTGGGGCCACCTGGAAGGAAAGCAGAAACAGCCTTGATCACATAGCCTCCAAAGAGCAATTTCTTTTCCCTTAGCAACTTCACCTGCACAGTGTGAGAACACACCAATATCACAGACCTGAAAGGATAATTTTCCTGAAGGCCAGATTCTCACAAGCATCTCCTAAGCAAATTGGAAAGACTGTTGGATGTCCACATAATTACGCACTCATCTGTTCAATTATAGCCAGAAGCCAAAAGTTGTTACTTGAATACCAAGAGTGTGCATAAACAGCAACTGTATATGGGGAAATTGAGACGTGCTGTAATTGATTTGTTCCCCTTTGTCTCTCTTCCCTAGCAGAAAAAAATAGATTTTTCTTGGTGGGGGGATTAACCCCACACCCTATTGTATTTCCCCAGGAAGGAGATAGTCACATACCACAGTTGCTCCCTCTGTAGTGTGTACCTTTCCAGTAGAAGTTGAAAAGACTTTCACAAGAGAAACACCTCCTGAATTATTATTTGCAAGCTGGTCTGTGTAGCATTTAGAACACAGGTGGCAATGGCAGAGGCAGCTCCTACATGTACATGCAGCACTGAGGTTTCATTGTTTATAATGTAGAAGAAATGTCTCTCTGGGAAGACTAAAGTTAATAAGACACTAGTCCGGCAATGTGGGAATCTCATAAGCAGAGGACAATGAGAGAAAACTATCCTTTTGTCATCCCCTCACCCACAACATCTAATTCAGAAGGTTATACTGCTTCTCAGTATCACTGAGAGTAGGGTAACTAGGATTCTTCTCCACAGGATGAATTCATATTTAACCTGTTGAAGAGCCACTACAGACCTCAAAAACAAATAAAAGCAATGACTGATTAAGTCATAGAGAAGGAGATATCTGGATAGTTAGCAGGGCTCTTTGCAATGAGGAACCTGTGGTCCTCTAGGTGTTTCTGGATGACAACCTCTGACCATTTGCCATGCTGACTGAGGCCGATGGGAGCTGAAGCCCAATAACATCTGAAGGGCCACAGCTCCTCCATCCTTTATAATTACCAATCCACTATAACAGTCTTTCAGTAACATCACATTGCTCATTTTTCTCACCATGAACAGGAAGGCCATAAGGTTTGTTAATCACCACAATCTCTTTGTTCTGGTAGAGGATTCCATTTTTTAGTGCCTTGGCCAACACATTAGGATGAACCCGCTGCAACTGCTTCGTTAGCTGAGCAAGTTCTTGCACCCGCCGTGATACTCTGTCTTTAGGAACCTTTGATGGACCAGGGAAGAAAGAACAAAGTAGTTCATCAATCCTTTATTGTATCATTTCTGGTGTCACAAAATATGTATAGGCATGCATGTGCAAAAAGAAATACAGCAAATGGTTTTTAAAAAGGTAAGAATGGAAACTACTGATGAAAAAATACACTAGCTCTCTCTATCTCTCTATACACAAACACACACACACACACACACACCCTATTTGCAAAGAAAATAGCACTGCATCTCGAAATCATAAATCTCTGCCACCAACTTCCAACAAGCAAGTCAATTAAAGCTGTGGAAGAAGAGGTGGAATGTGTATTTATTTTCCCTATGGCCATTTCCCCACAACAAAAACCCCTCCCTGTAAGGTGCTTTTCCCATGCAGGTGGAAAAGCATGGTGGTGGTCTTTCAGAAAAGCAGGCACTGCAGGAAAGGAAAAAGAGCCTCTACTTGTGGATTCCACCACTCAAGCTAATTCAGCGTTCTATCAGGTTACAGCAGCAGGAGAGATGGGAGTTCAGACCCCTCCACTAAAACTGTTGGGAGATCAGCTCTATTAGGCTTCTCCTCTCCGTGAGCATTTTAAGAAACAATATATAACTTTAACAAAAATCAGAAGAAGCTGTTTTTATTAAGATAACACCATGCATGTGCCAACTTGGTCCCTGGTCCCTGTACGCTTATGCCACAATGAACTTAGCTGGAACACAGGAAGCTGCCTTATATAGAATCAGGCCATTGCCAGCATTGCCTGCACCGACTGGCAGCAGCTCCCAAGAGTTTCGGACAGGGTACATTCTCAGCAGCCACAATGACCTAAGTAGAACTGGATTTTTTTTAAAGAGAGAGGATATGCTACCCCAAGCAACACCACATATTAGCTATATATTTTGCTTCCCCCACGCCCCATCAAGGCAGCAATAAGGTGGTGTGTGATAAACGATGACATATATGATCATACATAACAAATTAACGACAAAAGTTAAATCCAAGATCCAAGATTAAAAACAAAACCTATGTTTAGGTTCTGCCAGGAGCTTGAGTGTTTACACGATATAGAAGTAAAGGCTGATTATTTAGGAGACCACTGTAAGCAGATGAAAACATTAGCAGAAGTTTAATCTCACTTCTAATGTAACAATCACTATGGACAATATGGAGAGATACAAAATATGGTCATGAAATAATATGCAGTTGAAAATGTTGACAAAAAGACCCATGCAGGGCGTGCTGGGAAGTTTGGATATTCAGAGAAATCTCTAAATGTGGATATGTACTTGGTATTGTTATAACTTTACGGCTGTAAAATCAAATAAGAAATATTTTCAAAAGAAAGAATAGAAGCAAAGGTTGGGCGTTCCAACCTCAAATTGCACGCAAGTGCATATGGAACAACACACCAACCCCTTTCAGGGCTGCTGAAGAATGTTGCATGCTGGGAAGTGTAGTCTTTCCTTCCCGGCGCAATGCACTCTGGGAAATAGAGTCCCAACTGACCAACGGACTCACCTCAGCCTGCTTTTTTTTCTGCTCCTGCTTCTCGGCTCGTATTTTCTCCGCCAGCTGCTGGGCGCTGAGAGGGGCGGCCGCGCCCTGGCTGTGAGAAAAGGCCCGCCGGCCTGCTTTCAAAACGAGCCGCAGAGCGCGGCAAGAGGCGCCACTCTGAGCCGCCATCTTGTTTAGGGCTGTCCGAGAAAAGCAAACGGAACCCGGATGTGGGCGTGGCCAGCGCCGCCCTCCCCTTTCGCTCGCGCGCTACCATGGCGGCAAACCAAGCAGGGCAGGGCATTAGAAGAGGTTCCGGCTGATCTCGAGCAAGGCCCCCCCCTTCCTCTCCAATGAGATAGCCGTGCGGCGTTCTCCGTATCCAATGAAAAGCAGCCCTTACGTGCAGTGGGTGGGAGAAGAATGTTGGCGCACCAATGAAAGATGGTGGAACGGGAGCGGGCCAATCATGGAAAGAGGGCGGAGCTTGCTATTTCCTTTTCGGTTTGAACAACGGCAGTTGTGCGGCGGAGTAACCGTCGTCGCGCGAGGGCAGAATTAGCCGGAGCCGGCGGCGGCAGCAGCAGCGATCAGGTATTAGAGGAGGGCGCAGGTCGGGAGAAAGCGCACGTGGCCGGTCGTGGAAGATGCGCGCGCATTCGCTTCTGGCCGAGCCTTGTCCTCTCTCATCCCCCCCCTTCCTTTTTAAAATTCTCACAAGAACTTTGTGAGGTAGGTTAGGCCGAAAGATACAGTGGTTGGTTCAAGGGTCGTCCTTTTCACATCGTTGCGAAGGCGGGGTCTGAACGGTAGCTTCCTATGCCTGCCTCTGGTACTCTAACCCAGGGTGGGAAATCTGTGGTTCTGCAGTTGTTGGTACTCCAGCCATGGGGATGGGAGCTGACCCCACCCCCCTGAATCAAGTAAATAAAAATATATATGCTTAACTAAAAGTCGAAATAAATCAGAATATTTGAAATCGAAATGATCTCTGGGGTCACTGGGAGGATGTTGGGAATCCCAGCCAAATGGGTGGGGTATAAATAATAAATTATTATTATTATTATATTAGTAGTAGTAGTGGAAGACAGGAGTGCCTGGCGTGCTCTGGTCCATGGGGTCACGAAGAGTCAGAAACGACTAAACAACAAGTAGTATTTATTATTACATTGGTTCCCAGTACGTTTCCGAGCACAATTCAAAGTGTTGATGCTGACCTTTAAAGCCCTAAGTGGCCTCGGCCCAGTATACCTAAAGGAGCATCTTCACCTCCATCGTTCAGCCCAGACACTGAGGTCCAGCTCCGAGGGCTTTCTGGTGGTTCCCTCCCTGCGAGAAGTGAGGTTACAGGGAACCAGGCAGAGGGCCTTCTCGGTGGTGGCACCCGCCCTGTGGAACACCCTTCGGTAAGATGTCAAGGAATTAAACAACTATCTGACTTTTAGAAGACATCTGAAGGCAGCCCTGTTTAGGGAAGTTTTTAAAGTTTGAAGTTTTATTCTGTTTTTAGTGTTCTGCCGGGAGCAGCCCAGAGTGGCTGGAGAAACCCAGCCAGATGGTCAGCGTATAAATAATAAAATTATTATTACTACAGTGGTACCTCTGGTTACGTACTTAGTTCGTTCCGGAGGTCCGTTCTTAACCTGAAACTGTTCTTAACCTGAAGCACCACTTTAGCTAATGTGGGCTGCCGCTGCGCAATTTCTGTTCTCAACCTGAAGCAAAGTTCTTAAACCGAGGTACTATTTCTGGGTTAGTGGAGTCTGTAACCTGAAGCGTATGTAACCCGAGGTACCACTGTATTATTAGCAACCTGATTGAGTGGTAGACAAGGCAAACAGAGGAGGATGACAGGTGCCTGCCCCCCAAAATACCCCAAACTATATATCATGGCTTTGCCCAGGACTCCAGCTGCCATAATCTTTGATGGGTGGATGAGAGATGGAGCACAGCATCACCCCAAGAGCCACAGGGTCTCCATCCTTTCTCTAGTACCACACTGACCGCAGCCTTAGCTCTGCACCTTTTTTTTTTTTTTTTTAAAAAGCCTTCTGTTTCCAACCTAGATCCTATCAGCACTCTGCAATGTAAGCAACATTGTACTGCTGTAAACACTCATTGCTTCTTCCAAAGAAGCCTCTCCTGGGAACTGTAGTTTGCCAAGGGTGCCGAGAAGCTGCTAGGAGACGCCGGTTCCCCTCAAAGAGCAACATTGCTCAGAATACCTTGGGAAGAGAAGCCCAACACTGCAAGCTGGAACAAACCCTATGCTCTCAGATTTTACACACGCTAACTATTTAAAGGGATGTCAAAAGAGGATTAGTGGTTCTTTTAAGACCCACTAAAAGTAGAAGCAGTGGGTTTAAATTACAGTAAGGTAAGTTTTAAACTAAAGCTGCAATCTTAAAATATATTTCCTTACGAACAACTTCCACTAAATTCAATGGGCTTAGTTCCAATTAAACTTCTGTAGGATTGTGGCCCCAGTGTAAACTGGCATTGGAATAAGTTATACTGGTAAACTGCAGTAGAAAGGGATTGACCAGATGGCATGGTGCCAAATCAATGCAATAATAATAATAACAACTTTATTGTCAGTGTACAACCTGTGTACAGTGAAGTAATACATACAAATGATCTTTTTCATGTGAATTTTAACTAAAGTAACTATTGAATGGCTGCTATGCTTTCTAATAGGCCACAACGTATCTGCTCATCACATCCCTGACTAGTGGAACTGTTCTTTCTCTTTTTCTGAGGTCCTAGTAACCTAGTCAGTCCAGCTTTTCCTAGTTTTTATTTTGCTCCTTTGTTCCTATCACTTCATCCATATGGAAGAGCAGGATGAAGCTGAACATAAGGAAGTGTAGAAAGAGGTGAGTCCCAACCTAAAGACGCTACTACTTGTTTATTCTTGTAAATAAAAAAAGGCACCACACCCAGCTCCGTTGATATGACAAGGCTGATTCACATACCAGCTCGTGATGTGGTGGCCATATAAGAAGACCCTAATCTGGGGCCACTTACTCCTCTCCATACAGTTACCCGCCTGGTTTATAGATTTGTTTTGGCAATGATTAATTGCTTACAACTGTTGTAAGAGCTATAAACGCTTTCAGTGGTTGTAGCAGTAGGAAGAGAATGTGGAGCTAATAAAGAGATTTGCCTGTATTTTGAAAACAATTTCACACCTGCTTTATGCTATTATTTTTTTAAAAATGTTTATTTCTTAAATGCAAAGCATTTAGTGGTATGTCTGTGTTCTTAAAAAGAACAAAAGTAAATAAGGATCCCAATAGGTTTGCATGAAAAGAGATCTGGAGATATCTGCTTGGAGATAAGAGATGGTGTGGAAACTTCAGTCTGAACTCGTACAGACTCTCTTTGCAGCTTGTTCTGGAACATCGTTGTCTGTCTCCACACTTTTGCTGTGGCTGCTCTTAACTTCCATCTCTTCATCTGATTCCTTTTCAGAGTGCTTTGTTTTCTTAAGGTGTGGAAGTTCAATGCGTCCTCTACGCACAAAGTAACTGATGCGAGACTCCAACCCTTCACATTTGGGGCGATCCATTAATGGCTTGTAGTTTCGGGCTTTTGCTCCCTCGATTAAGGCACTGATCTGATTGTGGACCGGGGGCTTCAGCTCTCCCCACCGAATTGTGCCGTTGCTTGAACCTGAAAACATAACAAGTGCCAATGGGTCAACAAGTCCTGTGTAGCATATTATTATTCACCAGTTGCTTCTATCCACTTTTAAATTACCCAGTTCTGTACCCATATATGTAATCACTAGAATAGTGCCTTAGAGCCACACTCATACCTAGCAACAGTGAATACTGTTAGAATTCTACAGAACTATGCATCTCCTACCTGTCTCTGTAGGCATCTCAGCAAAATCAAGCCCTTTTAACATGCTACGCAGCATATGAGTTTTAACAGCATGGTTGGCCCAAAGCTGCTGTAAATGAGTGACATTAAACTCCTGGACATTGCGATCATAGATCCACTGGATATTTTCAAATTCACAGTCATACAAAACCAGAGGAAATTCCACTGCCATGCTGCAAGAAAAGGAGAAGATAAGGTGTTAAGGAGCTTAAATCAGATGCCTGTGACTTAAAACAGGGAAGTACATGAATAAGACTGAGTAACAATCTGATGTGAAACAAAGCAGTGATTAATCTTTATAGTGTTGGATTCCCATACATGTAAGGCAATTGGTGTTGATCTTTCTGTGCCAGTAACGGGAGTGCAGTTTTTAGTGCACACTAATGCACATCTACAGCTTCCCTTTCCACCCGCTCTTCAGCATCTTGATGTGGTTTTGCCTGCAGTCCAATTGTATTATGGAGCAGTGGCACTGGAAAAGCTATACTTAAGAGCTACAGAAATCCCAATTATGTTTGCCAGGACTTTGCTAAAGACTGGCATGCATTTTCATAGGCAAGACTATGTCATTGGGAGTGATGCAGCAATACACTGGTTAGACTTTAAGGTACCACAGGGGTATGGTGATGGCTCAGAGCTCAGTGGCAGAACACAGGCCTTGCATACAAAAGGTCCCAGGTTCAATCGCTATAACCTCTGATTAAAAACGGCTCTCTGATATTAGGTCTAGGAAAGACCTCTGCCCAAGATTTGCATCCACTGCTAATGAGTAAAATAAACTTGTTTCACATCTAACACAAATATTATACTGGCTATATAATATATATTAATTTCTTTGCAAAGTCATACCTGTATTGTGGTTTTCGAGGGTTGTTCTCTACATCCAGCAGCACATCAATAATCTCTGGCTTTTCCATCCTTTGTCCAATCAGGAAGAGAATAGCCATCATGCAACGGACCTGGTGGTAGAGGAATGCTTGGCCTGTCACTTCAAACAGGTACATTTGGAAAGAGTTGTGCAGCTCGGCATCCTCTGCCCTAGCCACAGGCTTCACCTCTGCAGTAAGAATTGTCCGTTGAAAGTTGATGACACCATTGGCTACATCCATCTTGCATAGATTACGAAAATCATGGGTCCCCACGAGCTTCTGAGCTGCAGTATTCATGAGAGCTACATCTAGATCAGCACGAGGGAAGAAATAGCGATAGGTCCTTTTGAGGCAACTAAACCTAGCACTGAAGCTGGAATCTACTGGGGCCCAAGCCAGTACCCGTATGTCATGAGGGAGCACTTGATTCAATATGTGTGTGTAGCGGATCTCCTCTGCAGTATTTGTGGCTGTGTCCTTTGTTGCACCCTTGGGTTTATTTACTGCTTTATCCTTTGACAGGTTTGAGCGGAGATCTAGGGAGATCACCTGAAACATTGGAGAAGGATAATATGGAGTAAAATATGCAAAAACAACACTATGGACAGTATCCGATGCCCTTATTCCATTACACTTGTGCAATGGAACTCCACACCCCCCCATGGGCACCTTGCACCATCCCCAATCCTTGCACAAACTGTACAACTGACATAGCAATACTTTGGATACAAACCTAAGGGTTAGATCCCAAGTTAGCCATACTTGGAGTAGACCCATTGAAATTAAAGGACATGAATAAATTAGGTTCATTAATTTCAGTGTGTCTGCTCTGAGTCAAACATAGCTGAATACACCTCTACTTTTTAAATTTTTTTTTTTTTTTTAACGGAATCAATGAGAATTCTCCAAATATGATGGTGTTGGTGTAGGTTCCTCAATGACTATTTGGACCTGAACTGATCTGGCAGTAGGTTTTATCTTGCAGCCCTGGATAACTCAGGCTACAATCTTTTACACACTTTCCTGGGAGGAAGCCCCATTAAACGAGTTCTAATATCAGCATATCTAACACCCAATACAGTCGTACCTTGGAAGTCGAACAGAATACATTCTGGAAGTCCATTTGACTTCCAAAACGTTCGGAAACCGAAGTGTGGCTTCTGATTGGCTGAAGGAAGCTCCTGCAGCCAATCGGAAGCCCTGTTGGACGTTCGGCTTCCAAAAATAGCTTGCAAACTGGAACAATCATTTCCAGGTTTGCGGCATTCGAAAGCCAAAATGTCCGAGAACTAAGCTGTTCGAAAACCAAGGTACGACTGTATTCAGCTCCAACCAGAGCTAAGACCTTGAGGCGCAAACTCTTTGCTAAGCGGGAATATCACAGAAGGTAATGCCGCTGCCCCCGCTTTAATTCACATTCTGTTATAGTGCTGAATCCAAATCCCCCCTCCCTCACCCTCTGAGCAGGTTCCCTCATTTTCTGCTGTGAGTTGAGCAGGTTGGTTTCATAAAAATGGAGGTTAGACAGATGCTGAACTCACCTGTCCAAAGGCACTGACTCCCTTGTCAGTGCGCCCACAACGGTGATAGTTGGAAGTCTGTCTGCTGGCCACCAGTCGGGTTTTGCTGAGAGCCTCAAACAGCTTTTCTTCAATAGTATTGTTGGTATTCTCCTGGCTAGCAAAGCCCTGATATCCCCAGCCCAGGTAGGCTATCTTCAGTGCCACATGTCTCTGGCCATAAGCGCTAAAATCAAATGGCCGCTGCTGCCGTTTCTTAGTCTTCCCTGCTGCTGAGAGGCCGCCTTCTGTGCCTGCAGTCTGCTTGCTCTCCAGCTTTTCTTGCAGCCTTTGCACCATGTCTTCCAGTTCCTGGACTCTCTTCAGTAGCTTCTCTGTTTCTGCTCCATCTCTGGCCATAGTGAGAGTCCCTGGGAAGGGAAAACGAGTTTCCACAATTCAAACTTTTGTATTTGCTGCTAAAGGAGAGGCTATTCAGCTGGGGACTGTCAACTTGCTATCCAGCTTTATGCTTTTATTTTCTACCTATACTGTATTGCATATTTGAACGTAATGAAATACTTCCAATATTGAATTGTGAGTGCATGCCTTTCTCCATTTACTGATAAATTCATACTAATTCCCAGTGGGCTTTCGGGACATTTTTTTTGTTTACATGGAATGCAAGGTGTAGGGGACAGAAAGGGTTTGCTCTTGACACCCATGGGCTACTCCTGCATAAGGAAACCCTGCATATAACACAGGATTCTGGGGTTTTGTTCTGAAGTTCACATATTTCATGTGAGATACTGGTCCACCCTGTTGGGTCTCTTAGTTCCCAGTGTGAACTGAATGTGCACCATAAAGCATACTTAACCTCAGGGAGGAAGATTTCAAGTTGCGGGCAAACTGCCTTTCAGGGATTCAGATCCACCATTATTGATTCTCATTGTAGAATCTCTGATACATTACTAAGCAGCCTCAGGATTTGCTGGAAAATAATTTGAAACCCACTAGTATAGCTAATAACTGTAAGACTTAACACGTTCTCCAATGTACTGCAAAGGGGGAACATCGTAACGCAGCAGTACTCAGGATTTTTACTGTATCCTAAGCTGACTTAAGTGAAAGCAAATTCTTGCTAGAAATAGGTAAATGACTATTCAATCAGTGAATAAATTTAGTACAGTGGTACCTCGGTTTTTGAATGTAATCCGTTTTGGAAGACCGTTCAACTTCGAAAATGTTCGAAAACCGAGGTGCAAAGGGTGGCCTGCAATTTCAATGGAGAAAATTGGGGAAAACTCAGCAGAAAACTGTTCAACTTCTGAGGCACATTCGAAAACAGAAGCATTTACTTCCAGGTTTTCGGCGCTCGAAAACCGAAACGTTCGGCTTCCGAGATGCTCAAAAACCGAGGTACCACTGTACTTAAACTTGTTTTGGGTAGATATAGCACACTGTGAATTAACATCTCTCTCTTTCAGAATCAGTGACTGCACCAAGCCAAGAGAAGCAATGGAAACGTTCATGGGACTTGATCGTCCCCGCTGGGCCTCCATGAGCCATGAAGATCGGCTCAAAGAAGCTGCAATGGCATTCATCCGCCTTTGCGCAGAACAGGGAGAAGGTGATAGCCCAAGGAAGATGTGTTTTGCACCTCAGCTGGACCCCTACACAAGAGCCTCAGTGGCCTCTTTGGTCAGACCCACACTTCCTGTGAAGATTAGGCATCTTAATTCAGGACCCACCTTGCAAGCAAAGACTCCCGAGGAACCCAGAGTTGCTAGGAAGCCTATAATAAAAAGGAAAGTTCTGAGGCGAAGGCCTGATGGAGAAGTAGAGGTGACGGATGAGTCCATCACCAGCACACCAGAGACCAGCAGTCAGAGTGACCCAGAGTATGGGGAGTTGAGTCAAAGAATGCATAGTCTGAAGACTCAGCAAGAGGAAGAAGAGTCAGAGGAGGAGAGTGAGCCAAGCATTTGCCCAGAGTCTGAGACGGCTTATTCCTGGAGAACTACAGAGAGCCAGAGCCAAAGCTCGCAAAGGGAGAGCCAGAGCCGCAGCAGCACATCCTATGAGCAGGACTTGATTGTTGCTGGCCACCCAAAATCCTTCATATTACCAAGATTTGATCAGCTAAGCCGGAACAGAATGAAGACCGACCGGGTAGCCCGTTACTTGGAGCATAAGCATGACTGGGAATCTCTGCGGCTACCAGGGGAAGATCCCAGGAAAGGGGTGCGCTGGAGCATCCGGGAACAGATGCTCTGCAAGTCAGAATTTCCTCCTAGGGCTCAGCACATTTATATTCCCAACAACTACCTGGTGCCTACAGAGAAGAAGAGGTCTGCTCTGCGCTGGGGAATACGCTGTGACCTGGCAAATGGCGTGATGCCTAGGAATACCTACTCCTCCTAGAAATGCAGAGGTCTCTATAGCGCCATCCACAGGAGCATGCCTTGCTTAGCACAGCCCAAATATCCAACTACTCCAGGCAATCAGCTAAGCTATTTTGTTTCCTTTGAAACCCTTTCAAATCCTTATTGGTTTTAAATCTGGCTTTCAGAATGAGTGTTCCCACAACACAAAAGGATTTTACTTATTCGTGCTTCTTGAATAGTTGTCCCATATAGGATCATTTTGAGATTAATATTGCCTCATCAGAAGCCAGACAGAAGATGAACCAAAGTTTACTGAAGTATATGTCAATGAGAGTAATCTTTATTTTTATTGCAAGATCTTTTAAACCCACTTCCTCTTCCTAACGCAATCATCATACTTCTGTATGATGTTGTTTTTAAAGAAAGTTTAGCTTCTAGATGTATGGATTAAATTAAAAGTGTGTGGTATAAAAGGATTGCCTCTAATTTCTCTATTGACTGGTTAATTTGTTGAGAAAGTAATATTTATCCAGAACAGAAGGCAGGTCAAAAGCTTCACCTCACTTATCAATTGTTGTTTGGAACTGCTGTGCTACATTGTAAACAACTCTTCGCTTTCAAGTAGGTATGTGGTTCTTATTCCATTGAGAATATTGTCTTGGTTCGTATTTATGTATTTTTTAAAACAATTTTATTGAAGGTTTTTAACATGTTAAGCAATAAAATCCAACACATTTATAAAACAATAAAAATATATCAAAAAAGAGAGTAATAATGAAATACCTATATACAGGCAACTCCCAATTTAGGTGCCAAACCTAGAAGTAGCCCCAAAACATCACTGATAGTGGAGGGGTGGAGCACAGTGGGCATCCACATGCTCCCCTTTAAACCAGAATTACTTGTACTAAGGTTCTCATGCAAAGTGCTTTTCTTCTGTTCTAAGTTTCTTTTCCCACTTGGAAACACTACGGATATAATGAAATATGGGTTGCATATTGGAGAAGACAATGGACAATTGGAGAAGATTTTAATTATGCCTGGATGCAAGCGTAAGCACCAGTGAACACACTGAAACTTCTGAGTACAGTGGACTCTCGGGTTGCGAATGTGATCCATGCGGGATGCATGTTTGCAACCCGCAACGTTTGCAACCTGCAGTGGTGCGTTTGTGCATGCACGGGTTGCGATTCGGCACTTCTGTGCATGCACGACCGCCGAAACCTGGAAGTATCCTGTTCCGGTACTTCCAGGTTTCAGCGCGTCTATAACCCAAAAAAAGCAACCTGAAGCGTCTGTAACCCGAAGTATGACTGTATAGTGGAACGAGGAAACTGCTTTAGCCAGAAGGCTGCTTTTCCTTCTGGGTAATATACCAGTGGTGGGTGGGGCTGAAGGGGGAGAAATGGGCAGAACAACTAGTCCAAATTCTTTGTACAATGGGGCTAATTTCTACACATGCCTGCACACACCTCTGTCCAGACTAGAGATGGGAAGGCCTGGATAAAACCCTGAAAACTGGGGGGGGGGGTAAACTTTGGGGGGGAAAGCCCTGGTCCCCCCCCCCAATTTTTCCGGGGTTTTCCCAGCCTTCCTATCTCTAAGACAAGCAGTATTGTGGCATGATTTTCATGGGTAAGAACTCATTGGGTACATGAACTGCCAGAATCTGTAAAACTTCAGCTAGTTGACACTTTTTCTTCCCCTTAATGTGAAATTACAGCCCAGTTAGCTTAATGTTTTTTCCTGGTAAACTGGGGGAAACTGTTAACAATAAAATTACCAACCCTATAGAAGTCTTGCTGATAGCTTCTGTAAGGGTAAGTCTTGTCTACCTAACCATTTTAGAGTTCTGCGAGACTATCATGCAAATGGGGTAATCTTGGATGTGTACCTGGACTTAACTGGTTAAAGAACACTAAGCGGAGAGTAGGACGTATTGACAGTTCTAACAATGGAAGGATTTAGTAAGCAAGGTTCTCCCAAGATCTGTAATGAAAACAGCTTTTTAGCTTCTTCATAACTCTGGAATCAGGGAGCAGTGAGGTGGCCAAGTTTGCTGATGACACCAAATGGTTTAAGGCAGAGCTTTCCAAACTTTTCATGCTGGCGACACACTTTTTGGGCATGCATCATTTCATGACACAGCAATTCAGTTTTGCATCATTTCGTGGCACAGTAATTCAGTTTTACTAGCAAACCAGAGGTTAAACTAAGCCCTTTCCCAGCCCGGGAGGAGCATTTGTGGGACCCACCTACACACAGCAGCCGACACACTAACATGTTACAACACACAGTTTGGAAAGCTCTGGTTTAAGGTGATTAAAACCAAAAGGGATTGCCTGGAGCGCCGGAAGAATATCTCCCGACTGGTTGAAGGACCATTAAAAATGCATACAATCTTAGTTGGAAGGGATCCCCTAAAGGTCCAATCCCCTGCAATACAGGAATCTCAACTAGATTATGACAGAGTCCACCACCTCTTGCGGGAGTCCATTCCACTGTCAAACAATTCTGTCAGAAAGTTCTTCCTGATGCTTAGTCAAAACCATACTGCATGTGTCAGCCCTTGAGATATCTGAAGATAGTTATCACCTCTCAGTCTCCTCTTTACCAGGATAAGCATACCCAATTCCCTCAACTGTTCTTCATAAGGCTTGGTTTCCAGACCCTTTTATCATCTTGGTCGCCCTCCTCCGCACATATTCCAGCTTGTCAATATCCTTCTTAACAGAACTGGATACAGTACTCCAGGTATAGTCAGACCAGGGCAGAATATAGAAGGGACTATTACTTCCCTTGATTGGTGCAAAGTGATGCATGCTGATGCAAAAAACCCTCCATAACTTCACATGTACTTACAGTGTCTGAACTGGTGCTAACTGGCCAGGAAGGAGATTTGAGAGTTGTGGCAGATAGCTTGATGTTTTCCTAGCATGCAGTAGCTATGAAAAAGGCAAATTCCACGTTAGGGATAGTTAGGAAAGCGATTGAAACCATCAACAGGAGGTCCTTTTACAAATCCATGCCGCAACCACACTTGGAATAGTGTATGATTCTGGTTGCCATACCTCAAAAGGCTCCTGCAGATCAAGAAAATGGCAACCAAAACGACTAAGGGAGTAGAACAACTCTACTATGAGAAAATGTTACAGCATTCAGGGGTTTCTAGTTTATAAAATGTGGGCATGATAGAGGTGCTAAGATTCTGCAAGGTGTGGGAAAAGCAGTTTTTTCTTCCTACTATGTGAAGATAATGCTAGAACACAAAGCCAACGGACACCAATTCTCTACTGACTGTTTTTTAATTAAAGAAAACAAGTATACTATAAAAACATTAAAATATACAGTTATTGGACAATTGGACACACTGGCCCATGAGAATAGACATGCATTTTAGTGCTTTTAGCATCAGTGAATCAAGCAACTGATCCTGTGTACCTTTATTCGGAAGTAACTGCTATTGAGGTCAACGAAGCTAACCTGCTAGGGATTACAACATCCTAAATGCATCCTTACTCAATGGGATTTCAAACCCTGCACCCAGTGAGTGTGTGTGGCAGAAGATGAGCCCTGTTGGATCAGGCCGATGGCCCGTCCAGTCTAGCATCCTGTTCTCACAGTGGCCACCCACGTGCCTACGAAACGTCAGCAAGCAGGACCTGCGCGCTCCCTACGTGCGGTTCTCAGTACTTCGAACACGCGTGATCGTGGCTCAGGGTTTGAAGTCGGGCCACTAGTTTCGGACAGAAACGGCCAGTGCAAGAGCTGATCACGGAAGGCTAATCAGAACAGGCCAACTAGTAATCCCGCAACGCCCCCCCTTTAAAAAAAAATAACTTTTCTAAGGGTTCAGAATTGTAATAGTTACAGCGGTGGGGGAGAGACGAGCGATCCAATCAACACCGCCTTAAGGCTGCCTGTGAAGGCGATCAGCTTCACTAAAGGAGCGATCCTAAACGCACTTACTCAAGAGTAAGCCCCACCGAACACTGTGGGATTTGCTCCCATGTTAAAACATGCGCCGCGACCCCCGTGTTCCTACCTCCGCAGCTTTTACGCAGACGTTCGTAGACAGCAAAAGCCTCCGAGCACAGGCATGCCGCCCCGTCCACGATTTCTCCGCAGGAAATGACGTAAAGGCTTCCCTTTCCCCAACACATGAGACAGAGGAGATTTGTGGGAAATGTAGTCTTTCTCTAGAAAGCGGCCGGATTAGCCTTTTACTTCCAACAGCAGGCAGCCAAATGTTTTTGGAAGGTTACAGAAGGTTATCCTGAACGGGATAGCCCTCCCCTCCTTGTTTGACCCCATGCCTCTGACATGGAGGCTCCATTTAGTTATCATGGCTATGAATCATTGAAAGCTTTATCCACCATAGTATGTAAAGTCATGAGCTACTGAATTGAGATGTTAGGCAAAATATTACTATTTTAATTCCCGCCTCAGTGGTTGCTTCTATTTCAACAATAATTTAGAGTGTCCAGGGTGATTCTTGAGAAGGGTTCACCACAGCTTATTGCCATACCACCCTGAACACGCACAATCTCGGACCATCATTATGCCTCATAGAAAAGTGCTTGGAGTTTATTCATTTATTTAAGAATAACTAGTAATAGATACCAAAGCATCGTATTCATAGCCAACATCTAAATGTTCAAAATATTCCAGACCAGACCAATTACCAGGTTCAAGTGTAAGGCCCATTAATTTCAATGGTTGTGAGTAGAAGGATGTTGAATACAACCCTTGGAATATGAAGTATGGTGTAGAAATTTAATAACAATATTAACGTTTTTTGGGTTTTTTTAAAGGAAAACCACCATCGCCACATAGAATCACTGAGTTGGAAGGGAGCCTGAGGGTCATTTAGTCCAACCCTCAACAATGCAGGAATCTTAAGTAAAATGGAAACATCGACACCGACCCCACGCATCTCCCCCCCCTTCACCTACTTCCTCCTTTTCTTCCCAATGTCTCAACAAATGAAACTGATTTGTAAAAATGTTACATGGGAATATATATATATATATATATATATACACACACACTAGAGAGAGACATTGCACACACTTTTGTAAATCAAGAAAATCTTTAATTAAAAAAACAACAACAATGCAGGAATCTCAACTAAAGCATCCATGACAGGCCATCCAACCTCTGCTTAAAAACCTCCAAGGAAGGAGCATCTACCACCTCTCGTGGGAGTCCATTCCACTGCCGAAAACCTCTTACTGCCAGAAAGTTTTCCTTACGTTTAGTTGGAATCTCCTTTCTTGCAATTTGAAGCCATTGGTTCAAAGTCATGACATCGATGTTCCTATTTTATTTTTCAAGCTTATGTTCGTTTGTCTATTTGTTTGCTGATGCCTTCGGCAGGCTTGGTCTAGAAAGGTGTGGGTGGGTGTTTCTAAATATATACCTTTAACTATTACATCTACTCAAAAGTATTATTGTTTATTAAATTTCTATACCACCCTTCATCCAAAGACTACAGGGGTAGTTAATAATAATAATAATTTATTATTCACACCCCTGCCCATCTGGCTGGGTTTCCCCAGCCACTCTGGGCGGCTCTGAACAGAATATTAAAAACACAATAAAACATAAACATTAAAAACTTCCCTACACAGGGCTGTTTACAATACAGGCAACCAGGCAGAGGGCCTTCTCAGTAGCAGCACCCACCCTGGGGAAACGCCCTCCCATCCAATGTCAAGGAAACAAACAACTACAGGTGAAACTCGAAAAATTAGAATATCATGGAAAAGTTCATTTATTTCAGTAATTCAACTTAAAAGGTGAAACTAATATATGAGATAGACTCATGACATGCAAAGCGAGATATGTCAAGCCTTTATTTGTTATAATTGTGATATTATGGCATACAGCTGATGAAAACCCCAAATTAACAATCTCAGAAAATTAGAATATTGTGAAAAGGTCCATAACACCTGCAATGGGTTCCTGAGCCTTTAAATGGTCTCTCAGTCTGGTTCAGTAGGAAGCACAATCATGGGGAAGGCTGCTGACCTGACAGTTGTGCAGAAAGCCATCATTGAGACCCTCCATAAGGAGGGAAAGCCTCAAAAGGTAATTGCGGAAGAAGTTGAATGTTCCCAAAGTGCTGTATCGAAGCACATTAATGGAAAGGGAATGTGCGGAAGGGAAAAATGTGGAAGAAAAAGGTGCACAAGCAGCAGGTATGACTGCAGCCTGGAGAGAATTGTCAGGAAAAGACCATTCAAACGTGTTGGGGACTTTCACAATGAGTGGACTGAGGCTGGAGTTAGTGCATCAAGAGCCACCACACACAGACGGATCCTGGAGATGGGCTTCAAATGTCGCATTCCTCTTGTCAAGCCGCTCCTGAACAATAAACAACATCAGAAGCATCTTAACGGGGCTAAAGAAAAAAAAGAACTGGTCTGTTTCTCAGTGGTCCCAAGTCCTCTTTTCTGATGAGAGCAACTTTTGCAGTTCATTTGGAAACCAAGGCCCCAGAGTCTGGAGGAAGAATGGGGAGGCACACAATGCCAGATGCTTGAAGTCCAGTGTGAAGTGTTGATTTGGGGAGCCATGCCATCAGCTGGTGTTGGTCCACTGTGTTTCATTAAGTCCAGGGTCAACGCAGCTGTCTACCAGGAGATTTTGGAGCACTTCATGCTTCCTTCCGCAGACGAACTTTATGGAGATGATGACTTCATTTTCCAGCAGGACTTGGCTCCTGCCCACACTGCCAAAAGTACCAAAACCTGGTTCAATGCCCATGGGATTACTGTGCTTGATTGTCCAGCAAACTCGCCTGACCTGAACCCCATAGAGAATCTATGGGGCATTGCCAAGAGAAAGATGAGAGAAATGAGACCAAGCAATGTAGAAGAGCTGAAGGCTGCTATTGAAGCATCCTGGTCTTCCATAACACCTCAGCAGTGCCACAGGCTGATAGCATCCATGCCACACCGCATTGAGGCAGTAATTGATGCAAAAGGGGTCCAAACCAAGTACTGAGTACATATGCATGCTTCTACTTCTCAGAGGTCCACTATTTCTATATTTGCAATCCTTGTTTTGCTAATTTCATTTAATATTCTAATTTTCTGAGATTGTTAATTTGGGGTTTTCATCAGCTGTACGCCATAATAATCACAATTATAACAAATAAAGGCTTGACATATCTCACATTGCATGTCATGAGTCTATCCCATATGTTGTTGTTGTTTAGTCCTGTCCGACTCTTCGTGACCCCATGGACCAGAGCACGCCAGGCACTCCTGTCTTCCACTGCCTCCCGCAGTTTGCTCAAAATCCCATATATTAGTTTCACCTTTTAAGCTGATTTACTGAAATAAATGAACTTTTCCACGATATTCTAGTTTTTCGAGTTTCACCTGTATCTGACTTTTAGAAGACATCCGAAGGCGGCCCTGTTTAGGGAGGTTTTTTGTTTTTATCGCATTAATATTCTGTTGGGAGCCGCCCAGAGTAGCTGGGGAAACGGGGTATAAATAAATTCTTCATTATTATTTATTATAAAACCACAAAAAATACATCCCACTGAAGCTCCATGGGGCGGGGAGGGAACCTACACGCAAAGAAGTGCGAATATGTCTTTAAAACACGTCTCTAACCAGACTAGAGAGCCCCGCCTCAGAGCAGAGATCAAACGGACGCGCGGGCGTTCTAGAACGCCCGCGGGCACGTCAAACGACCCCCTTCGAACGCCCGTTTCTCCTCCGCCTCCTCACTTTCCCTGCCTCCATGGCAACCCCGGCCCCGCCCCGCCGGGTATAAATATTTACCAGTTTCCCATCTCCCCCGCCCCTTTCCCTGCCTTCACGCGAGGCTCCCGCGTCTCAGGGCCTCGTGCTGCTGCGGCGACGCCTCGCACGGCCGGCGCGTTGAGCTTGCCCGGCGGGCGGATGGACCAGTGGGCAGAACGGCGGCTGGGCGAGATGTGGCCGAGGCGGAGCAGCTTGGGGAAGGGGCAGGAAGCGAGTTCCCGCGGGGTCGCCGAATCTCTGCCTCAGAAAGTAAGGGAAGACGCCAGGGACTAGCGCCTTGAATTCCTTTTAAGTTCTCTTTCTTAACAGCTTGTCGAACAGCGTCTTCGAGCCCTCCTCCTCCCCCCTCCGCCTTTTTTTGCGTGTTCTGCCCCTCCATGCTTGCTGGAGATGGAAACCAAAGCTGACCCCCAATTTTATATAGGGGCTGGTTTGCTGCAGAGAACGAAGAGGGCTCTCTGCACACGCTCGAAGGTCCCTTTCTAAAAATTATTTCCGCACAAGTTAAGGCTGTGCTTCCTGCTAGCTCCCACAAAGAGCTCTTGTTGCAGGGTCAGGCCATAAGGGTCATCTCAATTTGCAGGTTTTTAGGGACAGGCGTAGCTGCCCTGTGTCATTAGCTCAGGTCATTTGCACACATACCTCAGTATTGTCTACACTGACTGGCAGCATGCTCCAGGGTTTCAGGCAGGGGACATTCCTAGCTTTACCTGCTCTACCACTGAACTATGGCCCTTTCTTCCAGTTTGAAGTTGTTGGCATTATATATCAGATGTCTGGTTTTGGACACTGACCTGGAAGGGCATTTGTCCTGGAAGGCAGAATATAACCCATATGTGTGTGTAAAATAAAGGTAAAGGACTTTTAGCACCCAGCCCAGCATCACTCCCTCCCCCCCCCCCCAATGCATCCACTCAGTTATGTGACCCCTGAGCTAAGGAGATAAGTAACTACAACCTTTAGAAGACATCTGAAGGCAGCCCTGTATAGGGAAGTTCTTTAATGTTTTATTAGGTTTTTATATGTGTTGAAAGCAGCCCAGAGTGTCTGGGGCAATGGGTGGGGTATAAATAATAAAAGTATTATTATTTATAATAGGACATCTCTATTTTCATCGGGGAAATGTTGGAGGATATGCAACCAGAAACCCATGGAAGTCAGTAATTCTGCTGTTTGCTTCCCAGCTACTGCTTGTTATCTCTGAAGACTTGACTTGGCTATGCTGATCAGTAGCTACTGACTAACCCAGGGTTAGGCAACCTAAGGGCTGTGGGCTGGATCCGGCCCAAATGCCTTCTCAATCCAGCCCACAGACGGTCCGGGAATCATGAGTAGAATGTGTCCTTTTATTTAAAATGCACCTCTTGGTTATTTGTGGGGCATAGGAATTCGTTCATTTCCCCCCAAAAAATATAGTCTGGCCCCCCACATGGTCTGAGGGACAGTTGACCGGCCCACGGCTGAAAAAGGTTGCTTACTCCTGGACTAACCTATCATTTATTGCATTTATATCATACCTTTTCCCCCAAAGAGCTCAAGGTGATGTTTAGGGAAGCTTTTAATGTTTAATAGGTTATTGTATTTTAGTGTTCTGTTGGAAGCCGCCCAGAGTGGCTGGGGTATAAATAATAAATTATTATTATTATTATTATTATTATTATTATTATTATTATTATATTACATGGTTTTCCTATTTTATCCTCACGAAACCTCAGTAAGCTAGGATATAGACCAAGAGACAGTGGCTGCTCCAAGGGCCCACAATGAGCTCCATGGCTGTGTCCTGATTTGAACCCCGGTCACCACCAGCACTTTGACTGCTGCGTCATACTGGCTCCATGAAACTCCCACCCCTTATTCTCCTAGCCTAGCCTTTATAATGCCTGTTTTGTCTGTTCTTCCACCCCACCCACCTTACTGTACTTCTCTTTAAAAGAAGTATGCCCCACGGAGAGCCTCAAGGTCCATAAATAGCAACACCCTAGTGGTCCCGGGCCCTAAGGAAGTTAGATTGGCTTCAACCAGAGCCAGGGCCTTTTCAATACTGGCTCCGGCCTGGTGGAACGCTCTGTCTCATGAGACCAGGGCCCTGCGGGATCTGATTTCTTTCTGCAGGGCCTGTAAGACAGAGTTGTTCCGTCTGGCCTTTGGCTTGGAGCCAATTTGATTCCATCTCCCTCTTTCTTTTTTCTTCTCCTTTCTCCTCCTGCAATGAGGCTACATTTTAATATTTTAATGTTTCAATATTTTAATGTTGTTTTTAAATTGTATTCATTCAACTTATTTTTATTATTGCTTGTTAGCCGCCCTGAGCCCGGCCTTGGCTGGGGAGGGCGGGGTATAAATAAAAAATATTATTATTATATTATTATTATTATTATTAAAGATTTGCCACAGTTTTTTTATTCACTTTATTTTATTTATATCCTGCCTTGGGTGGGGGCAGTGATGGGAATTATTTGGCAGCACAAAATAATATATCAAATACAGTGGTACATTCGTTCTTGAACTTAATCTGTTCAGGGAGTCCGTTCGACTCCCAAAATGGTTCAGAAACCAAGGCGCGGCTTCCGCTTGGCTGCAGGAGCTTCCTGCATTCAATCGGAAGCCGCGTTGGATGTTCGGCTTCCGAAAAAGGTTTGCAAACCAGAACACTCACTCCTGGTTTGCGGCGTTTGGGAGCCGATTTGTTCAGGAGCCAAGCCGTTTGAGTTCCAAACTGCCACTGTACATTTATAAATCATCATAGCTAAGGCAAACAAACACATTTCAGACTTGCTTGTTACCCCCCCTTGTTGCGTTTGACGGGCTTATTTCTTTCTCTCCCCCCTCTCCTCTAATGTTTTAAATGGCACTGAAATGGTCTGTTAACATGTGACGAGTTTGCTGTAGTTTTTACTGTTTATTTCGATCTTTTGCTTTGCAAGTCGCCCAGAGAAGTCCTCACGGAGGCCCGTGGAGATCATCCCCAAGTAAGTGGGCATTGCAGCCCCTCTGGCCCAGTCTTTTCTTTAGCTTGCCTCTAGTATCACAGACGCAGTTGTAGTATCATTGGGATGTGGGTGGCGCTGTGGTCTAAACCACAGAGTCTAGGACTTGCCGATCAGAAGGTCGGTGGTTCGAATCCCTGCGACGGAGTGAGCTCCCATTGTTCGGTCCCAGCTCCTGCCCACCTAGCAGTTTGAAAGCACTTCAAAAGTGCAAGTAGATAAATAGGTACCACTCCGGTGGGAAGGTAAACGGCGTTTCCGTGTGCTGCTCTGGTTCGCCAGAAGCGGCTTTGTCATGCTGGCCACATGACCCGGAAGCTGTCTGTGGACAAACGCCGGCTCCCTCGGCCTATAGAGTGAGATGAGCGCGCAACCCCTGAGTCGTCCGCGACTGGACCTAATGGTCAGGGGTACCTTTACCTTTTAGTATCACAGAATTGTAGAGTTGGAAGGGATGGCAAGGGTCATCCACTCTAATCCCTTGCAATGCAGGAATATGCAGGCCCATATAGGGATCAAACCAGCGTCCTTAACATTATCAGCACCACACTCTAACCAGCTGAGCTCTAACCATCAATTCCTTCCCACACCTTAATCTAGAAACTTTTAGAAGTTTTAAACTGTTTGAGAAGGCTATTTTTAACTGCTTTTAGAGGCTTTGATTGTATTATTTTAAAACTGACTAAAATGTAAATTTAATTAATATTGTCTCTGTTGCCCAAGACCTTTTATTTCTCACATTCCTCCTACACCTCCTTAACCTTTCCCTTGTTGCCTTTCCCCCATTTCACTATTTCCTCCACAAGTTTCCTTTGCAATACTCCAAATTATTTTTTAAAAAGCCATATGTTGTGACCCACCCTTAATTTTTCATGTGTGTGCCTTGCCTGGGCGTGTCACAGGTTGGCTGTGCCTAGACCATAGAGTCTCAAAAAGCTTGTGATCCTTTTGGCTCATGCTTGTAACCATTCCTTCATCTAGCTGAATAGATCGTTATCCTGCGGGAAAAATCTTGGGTGTTTTCCGCATCGCCCTGTTTCAGGTAAGGAGATCCTTGAGGGTGCATTGCTTGCATGCTTAGCGCAACAGGTTTGTTTTCTGATCTTACCTGCCCTGAATCTTTGGCCACAAATTTAAGTACGATGCTCCTGATAGCATCTCCTGAAACATATCACATTGGAGAGTGTGTGGATGCGTTACCTTAAAGTCAAAGAGCCTACCATCACTCATTGTAAGAGAAAGCAAGGTATGTTTCTTGATACAGATTTTTAAGCACATTGTCCAGAATGTTATACAGTGGTACCTCAGGTTAAGAACTTAATTCGTACTGGAGGTCCGTTCTTAACCTGAAACTGTTCTTAACCTGAGGTACCACTTTAGCTAATGGGGCCTCCCACTGCTGCCACGCCACCAGAGCACAATTTCTGTTCTCATCCTGAAGCAAAGTTCTTAACCCGAGGTACTATTTCTGGGTTAGCAGAGTCTGTAACCTGAAGCGTCTGTAACCCGAAGCGTCTGTAACCTGAGGTACCACTGTATGTTTATTTTCTATGTTCCGCTTCTCAGACATTTGTCTCCCAGAGCAGATCACCTCAAAAAAGTGACATAGCTTGTCATCTGGTTTTTTTAAAAATAGGACATGGCACACAAACGAAGGGAAGTTGAGGGCAAAGGTTGTGGGATGTAACGTAAGCAGTCAAGTACAACACTTCCTGTTTGCCTAGAGTGGACACAGGCAGGGGGATTTTGATCCAGCCAGTTGAACTTCCTGTTGCACCTGGGCTGGAGCATTACCAGGAATATACAGTCATACCTTGGGTTACAGATGCTTCAGGTTGTGTTTTTTTAGATTACGGAACCCCGAAACCCGGAAGTACTGAAACAGGTTACTTCCGGGTGTCGGCAGTCGTGCATGCGCAGAAGCGCCGAATCGCAACATGTGCGTGTGCAGACGCACCACTGTGGGTTGCGAACGCTGCGGATTGCGAACGTGCATCCCGCACGGATCACGTTCGCAACCCGAGTGTCCACTGTACTCCAATCTGAACAAAGCCAGATTGGATTGCTTAAGTAAAGAGATTCAAACGAATCTACCAACTAGCTTCCTGCTATATATTGGGGAATACATTCTGCTGCTGGCTCACACGCGTGAGTTAGGAAGGATACTATTAAATCAATATATCCTCTCCTAGTATCGACAGCATTCCCACAAAGGTAGATGGTGGAGACAATTTTTTTCAAGGCCAGACCCAAGTGGTGAACCATAAGTAGGGATGGAGGAGGAGGAATTTGGTTTGGTTGGAATTTTAATGCAATTGTAGCTAATTTGCACTTCTCGAAGCAAATACGTGAAGCCAAACACTGCTGTCCTTCAAAATGTGCACTGCTCCAGTTCTCCAAGAGAATGTGTGCAAAAATGTTTATATTAGGGGAGAGTGCATGCAAGCAAATAAATAAATAATCCTGAGGGTCATCTAGTCCAACCCCCTGCAACGCAGGGATCTCAGCTAAAGCATCCATGTCAGATGGCCATCCAACCTCTGCTTAAAAACCTCCCCCAAAAAATAGTACAGTAGTGAAAATAATATAAAAATGCATAACTAGAGAAAAATGCACTAAAGGGCTTTTGAATTTTCACTAGGACTTAAAAAATCACAAGCTGATGCACTAATACTGAGAACTGGAAAAGAAATGGGAAAAGGAGAGGATCTGAAATTGACAAGCCATCCCTTACCTATAAGCAGACATTTTGTGTCTCGTTCAGCCTAGCCTGACCTCCCCTTTGTGGTGATGGGGCTTGGGTAGCAGGTGATGCCTCGAGTTCCTTTGACCAATAGGTAGGGTCAGATGGTCCTGTCCCCTTGCTTCTGCAGCCCTAGGGCAATTGTTAGGTGAGGCAAAATGGTTCTTCATGGGAGGAAAGGAAGCTGTTCCTTCTCTGCCTAATAAATGGGACCAAAGGCAGAGGCTGCAGCATGCTTCACTTCAGCTCTGCATCTCTGTCCGCAATGCAAAAGCATCCCCAAAGTTCTCTCTCTCTCTCTCTCTCTCTCTCTCTCACACACACACACACACAGTGCTTTTTTACCTCAAAAAATTAAAAATGTTTAGGGGTACTCTCATTTTGACTCAAGAAAAATCATTTTATAGTTCAAATTGGGGAAAAATAAATACAGTAAATGGACAGAAGGCCGCCACCGGGGGTAGCAATGGAACTGACGATTCACTGTGTTTGGGATATGCATCCCCTGTGTCCCCACAGAAAAAAAGTACTCTCTGTGTGTGTATACAGTCATTCCTCGGGTTAAATGTGCTTCAGGTTGAGCTTTCTCAGGTTACGCTCTGCGGCGACCCAGAAGTAATGGAGCGCGTTACTTCCGGGTTTCACCACTCATGCATGCTCAGATGCTCAAAATTACATCACGCGCATGCGAGGAATCGCGACACGTGCGGACGCTGGTTGCGTTCGCTTCAGGATGTGAACGGGGCTCTGGAACGGATCCTGTTCACATCCAGAGGTACCACTGTGTGTGTGTGTATATAGATATATATATATATGTTTGTGTGTGTGCACGTGCGTATATACACACGCGATCGTGCGCACACACACAGTGGTACCTCGGGCTACAGGTTACAGACTCCGCTAACCCAGAAATAGTACCTCGGGTTAAGAACTTTGCTTCAGGATGAGAACAGAAATCGCATGGCGGCAGCGGGAGGCCCCATTAGCTAAAGCGGTACCTCAGGTTAAGAACAGTTTCAGGTTAAGAACGGACTTCCAGAACAAATTAAATTCTTAACCCGAGGTATCACTATAATTAAATTTTCTGTTTTACTAATTAGACTATTCATTTATACAACCTTAAAATATCCATGACTTCCCTTCTTTTTCCATGGTTCATTTTACATAGCATAAATCCCTGCATATTTTACATAAACTAAGCCATTCAGTATTCCATTATTACTTCCATCGAAACTTATTTACACTGTTGAATTTATCTTAATGCTGCCAACGTTTTCAAGCGTGCACAATTCCCCTCCCCATATATTCAATAAATATTTTCCAATCTTCTTTCAACAAATGTTCTTCTTGTTCTCTTATTCTATATGTTAGGTCTGCAAGCTGCGCATATAACATCGGTTTAAATTGCCATTCTTCTTTAGTTTAAGGTTACCAGATTTTTTTGAATGAATCCGGGGGCACGTTTCAACTTCAGTAGGAATGATAGGATTTTGTATGGGGACTGATTTGTAAATCCGGGGACTGTCCCCGGGAAGCGGGGACATCTGGTAACCTTACTTTAGTTGGGACCTCGCTCGTTTTCCATTTTGGGGCTAAGTAAACACGGGCCGCCCCCAAAGTTCTGATATGATGCGTGTTGTCTGATAAGGCAAACTTTTAGCCAGCTAGCTATATGCACTTGTGACTTGGAATGTTTCTTTGCTATATTTTCTGCAAGGTGCTAGTTTGTGGTGCCTTTAATTAAAAACATGTAGGCCAATTGTCTAACGTTCTGAAAACTTTTTTAAAGAGAGCAGCGAAGGGAAGAGCGATGCAGATATCAAAAAGTTTGAGGATGATGATTGTGACCGAGGTAAGATGACAGGCAGCTACTAGCTGTCGCCCTTGTTAAAAATTGTGGTAGTAACCCTGAGCTTCCGACTGCTTGTAGGGAGACACATGATTGAGTATTCCTCTGTACCAAAAATACCCCCAAACGTCTTACTGCCTTTAGAAATGTGTAAGGAAGAAGGCTAAGTTAGAGGCTTTCTTCCTGACATGCTAGCTCTCTGCCTGCAGGGATTTTTGTGAATGGAGGGGCATTCAGTTGCATAAGCCCTCTATGTCTCTCTTTATTTTTTATTGTTTTCATATTAAATGTTGTCAGCTTTATGGGTTGCCTGTATTAATAAACTATACAGTATATTAAATTTATACTGTGTAAATTTAGTAAATAAATAACTGGTGCATTTTTTCTTCACGCAACACAGTACCTGCAGCAGAAACTTCTCTCTTAAACAAGCTGATTAGAAAATCTCTAGTGGAGTCCTACCATCACGTAGAGGTTTTGCAGCGTGATCCCAGCTCACCGCTGTTTTCCGTGAAAACCTTTGAGGAACTGCATTTGTGAGTATCTAGAATCAATTGACGTTTGCATTTTGTTCGTAAGTTTTGTTCATTCAGTGACTGCTCTTCTCCGGGCTGTGGGTCTACTTGAAATGGATAATTATATATATCAGAAACTGAATCAGCCCATGCCTTCTTACCAGAAAGTGCTCATCCATCCTGTGGTCTGGTGCTTATTATGGGTTTTGCATTTCCCAGAGCTCGGGTTCAGATCCTGCATTTCGCAAAAGCTCGTTTGGTTTACGAACCTAACGTGCTGCATTTCAGTAGGAGTCCATTGCCTTCTATTCCTATTGACGTTGCTCTTGGTTTCAGAGCACCGTTTGTTTCCATAGCACTTCTTATCCTTCCTTATAGCTCTGTTGACTTTTTCAGGATTGTAGCCTTGGTGAAATATTTAGGTGTGTTCTGGTCTGAGGCACAAGTCGTAGATTGTGGTTCGAGGACCCGACCTCCGCTTGGAGGACTAAAGGCACGTGGACACAGTGTATAAGGTTAATGGGCTAGAAAAGGCCACAGCTTTATTGATTAGAGCAAGTGAGAGGTATTGGCTTAGGTATTGGACCAACAGCAAATTTTGACTCCACCCACTCGGAGAGGGGTGAGTCTGACTGGGGTTAACCACCAGTAGGGGATCCTGTTGATGCTAATACAACTATAAGCTCTTCCCTGATGTCACCGAGGGTCGTGCCATGGCCCCCCGCCACACAGGCATCGGACAGGATCCACAACCGCCGGATTCCTTTAACGGAATACCCAAATTTGAAGTGGTAGGCGATGGCTACACCTTGCCCTTCCACACACCAACAACACATTCCAATGCCTAACTGCCAAATACCACGAAAGTTGTGATGGTTGCTACGAGGTAGGCGAAAAAAACCAAAAGGCAGGTGCCAATTTGCCAGTTGGAAAAAATTCCTACCAGCCCCCGTGGGCAACCTGGGTGACCAACCATAGGTCCATAGCAAGGTCAAGAGAAAAGCTAAGCCCTAAGCCCTAAGGGAGTGGTGGGTGGGTGACTCGCGGCGAAAAGGTGAAGAAATGGGCGGAATGGCTGGCGCATCTTGAACAGCAAACCATGCACTCACCAAGCCGCCCGGTTGGGTGTTTAACCGGGGGCGTGGCGCTCCAGCCATGTGAGTGGGACAGGGGGCATAATGACCCCGGCGTGACATGGGAATCGCGTCCCGCCCACAACACCACCCCTCCGGAAGGAGGAGAGGCCCTGTAAAAACACAACAGAGTGGCTGGGGCTGATGCCTTTCAAACCAGTACAGTGGTACCTCGCAAGACGAATGCCTCGCAAGACAAAAAACTCGCTAGACGAAAGGGTTTTTTGTTTTTTGAGCTGCTTCGCAAGACGATTTTCCCTATGGGCTTGCTTCGCAAGACGGAAACGTCTTGCAAGTTTGTTTCCTTTTTCTTAACACCGTTAATACAGTTGCGACTTGACTTCGAGGAGCAACTCATAGAACACGGTGTGGTAGCCTTTTTTGAGGTTTTTGAAGACTTTGGTGATTTTTGAAGCTTTTCCAAAACTTTCCTGACACCGTGCTTCGCAAGACGAAAAAAATCGCAAGACGACAAAACTCGTGGAACGAATTAATTTTGTCTTGCGAGGCACCACTGTAATTTCACAGGAAGCTGCCTTATACTGAATCGGACCAACTTAGACTGGTCCATCTGGCTCAGTAATGTCTACACTGACTTGGCAGCAGCTCTCCAGGGTTTCAGGTCGAAGTCTCTCCCCTGCCTGCAGAAGCTAGGGATTGACCTTCTGCTTGCATGTGCTGTACTACTGAGCTACAGAAAATACATTATTGAAGAATATATTCTGATAACCAATGCTTATGTTAGACAAGGGAAAGTTTGAGAATGGTGGGTCTGAAAATTACACTCCAGATGATGGACTTTTGGGAGCTAGCCGACCTGACCGGAAGAGTCCGCGAACAGAAGGAGGAGGAGTACCAGGAGGAATGGATGGAATTCAAAGACTATTTAGCTAAATATGCTAAGATAACTTAAATAGAAATACTTGCAAGTACCAGATTGGCTTAGGATTTAAATATGTGATGTTATAGAATATTATGTTTAAAGTTAATATGAAAAGAAAGAAAGATGTTACTCAGCTAAGTAAAGTTTATGAGAAATTAGTTTTGGAGAACTGTTACAATGATATACATTGAAACTCAGCCAGGGGATTCGAGGAGGTCACCTAATAATGTTAACAAAAGTGGAATTATTACAGTTAGGATTTATGTTTGTTTATGTTTGTTATAAATTTGGAAAGCCAATAATTTTTGGGGGGGGAAAAAGAAGTAAATTACACTCCTAATACTTAAGAAATGTTGGGATAGACCTGCAATATGCTGTTCTATGGGCCTCTCTTGCTGTTATCAATAAGCCACTTTTTGCAGTAGCTGACTCCTCTTAGAAGGGGTTGATGGGAATGCAACATCTTTGTAGCAGGCTGGTTTTCAGGGCTTTTCATTTTGCTACCGCCCAAATCTATTGGTTCAAGTCCAAATCGTATTGTTTATCTTGACGTCATTTTGTGTGAAAATGAGCCTAGCGATTTGCAACGTGTTCCGCCATCTATCCAAATTTCTCAGTTATGGCAACTCTTGAATCTCTAAAATCACGATGGCTATTCCTTTTAAAGTCCCAAGCAGTACATGGAGGTTAGGGGATCTTATTTACCAGACTGCTAGCATCCTCCAGTTTCACTCAGAAGTACCCGAGCTGCTTACATGTAAAACTGTTCACTTTTATTCTCATTTTAACAGGAAGGATGAACTCTTGCAAGGCATCTACGCCATGGGCTTTAACAGACCTTCCAAGATTCAAGAAACAGCACTTCCAATGATGTTAGCTGACCCGTGAGTTGGTTTCAAACAAATTGAAAGATATTCTTTGTGTTGCAGCCAGCATGGGACACACTTGTGCCAATTAGCCAGCGAGTTGTTGAGCTAATTCATGTTAGATTTCTTGTAGACGCTGAAGTTTCATCTACATAGAATGGGTAACATAACTTCTGTCCCCAACTGACACACAGGTTTAGGGAAGGGATATTTCCCCTCTGATTACTATTCTGTTCCCTAATAGTTTTTGCATCCCGTTATCAAATGAAAATCCGGATAAAGATACCCTTTCAGTCTGGTTATCAACCACCTTTGAAATCAGAATTTTTTGTTCTGGTTGATCTGTTCTTTAGAAGGTTGTCACTCACTGTTTTCTGTTCTTTTCAACCTCCTTATTCCCAGTTCATGTGCTTAAAAGACTCATTCTCCCAATGAAACTTGAAGTATAAAATATTATTAACACTCTGAAAAGCAAATCCCAAAGGTTTGCTAAACCATACTTCTATGTAAAACGTTCTTCCCACTATGCGTTTTGTGTGCCTCTCAAGTATCCTTGTTGTATCTGAAGAAGTGTGCATGCACACGAAAGCTCATACCAATTACAAACTTAGTTTGTCTCTAAGGTGTAGGGATGCGGGTGGTGCTGTGGGTTAAACCACAGAGCCTAGGACTTGCCGATCAGAAGGTCGGCGGTTCGAATCCCCGCGACGGGGTGAGCTCCCATTGCTCGGTCCCTGCTCCTGCCAACCTAGCAGTTCAAAAGCCGTCAAAGTGCAAGTAGATAAATAGGTACTGCTTCGGCGGGAAGGTAAACAGCGTTTCCGTGCACTGCTCTGGTTCGCCAGAAGCGGCTTAGTCATGCTGGCCACATGACCCGGAAGCTGTATGCCGGCTCCCTCGGCCAATAAAGCGAGATGAGCGCCGCAACCCCAGAGTCGGCCACGACTGGACCTAATGGTCAGGGGTCCCTTTACCTTTAAGGTGCTACTGGAAGGAATTTTTTAATTTTGTTTTGACTACCTGTAACTTGTTTCAGTTACAGATATCCTTCCTTATTATTATTTCATTGAAACAGGAACACTCCTTAGGACTCCCAGCTTATTAACTACGTAGCCCAAAATCTGGGATCCCCTCCAAACCTGTGCCAAAGTTTTGCAGCCATTTTGCGACAAAAACGCCGCATTTTGCTGCGCCCCCTCAAACTGAGTAATTGATACATTAACCTGGGGCTTGAAGTTAACACCCAAAATTCCAACAGTGTCTGAGTCGCTTCAAACCGGTGCCAAAGTGATAGTTTTGCAGCAGTCCACAAACTTAGAAGCCCAGACCTTTGAAATATTGTTGTCTTTTTGCATTAATCCCAACTTGATTCTCTGTTTCAGACCCCAAAACCTTATAGCACAAAGTCAGTCGGGGACAGGCAAAACAGCTGCTTTTGTTCTGGCTATGCTGAGCAGAGTGAACCCACAGGACAGATTTCCACAGGTAAAATGAACTCAGCGATATTGCCGCCGGCTGCAGAGTCATCCTCAGTTCACTAACGCCAACAAGAAATCGAAATCTTTGCTATTAACCTAAGGGCTGCTTCCCTGGGGTTTGTGCCTTTTCCATCTGGTCCACTGCTTCCGTAGAATGGCTAAGCATAGCCGTTTTCAATGCTGAGAGTTTCCTAAAAACCTGGAAGCTGGCTGGCGGATGCAAACTGCCTTAAAATTGACACACAGACTAATCTTGCAGAAGTGGAATTAAGCCTCAACATGGTAACAAAGTAATGTTGGCACCAGGTGGATTTTATTTAAATCAAATTGATCTAAATCACAATTTAAATCACTGGTCAGTAAGACTTGATTTAAATCACTTTTTTTACAGAAAGACTCATTCTTCCTGGTATAATCTTAATATTTACATCCACGTTTCATTTTTGGAATAATAACTTTTCAGAGTAGTTTTTACAGTTATATCAAATATTACTGATTTGGTTATACTACTATAAATACAGTGGTAGATAATTATGAAATTATTGTGAGGTTTAATAAGTTAACTGTTTATATTTGGGCAACTGTTCTGCTGTACTTATTGGAAGGAGGAAAAATAATCATTTCCTTAATAACAATTTCAACAATTTATTTAACTAAAACAATAACAATAACATTATAGCATATGTATCCATTTTATTTTAAAAATCCGATTTAAATAAGAAAAATCTTTTTTTTAAAAAAAAACCATTGATTTTTATCCACCCTGGTAGGCACAATCATCAAGCAACCATCCCACTGTGTTCATCCATGCTCATAGCTGTGACATACTGCATAGGCAAGGGACATTTAACCAAGTTTTTTTTTAAATAAAATAAAATCCCATGATTCATTTGTTTAAAATCACTTTTAACATTTGTGCTGATGCACTTAAAAAACCAAAAAACCCCAGTGCCATTGTGTGATTGCTTCAGCGTTCAAAAGTACAAGACAAAAACTAACACGTTGATAAACTTGCACTGAACGGAACTTCTGTTTGCTCTAAAACACTTTTTCATGTGGGTGCTAATTGAGCAGATACTTCCATTTTTAAAAAAACAGGCAAAGAAGCCCAAACCTAAAGATAGATTTAAAAGAATATGCTAAAATGAAGCCAGCCATACAGCGTTACGGTGGAGGTTTGTGAAGTTAAAGGAGCATGGTCATTTATTTAAAAAGACAGAAGACTAGTATTGAGGTGATCGATATCTGGTGGCGGTTGCACTTATTGTCCCTTCCTTTTAAAATAAAAACAATATTTTCTGCAGTTTGAGAAAAGATAGGAGCTTAAGGGAAACAGGAGAGCAGTGCTTTACCGTGTTGTGTAGATGCCCCATAAAAAGTAAATGCACAATTTGTATCTATTCCACATCTTTTCAGTGCCAGGTAAACGCTTCTCTTTCTCCGCAGGCTGTAAGGTGATATTGTTAAGTAGCTAATGTGCTGCCAAAACCTTCCTGTGGCTGTTACGGGGGTTGTTTGGTTCTGTTTTTATGCTGCAATGTATTCATATTTATGTTTTAAATATTCTGCAAGTCTGCTGGAGACTCTTTGGTGAGCAAGGGAAGAATAATAAATAGTCTAATAAATAATAGCCTAATGCTAAAGTGAAAAGGAAACATGGCCTGCGTGTCATATTGGGGAAGCACTGCACCATTTCTGAAGGCTAAACTGACCTCCATCTTTCTGTTTCCTTCTACCTCTGTTGCCTCCTCCCAAAGTGTCTCTGCTTGTCTCCCACCTTTGAGCTGGCATTGCAAACGGGGCGAGTGATTGAGAAGATGGGAAAGTTTTGCGTCAACATAAAGGTTGCGTTTGCCATTCGAGGGAACAGACGTAAGGCTCTCTCTTGATGCGTCCCCCCCCCCCCGCGTTTGTCTTGCTGCCTAACGCTTTTGTCGAAAGTGCTTTTGTTCTATAATCCAGATGTTACAGAGCACCACCCACCCACCCCCAAAGCTGTTGGTGCCGTGAAATGCATACTAAATACTGCATGCCTTTCGTAGATTAGATTCGGCGGCAGCTTCCATCTTTGGTAGCAGTCCTTTGTCATTAGGTGAATGAAATATACTCGGAGTCGAGTGTGGATTTCATGCTCTTTATTCAGCTCATAGTAGCGAGGAGTAGAAGTTTCCCCAAACTGTCTGCTTTATAGACATTATTTACACAATGGGCCCCACGTGATTGGCTAATTCCGGGATTCTCCTGTAGGCCAATCAGGTTGTGGATTCACTTCCACCTGGAGCTGGATTGGGTGGCTCCTGCGGACCAATCAGACTGCTGCATTCTGGATCCTATTCTAGGACCAATCAGACTGCTGCATTCTGAATCCTATTGTTCTAGGACCAATCAGACTGCTGTATTTTGGATCCAATTCAACTCAGTACATAACAGTGAACTAAGTATCCACCTTTTAACTTTGCTTCCTCCGTTAAAAAAAAAGATTTCTAACTTACCGAGATGTTTATGCCATGAAATAGCTCCCTCCCTCCAACCACCACTCTAGAATTGAGTGTAAACCAGGGTAGCCAGTGTTGTTGCCTGCAGGTGTTGTTTGGGCTGTACCACCCATCAGCCTTATGGATCGCAGCCATTGTAGCAGATGATGGAAGTTGAAGCCCCAACAACTTTTGGATGGCATCATGCTGGTTATCCCTTGTCTTGGCTGCTGTGTCCAGACTTAACGGCGTGCTTCCTTCTTGCCCCTCCCTAAATTTTTTAACCTGGTTTCTCTGCTCCTACGGCGAGGTTTTCCTGGAAGAGTGTGTTCCAGCTGGGCACGTTAACAGGGCATTTGTTTACGGCTTGCATGTACTGCTTAAGTGGGGCACTGGTGGCGCTGTGGTCTAAACCACTGAGCCTCTTGGGCTTGCCAGTCGGAAGGTCGGCGGTTCAAATTCCCACAATGGGGTGAGCTCCCATTGCTCTGTCCCAGCTCCTGCCAACCTAGCAGTTCGAAAGCAGGCCAGTGCAAGCAGATAAATAGGTACCACTGTGGCAGGAAGGTAAACGGTATTTCCGTATGCTCTGGTTTCCGGCACGGTGTTCCGTTGCACCAGAAGTGGTTTAGTCCTGCTGGCCACATGACCCGGAAAGCTGTCTGCAGACAAACTCTGGCTCCCTTGGTCTGAAAGCGAGATGAACGCCACAACCCCATAGTTGCCTTTGGCTGGACTTAACCATCCAGGGCTCCTTTACCTTTTACTGCTTAAGTAAAGTGGAGAAAGAACTGCAGGAGATATACCTCCATGTTACTTCTTGGCACTTGGTTTTCTGCAAAATGATGGAGATCCTTTAAGCCAGGAATGGGCAGGGGGGACACCTGTGGCCTTCCAGTTCTTGTTGGACTCCAACTCCCAACAGCCCCAGCTAGCATCCAGGAGGACAGTACTAGTAGTTGGACAGCCCCATCTCTGATTTAAGCCTCAGGCCAAGTTTGTGCAATTGCAGTAAGCATCTCAACATCAGTTTCATATATTTAGCCCTGGCTCTTGTGCTTATTGTTATTGTAAGTGTCAAGGAGCCAGGAGTGCATCTTGCATCCTTGCACTGGACACAACGTCCACACACACACACTGTTTACCTGTGTACTTGCCCCCCCGCCCCCAGTTGCACGTGGTTAACAAGCTGCAGGTTGGGGGGCCAAGGCTAGCACCGTGATAACAACAAGGGGGGAAACAGCAGCTGTTATTCTCCAAAAATTAATTGCAATAACCCAAAATCTTAGTTTAGCAAACGTGCACTGGCTGACATAGCAAAAGTAACTCAATCTCTCTCCCAGTTCCAAGAGGGACTGTAGTGGAAGAACAGATAGTAATTGGAACCCCAGGAACTCTGCTAGATTGGTGTTTCAAGCTAAACCTTTTGAATCCAAAGAAGATCAAAGTATGTGTGCTGGATGAAGCAGACGTCATGATCGACAAACAGAATTACTCAGACCAGAGTGTCCGAATTCAGAGGTAAACATATTTTTATTTGTTTTTTTAGTAAGACAGATGTTGGCGAAGTAACTTACTTCTTGCTGAAAGTCCTGCATGTAGAACTTTTCTAGACCTGCTCATCCCTGTTGGAGCATCTGGGAAGGTTTTTAACCACTTTATTTGTATTGATAGAACTTGCTTTTTCACTAATTTATTATTACTTTGGAGAAGGCATGCCCTATTGAAGACTTGTCTGTGCCGAAAGTGGCTTCAGATGTAGACCTAAGGGCTTTTGTGCAGTCATATTGCTGCCATGTAGAAACAATAGCATTCTCGCCTTTCTTCTTGTACGTGCAGAAGATTAACAGCCTAAGTTCCCCGCGTGGGTTACAACAATTTAAAAATACAATATTAAAAACAGTTTAAAACCAATGACTGCCACAAGAATAGGGTGGGACCTTAAAATATTTACCTCAGGTGTCAAAAAGGCCAAGGTAAAGAGGTGCTTCTTCAGTATACGATGGAAGCTGTACAATGCCACCATTGCACAAATCAGTCTCATCATTTGATCCTCATGTCCCTACACTGGCTCCCTGTCTGCTCAACACAAGCTCCTTGTCCCTGACTTGAGAGCCTCACAAGGCTCCCTGCTTCCCTTTCTGCTTTTATATCCTGATAATGTTCCTTAACGCGTCCTCTGCTTATCCAACTCCTCTCTCAAAGCCTTTGCCCTTTCTCAAGCATTCTGGTGTCCCTCCTTTCCTGCCCCATGTGTCCTGGGATGCCTCTCAACAAACCCTAAGCATTTGCAACTGAAACAGTCACCTCTGCCCTTCCTCTGTTCTTCCCCCGTGCTGTAAGCTCCTGGGCAGACAGTTTTCCCCTTGTGTCTGCAAAGCTCCATGTACCTGGACATTTAAGAAGGAAAACCCCCCCTGTGATTTGGCTTTTATAATTGTTCTGTTACCAGGATGGAAGACGCATAGGCAGGCAGTCTTTTTCCAGGTTCATGGAAGTGCCTGAGAGATGTTCGATCAAGACCTTATTAATTGTAAATACTTCTATCTAGGAACGGAGTCTGTGGAATATGGTGCCAGGGGAGAAATTTGAGGGAGGCAGACGGGCAAAGACAACCTCAGAGCCTGCTCCCTTCCCCTCCTCCCAAGTCCCAAGAAATTCGTATCACTGCCCTCTTAGAAGAAGCATCTTTCAGTGGGGCTGGTGCTTTGGTTTTGTGTTTATGTGGATCTGGCCTTTATCTTACATGTGTTATATATATATAGAAATAGCTGATTTTAATTCTCTAGTTGAAAACTGAGAGGTAAACCTACTTATTAGGAATGAGTAGAAATACACTGCAAAGTCTCCCTTCTTACCTGGTAACAAGTGAGAATTCTGGGCTGCATCAATAGGAGTATAGCATCTAGATCAAGGGAAGTAATAGTGCCACTGTATTCTGCTCTGGTCAGACCTCACCTGGAGTACTGTGTCCAGTTCTGGGCACCACAGTTCAAGAAGGACACTGACAAACTGGAACGTGTCCAGAGGAGGGCAACCAAAATGGTCAAAGGCCTGGAAATGATGCCTTATGAGGAACGGCTAAGGGAGCTGGGCATGTTTAGCCTGGAGAAGAAGAGGTTAAGGGGTGATATGATAGCCATGTTCAAATATATAAAAGGATGTCACATAGAGGAGGGCGAAAGGTTGTTTTCTGCTGCTCCAGAGAAGCGGACACGGAGCAATGGATCCAAACTACAAGAAAGAAGATTCCACCTAAACATTAGGAAGAACTTCCTGACAGTAAGAGCTGTTTGACAGTGGAATTTGCTGCCAAGGAGTGTGGTGGAGTCTCCTTCTTTGGAGGTCTTTAAGCAGAGGCTTGACAACCATATGTCAGGAGTGCTCTGATGGTGTTTCCTTCTTGGCAGGGGGTTGGACTCGATGGCCCTTCTGGTCTCTTCCAACTCTATGATTCTATGATTCTATGAGAATGAAGAGGGTTAGTTAGATGCTGCCTTCTAGCAAGGCAGGCAGTTGGTCATGAAGCTCAGCTGACTAAGCTGTGGGCCTCAAGGCTTTCAGGCAGGAGTCTTTCCCAACCCTTCCTGAAGATTGAACCTCGTATCTTCTGCATGCAAAGCACAGGCTGCATCGCTAGGCCACAGCTGCTCCCCAGTGAGTTCAGTTCTAACAGGTAGGCAACTCCCATCGTCCCTGCCCGTTGGCCATGCATGCTGGGGCTGATGGGAGCTGTAGTTTGGCAACACCTGGAGGGCCCCAAGTCCCTCAAACCTGATTTATAAAGAGGCAAAAGATTCGTGGCCACGATTTCTCTTGAGAATGAAATGCTGGCTGCTTTTTGTTTTTCTTCCTTCCAGAGCTTTAGACCCCGGTTGTCAGATGCTTCTCTTTTCCGCCACCTTTGAAGACCCTGTGCTGCTCTTTGCCCAGCGCATCGTCCCCGAACCCAACGTTATTAAGCTCCGCCGAGAGGAGCTGACCCTAAACAATATCAGGCAGTACTACTTTGAGTGTGAGAACAAGGAGGACAAATATAAAGCCCTGTGCAATATCTATGGCAGCATCACAGTCGGCCAAGCGATCATCTTTTGTCAGGTAAGGCGCCCTTGCAGCATCGAGGTAACCTGGGGCCCCAGAAAACGTCCTGAGAATATATTTGGGGTGAGGAGGAATGGTGGGCCCATGGTCTTGGGATGAAGATTTCTGACTTCCAATCCAGTCTTACTAGTCAGATATGGCGTTACTAGTCATTTACAGGTGGTGACCATTTTGCGCAGGGGTTCATTCCTGGACCCTGCGCCCGTCGACACAGCACACGTAAGCCAGTCCTGTCCCGCCCTCTTGCAGGTCCAAAAGGACTGCGTCGGCAGCCATGCTTCAACTGGACTAGTGCAAAACGGTCTCCACCTGTACCTTGGGGGTCCAGAGTGGGAGGGTAAATGACTCAGGACTGCAATACGTCAAGGACCGCCTCTTTCCATATGAACCTACCCGGACCCTGAGACCATCTTCTGAGGCCCTCCGTGTACCGCCACCTCGAGAGGGCCAGAGGGTGGCAACACGAGAATGGGCCTTCTCTGCAGTGGCTCCTCGTCTGTGGAATGCTCTCCCCAGAAAAATTCTCCTTGTGCCTTCATTATACACTTTTAGGCACCAGGAAAAAGCATTCCTTTTAAACCAGGCCTTTGGTTGATCTGATTTACATCCTATGCCCTTTTAAAATGTGTTTTTTTTGTGGGGGACTATTGGGTTTTTATTATGTATTTTGTGGTTTTATATCATGATTTTATTCTGTGAACCGCCCTGAGACCCCCGGGTATAGGATGGTATATAAATTCAACTAATAATAATACAGTGGTACCTTGGTTTAAGAACAGCTTAGTTTATGAACAACTTGGATTAAGAACGCTGCAAACCCGGAAGTAGGCGTTTTGGTTTGTGAACTTTGCCTTGGAAGCAGAACATGTTTCGCTTCCTGTTGAGTGTGTTACATTTGTAAATTGAGTCCCCCACTGCTGTGGGAAAGCACACCTTGGTTTAAGAATGCTTTGGTTTAAGAACGGACTTCCGGAACGGATTAAGTTCATAAACCAAGGTACCACTGTAATAATAAATATAAATGGTTCAAGGCTAAATTCCTAAAAGCTGGACCTGCCAGAACAGAAATGTCGGCGTCACTGCAGGGAAGGCCATGACCTTGTATGTCTCTTTTTTCCTGTGTTCCTTTGGCAGACTCGTAAAAATGCCAAATGGCTTCACTGGGCTCTGTCGAACGATGGGCACCAAGTATCCCTGTTGAGTGGGGAGCTCTCTGTCGAAGAGCGTGCAGACGTGATCCAGAGGTTTCGCGATGGGAAAGATAAAGTCCTCATCACAACCAACGTCTGCGCCAGAGGTAATGACTTGGATGAGCAAACGCGAGGTGGGAACTTGCTAATTCAGCAGGAAGTGACCTTGTTTTGTGTCGCCTCGCAGGCATCGACGTGAAGCAGGTCACGATCGTTGTCAACTTTAGCCTGCCTACAACGACGCCCTGGCTACCTGACTACGAGACCTACCTGCACCGCATAGGCCGAGCAGGTCGCTTTGGAAAGAAGGGTCTGGCGTTCAATATGGTCGAAAGGCATAATCTACCGCTTGTCTATGCAATTCAAGACCACTTCAGTGAGCATGATATTTTCATGTGACTTAATAGTGCAGAAAGTTAGACATCGGGTTAGGGTAATCAGGGTTTGAATCTCTGCTCAGAAACATGCTCACTGGCTTTTAGCCTCTGAATTAGCTATAATTGGGAATTAAAAAGGTTGCACAGCAGTGGAAAAGAGAGAGAGAGGCTGAATTATAGTTGGGCATTTTTCCTGCCAGAAATGACTTGGTCTATTGCCTAGACAAATAACAGCATTTTAAAATAATTAAACTTTCAACATAGCAACAGAACTACATTTTTAACCATTTGATACATACGCGTATTAACAAGATCCAATTCTTTATTGCATGCATCACATGCCTTTTCTTCAGGATGGTTAAGGTAGTTATTCATTTTTATTTATTCAAAAGCATTTATAAACTAATAATTTAAAAAATACTTTCAGCAGTGTACAATATAAAAACAATTCAGTATCATTAAAACAAAAATACGGCCTGGAATCAATAACAGGGTACCATACATGGCTGTCCCCTTTTTGCACACAACAACCTTGCGAGAGGCAGGAAAGACCACGAGATGGTGTCTGTCCTGCTTCACTTTGGTTAGGAGGCAGGCTCACGTTGCTTCATAGCTGCTTGGGGGCCTGAAATGTGCTGGTCCAATACCCTAACCTAATGACTCCTCAAGCTGGCTAATTTCATGGGTTGAGAATATTGGGAGAAAATTCTGCAGAGTTGCCCTTTTCTTTCCACACCAGATATTTTCTCAGACAAAGGTTGCCTTTAAAAATGTTGTCCCAGCCGTATCACAAGCATCTGTTGATCTCTCCGTCCACCGAGTCAGAGAGGAGAACAGGCCCAGAGTAGTAGTCGCCCTCCCTGTGACCAGTGGCTTGTGAAGGGTTGAGTCCTTCTTTCTGCATTGGGATCCTCCTTCTAGCAAAAATGTCTTTCCTTTTCAGAAACTACCATCAAGTGCCTCGATCCAGAGGATATGGAAGCACTGGAAAAAATAGACGACTGAATTCTTCTACGGCTTGAAGGGGAAATGGTGGCTTTCCAGAATACGGCTGGGCTCAAACTCCCAATTTTCCCTAGCCTGCATGGCCAGGAGCAAGGGATGGTGGGAGCTGGGGTCGAGCATGTTTGGAGGGCCCCAGGTTACCCATCCTAGAGAGTTCTGTAATGTTAAACCATTTTTCAGACGATGCTGATATTTTGTCAGAATAATAATAATTAAAAAACAAAACTCATTACTTTCCCTTGGTTTTCTTTTGCTTGCACCAACTATTAAGACATCAGATGTCTTGTGTGTTTGGAAGAGCTATCCCTGAGTGCCTTTATTACTGCCTCCAGGCCCCATATGTGCCCATTGACGCTGTTATAGATATGGACTGCTGTGATTTGTGATCTCACTTGAGAGAAATGGGCTCTCACTTAGGGATACAGCCTGCATGTGATATAATTCCATCCCCTAGTTCAATCTGTAGCTCTCGTAATGCCAAGTCCTCAGATCTTTGCGTATAATAAAATGGACTCCTTGAGTGCTTCCCAATAGGCAATATTAATTTGGGTCACCGGAGGTAAATTTAAAGATTAATGAAGTGAATAGACTTCCATATTTCAGTAAAAGCGGAATGAGCAAGTTTATTATTACTGGTGATTAAGCTACCAGCCTCTAGATGTCAGTGGCTCCTTTCACTTAGTTTTGTGCCCTAGGCAAATCAGTTTTGACTTCAGAAATGTGTGATGTATGGAAGGAAGGAAGGAAGAAATTAAAGAAAGAGGGAGGGAGGAAGGAAGAAGTGGCTCCTATCCCAGGCCCCTTAAAATATGCAATTCGGCAAGGGTTTCAGCTTGTTTCAGTGATCACTTGCCACCATAGTTTCGGAGCCTAGGGCAGGAAAGTGACAATTCTAAATCCACAAAAGCAAAAAGGGAATAAATTGGATCATGGCTCATAATTGAAGACAGCAGCCCTCAGGAAGCTTCTTTGGCCAGAGACTTCATTCATTCAGCAAGGTGGGACTTGCTCTTGAGTCGGCCTGTATGAAGATTAGGCAGGCAGGTTCATCCCAGCCGGCTGAAGACATTTTGCTGAATATGGTAGACAAGATGCTCCTTTCCTAATATGGCAGCCTAATTGCACCAGCAGTTGAATCTTCAGTGCTGGGGACAGAATAGCATCTTCCATGGCAACAGAGGACAGCTGGCTAGTGCTGGGGAGGCCCATGGCTTGTACAAATCACTTGCCCATCCTTCATGCTCACTTTTAGCATCTGCTGCCTTGGGAATCTGCCTCACCTTTATTCTAATACAGGGGTCAGCAAACTTTTTCAGCAGGGGGCTGGTCCACTGTCCCTCAGACCTTGTGGGGGGCAGGACTATATTTTGAAAGGAAAAAAAGAATGAATTCCTATGCCCAACAAATAACCCAGAGATGCATTTTAAATAAAAGCACACATTCTACTCATGTAAAAACACACTGATTCACGGACCATCCGCGGGCCGGATTGAGAAGGTGATGGGGCTGGATACGGCCCCCAGGCCTTAGTTTGCCTACCCATGTTCTAATACTAGGACTGGAGATTTCATGAAGGAGCTCACAGACTTAGTGGGAAAGTGACAACTAACTGTCGTTTGGGTGTGACTTGAGCTGAAAATACTAGCAGGCAATATTAGTTAAGAATTCGGTGCCTGCCGGAGTCTTCCTTGTTCCCCCTGGGATGAACCGTATTCTCCAGGTTCCCAGATTTCTTATTTTTTTTTGGGGGGGGGGAAATATTTTTCTAGCATTTTTAGAACTTGAGAAACCCGGCAAAATGTACAGACACAACTCTTCCCCATTTTAAATGGGAAATTAACCCGCAACACCCTTTCGGTGTTTCAGTTTGTCGCCCCTTGAGAAAATTTGGTGCACACATCCCCATTTGTGGGGATGGGGGTGGAAAATAAAGTGGCGGGGGGGGGGGAAGAACCCTACCCGACCCCCACCCCTTTGGCATTGGTCTTGTCCACACCTGGTCTGAGAGATGCAAACTTTCCATTTCAAAAATACAGTTTTCTAGATTTCTATTTTTTATTGAGTTCATTGTGAGCTAGCAGCTACTTCTATGCCCTTTGGGTCTTCTTGGGAGTTGCCAGCTGTCTGGGGGCATGCCAGCCTGCTCTGATGCCTTTTAATGGCTTGGTCTGCAGAAACCTTTTCACAGCAGGCAGGTAAACACTGTCGCCTCCTGTTCTCTAGGTGGAGCGGCTGCTCAAGACACACAGGGCAATAAAAAGATGGCAGCCACCTTGTTTTTAAGAGGACAATGAATGTTGAAGGCAGTGTAGCAACAGCATCTTGAGGAGGGTTTGCAAAAAATAACCCCAGGGCAACTTGTAAAAGATGTTTATGCTGAAATAGTCCTTTTAATATACAGTGGTACCTCAGGTTACAGACGCTTCAAGTTACAGATGCTTCAGGTTACAGACTCCGCTAACCCAGAAATAGTACCTCAGGTTAAGAACTTTGCTTCAGGATGAGAACAGAAATCGTGCTCCGACGTTGCGGCAGCAGCAGGAGGCCCCATTAGCTAAAGTGGTGCTTCAGGTTAAGAACGGACCTCCGGAACGAATTAAATACTTAACCTGAGGTACCACTGTACAGTCATATCTCGGGTTGAAGTAGCTTCGGGATGAATATTTTCGGGTTGCACTCCGCAGTGACCCGGAAGTAATGGAGTGTGTTACTTCCGGGTTTCGCCGCTCACGCAGGCGCTCAAAATGATGTCACGCACATGCGCAGAAGCGGTGAATTGCAACCCGCGTATGCGTGCAGTCGCGTCTTACGTTTACTTCAAGAAGCGAATGGGGTCTCAATGGACCAGAATGTGGTCTAAACCCCCCTTTAAATCCATATCAACGAAAAGAAAAGAACTCACACTGAAACTCACCTACAGGTGGTACCTAACACCAAGGAAACTAGCGCTAATACACCCAGGAACCTCACCAAAATGCTGGAGAGGGTGCACCTCCACAGGCACATACCTCCAAATGTGGTGGGAGTGTCCCAAAATCCAACTATTCTGGACAACAGCCATACAAGAAATATGTAAAATAACTAAGCAAGTAATAGACATCACCCCAGAATTGGCCCTACTAAACATCTTCCAAGACAACAATGCCCATTTACACCACAAAGAACTCATAACCCACCTACTTTCAGCAGCCAGAAACACCATAACCAGACACTGGAGAGACCTGTCAGGAGTAAACATGGACCAATGGTACCAAATAGTATGGGAAACAGCCCTACTAGAAAAATTAACTAATAAACTGAAACTGACACGGGGACAAACAGAAGAAGACGCCTTCACCCCGGTATGGCTCCGCTTTATCACATTCACAGCCCAACAGGACAATGACAATAATCCACCAACAGCATACAAATCAATATGGCTAACCTGATCCAAAACACCCACCCACCCCACTCACACATGAAAACAAAGATCACCACAGCCAATCACAAACAAACAACCACACACTAGGCCAACTCCAACCTCTCTCACCACCAAAGGAACACAAGTGAACAACACAAGCAACGCTGACACCAAACTCTACATACATTAAACATAATAGAAACACCGCCACCCGGCCCCACCCCCATCCATCTTCCCTCTCTCCACCCCCCCTTTCTTTTTTCCTTTTTCCCTTCTCCCCCTAATGCCTCAACAAATGAAACGGATCTGTAAAAATGTTACATGGGGAAAAAAAATACGAGGCATTACACTTACTTCTGTAAAACAAGAAAATCCTTAATAAAATATTTATTAAAAAAAAGAAGCGAATGGGGCTCTGGAACGGATCCCGTTCGTATCCAGAGGTACCACTGTATTGAAAAGTTGCTCATATAGTCCCAACGCCCTGCAGTGCAGGAATCTCAACTAGATCAAACATGACAGATGGCCATCCAACCTCTGCTTGAAAACCTCCAGGGAAGGAGACTCCATTGCCTCTCGTGGAAGTCTGTTCCACTGTTGAACAGCTCTAACCATTGGAAAGTTCTTCCTGATACTTAGTGGGAATCCCCTTTCCTGTAAGTTGAATCCATTGGTTCAGGTCTCTGGAGCAGGAGAAAACATGCTTGCTCCACCTTCCATGCGACAACCTTTTAGATACAGTCGTACCTTGGATCCCGAATGCCTTGGAACTTGGATGTTTTGGCTCCCGAATGCCGTAATTGTGATTGTTCCAGTTTGCAAAGGTTATTTTGGATCCTGAACATCCAACAGGGCTTCCGCGGCTTCCGATTGGCTGCAGGAGCTTCCTGGTGTCCCCTTTTATCCCCCTTAAAAGAATAATAATAATAATAACAATAATAATAATAATATTTTTTATTTATATCCCACCCTCCCCAGCCGAAGCCGGGCTCAGGGCGGCTAACAACAATAAAATAGTATAGCATAAATAAAGACACAAGAGACTTTCCTTAAAAATAACAAGAAGTTTACTCACATTTCAGTTCACGATTTGATCCCTGAAAGGCAGGCTTTACTTAGTAGTTACATAACAATCTGCGAGTTTATCTCACATGGAGATTGTGCTCATGTGCTGCTGGCTGAGAGCCAGCAGACAGCAAAGTTAAATTAAGAGAACAAAATGGCTGCCGGAGAGCAGCATGGCAGCAAGAGAGGGCAAGAGAGAGAGAATGGCTGCGTGACTCGGCTCTTTTAAGGAGTCAGCCAGGGCCATGCCCATCTCCCAGATCACATGCAGGTGGAGGATGCTCCAGACCAGTGGAACAGGAAATTACACTGACTGGAGTAACACCCCCCCTTCTTGTGCCCACTCTAGGAAAATAAGGAATGTTGCATTTGACTGTTCCAATGGATTACATCCCACGAGACATAGAAACTTTGCCTGCTCTTGCATCCAGTCCCACCACTGAACTGTGCCCTCCCTGGAGTAGGCAACACTAAGCTTGAGGAATACATCGTTTGACTTGGGACAAATCAACACTTGTGGTTTATAACATTAAAAATGTGTTGTTAAAATGTGACACCAGAGGGAGCTGCAGAGCAGCGAGCCGCTGGTAAAAGGGAAACCGCCATTAAACGTTATAGAACATTATATTTAATGATGTTTGGAAGATCAATGTAGATCCAGCCCTGGTATAAGCAATGCTGGCTTTGGGGGGGTGTCTTTAGGCTGGCAGCATCCACCCCCGCAAAAAAGAGACCAGAGACAAATGGCC